CCCCTGTAAATAACCCCCCCCCCCCCCCCCCCCCGCCCCCCGAACACGTTCTTCGCCACCTGTCTCTGCCTGTGCAGTGCGGTGCAGTGCAGTCCATCATTCGGCCCGTTCGGCTGGCCGGCTGCTATGTACGTGAGACAGGACCGAACTCCACGTCGACGCGCCCTGGTCCTGGCCCTAGTCCCCAGACTCCCCAGACTCCCTGGCTGCCACGTAGACGAGTATCAAAAATGGATGGATGGATAGATGGATGGGTATGTGGGAAGACAGCTTTCCGCCATCCCGCCACCGTCTTCGAGCTGAGCAACCACGTCTCTAGAGCCAGCTCCTCCTGATACTGAACGAATGCAACCATCTTGGATCTGAGTTCTGAGCGTGGTTCCCAGCACACTCGAACCTGAATTTATACCCCCCTTTTGATGGTCACCTTCGTGTGTTATACTACCTGGTGCCGCCATCCATCCCTCAATAAACACACACAACTCTATATCCCATCCATCCACCCCGTTCTTCTCGACACTCCTCCAGCCTGGCCTGGGGCAAATGTCAATGCGCGCACGGATTGGCCGACTATTAACGACATCGAGGGCCCTGTTGCGCCGGCTCAGGAGCATCTACACGGACGGCTGGGCCTTGTACGCCGAGTACTCGCCGGTCATGTAGCGGATTTGCTGTGCTGAGCTATGCTGTGCTCTGCTGCCCTCGCGATCTTTTTTGGGAATAGATCTGGGTTGGTTCAATTATTTTGTCCCAGGGAAAAGGAGAATTTCTGTGCAAGTTCCTTTTGTGCCGCAGAGGGGGATGGTCCGGAAAGGGGAGGGGTTTGATTAATGTACCGTTGGTCTCTTCCTCCTCTTCCACCCTCTTCTTCTAGGGGTTTGCACATCTAGCAGTGACGAGGGTTTGAGCTGACGGGTTTGTAGGCAGACCCTGCGTGCTCGATGGGTGGATTTCGTATGGGGACTTTGATGCGGGTGGACGGGTGACTTTTCAGAGAGAACGGATTGGAATAGAAACGATCAGAGCAGAGCAGAGCAGAGCAGAGCAGAGCAGAGCAGAGCAGAGCAGAGCAGAGCAGAGCAGAGCAGAGCGGAACAGGACACAACGAGCAACGGGGTGATTGGCATGTGACATGAGTATTACGATGGCTCAACTGACTCTGAGATTGAGTTATTTGAGGTACCCTTTTCACCATCTGTAAGTTCTGACTCCATCAGTGTCATTCAGTCACAGGCAGCCTTGTTCGAATGAGAATACCCTCTAAGAGGAGAATTTTGAGCATGGAACTGGCACATGGTGAATGGCGAGGCTGAGCGGTTGTGGGTTTCAAAGGGGGGCATTGTGGTGGTAGTTGCGATTAGGCCAATTCAGGCTAGGAACAGAGGAAGGTATAATAATAGTCACGTGCCGGCTCTTTCTTGGCTGCACCGTGGACACTAGCCACACCAAACTCCCCAACTCACCATCATTCGCTTCCCCAGCTGTCATCGGCCCGTCGGTATTCATTCAAACATTCCGCTTTACAGGTGGTTTCTCGACGGGTCCATGTCCAAGGGTGCGCTCCGTGTCCAAGGGCGCGCTGCAATGAACCTTCCACCCCATCAAATCACACTGCATGCTCGCGTCTCGCCGAAGTCGGGCGAGAGATGTGCGTAGCTATGCCATTGCTTCTAAAGTTATTTGTTTCTTGACTTGCTAAAGTACATTTTACCCCGAGAAGGGGATTTTCTCAACACCGTATACACCACCCATCCCATGTGGGAGGTGACGATTGAAGACATCTAGATCAGTAAATCTGCGTGAAGTTGTCCACAGGATTCATCATGACTTCGGAACATCCTATTCCGCGGAAGCTGTGGGAGCATCCAGATCCGAAGAGCACTCATATGTACAAATTCATGAGGAGGGCGGAAAGGGAGACAGGCAGGAGCTTCAAGGTACGTTTTCCGTCTGTAGACGGCCTTGCGGTTTATCTGTATGCCCGCTCATCACATTGCAGGACTATGACGCGCTTCACCAGTGGTCAATCAAGCACCGCTCCGAATTCTGGCGGTTCACGCTGGACTACTTCCCCATCGTGTACTCCGGCAAGGTGCCAACCCCTGTCGTCAATGAGACCGCCAGGATCGACACGGTTCCCAGATGGTTTCAAGGCGTCAAGCTCAACTTTGCCGAAAACGTGCTCTTCTGCGGTGACGAATACGGCCGGGCTACAACCAGCCCGGGCAAGGAAGACGATAAGATTGCTTGCACCGAGGTGAGAGAAGGATGGCACTCGACCGAAGCCATCAGACAGGTCACCTGGAAAGAACTCCGACAAAGAGTCGGTCGCTTGTCGCAGGCAATGAAAGCGCACGGTATCCGTCGAGGCGATCGAGTCGCCCTGGTTGCCAGCAATTCGCTGGATACTCTGACCGTATTTCTCGCCGTGACTGCACTGGGAGGTATCTTCTCGAGCTCAAGCACCGACATGGGCACCAAGGCCCTTCTCGAACGGCTGGTGCAAATCGAGCCGAAGCTGATCTTCATGGATGATTGGGCGGTCTACAATGGCAAACGGATGGACCTGAGACCGAAGATGAGAGATCTCGCGCGAGCCATGAAGGACGTCCGAGGTTTCCAAGGCATCATAGCCCAGGCGAGGTTTCAAGACGCACCTGCCGATGTCTTCGCCGTGTCAAATTGTCGCACCTGGCACACCTTCATTTCTGCCGCGAGATACTCATCCGCGCTAGAGTTCGAACAGGTGGACTTTGGCGATCCCATGATCATCGTCTACTCTTCAGGCACCACCGGGATACCGAAAGCCATTGTGCACTCTGCTGGCGGCGTGGTACTAAGCGGCCACAAAGAATCGACTTTACATCGCCAGGTGGATTCTACGTCGACACAGCTACAATATACAACCACTGGGTGGATGATGTACATGAGTTCGGTTCAATTGATGTTGACGGGCGCCAGACTCATCATGTACGACGGCAGTCCTTTCATCCCGGACACAGCGGCGTTAATCCGGCTGGCTGACGAGCAGCACGTCACGCATTTGGGCATTTCCCCTCGCTATCTGCAGACTTTGCAGATGCAGAACATCAGTCCGAGGCGCATCGCGGATCTCAGGCACCTACAGATCGTAACTAGCACAGGCATGGTCTTGTCCGACGCTCTCTTCCAATGGTTCTACGATGTCGGCTTCTCGCCCTCAGTCCAGCTGTGCAATATCTCCGGCGGTACAGATATCGCCGCCGCATTTGGGACTGCGAATCCCCTCCTCCCCGTTTACGTCGGTGGTTGCCAGTGTATAGCCCTCGGCATGGCCGTCAGTGTCTATGACTCCTCGATAGAAGGCGGACGAGGTGTGAAAGGTCGACCCGTCCCCAACGGTGTACCGGGCGAACTCGTTTGCACCGAGGCATTTCCCACGATGCCCGTCAAACTCTGGGGTGCGGACGGCCAGAAACGATATTTCAGCAGCTACTTTGAGAAGTACGACGGCTGCTGGACGCACGGCGATTTCATCATGACCCATCCGCTGACCAAGCAGGTGATCTACTTTGGTCGTGCGGACGGCGTCTTGAATCCCAGCGGCGTGCGCTTCGGCAGCTCAGACATCTATGGTGTGATCGACACGTTCTTTTCGGAGACTGTGGCCGATAGTATCTGCGTCGGGCAACGGCGGCCGCAGGACGACGACGAGAGCGTCATGCTATTCCTGCTCATGAAGCCCGGAAAGCGCTTCACGGCGGACCTGGTCAGGGAGATCAAGGCGGTGATTCGCCGAGAGCTATCGCCGCGCCACGTCCCCCGCTATGTCTTTGAAACGCCAGAAATCCCGGTAAGTTTGGAGCAAGCAATGGTCCCTCTAGAGAAGATTGACACGGTTCAAACGTGGCTGACTTGAGATTTATCAAACTGGCAGACCACAATCAACGCGAAGAAGGTGGAGCTCCCAGTCAAGCAAATCGTTTCAGGCAAGGTCGTGAAACCCTCGGGGACGCTGTCCAATCCGAAGAGTCTGCAGTACTATTATCAGTTTGCCAAAGATGAGAACTTGGTCGCTCAGCCTACGGCCAAGTTGTAGGTTGCAGATGGCAACGGCTAGCTTGGTTTGGAGGAGAGAAGCAAAACGCAACTGCGTTCATCTGGGGATAAATTGCACCGGTAGAATTAGAATAGAATACTTCCGGTACACAGGGTTCTGCTGCTGTCTGGATGGGCAAGGAACCTGGTCTTATCAGATGCACCTAGCGTCCGGTCATTAGCAATGGACCATCTAATGAGAATTACTGTGTTACTCTCCAGCAAAAACAGATATGACTTGGGGACCGGGGTGCTAAAAGCAGTAAATAGAGAAAGTATATGATTCGAAAGGACATGACCACGCCAACCCTGCTGTGGATGGACCAACAATCTCATATTCAGCCTACGAAGAGAATCACTCTAAGATCCCCGAGAGGCAAGTGATGTCTTCGTGATCCATGGTTCGCGATGAGAATGCGCCTCCTGTTACCCGTTGTGGTTCGATCACAGGCGGGCAACAAACACTCCGAGTGATCATGTCCCGCGGGGTTATGATTCTAGCAACGCCCTCGCCTCAAGCGACATTGAGGCTGTTGTTTGCGAGCTGAGTCCGGACACGAATCTGGCGCCGGTCGGAAAATCGGACCAGCTCTGAGAGCAGTTGGAGGCATCGCCTGTTCGGTAAGCGCCTTGAGTTCAGTCGTTCTGGACTTCGGTGCTTGCGAGTCGCTGTGCATTTATTTCCAAACAGGGTAATGTCCTTGGATGGGGGAGCTTTCCGAAGTACCTCATCGCCTAGACCATAATCCTCCTGGGTGCCTCCAACTCATTACCCCATCCAGACACCTTCTCAATGCGGCCATATAACCACCAGCTGCAATTGCGAATACATGAAAGTATCCTACCGCAAAATACCCACCACTTAACAATTCATCCGATGTCATACTTGTACTTGGAACTAAGTAGGGCTCTTCAGATCCTGGGGACGGCATGAGAAACATTGGCAGGTCCAGAATTTCAATTCTAAACATCTGGTCTGGATTAATACATCAAAATCAACCCTATATAGCGCAAATTAACAGTGGCATTCTCAACATGAAGGCCATAGTTATGCAAGGAGGATCGAAGGCTGCACTGGTTGAAGATCGCCCTCTTCCCAACTTACGCCCTGGGTATCTCCTTGTCAAGGTGGCTGCGGTGGCACTCAATCCAACCGACTGGAAACACATTGATTGGCATAACAGACCAAATCTTCTATGTGGCTGTGACTACGCTGGGACGGTGGCTGCTGTGGGAACAAATTGCTCAACGTCATGGAAAGAAGGCGATCGGGTTTGTGGGATGGCTCATGGGGGCAATAAATCCCAGCCCGAGGATGGGGCTTTCGCCGAGTACATCGTGGCAAAGGCGGATGTGCAATTGAAAATACCTTCACATATGTCGTTTGCCGAAGCTGCTACTCTAGGAGTAGGCATTCTTACAGTAGGGCAGGGTTTATATCAGGCAATGGGACTTAAGTTGCCAATGGAAGATGAAAAGGAGAAGGATATCAATAAAACAACAACAGGTGAATACGTGCTTGTCTACGGTGGTTCAACAGGTTTGTGGCAGAACTCTGGAGACTGTGATTCCAAGATACTAACCATTTCGCAGCCACAGGAGCGTTGGGTATCCAGTCACTACGGGCGTGCGTGTCCAGCTTACCATCCCCGTACTCTTCTTTGCCCGTCATGCTGAATCTTGGTACAGGTCGGGATACCTCCCCATCACTACTTGCTCCCCTCACAACTTTCAATACGTCGCTTCGCTCGGTGCCGTGGCCTCCTTCGACTACCGTCGTCCCGACTGCGCACAGGCGATCAAATCATATAGCCACGGAAACCTGCGATACGCGTGGGACTGCATATCAACGGAACGCAGCGCACAAATTTGCGCCGAAGCCTTGGCCTCCGCGGGAGAAGGCGACCTGAGATACGGATGTCTGCTCCCCATCGACTTCCCTCGCAAGGACGTCCGCGTTACACACACCCTCGCGTACACCGCCATCGGCGAACCCTTTGACCAAGGCTGGGCGAAGTTGGCTGCTGGGGATACCGAAGATTTCAAGTTTGCGCAGAAGTGGGTTGCCGTCGCCCAAAGACTGCTGGAACGAGGGTTGCTTAAGCCGCATGAACCCAGAATACAGCCAGGTGGCCTAGAAGGTGTGGTGGAAGGCCTTGATATCTTGAGAAATGACTCGGTCAGTGGACAAAAATTGGTTTATCAACTTTGAGGAGTCGGATACTTCAGCCGTCGATGCCTTGGGTTATCATACGTTGGCTCTAAATAAATCTAAATACATCCAAAATTCTTCTCTGGAGCACTAGAATGTGATACTTGGTGGACAACCTCGGAAATTGGAGATATGGGCTGCTTCGTACATAATGTTCTTGAACTCAGTAAGGCCTATCAACTGAGCATTGAACTCATGGAATGGAGGAGTTGCTTTGCAACGGTTTAATGTTTACATGATTGTTCATTGCTGGCTATTCTGAGCATATCTTGGCATCCTCGAAGAGAGAGCATCAATCTATACAAGACCACTACGCTGACCAGGCTCCATCAACAATCTAAGGCAGTAATGAGTACCGGAAAAGAAAATGAGTAACATCTTGAATTACTCACAACATCAGAGCCAGTCAAGTAGCTGCTTGCCGCGCTTGCCATCCAGACCTATGTTGACAGTGGAAAATTAGGCGCACAATCTCTGACGAGAAATTAGTCCGAACTTACGAGAGTACCCTGAAGCTCGCTTGGATCCGCAAAGCGACCTGTGAGAATTCAGCGAGTGCAAGGGGTTGAGGAGTGTTATGTTCAGCATGTACCAAGCGGAATTTGCCTGAGCCACTGTTCTTTTAGATCCGGAACCGGCTTCACGGACACCTGGTTTGCGAACTGTTTCCGAGACAGGGGGGTGTCCAGGTATCCTGGACTCAGGGAGTTCACGCGGATACCGCGACTTCCCCACTCAATCGCCAACGAAGCCGCCAACAGCTTGACACCTGCTTTCGACGCGTTGTATGACGCTTGTGCCTGTGGTCTCGGGGCACGGGTGCCAGCGCCACTGGCGATGAATATCAAGGATCCAGGGATGTTTCTGTCCAACATGTGCTTTCCTACCTCGCGGCCAAACAGATAAGTACCGTTTAGGTTGATGTCGAGCACTTTGCTCCAGGTGGCGAGATCGGTCGCCTCCGCTTCGCGGTGTACGGTGGTTCCAGCACATGTGACAAGGACGTCGATTTGACCGAAGTCCTGCACCACCTGGTTGATGGTTTTCTTTACGTCGTCCTCGTCCGTGACATTGCAGGCGTAGCCACGCATTGATCCCGCTTCAATACCAGACTCCTGAAGAACTCGGGCCGAGATCTCCTTTAAAGTTGTTTGACACGAGTCCAGATCTAGATCAATGCATGCGCTGAAGCGGGCATTTATTCAGAGTCGGATCTGGTTGCCTGGTGCAGCAGATAACCTTACCAGTTGGCCCCCGACAGAGCAAATCCTGTAATGCATTCTTTGCCCAGACCACCTGCTCCTCTGTAGCATACAAAAATTGTAAGCGATTGCTACAATCCGCTCGGGACCTTTTTCTGCACGCACCCTGTGACTGATTTACATGAGCTGGCTTCCATGCGCAGGAACCGGACTTCTTCGTAGCTTACCCAGACAGTTCTTTCCTTCTAGTGTGAAGACTGGCAGTGTCCTCGGGGCTCGAGAAGATGGATCCATATTGGTATGACTGAAAGTAGTCTGTGGGAGACTTTATCGATCTTCTTCGACGGGCGAGGCTCTCGAATCTCGTGGAGAAGACAAAATTTGTAGCCCATGCACCGGGTATGTAAATGAAGCCTCAGTAGAGAAAGGTGATGACTAGCCGCTACGTGGTGACTAAGAAAACTGGAAGTTGAGACTACATTGCAAAAGTAGGTTCAACTCATCAGGAGTTAGGTCCACCACGAGCGTATTTGGTCTAGGTGTAGTAGGTTTCTAGGATCCACCACAGAAGAGACAGTCGTCATCGAAAGACAGAAGCGAGGCTCTTAGACTGCCGTATTCGGCTGCGATCCACTCGGAGCAGAAAATCAACTCCTTAGTGGTTGTGGTTACACCCACCGAAAAGGGAAATATTACTTGGAGACATTTCAGATACCAGACCTAGAGAGCCGAGGGGAGCCAGCTGAGTTGAAATCAGAGAAGTCGATGGGTTTCCAATTATTTTTGCCTTTCTAGGACCCTTATTCTCCCTTACTTATCCATTCAAGGCCAAGCGGCTGTAGGATAGCTACCTAGATTCGAGAAACAACTTGAGAATACGCGTGACAATGTTATTGTTGGCCCATTCCGGACTTGTTACTCTTTAAGTCAATGAAACTACAAGTTCCGTGAATTTTGTGTCTCAAGAGCAAAGACTGGGCTAAGCCGGGCGTTTTCGTCTCCGATAGATCGGCCAGTCTTCGATATCCTCCCAAAGTAACAAACTGATGGGTCTAGAACAGCTCGAGCGCGTAACAAGACGCCAGACGATTAATAATACCAGCAAGTTCGACTTGACACTATTTACTCAATCTCTGCCGTAAAATTGAAACAGATCGAACCGGCTCAGCTCTCTGTCAGAGTCGTGCTCTGCTCAATTTCTCCGTCTCTCGCCTCTCATCTGCGCTGCGCGGCCACAGTCCACAATGGCACCCGATCTTGCTCAGCTATCAGCATGGCGCACACAGGGTTATGCAGACAACGGCGTTCCCAGAGATCCAGCCTACAGCATACCTGATATTGTCTACGGCTCTCCCATGACTCGGAAGATTCGGGTCATCAACATTGGCGCAGGCGTGTCTGGTATACAAAATGCATACCTGTTCCAGAAATACGCCGCCAACATTGATTTCAAAATTTATGACAAGAACCATGACATTGGAGGTACATGGTTGGAGAATCGTTATCCAGGTCAGTTGAGAGACACAACGGAGATTGGTTGCATACTTATTCGTCTTTCATTAGGATGTGCCAATGATGTGCCTAGTCACGCATACGCCTTTTCATTTGCCTTGAACGTAAGCTGGACGACCCATTGTTCATGAGAGATTGTGATCGGAGGCAGTTGCTAACTTGCCGTCACTCTTTCAGCCTGATTGGCCTCGCTGGTTCTCTCATTCTCCTGACATCTGGAAGTATCTAGACACGGTCTGCGAAGTGTTTCGATTGCGCAAATACATGACGTTCAAGACCAAGATTGTGGGGTGTTATTGGCAGCACGAACAGGGGGAGTGGCTGGTAAAGATGGAACAAACAAGGCAAGACGGCTCGGTGATCGAGATCGAGGACCGCTGCAACCTGCTGTTGAACGGAACAGGTATTCTGAATAAATGGAGATGGCCAGATATTCCAGGTCTAAAAGACTTCAAAGGCAAGGTATGTCGACTCCTTGGGTCCTCTCCTGATTCTCAGGAATCAAGAGTCACAGAAATGGCGTATCTAATCCCATCTCTTGACCAAATATGCAGGTCATTCACACAGCCAACTGGCCAAAAGACTACCAAAGCGAACAATGGGCACAAGAACGTGTTGCCATAATCGGCTCAGGTGCATCCGCAATCCAGGTACTGCCGTCCATGCAGCCCAAGGTGAAACATATTGATACGTTCATCCGATCAGGTACGCATCCTTTTCTACCGTATTCCGTATTTTCTTTGACGCATTCATATTTAACAGGAACGTGGTTTGTGGATTTGGCCGGGAACAAACAAAACAATCGCGAGTACACAAATGAAGAAAAGCAGCAATTCCATGGCAGCGCAGAACACCTGGTCTCTCATGCCAAAAATATCGAGAATCAGCTCAACAGCGCCTGGGGAATGTTCTTCAAGAACTCCAAGACACAGCTCGAAAAACAAGAGGTTGTTAGAGCAGAAATGGCCGAGGCGATCACGGACAAGAGAATTCTCGAAGGGTTTCTGCCTTCTTGGCCCATAGGCTGCCGTCGCGCTACTCCTGGCGACCCCTATATGCGGTGAGCGTCATTGTCTCATTACATTGTTGTACCGTCGGACCGAGTCGGAGTTTGGTCGTCAAGCAATAACAGTTTTCTTCCGCTCATTCGTGATGATCTGCTAATTAGATGTTTCTTCTAGGGCTCTGTGTAAGGACAACGTCTCTGTGCATTTCACAGAAGCCGCTCGGATTACTGACACTGGCGTCGTGGGTGGCGATGGCATCGAGAGGAAATGCGACACGATCATCTGTGCAACGGGCTTCGACGTATCCCATCGTCCTCAGTTCCCAATTATTGGTCTCAATGGAATCGACCTCAGGGACAAATGGGCAAAGGTACCGGAATCATATATCGGGATCGGTATTCCAGATTTCCCGAACTACATGATGTTCATCGGACCAACATGGCCCGTCGAGAACGTAAGTCGAGGGTTACTCCTTCCAATCCCCGTCCGCATCTGAACAATTTTGATTGCGATTTACCTGCGACCAGTTTCATCTTGTCAGCTAACCAGCATTGACAATCAGGGATCCGTTCTTGGCCCACTGCTGCTTGTGGGCGAGTACGCTTTGCAAGTCGCTCGAAAACTACAAACCGAGTATATTCGCTCGCTGACGCCCAAACAATCTGTGACGGATGCCTTCAATGCACATGCCCAAGAATGGGTCCGCCACACAGTCTGGACAGACGATTGTCATTCTTGGTACAAGAATAACGAGACCGGGCGTGTCAATGCAATTTGGCCCGGGTCTTCGCTCCATTACATGGCTGTGATCCGCACCCCGCGCTACGAAGACTACGATATCACTTATCTGGGACCGGGCGAGCAGAACATGTGGGCGCATTTGGGCATGGGCGCCAATGATCAGGTGGTCGAGGGTAGGGACTGGAGTCCATACCTTCGCACGGACGCCTTGGACCCGGACTGGATCAAAGCAATGAACATCGCGCCGCCAAAGTCGGACGTGCGGTCTTCAGGACAGCAAGAGGCACAACAGAACGGTGGTGATTATGCCACAGCGAATGGGAGTGCGAACGGGTTGACCAATGGCCATATTTGAATAGACTCGACATGAATCTACCTTGACTGGAGATTAGCTGTCGGACTGTGGGATCGTGACCTTCACATATGGTGGGCTTTTCAGCCTGGCCCGGTTAAGATGTGAATCGTACTTGCTTTGTCAAATTTTCAAATCTTTGTTTATGCTCATGAAGTTATCACGGCACTCTCTTCGCTCTCAACGGTCTTACATTGGCACCTAGACCCCCTCTTCAAAGGATCCAGGGCATGAATCTAATGGTCACCACAATCGCCACAAACCCTTATCTCAAAACCCGCTTTATGCGGCTGGCTAGTAATCCATTTCGAGAAGATCTCAGGAGCCAAGTGTGCATGAGAACTCATGATTGAAATTGTTCGGCTCTGACTACCGTCGACGCTCGGAATGTGCTTCTGGCCCCGGATCAATGTCAGTCACGATCAATTCCACATTGCCCCTGAGCCAGAGGTTCCACAGTCTAGACTCTTGTAAGCTCATCTGAAGTACCCTTGGAAGCGACACTCAGAGCCTAATCGGGCAGGCTGCACGTTTGACCCACACATGTATGCATCTCCTGGATCAACGTCAGCAGGTCTTCAGCCGATTTCCTTTTTGGGTCATTTAACCACCAATGCTCCGCGCGGCCAAGACGCGCTTTTGGACTACGCTTTGTCCCAGATTTTCGCTTGATAGCGCAAACTGGTTTCGGCCTTTCGTGGGGCCCCGCTTTCTTCGCACCAAAAGGGTGTACCAGTGATGGCCGAGGGAAGCCCGCTCTCTATCTCCTAGCCTTTCAACTTACTATATATTTGAGGTTATATGTTGAGGACGGGGATTTCATGGAGTCAAGACCATCCATCCACTGATCCTTGTGATACTGGACTGGCCACAGGCCCTCGGCAAGATCAACGCTTCCAATCCAGTATTTATAGTTCCGTGCAATCCACGTTAACCCTCGGGTTGTTACCTCATCCCCTCTGGACTTCCCTGACAAGTCGAAAGTTCTTGACGACCTTAACATCATACGCACAATGGCGGACCCGGCCATCATCCCCCAGTCAACGATGACAGACGAAAAAGCCCCGCAAGCGCAGAGCAATGCCATGCACGTCGAACTTGAACAAATCGAGGAAAATTCCTCGGCCTTGGATGTGGCAATGCTTCGAGCAAACGAAGAAGAACATGCTATGACCTTTGGGCAAGCCATCAAGCGATATCCCCTGGCCACCATGTGGGCTGCTTTGATGTCCTTTACCATCGTGGTATGTCCAATGCGTTTCAACATTTTTTATCCCGCCTCCCCCTCAGTTCGTTCTGCTTGAGTTGTCGCAGATTGAATCAAAAGCCATCAGTTTGCCTCAAGGTCAATTTCTTACCAACATTATTCATTTACTACCCCAATGCTGACACCAAGCTCTTCTTGTTTTGCAGATGGAAGGCTATGACACCATTCTTATCATCAGCTACACATCGTACCCGTCGTTTGTTGAGCGATTTGGCACCTATTATCCCGAACTCGACGCCAAAGTGATCCCTGCCGACTGGCAGTCGGCCTTGTCCGTGGCTGGTTTCGCAGGATCTGTCTTTGGGTTGCTTATGAATGGATATCTGACAGAAAGATTTGGCTACCGCAAGGTCATGCTTTTCTTCTTGGTGGCATTGACCGGGACCATATTTCTCCCATTCTTTGCTCCCAATCTGCCTGCTCTGGCGGCAGGTATGGTTCTCTGTGGCATTCCCTGGGGAATCTTCGCCATGCAGGGCCCGGCGTATGCGTCTGAAGTAGTGCCACTCGCTCTCCGGGGCGTCATGACCTCAGCGGTCAATCTTTGCTGGGTCCTCGGTCAGCTCGTTGCGGCCGGTGTTTTGCAAGGGCTCGTGAACGACACGACCAATCGTGGCTGGCGGCTACCATTCGGATTGATGTGGATCTGGATTCCACCTTTGATCATAGTTGGCATCCTTGCACCCCAGTCCCCTTGGTGGTTGGTGCGCCAGGGCCGTCTGGCTGAGGCTGAACAGGCACTACAGCGTCTTCAAGGCAAGGACACAGAGGAGCAAGTCCGGCTCAAACTCGCCATGATCGTCCACACCAACAAGCTGGAACAGGCTATGAAGACCGACACCAGTATCTGGCACTGTTTTCGAGGAACGAACCTGCGCCGGACGGAGATTGCCTGTCTCATCGTGGCCGGCCAGGCTCTATCTGGCCAGGCATTCGGCGTCACCAATGTCTACTTCTTCGTTCAAGCTGGCCTGGGCGCATCTGGGGCATACAAGCTCAGCTTCGGAGGCACGGCTGTCTCGGTCACCTTTACAGTTCTTGCTTGGATTCTGATGCACAGAGTTGGCCGACGAACCATAGTGCTCTGCTCCCTGGCAACCATGTGCGTGATCTACATCATCATTGGCGCCCTCGACTTCAAAGTCGCCGGAAATCACGACCTGGTCTGGGCGCAAGGCGGACTCCTGGTCGTCTGGCTCGCCTTGTTTCAACTCAGCCTGGGCCCGCTAGCCTTCACGATCGCTGCTGAGGTCTCGGCCACCAGACTTCGGTCCGTCACACTGTCCATGGCTCGGAACTTCTGGAACGTGTGGTTCATCACAACCATGGTTGTTGAACCCTACCTGATCAATCCCACAAAGGCAAATCTGCGGGGGAAGACCGCCCTTGTCTGGCTGGGCACTTCGGTTTTGCTTCTGATCTGGGCTATATTCCGCCTGCCCGAAACCAAAGACCGGACTTTTGAGGAGGTCGACGTCCTGTTCGAGAAACGTATCCCGGCCTGGCGATTCAAGTCAACTCGCCTTGACCTTCTGCAAGAAACTAGGGCAATTACTCAAGAGATCGGACGACATGGTTCCGAGAATGAAGCCGGCCATTGAGAGTTTCTGATCAAGGGTGATCAGTGGTCAATGCTGGAGGGGGGAACACAGTTACGTTGGGAAATTCGAAGTTAATACCTACAAGCAAATTCGATTTTGCGTTTGATTGCAAGGAGCCCTCTCCGACTACAAGGCTTGAAAACTTACCACTTCGATACATCTCAGGTACATAGGTACTAGTATGGGCATTCGTAGTCTCGTGTGATTGAATACCGGGTTGAAGCACTTGCCCTTTCCAAGACGACCCCAGGTCTAAAGAAGTAAAGAAAGCAGAACGCTTCGAACAGTCGCTTTAACCAGCAAAACTATTAGTCTCGGCTGGTATTGCCACGCACACAAATTGCGCAGTCGCAAGGATAGGCCTACCTGAATGGTAGACCAGAACACACAGCACAGCCCCAAGGATATCGTTACTGCGAGCCTGTCTGAATACCCACACAACCGGTCTATCGCTGGTTTTGGCCGGTGGTTGGACTTCCCTTTTGAGAAATTTGTCTACTACACTCTGTGTCTCCACGTTTGCGACTGAAATTGGTTCATGCGCTTGGGTTTCCACAAGGGGAATGAATTCCAATAAAGGCCCCCCTAGTGTCACATTCTGTGTAGTAGGACATCAATAGAATTTCCAATTGTTTGTTCTGACTTTGAATCATATATCCCTATTTGGAACCTTGTCCAGGGAGGCTGGAGTGTCTTCTCCGCGGATTCTATCAAAGTTCTTGGATCTCTGGGAGTATCGATCGGGAATCCTCACTTATCTTTTCAACCCCCCTTTTCCAGTGTCGGACTTTGGTGTAAAGGGAAAATGGCACCCGAAGATGACTTGATAATAGAGAATAACAGCAGATCCAAAGTCCCACACATCTGCGTCGTCGGTTCCATCAACATCGACTTCGTTACATATGCATCGCGCATTCCTGGTCCCGGGGAGACTTTGACCGCGAGAGCTTTTTCGACCTGGGCTGGAGGGAAGGGACTGAACCAGGCAGTTGCCTGCGCTCGCGCGTCCTTCAATTTCCTTGCTCAGCCAGACATGCTGGTCAATCTGATTGGTACCGTTGGAGCAGAGGATCACTTCTACGACACACTCGTCAAGCCAATATGTGATGGTTGTCGAGTCAGCACCGTCCACGTCAACAGAAGGTGCAGCGGCCAGACTGGTTCAGCTAGTATCATCGTGGATGAAAGCTCCGCGGGACAGAACCGGATTCTTGTTGTACCTGGCGTCAACCACTCGGGAATGAGCGACGCAACCCAGATATGTGATGCTATCGCACGACAAAAGGTCGAATGCGATGTTGTATTGTTACAGGGCGAAATTCCGAGATCGACGGTCCTGAAACTGTTGTGTGTTCTCAACGATCCAAGCTGCAGACGACATGTCATATTCAACCCGGCTCCTGTGTTCCCGGATGGTATACCGCCGACATCGCTCAAAGGGACTGCCGTGCTGGTGATGAATGAAACCGAGGCAGGGCAGATAGCGAGCTTCATGTTGACTGCTCCGAGAAATGGCTCGTCGTCACCTCTGAACGAACAAGATTTTGCCGGGCAGCTCCACAAGCTGTTGCACGTCAAAATCGTGCTAATCACCCTAGGGGCGCGAGGGGTATTCTTTTCGACCTGCTCGGGCTTGCAAGGCCGGTGTCCGGCTCGAGCAGTGAGGCAGGTTGTAGACACAACTGCAGCAGGAGACACCTTCGTCGGCTACTTTGCTAGCGGATTCGCCAAGTTCATGGCCACCGGAGCAACGATTGAAAGCTTTGACGCCAAAATCGAGTCCGTCATCCAGGACGCAACCATGGCAGCAGGTCTTTGCGTAGAGCGCCCGGGTGCAAGCCAGAGCATTCCGTTTGCGTATGAGATCGCAGACCATGCAGTTTGTACTCCGGAGACGGACGGGCGTGCGGCGCTCATAGATGGCAGGAAGTAGACTGTGGGGGGCCACTGGTCAAGTATAGCTTCGAGACGCTTCCCACAATTTTCGAACCTCGTCTACCTCATGTTCTAGCATGATTCCAGCAACGGCAGTGCACCTCGCTAAACATACGAGTAGTGCGGCTTGCTGGGCCTTATGTGTCAATTTCTGGGCCACAAGCAGCAGACCTGCAACAACTACAGGATCCCATTGTTCCGGAAAATCGTTGGTGCTTGCTGTGCCTGCGAGAGCTAAAGTGTGCCAGCTTTGGGATAGGGCCTGTTTTGGGATTGCCGATGCCTCCAGAATTCGAGGTTTGTGTGAAAGGAGCAACAAACTGTTGGTATGATAGGCCATATTTGACAATAATGCAAACGTATTTGTATAGATATAGGCCGGGAATGAGGCCGGCTCGTCTGCGTCAAAGTGACTCGCTTCTGTGGCTGGGACCACCACCACCGGTCGCATGAAGGCAGGAAGCTCGTGGTACCAGACTTGGGATTCATGCCACAAGTCAACCCAGCCAGACAAAAAGTTTGATGCCGTTCTTGACTCCGTGGCCAAAGAATAGCCCATATCTGTCGGGGAATGGGGAGCATTCGGACCACCAAATACGAGAAGGAGTGTTTTGTGCAGCTTCAGGAGGATAGAGTGATAAATCTGCCGCCAGGAGCTAGGCTGAGGATATAAAGTGTCGGAAAGCACAATGTGCTGAGATGAAACGTCCAACGGAATCAGGGGCGGCTTCTCGGAGACGATAGATGCTGCGAGGTCTATTCGATACTCGAGTTAGCCCCTGTTCGTTTCTCTTCGCCATTCCACATCTTTGCGGGGTTTTGGGGAGCCAAAAAAGGGGAAAAGCAGACCTATTCTGAAACAGAACCATAAAAGCGATTCCCAGCATCGCCCAGCAGGTGCTTGGGAAGCCAAAGCATTGATATCCATATTTATATTTGAGAGGCAGTCCTTCCACTGGCTCGGCCCTGGTCGAAAAAACAAATCGAGGCGCAATAGAATTCGTCCTAAGAGTTGAATCGAGCTGGCTTCATTTGCCAGCCTGACTTCTGCCTCTTGTCGGTAATGATGACTGTGCGCAAGATCCTGACTCTTGGTCGATGGCGAGAGAATGGCACGGTGGGAAGCCGAAGCCGCCAAAATTGCCACCATGATTGAACGATGTTCTCGAGCAAGCAGTACGGCCGAGACACCAAATGGACCCTTATGGTCGCCAGCATCGATAAGTGGCGCCAAAATGTATCGGAAGTGGCATACGAGGAGGGTTTCAAGATTCTTGTTAGATGTCGGAGGATCAGCAGACTGAAGTAGTCGGCTCGCCGTAACGGTCGGTGGCGATTCTTGTTGCGTGCACGAGGGAGACGCTATGGTGCTGCTGACATCCACGGCGCACGAAGACGAAATGTCTGCACTTGGTGGTTTGATGCCTCCATCATAAGACGTCGTGCCTTGGATGTCTGCAGCAGCTCCCGGTGACAATGTGAACAGCTCGCTTGGCGTCAATGTCGTCTCGACCTGGCTCATCGAGAGGACAGGAATTTCCTGTGAGATACTAGGAGGGCTGCCATCGGTCTCTGTGTCGATTTCTAATCCAATCTCGTCGTGTTGAACTTCGTGCAAGGGTTGCCGCGTACCGCCTTTGGATGAAGTTCTGAAACTGGGGTTCTGGACAAACTAGTTCTGCAGTCAGTGTTGAAGGCTACGGAGGTAATCTTGCTTCTAGGCCTACCTTGATTGCTCTATAACCACTTCGAGTATTATCAAGAGGTTCAGTCCTTTCATGCGAAGTGGTGATAAAGGTCAAGGCAGGATATTGACAGGTAAAGTTTTTGGCCTTGCAATTGCGACAAACAGGCTTGCACTCGTCACCTGGTAAAACACGAGTTTCGTTAGTAGGCGTCGTTCTGGACATAAGCTGACGGTCACGCTGTCTCAATGAGTAGGAGTTTGAAACTGTCTGTACATTTTCTTCGGCGACGGCGGCAAGTCAAGCAGCCCGTGCGAGCTCGTGTCTTGATACGTGTTTGCTCCATGACAATGCGACATTCAAGATCCCCACAGAGATTGGCGACGATTATGAGCAAAGACAGAGAGCTGAAAGGAATCTCGTGTGCCTCGACGTGGTGAAGAAACCCAACTGAGTACCGAGGACTCCGTAGTTGATACCCTACAATTGTTGGAGAGGGAAATAGGGCGGGGTTCTGGACTACCGCGACTGCTTCGCTTGGCCGAAGGCTCCCTGGCGCTCCGGCTTAAGGTTAGAAGTCGCCTGTCACCTGTCCAACTCCCCGCAAGCAGAGAGGTCCCTGGAAGAACATCACGAAGTATAAATGCTGACGGTCCCTAAGGTCTCGCTCACCCTCATCCCACTCCAGCGCGAAGAATCTTGGCTGTCTTTCGCTACTCAGCTGGTTTGGCAACAATTGTCTGTATACATATCGATTTCAAACTTGTCTACGCAAGGCTGAAAGCGCGACCTCAGGCATTCTGAAGGCACTATACCCTATACGCAGACGGAAGCTCACAAGACTGTACTTCTCGGAGGCACCAAGCGCTGGAAAGACACCACTTCATCTGTCAATGACTATTGTGCCTATGGATGGTGCTCACTCTCAATAAGCGAAAGATCGCATGCCGTTAGCGAGTCATGGCCAACGTCGTGGTTAATCAGCTCCAGCTGCCAGCTGCTTCAGAAACGATCCAACATGGCTATCTGCACACAGATGATGGGCACTTCTCGTGGCCTTCAATGCACGCTAGCCCTGACGAGTTGTCCCCAGATACGCGATTCCGTGAGCTACAGCAAGAACTCCGCACGATGCTCTTTGCCGAAGCACCAAGTCTACTGAATACGAGAGCATGTTCACCTCTTTCGACCCAGAGCGACGCAGGCAGTGACCAAGTCGGAGAGTATCCACAAGAAGAGCCCGATTTTGGGCGTACGTCCATCTCAAAGTCGAGACTCATAAAGTACATGACACATTGGATCACGGACAGTGCGCCGTGCTTGGACAAATTCGACGAGGCCCAGCATTTCGCGGTGGAAATCCCCCTGCTAGCCCGACGCTCGCCGGCGTTGCTCTATGCGATCCTCGCATTTTCTGCTCGACACATGGAGAGGAAACTAGGCGCACAGAAGACTTATGACAGTCTTGAACTCTATCAAGAGTCGATTGCTCTACTAGCCGCCGGGCTGCAGGCGAGAGACGCGAATATGGTCGCCGTCGTTTGCATCCTAGCCTGCCTCGAGCTAATGTCAGATAGCTCTTGGGATTGGAGAAGACACGTCGAGGGCTGTGCCACTTTGCTCAGCCTCTTCAACGTCCATGGCTTCTGCGGTGGTCTCCTACAAGCCGTCTTCTGGTGTTATGCTCGTATGGATGTCTGCGGTGCGGTTCTTGCCCACGGCTCGGAGAGCACCGTTCTTCACATAGGCCAGTGGCTGGCGCCTACGAGACTGCTGATACACCCGCTGGCCCGGCGTGAAGAGATGGTACGGCAGATGTTCGGGCAACACAGCGTGAACAGCCCAGACATGTATGGAAACTGGGCTATTTACCTATGTGCGAAGGTCACCGACCTAAGTTACCGACGAACAAGCTTGCTGGAATCGGACCAAGCTGATCAATACGACACTCGACCCTTTGAAGTCCAGTGGCGTCGGCTCTGGACTGACCTGCAGCATTGGTACTCTCACAGGCCGCCGTCGATGCAGCCCGTCAAGGCGACCCCTGGCGACGGCGACGAACTCTTTCCAGACATTCTCTTCGTGCATCGCGCCGCCATCTCAAGCAACCAATCCTACCATACAGCTTGCATCCTGATGCTTGAGCTCCATAAACCAAGGACTGAGACGGCCCCGGGATCCTCGCAAGATTCGATCATTTGGCATGCACGGAGAGTGTGTGGGATCTCCCTGACCAACCCACACCGCGGAAACTTGATCAATGCGATTCAGCCGCTGTGCCTGGCTGGCAGGTATTTTACTCACCTGGACGAACATCTCGCAGTGGCGCGATTATTGAGACTGATCCACGAAAGTACAGGATGGGGCTCTCTGGGAAGGATCAAAGAGCTCGAGATCCTATGGGGATACGAGCCAGGAACGCTCTTGTCAATACTGCAGGCCTAGGAAGAACAACCACGGACGCCATGATTTGGGAGTCGACAGTACCGGAGAAGCTCGACAGAGCAGAGGGAGCGAATCGAGCCCCGAATCTGTGTCTCGCTCTCCCAGTTCTAGCCGCCTCAAGTAACATCTGATCCAAACGGAAACGCTAATCGGAATGCTTCGCCAGTGCCTTCCACCAGGTTTTCGTCTACAAAAGTCGCGATATGCAACAGTCTCCGTCATAGGTGAGACCCTGGAAGTAGCGACCAGAGTCGAGGGGTTGTATGCCGAGGTGAGGAACTATCCGACGGCGAGAGTGGCCGTGTAGACGAGGGAGGGAAAATAAAGTCGGATGTTCGTGGCTATGGTTGATGATGAGGATGATGGTGGAAGAAGAGGAGGAGGCAAGGGGATTCAGTAGAACGAAACATTGGGGAAACAACGAGGAGAGAGAGAATGGAAGTTGAATTCACCAATCCGGTGCGAATACGACGTTCTACGGTTCCTGTTCCCCATGCAAAGGTAGGCGAATAGAATAGTTCGATCCAGCGCGGGCTACAAGACACGCCTGGCCTAAGAGTACCGAGCACAGTAAGTAGGAGTGCCCTAATGGTATCAGCGACTCGTAAGTAAAGCTAGCTAGGTAGTTGAACGCTCGGCCCTTGACGCGATCACCGATAGCTAAACGACCACGAGGCATCGGCGCACATGGCGGGCCTTTGCGGCTGGGGGTCAAAAGGTCAAAAACCGAGTCGGTGGTTTCTTGCGCAACACTTGTGTCGACTGCGCTTGTTATTACCATCTCTGAAAATAGCCTTGAAGTGTGCCGGGCTCGTCAATACCAATCACCCAGGCTCTGCGTGCTACACTGTAGATTACTGCTAACTCAGCATGTTGGAGTGATGAATGATGATGATAGGCGCGCAACTTCGACGTGCTCATAGTGGGCGCAGGTTTTACCCCAGAACGCCTGGCGAGCCAGCCACTCCAGGTAATTATGCGATAATGATACGAGCGAAGCCTGGTGTGGTGAACCTCGTACGCCGTCGGAAAACGGATCTATCTTGCGCCTCGGGGCGTTGACCCGTTCCTGGTTGTCCTACCCACACAAAGTCTCGTATTATTTTCCATTCTTCGCCGGCTCGCTTAAGAAACTTGTAGCAACTGACCTCGTAGTTTTGCATGATTACCGTGCTGTTCGAGGAAGTAGGTATCCCGTTCTCGTAGGTACCATTATGCAGACTGTTGTTCATTGTCTACGTTCAGTCAGGGCTGGGCCGAGGGCAGAAAGGGGCCGCCTTATCTCATGAAAGACAGAAGTCGGATATATGGTGGAAGCGAGTCGCTCACTCGTTGCACAGACATGTACAGTCAGGTACGGGACACACACGATGCTTTTCGAACCACATCCGCGCATGTGCGGCGTGACACCCATGGGAACACTTGAGACACATCACGGTGAACCGAGACATGGCGGTATCCCACTTCCGTGCGGCCTCAGCCGTCCTCATTTCGTCGTCGTCAGGTTCTTGAGCCGGGGCTGAACCTGGCGGCGCAGCCACCATGATGTCGGGAATGGAGTCCACAACGCCTTTGCCGGCCGCTGTCTGGGGACTAGGAACGGCCGTCCTTGTCGAGGAATCACTTGTTGAAATCTTCGAGTTCACTGCAACCGAGTTTCTTGGTCGGGGCGAGCTGGTTGTGCCTTTCACGGTTGACCCGGCCGTGGAGTCGGGTCCAAGCGTAGTCTGCACACTTCCGGCAACGCTGGCACTGAGATCATGATTACCTTTGCCAGCATCATGCTTTGATGCTTGTTGCGACCCGTACCACGGCAGATACGATTCGTCAGGAATTCCGAGCCAGAGGTCGCAAACACCACAACGTGGCAAATGGCGTTCGCACTTGGGGCAGACGATCCCAATGGCCGCGGCCTTCTCCTTGGTCAGCGGGTGACGAGGAGTGTCCACAACCTTGTGGCCGGGAGCGTTTTCGCCATTCATCCCCGCCAAATGTGCGATGCTCTGTGCGCAAAATCTGCAGACGAGACGTACTTGCTGCCTTGCTGGAGGAATGAGCGGTCTCCCTGCTTCGTCTCTAGCGGCGTTTTGGCAGGCAATGTCAAAGCGAACTCTGTCAAACTTCAAATTCCAGCTGTTTATCATGTGCCTGTAAGCATCTTTCCAACCATTGAACTTGCGAAGCACTGCCTCGTCATCCAAGTATCGTGGAACAGTCGAGCAAAGTGCCAAGACCGCTGTCTGGAGGTCGCCAAAGCGCTGAACGTAGCCGTTCATCAGGTCAAAAGCAGCCTGCGTCGCCGTGCCAGTCAGAACAACACCCTCAATGTCTCCTGTGGTCAATGCTTCCTTGGTCGCTTGTGAGATGTACTTTGTCAATTTCGAGTCGTCATAGTGTCGCAGAGCAATGCAGACGCGGTATTTGAGGGGCAGGGATTCTTCGGCAACAACATTCGACCAATCCCCAGACTTGACATATGCCAGGATGGCTCGCGCATAGGGATCAGTCAACTCATCGGCAAGGGATGAAATAGTGTCGACCCAATCGTCCTGGGCATCCGACTCATCAGGGCTTATGGCCCCAGCATCTTCGTTTCGGGCTTTCTTGAATGCCCCTGCAATTGCCATGGCCAGCATTTTGTGGGACTGATTGGCGGTCTTGCTGCGGAGAGCCTTGTACGCCAATTTGCGATCCATCGCAAACAGAGCCAATGCTGCCGCCTTTGTGTGCTGATTTTTCGTCACTAGCCGTTTGACAATCAAGTCGAGTTCATCCGAGGACCACGCTAAGCCGGCTGAATAGAGGCAGAGCTGCCTGTTGGCAGGATATTCGGTCGTTATTTTGTTGATGCCCGGTATGTTCAAGCGTCGCACGAGATTCTCAATGGTTTTCCCAAGTTTATTAGGGCTCTGGCCGAGCTTTCGGTGCTCAGGATCAATGTCTTCCATCCAGAGTCCATAGACGCCTACGTAAGAGAGATCAAAATTGTCTTGTGCCATGTTGCCATTCTTGGCTATTTTCGCAGCACGTTCCACCCAAGCCCAGAATGATTGGAGCCAGTGGGAGTCCGAGACGATGGCTTTATTCTTGGAGGGGTTGAGAAGATAACCCGCTTCGCAGCGGAACCGCTGGAGCGAGGTCAATGTCACAAGGTCTGGCAATGGCACGTCCTTTTCGTAGTACCCTAGATCTGCGTGCCATGCCTGATCATCGAGGCTCGACATCCGTCTTGCATCAGAAATCGTCCTGTTTAGTCGCGATTGCCTGATGGTTTGCCTGAGAACGTTTCGGGGCTGAGCTCGGCGGCGAACTTGGTCGATCAGAATTCCTGGTTCAATCGTGGCAGTGGGTGTTTGTTCGACGAAGTGGCTGCCCTTGCACAGATATCCAGTCGAAGAGAGAGCTGACGGTCCTGGCGGAGGGCTTGGGGATGTGACCTTGACTTGGCCTCGTCCATCAAGTGCCAGCATCCTCGATTGCCTCATATTTGTCGTGGCTGTTGTGAAGTCGAAGGACACGACCCTCGATTTCTCGTCCCTTGGAGCGGAGGCGATGGCATATTGCTTCTCGATATCTTGAGCTCGATCGAGGAAGATTTCCTGTGGTGCGCTGGTCTCCCATGAGAGATCATGACCTCCGTCATTTTCAACCCTGTAGGTCTCCGAAGAAAAGTCTTTTCCCAGATTGTATACTTTTAGTTGCCCGGTACTGGAAAGAACGCCCAAGCATCCTCGCTCGGCCTTGGAAAATCTCACGCTCCAAATTGTCCCTGGACTTTCCACGACGCTCTTCAACTCCAAGGACAGCTCAGGTTGGCGGTTTTCATTATGAGAGCCCCCAGTGAAGCCCATCTGTGGGGTGTTGACACGGCTAATCATTCTCCGATCCCAAACACATATCGAAGGGTCGTTCGTAGGATAGCAAGAGGCAAAGTAGTTCTCGTCCAGCCAATCGATGGCCAGATTATGAACACACCTAGTAGCGAACTGAAGTCCGTTGCCAATAGATGGCTCTCGCAGATCGTACAGTCTGACGAATTGACCTTTGACCCCCGCAACTAAAAGTGTAGGGTCGTCCTGAAAGAACTTCAAACTGGTGATGGGCTCCCCACTTGCCAATTTATGGAGGGGATCCGAATAATTCTTGGAAAAACCCTTAGACCCTGGTGCAGGGAGCCGCTGGTTGAAATCCCATATGTTGAGACAAAAATCTGTCCTCACTTTGTCGAGGCCTGCGGCTAAGAGGTTTTGAGTGTTGAGAGCCACGGCGTTGCAAAGGCGCTGACTCCTGACTTGAAAGGATAAGGAGTCCTGTTGACCCTCAGCTATGTTCAAAAGAGTGGCTTCGCCCCCAGCCTGACCGACAACAACCAGATCCTCGTTGAGGGGATGCCAGTCGAAGGCGCGAAATGCTGGAACTTTGGTCGAAGTATGAATAGCCTCATATTTGAAAGTCCTTTTGGTCTGTTTGGTGATGTTGCACAGCCTGAATGATTTCCCGACGACATCAACGTATAAGAATCTTTGTGGGTTCCCTGGAAACGAGTTTTGGGAGAAGCGGATGGCGGCCTCCATCTCGTCGTTGACGTGGTAGGCTTCCGCCTCGAAAGCCTATTTCTGCATTGTATCCGCCTTAGGACGCAAGAGCCATGTTATAGATGGCGTCCTATCTTAATGCGAATTGCCTGCCAGAGCTGTATGATGATAGGGATGCCTCTACAAGGTGCAACGGATGAAGTCGAATCATCTGTCCGAAAAAGGTTTAGATTGATTGATGCTCCAGGCACACGATCGTCCAAGGCGGTGAAATACGGCAGAACTTTTCTGGAGGAAATTCACTTTCCACCACAAAGGCATGATTTTCCTGCTGGCATTTCAGCTGCTCTTCTTGACTCGACGTCTCTTCCTCAAGACTGTATCCATGCTATCTTTTGAAATTCTGAATGTCCATCATGACCAGCAAGCGTTCCCGCCGATCGACCGGCTCTAGTTACAGACCAAACTACAGAACAACCCGGACTGAACCTGATTCCTACCGCCCACGACAAGATCGAACTCGCAAGGCGAACCGTGTCAACCAAGACTCCGATCGCATCAAGCCCAGAGACACCTTCGACCGACGTGCTTCGCCGAAGCTGCCGCCTGTCCGGTCTGCAGTCTCGAAAACAAAGCGCGAGCGAACCACGAACCCTTCGACAAGGATACACTCTCTGCGCAGGTTGTTGGCTGCACCAAATTTGCCTGGCACCGTGCGGCAAGAGAAGGAGCGAGAACTAGCCGCTTTGCTCTTTGACCAGGAAAAAGCCCGACTTGAAATAGGCGCTAGGAAGAACCTACAACGCTATCACTTTGTCCGCTTCGTGGAGCGAAAGAAGGCAGAAAGATCACTAAAGCAATTGCTTAGACAAAGAGACGCCGAGCAATCCAATGAACCTGCTTCCGAAGGTGAGCTCGAGAAACTGATACACGTCGCCGAGGTGGACGTCAATTACACCAAGTACGCACCTTTAGGAGAGAAGTACATAAGCTTGTTTGTTCAAGAGGAGAAGGGCGAAAACGAAAATGACTCTATCGATGAAATTAGCAATATCGTCCGATCTGCAACAGGTGCTAAGCCGCCAATTTGGTATGAAGTTGAGAAGCTGATGGAAGAAGGAGAGGCCAAGCTGGAAGCACTACGCGAAGGCAAGCTGACCGGCGGCAACCGGCTCCAAAAGGAGCTCGCCTCGCTTGGTGGAAAGGAAGAGGCCGAAATGCGCAGTTCAACTGGGAATCAACTGGAAATCACGAGGCCTTCATGGCTCGACGACGATGGTGTCATCGATCCAGCGGACCTGGACAGTGACCAGGATGACGAGATGAGCGATGGTGGCTTTTTTGAACGTTGAAACTGTGACCGACACGCTCAGGATCCACGATTTTCCTTGACAGTACGATGTTACGATTCGAGATACCCATAGACCGGCATCGGTCGACGAATATAAACTACTTCGATACCACTTTCGACCATTGATGGTGGTCTTCTTGCAGATGTTATGACTGCGTCTGGGCTCTGGGTTGTCATCCCAGCACGCTTGTGCCATGTTCCACAACATCAAGGTCTATGCCAACGCATCATTGCTTGTATACCCGAGGTCGACAGACTCGATGCTGAGGTGATGGCGATGTTGCGGAACGACAAGAGTGCTGGTATTTGCACCAAAACTTATACGTATGTGGACTACTTATCGAGTGTCAGAGCAGTACCTCATTCCACTGTCACGTAGATATCTCTACGAGACTTTCTGTCGGAGATTATCACGTATTCACCTTCTGTCACTCCGCTCTAGGACTTGGTCCCGGCGATCTCGAGCCACTCAGTCACCAACGAGGCATACAACTCTCGCTTATGTCCTGCAGAGCCGTCATATCGTCAGGCGCCATTCGTCAACAAACGTCCTTTCAAGGCCTTCCATACTTCAGCTCCGTCTTTGGCAACCCCTCTAGCCGCCACAAGGTACATCGAAATTGGGGACCTATTTTCTTCGACTTGTGCCTGAGACGGATCACTCAGCGGTCAAGTTTCGACGAAGTTCATTCTACATGACCTTTGTCACGAACCCGACATGAATGACCATCTATCACTGCCATCTAAATCATCTCCTTTACACCATTGAGAACGCCTTAATATATACCCACGGCTGCTTCGCAACACATTTCTCCCTCTCACGACCAACAAGACTGGGGGAAGATGCCCGAGCCCAAGGATCGCCTATCCCCAATCAAAAAAGTCAAAGCCGCCCTCGTCCGATCCCCCATCAAATCACCCACCACGACCGACAGGCTCAATTTTGCCGCCTCTGGCGCCGAGAAGCTCAATTCTCGAATGATGGAAGACATATACTTCACCGACCCCAAATCGCGCGAGAGCCTGAGCACCAACCCGGGGGACACGGCCAAGCACCTGGCAGAACGCAAACGGTGCACGACGGACAACTGGAAGGCCGAGATTGAGCGGCGGATCGTCGCCGAGTCCAAGATGGTCGACCACGCGTACGGTGACCAGAACCCGTTCCGGAATCAGGCTTATGGGCATGGCGACGGGCAGAAATGAGAAAAGGCGCCGTAAGTAAAGAAGGGGGGAAGGAAGATGCGATTAACAAACAGCGCTGGAGATTTTTGACGTCCGGGCAATGCCATCTACCAAAGTAGACCTCACAAAAGTGACAATTGCGATATCATTTACAACAGAAGGGAAAGAGTATCGAAAGAATCAAAAGCATCGGAAAGGAACTCCCGCACCAACGGGTCTACAAACATACGCCGGTTGCTTTTGGGGTCTTTCTCATCGCTCACGACCAGAACTATTGGAGCAGTCAAGATTCTTCTTCGTCTTTTTTTTGAGAGAGAGGGTCAGCAAGCAACCAAGCAAGCCGGCGCAGCGGGGTGAGTGTGCCCAGCCTAGGCAAGAATTTCACCTCCAGAAATGAAAAACAAAAGCACGGCCAAAAGAAACGCTTTATGCATCGCTCGTTCTTCGGGATGGGGAATCTTGAACGCGCAGAAGGGAAGCAAAAGGATAGGCGCGGGTCGTCCATTCTCTGTTCTGTCTTGCGCAGACTTTGATCAGAGTCCATTAGACAGGTGGATAGATGGGATAGGTGGTCAACCCGTCTCAGTCAGTCTGAGGGTTCAGTCCCCTTGTCCCAGAGCCTGCCACGTGACCTGACCACGACGACACAGGTACAAGAGACTCGGTACTCGCGCGGCCCTACCAGTCGATCCAGTTCCGTCATAGAAGCAGCTTGATCTACAAGCTCCACTTGTGCTGAGAGGCAAGGAGCCGAATTGTCAATTTCGCCTCTTGTATCACGCAGGATCCTTACAAGCTCGCCGAGGCACTGCAGTATGTCTGGCACACGAGATTAGACTGGTCCCGTAGGACCTCGGAAAGTTCTTTAGCTAGTTATCCCAAGCCGCGTTGCTCAATTTGGAGCCTTTGGAGCAATCCCAGCACCGTAGCCTTCGAAAGGGTACTAGTAAACTCGTCCGCAAAGAGGAGGAATTGGGGTCCTCGCACTCGATTCTCCAATATTCCAGCCATTCTTCTCGTGCCAACACAATTGTCCTCTTGCACGCCGTGCAGCGACGTGCCGGCTTCTCTCTAAGCTGTCTAAGATGGCTCAACACGGTTTCGGCTGTGTTGGAGGGCATGTAGGCCGCAAAGTCCATGTCACCTAGTGGGTCATATCTCGAGAGCTGGCGAAGGACTAATTCGGTGAGTGTTGGGAGTTGAGGGTAGTCCCGCGGCCAATAATAGCTTTTCGGAGGGAGGCAGCTGTGCACCTTGCGCAATGCGAGATCCCCTGCCCATACCACAGTCGCCGATCCGTCATTCGTCGCTTCGTCGACCATCAGCCAAGGATTTGGGTTTGTCCGTAGCTCTCTCAGCTTGCGTTCAGTGACAAGGTCGAGGATCTCTGTGGGGAGCTCCGACAACTGATTTCCAGCAAGGTTCAGAGACTGGAGGTTGACCAGTTCCCCTATTGCACTCGGGATATATGTCAGATTGTTGTTGCGAAGAGACAAGACGCGGAGGTTTTGAAGGCTGAAGATCGGGCTTGGCACTCTTGTAAAAGAATTGTTGCCCAGGAAGAGTCGCAGTTGGGGTTCCAGATTAGTACCGATATGCAGCATGCCCGGAGTGAGCTCGTCTTGTTTGCTGAGTGTCTGAAGTGCTGTGATATCCTCGGGTAAACTCGATAGCGACATGGATCTATCTTTTGTCAGTACTCCGAATCCCCTTCGCTCTGTAAGACCTGGGCGACATACGTCAAGTCCACATCCTCTTTCCCATGGTCGAGACACTGCTTGACAATTTCGCAAACCAGCTCATGCTCCTTGGGAATCAGAACCGTAGCTGTGGGGACTAGTTTCCTTCTCGGCTTGATTTGATCGTTTCCCTCCGGCCAGGACGTGAATGGTCCCACTGGTTTATTATTGTCTTTCCTGTCCTCTCGCTGGTCCCTCAGGAACTCCTCCTCAAGCGTGATCGAATCACTCGAGAGAGGATCTTCGCTCTCACTGCCCATGAAGATCCCCGAGTCGAAATTCCTCCTGAATTGGCGCTTCTCCCTCAGACCCTTCCTGGACCCAGGCTCGGCCGGATGACGATCCCACCACGAGCCCCTAAAGGTACGTTTCTTCCTCTTGCCCGACGCATAGTTCTCGGCGCCCGGTGCCGTCTCGTCGCTGGAAAACAGAGCCGGGTCGCTCGACCCGGCGGGTTCGTCGTCGTGAGAATGAGTCCTTTTTCGTGTCAGAGGTGGAGCTAGTCGAGAGCGAGCTTGTGCTGCTGCTGATCGGGTGGACCGCAAGAGAGGAGGGAGTTCAGGCTCGTCCATTGTCGTTGTCGTTACTGGAGCTGGGGCTCGCAAGACCAAGCGTGGAGGGGTGGGAGAGGAACAGCCAAAGAAGCAATATTCTGAAGTAGAAAGGGGAACACAAGTCACGACGTCGAGGGAGGACGCAGAAGACAAAACAACAAAGAACCAAGAAACCTAGGTACCAGCTGGTAGGTGAGTTCGGCGTTAGTGGAAAAGACACGAGTTGCCCGCGTGGAGTTGTTGAAGGACCCAACAACGCGTCTTGTCGGACGCGAATCGGGAAGGACCTCGCGTGTTCTGGCTAGAGGCACCCAAGAGGGCACCACTGGACGGGGTTCACCAATGGGGAAACAGATCACTCAATCGAGCTAGTCGTTTATGTACTCCAATATTGCTGCAGTCTATCATTGGAGAACGATACAAGACCTCCTCATTTATTTTCGATTTTTTTCTTCAAGGATATATATTGTAAAAGCACATATTTTCTCGCAATCGACCACAGGATGTGGAAAACAGGGCTTCCCGTTCGCTCAGCCGTACTTAAGCCACATGCCGATTAGTCAGTACCACCGTGGGTGACCAGGTGGGAATCCTGATTGTTGATTGTTTTTTGCACAGAACAATAAGTTGACCTCTTTCGATGGATGGGTTCCTCTCCAAGCCTCTCTCTCTAAGACGGCTTTTCAGGGGAGACTAAAAAGAGAAGTATAACTGCCGCGAGTTAAGGAATTATGTCGCCTAAAGGGGAAAATGCCTCGGAATATCGAAGATATAGGGCCTTTCTTTTGCTTTTTACCTTCTGCTTCTTTCGAGATCCTTGAGATGAGCTTGCTGAGTTCCCCAGCGACATCGGCGACGTCAAGGCAGCAGCAATTGAGACAGTGTCATTGCATCAGCTAAAGCCTTTGAACAAGAAAAGTCGACACTCATCCTGTTGAACCCTATCCACCAAGCCTTTGGTCGGATCTTCTTGCGCGCTTCTGCGGAAGAAGGGAAACGACATGTCTAAAGCGCGACTGGCTGACTCATCGATGGTCGCCGTCGGTGGGAGGTCGACGTCGACGGAAGAAATCTTGGACCTTTTTGACGGCTCCGGACCTTCCGCTTTGACGCGTCGGCCCCTGTTCCTGATCATACCCTTCAATAAGCTTACTTTCATTCCTACCAATGCTAAGGACTGTCCGCCCCCGGTGCCCTTGTTGCAATGACGGTTGACCACTTGGTTGCACAACTTTGGGACCGCGAGATTCGATGGGCTCTTGCTCGTCGGGCACGGTCGAAGGGCCAGCAATGGACGATGGCGGAGGAAGTTGCTGGTCGCTAGCTGTCCTCGATGTAGAGGACGGACGAGGTCGGACCGAGTCTGAGGTGTCCTTTCTATCATCTGCTGCGGTATTCTGCTGGTCAAGGGCCGCGGGTGACTGATTGATGTCGTTGTCCTGTTTTTGTTCCCGTTGTCGCCGTCCATCCCTCGCTTTCTCGCGTCGTCGAGCCATCAATCCTTCATGACAATCCATGCAGAAGATGCCCTGCGACGTATTGGCGTACTTGAGGTTTTCAATCTTGCGTTTGCAGTTACGACACCTGAAGCATGCCGCACAGTACTGCTTGCCGTCTGCGGCGATAATGGCAAGGTCCTCGATTTTATTCCCACACACTGTACAGTGGTACGTGCAATTATCGCAGAGAAGACCTCCATCACTCACCAGCAGCAGATTGTGATCGGAGTCGAGAAGACTGCGGCAGTTGCTACATTTGAAGCAGTCAAGGTGCCACCTCCTACCCGCTGTATATTCGTCAGTGCCAGATTCGTGGGTCTCTTGCAACGACAAATCCTTACCAAGTTCGAATGCTTTTCCTTCGTTTAGGGCCTTGATATTCATACGTTAGCTGCCAAAGATCGAGGCGTGGTCCCCAGACGAGCACTTACTTCTCCACATTCCTGGCAATGAAAATCCTCGTCTGTCTCTCCTGGCGTCCCAAGAGCGGGAAGGCGAGGTTGGTTTGAATCTTGGCGTGGTATGTGTGCGTCTTGGATGCCCTGTTGTTGAGCCCCCGGAGGAGGTTCGATGTTGGAAAGCCGTTTTGGGGAGCTGACATATGCTTTAGCGTGCAGTAAATCCAATCCATCGCTCGACTTTCCCATGGTAGCAAGCATCGAGTCTTCCCCGGTAGCAAGCATCGAGTCTTCCCCGGTAATAAGCATCGAGTCTTCCCCGGTAATAAACATCGAGTCTTCCCCAGTAGCAAGCATCGAGTCTTCCCCATCGCGCCCGGTGTCAATATCTTCAGCTGAATCCCTTGCCAGGCGTGCTATATCATGGCTCGTCGGGCTAGCTTCGTCTGCGACTAGACGTAGATCTACAGCCAGAGATTGCCAAGATTCTTGATCTTCGGGCAAGGTGAGAGTTGAATGAGGTATGTTCAATAGTCGAGAGTTTTCCGATGGTTGATCCTCCGGTTCGGGCTCATTCAGATCTGATAGAAATTGCTCCACCTTCGCATTTGACCCTTGATCCGACGTTAACGCCTCCAGATCCCGCAATGCATTTTGAGACAAGCCAGTAGACTGTCCACTGTTCTTGTTTTCAGGTGATCTCATGCCCTCCTCCTTAGCTTGGGCTGAAGAGTTCAAGCTTTCGCCGCTTGTGATTTGGGAAGAGTCTGAATGATGTCCGTTTGCTCTCTCGGACCAGCTGGTTCCCGAGTCCGTATCAACGTCTGCGTCCGTCGAGCGTGGCAGAGAAAAGAGAGCAATTCGTATCAGATGGGCTGCTATATGCTGTTGTAGATCCTTGGCTTCGGGGATATCAGCCAAGCAGATTGGACATGGCCGATCGGCAACCTCGGGCGCAGACTCTCCAATTCGCAGAAGTTCTGTGGACTCCAGTTCTGTGCCGTTCGACTCATGCATATCTCTTATGTGGTGCTTATATGCAGCAACCGTCGGGAAGGTGGCTTCACGGTGTTCAAGACAGCGCCAGATTCGCCGGTGACACGAATCCTCATGGGCAACCCATTCCTGTCTTGTGTCGAAGAGACACGTCGCTTCCGAGCAGTCTCGATACGTACAGACGTACGGACGTAGATCTCGCAACAAGTGGGTCCTTTTTAGAACAAGTTAATTGATGCATTCCATCTCTCGCAGGGGCCAATTTACCTCCATGTCTTCCTTCCTAGATAGGCTCCGGAGCACAATGTTAAGCAATATGGGCACTCGAAATAGCGCTGACCCTTGAGCTTTGAAGGTGGCTCTGGTATTTCTGCGGCCTCTCTCCGAGTGGTAGAAATGCTGCGAATCGATTCTGCATAATCCGAGACAGTGGCAACAGATTTGGCGTCTTCGAGATCAATTTGGGCAGGGTCCAAAGTTGTGGCGGTGGTCGGCAGAGAAGGCACCACGGAATCAGCTACGTAAGCCGAGCGTGCGATTGTGGAAATACTTCGTGAAGCTTGTTGCTGTTGTTGCGGCTGTTGAACCCGCACTACTCGTGCGGTCGCTTCAAGCGCCTTGTCGAGCTTCATTCGGTGTCGGCTCCAGTATGCGAACTGTTTTCGTCGGATAGTGTTCGCTTGTGCAAGACGCTGGGCAAGGAATTCCAGCGGTTCTCCTCGAGCCAAGTCCAGATCCTGAGGCGAAATGCCCTGCTCCTTAGGGGGCCTCTGGCCATGGGCAGATCGATAGTCTCGGAAGACCTCACGCAAGTGCTCCCGGTCAAGCAAGGCATAGTCTTCTGTCAGATCAACGCCAGTCTCGCGATCCAGTATTGCAAAGTCGAGAACCTTCTTCGTCAGAGTTCTAGTCGCAGGGTTTCTGATGCGTGTGGCGACCTTGTATAGACAATTGATTGTCTCAGCGATGCTCTCAAGAATCAAGCTGAAATCTTGCTCGCCGAGGCTGCGGTTTTCCGAACCATAATCGGCCTCCAGCATGATCGCTTGAGCAGCTGCAACATCCTCGTACGGGTAGTTGTGAATTTGTCCCGTCTCAGCAGACGCGTCAACGCCGTCCATGCCACTCAGGTCGCCATAGAGCAAGAATTCCCTACCTGTTACTCAAGTCAGGAACAGGCTGCTCAAGATGGCGGAGGAAGTCTCACACTCGAGCAGTGACCCACACAAGTCATTTAAGAAGGCCGCAATGGCGTCACGTACAAGGTCAGCCTGTCGAAGACGGTAATCTAGGGAACTGTGACCAAGATGCGTAGCTCCAAGGTTGGACGCCCACAATTGTAGTCGCTCTTGTTGTTGCTCGATGCTGAGACCTTCCGGGATACCCTCAGCGTCGCTGTCCCCGGGCGCAATGATGGCCAGATCTGCAAATAACTGTAGGGCATTCGTAGAGAGTGTCGCCAAAGATACTGTGGTTGTCTCGGATTGTCCAGGGATTAAGTGCAGAGTGCGCAACATTCTGTAGGCGGTTGCGCAAGTTTTTGTCCGATTACTCCCACATCTTCCTCTTTACAAGTTGTCTTCATCAGGCTGAGGGGCGACGAGGCAGATACTTATTTATCGCTCGCTTCGGCTGGGCACCAATTGTAGGACAGGATAGCTCCTCCGCTATAAATAGGGCGCCACCAACAAAGTGAGGCTGGCCGCTTGACCTTCATTCTTCGTCCGTCGTTGTTTTCAGGCTGCAGGATCTCGTGCTGTTTGAGGTCAACCTTCACAGTGGGATAGTAATGTCGGGTCTCGAGATTGTTGGCACTGTCCTTGCAGTGATCCCACTGCTTCTCCCAGCGCTCGATCTGTACAAAAACGGCCTCAGCCGCGTTTCGGTCTTCCTCCGGCGGAGGAAACATGTGGAGAAGCTCATCCATGCTTTGCATCTCCAGAAAACGTTGTTAACCGAGAACGTGCGAACATTGGCCATTAGGGCTGGGGTCGATGTCGACGACATACCAGAAGATCCACGACAGTTGTTCGAGCTACTCCACGGCGATGACGACCTTAAGGGAAGAGTGGAGGCGTATCTGGGCACCGAGGCTAATGAGCTGTATATGTCTGCCGTGGTAGCTTGTGAAGAGGTTGTGCGCAATATCGTTGCCCACATCGAGGGTTTCTTGCCTGCAGGGCCACTGGTAATTCTTGCCACGACGCAGCATGGTATCTTCGCTCAGCTAATTTGCGCTGCAGACGCAGCCAGGGAGTCTGATTGTGTTCATCCAAGCCAACAGACATTCAGTAGGCAACGGGCTGGACCTGAGGGCACGGTTCAATCTGACTCTGGGCAAATCGGATGTTGATAAGAGCATCCAAGAGCTCGATAGGTCCATTCTCATCCTCGATCGGCTGTCTGCCGCAGTGGCGGCAAATCGAGACGCCACAGAAAGCTCCATTTCGCGCACAGCTACGAAGTTTGCAGCGGCGGTTGCCAAAACCAGGGACAATGCTGAGAGGCTGTACTCGGCCATTGCCAATGGATGGACCTGCAAATTCCACAAATCCCATGAAGTCAAGCTGAGGCTTGACCGAAGCCCACCGGCTCTTACCCGTGCCGCCTTGAAAACAAATCACTCGCCGACTAAGGAGCTGGTATTCGAGGTTGTTTTCCGGTGCGACCAGCCTCAGAACGACATAATTTGGCACGAGAGTAGAGTGGAAATGCTTGAAGACCCCCATGTCAATGGAGCAGGAGTCACCGCGGCACAGTCGGCAACAACAGTGAACTCGCGTCCAAAGGTGATAATTTCAGTTCCACCAAAGGCCAAGGTACTTCCGGCTACGTCGCAAAAGGTCGTATGCTTATGTACCTCGCTGCACGGCGCAGTTACCGCCAATAAGGCGTTGCATTTGTACATTGCTTCACAGACGAATATGCATTGCGACCAACGCGAATGCCCAGCACCCTCTTCCGCTGGAAAGTTCGACGTGCGTTCCCTGCGAGAGTTTCTCTCGATTCAAGGTGGTCATTATAGAAGGATTGCATTGCGGGATCGAATGCTTCTGGCGCTGACGCTGGCCATTTCTCTGCTGCAGCTACACGAAACCCCGTGGCTGTACGAGAGCTGGTCGAAAGAAACGATTCAGTTTATGAAGGCACCAGGTGCAAAGGGCAAAAGCGTGGCAACATTGGACATCGACTTCACCAGGCCGCTAATCTCCCGCGAGTTCTTTTCCCCGTCCCACGGTTCACCAAAACATCTGCAACCTAAGGAGGCACTCCTGGAGCTTGGGATCATGCTTCTTGAACTCTGGTACGAGAAGACAATCGAGGATCAATTCCCTGGGGACCCCCTACCAGCTGACTATTGGGGCAAACTTCGATTGGCATCCATATGGCTTGAAGACACGACAAACCCTTTGCTCCCCCAATACCGGCTTGCAGTGGCACAGTGCGTCAAATGCTTCTTCGGTGGTGGATTCAGCAGTCCTAGCTGGGATGACTTTGAATTTCGCAAGGCGCTGGTCAGGGACATGGTTGAGCCATTGCACGAAAACTGCAAGCCATGGTTATGAGGGCAGTTGCCTGCATGTATATACCTCTTCTCAACACACATGACATACCGCACTCTCTAGGGTACATGGTACAAGGATATTGGAGACAACTATTTCGCTCATGGGTGACAGTAGCCCAGCCATCCAGGAGTATTATACAAACTCGTTAGGAACACTATAAGCCGGTGAGGTTGGAATTGCAGGCCACGACGCGATGGAAGCCCGCTTACAACCCCCATCGGGCTGCGGGCTGTCCACATGCCTCCTATTCGACGATGCGCTGCTTCTCAACACCCGCGAGGACCAAATGGACTCTTCCTTGCTATTGCTCTTAGTATATATAGGGAGGAGTAACACTCCAGATTTTGTCAGAATAATTCATCCCAACGATCTTCTGGGAGTTTCGGATTCCACGTTGGAGCTGCTTAAGGGGCCGATTTAACACTCTATGATGAAGAAGATGTCTGAAGCATGACTGGTGGTCCAAGTCGCACAGGATACCTCGATAGATGGATATAAAGCGGATTTGTCGAAAAGGTGGCCCTGGCGCAAGAGGTGTAGAGGCAGGTCAGGTTGAGGGCTACAAGTGACAAGGTGGAAGATTTACGAGTTGCACGTGAGCTGCGGGCAGATGGGATTTCGTCTTTGCACCGGCAACGCAGGCAGCCAGATTTCGCCTCTTCTTCACATAGAACTGGCCACTCTGTCTCCTTGCGCTGCGCTTCTTTTTATCTACCGGGGCCGAATCGGTCCATATTCGATAGAAATGAGTTTGCCGCTCCTCGATCTCTGGTGTTGTACATCTCTTCATGGTTTGTCTTGGGCCATAACTTGAAGCCGGAACGCTGTCCCAAAATGACGGGCGTGGCAAGGATCAAGCTGCTTATCCTCTTAACCCTCCTCCTAGCAGGCACAGCTCTCTCGGCTCGCAAGACCAACCCCAAGAAAGTACCCAAGAATGCAGTCTTGCTTTCCAAGGTCTCTGCTATCACCGTCCGCGCCGGCAAACAAACCACCTTTCGCCGAGTCTCTCCGGTGCCTCAATTACAATGTGTGGGACCCTCGAGAATATGCAAGCTATACACGGTTGATGTCATGAGGTGCACCAATGAGGGCTCTGACTATGATGAGAACAACGTGCAGTGGAGCTGCAAAGCTTCCCTTCCGGATGAATTCAAGCTCGGAAGCACAGAAGTAACGTGCGAAGGCTACGAGAGCAGCGAAGATCCATATGTCCTCTCGGGAAGTTGCGGTGTCGAATACACTCTTCTGTTGACCGAGAAGGGCGAGGAAAAGTATGGTTCTGGCAGCTTCTTTGACTTTCGTGGTTCTCGCGGCAATGAGAACTCGGGAGAGAAATACGCAGGCTACCTGTTCATGGTATTGTTCGGACTGGTTCTATTTATCATCTTGCGTGGCCTTTACAATGCCTGGCGCAATGACACGCCACGAAGAAGACCACGAGGAGGCGGTGGGTTTGGTGGAGGTGGAGACGACAATGATCCTCCACCTCCCTACGATCCGCGGCCACCTCCACGACCGAAAAAGGCGACCTGGTCATCAGGTTCAGGTTCAGGTTCAGGTTCAAGATCAGGACATCCGAGTGCTGGAAACCAGGAACAAGGCTGGCGTCCTGGATTCTGGACCGGTACGGCTGCTGGAGCTGCTGCGGGATATTTCGCTGGGAGAGGTGCGCGCACACAGCCTGAGCCGCCACAGCCCCGGCCGGCGTTCGGTGGATGGTTCGGAGGCGGCGGAGGAGGAGGAGGCGGTGGCTACGAAGCGCCCACCAGACCCCGACCGTCTTCATCAAGGACTACAAGTTCGCCCAGCTCGAGCTATTCGAGCACGAGACATCAAAGCACTGGATTTGGAGGGACCAGCCGTCGGTAAGACACTTGGGGTGGGGGGAGACTTGACATACCCAGAGATTGAGCGTGAGCTTGGAGAGTCTTGCAATATAACAATAAAACAACCCGGATTCGCCATCTACTGGCTACTCGTTCTCTAAGCTGGGCTTCATCCCTCCCGACCTTTTTTATACGATTGCCCACGCGTCCCTAACGCGTCAACACGTGACTAATTGAAGACCATCTTCCTCCACCGCTTCAGACGTCCATATTTGCTTTGCTGATTCCAATCGTACTCCATCTTGGAACCTTGCACTTGGTCTGTGTGACGCTCGCACTAGCCTAGGGAGGGTATCATGAAAGATGTCTCGTTGTTGATGGATCTTGTTGAAAGAGAACAAAGGGCCGGCATCTCGCAGCCTTGTGCCTGCCTATTCCGCCCACTTCACCTGATCTTGGATATTGCACCAACATCCATCCCCATCAGGTGTTGTCGGAATACAGCTGGCTGTAGCAGCCATTGATCTGCCTTTGAAAGCGTTGCCTAGATTTGAATCTTGACAAAATCTAGAAGCCCGGACCGGCGCTCTTTACATCACTTTCTCTCCGACATACGAAACCGCCGCAGCTGTTCTCTCCATCAGCATCAACTATCGAAACCACTAGCTTTTGATATACCACACCTAAGCTATCCCTCCAAGCCGCAGGCAAAGAATTCACTTCAAGCTCTGATCCCTTTTGTTCTTGGATACTATTACTACGAAAGGGGACTGCGTAAAAAATCGCGGTCCAGAGTTATTTGTTGCTGGTCTGGCAGATCGTTTGTCATCGCTCGCCTCAGACATCATCCCCTGATTGATTGTACAACAACGGGAACCTACTTCCATCTTTGTTGAGGCGCGGCCACATACAGCGTACGGTGGTCGGAGGTGGTGGTCCCTCTACGCAGAGACATCTTTGTCATAACTCATCGTCCAATCTTTTAAGGAAGCAATTGGAGCTGACCTGACCTGACCTCACCTCCGGCTGCAAAGCTCCTCAACGTGATATCCAGACAGGGAAATCCTACCCACCTTTGCATGTCACCTGTCCTTGACTTCCAACTCACCTCATTCTCACCTCCCTGTCTACCCTTGCTGGCGGTAGTCCTATTCACTTCACTTATTTGGGTGGGGATTGTTGGAAACCCTTTACCAGCCTGCCCTGAAGGAGCTTGACCACTGCCAACATAGCCAGGTTCTTCAACTGACCACCTGCAAGTTGGGCTCATTGCATCTTGGATAAGGCGTTCCACACACGACACTCGCTGGATGAATTTGAGAACAATCTATCTCGCGACCACCTCCTCTACTCTACAACATCCGCTCTTCCTGTTCAGCAGAAAGGGCCAGACAGGGTCACCATGCCTCCACAAATCATCGACCTTGTCTCTGACGACGAGGATGTCGATCCGCCTCCCCATTCGACCTCAAAGCGAGCGAATCCAAATCCTAGATCAAGTCAGGCCAAAACCTCCGCTCACGGAACCAGACAAAATGTCACGACCACCAACCAAGGCAACCTAGGTGAGCCGATGGATCCAAACACACCGACCTGGACCTCGCACCATGGGAACAAGCACATCCTTGAGGGTGCCGATAGACCAGGAAGCTCCATCATTAGCAGCCACACCGAACGCGGCAGCCCCAATCCCATCGAGGAGCCCGCGTTACATCCTCCTACTATTGCTGCGAGAAGAGACAACAACAAAGGCAAACAGCGCGAGATTGAAATCCCAGAAATCGACCTGTCTCAGCTAGATTCCGACAGCGCTTACGACAACGATGATGGTACTGGCGGCAGCAGTGGTGACAAGGACCTCGGGGAACAAGGGGATGAGGTTCTTGGCTACGATAACGGCAACGGCGAGCTGAGCGAAGACGAGGCCTTCCGGCGCGCCATTGCACTGTCACTCCAAGAACAGATGCCTCGGCGCAAGTCCAACCAAGACGCTGGCGCGACTTCGTCGATTTCCCAAGGGAAAGCAAAAGCGCAGTTGAAACCACAACCACCGTCCAGACCTCTAACGCAGACTGCGGCTGCAAGACCTCCAGATGAAGCAATGCCAGACACACGGGAGGAGAGTCGAACCATTTCTCTCTCACAACCTCCCGCTCACCGTAATCCGGTCGTTCAACACCCGCACGCGGCTGCGACGACAAAGATGCCTTTACCATATCCGGGCTCGACGCCAACATCGCCGCTGCCGGGCCAAATAAGTCATCCCAGCACAACGCAAAACGACCCCAGTCACCCACAAGCTTCATCCGCCGATGGGCAGGTACCAAGCTCAGGCCCTGGCACCGGCGCCGGCAAGTTCAGCCTGGCGAACCTCAACCGACGACAGATGGAAGCAGAGCGCCTGGCGCGGCGGAAGCGGAAGTTGGAAGACGAAACATTGCGCGAAGCCGGATATTCAGAAGATGACGGGCGCAGTTCCAAAGTCGTCAAGCTCAGTCAGAGTGAGTCGGCGACGGCAACTGGGACACCTCGAACCGGGGAAGCTGGCAAGGGAAAGATGCGATCAAGCCAGCAGCATCCAACGGCCTCGGATCTACGTAGGGACAGCGGTAGTTCGAGACACCAGCTGCAATTGCCAGAAAGAAATAACAGGGCAGCAGCAGCAGCAGCAGCAGCAGCACAAACTGCCGGAAGCTCTCAGACCGGACAACGCGCAGCAGGTGCCAAATCAGCATCCCCAAATGTGAGGGCTGGAATTTCCGCCAGCAATAATGCCAATGGCAGGGACAGCAATAGCGATATTGTATCGCCTCCTTTGGACACTACAGCACCTAATCCCACACCTCCCGGGCCCCCTTGTATCCAGATTGATGATGATGATGGCGATGACAATGACGAACACAGCCACGACAACAAGGACAACAACACCTCTAGCACCACTTCATCCAATAGCAGCGCCGCAAACCTGTACCCCGACGGCATCGCCCTCAAGACATACGTCGCAGGCCACCCATCCGCAAACACCATCACATTCGACAAAGTGGTATCGCCCTCATCGCAGCTAGAGTCGTGCCTCCTGTCCTCCTTCATCTGGGACCTAGACTGGCTGCTGCCGCACTTTGAGACGCGGCGGACAAAGTTCCAGCTGGTCATGCAGGCCAAAGATGCGCTCGAGAGGCAGGCAGTCGAAAGGGATTTTCAGGGGGTGCCGAACGTGAGGCTGACTTTCCCGCCGATGGGGGGCAACGTCAGTTGCATGCATAGCAAGCTCATGCTGCTGTTTTACAAGCACGAGGAATCAGGCAGGACAGTGGCAGCATCGGCGATGGGCAAAAGGGGATCGTTAGGCAGTTTGCAGAAAGGCAGTCAGAGATGTCGCATTGTGATTCCTACAGCCAATCTGGTCGACTTTGACTGGGGCGTTGGCGGCTTCATGGAGAACACAGTGTGGCTTATTGACCTGCCCTCCAAATCAGCCTCTGACGCGGCGAACTCGTCATCGCTGCATGGTGCGACAACACCCGCAGCGCCACCTGCGGCAGGAGCAGGCTGCCAGACATTGTTCGAAAAGTCGCTCAAGGAGTTCCTCAGAGCTCAGACCGTGCCCGACGACGTGCTCCGCAAGCTGGACCTGTTCGACTTCCGCAAGACCGAACGCTACGGTTTTGTCCACTCCATTGGCGGTGTGCACGGCGGTGAAGCATGGCAAACCACTGGCTTCCCAGGGCTCGGTCGGACCATCACTGAACTTGGCTTGGCCAGTCGAGGATCCATCCAGATGGACTACGTGTCATCGTCAATAGGCAGCTTGGACGACGAGTTCTTGAGGTCCATCCACCTTGCTGCCTCGGGCGACAATGGCCTAACGGAATACACCAGACGAGTGGACAAAAGGGGCCTAATCAAGCAGGGCAGCTGGAAGAAAAACTTCCGCATTTATTTCCCCAGCGATAACACGGTCAGGACATCGAAAGGAGGCGCTCCCAACGCCGGCACAGTTTGCTTTTCCATCACATGGTGGAACAATCCAAAGTTTCCCCGCTCTAATATGTACGATTGTGTTAGTGTTCGCGAGGGCCTGCTCATGCACAACAAGGTATGTGCATGTCGTTGCAAGACTTTCGAAAAACAGGCGGCCAGTCGTCTTGAATGCTGCCGCGTCTGTCAGAGGCTAACCTTTTCCGTTCCCTTATAGCTGCTGTTCGTCCGGTATACTTCACCAGTCGAAAAGTCTGGGTCAGGAAATATTGGGTGGGTATATGTGGGTAGTGCGAATCTTTCTGAAAGCGCTTGGTAAGTAGAGCGGGTGGCGGTCGCCCTCTCCGTTCTTTCCGATCTCCTTGTCATCTGGGAATGGTTAGTTACAGAGTACGAGGGGTACCAGGGATGGCATCTTGTGGAGATCGCCGATCCATGACTTCAAGCTGACATGCACCTTTGACAGGGGTCGACTTGTTCAAGACAGAACCACCAAGAAGCCTAGACTCAACAACAGAAACTGGGAATGCGGAGTCATTATTCCAATCCCTACAATAGGAGGCACTTCCAGCTTCACCGTCATGGATAGAGACAGTGCGGGGCTTTCGTCAATCAACCACATTGTCCCAGTTCCGATGAGACTTCCCAGCGAGAGTCTTGAGAACAAGAGGCCGTGGACGTTCTCGGATTGACGTGTTTTCCTGATGCAGAGTGCCGAAAAAGGATGTCAATAGCAAATGCCCAGAGCTTGTTTCGGCGGACAATGATTGCTCAAGAGTATGGATCGGATATTGAGCCTTGGACGCTGGATTGAGTTACTGTTGAATCACCAAAGTTTCAGAGCCGAACCTTGTGAGGGAAAGCTGGATGTCGGATATGTGCTCTCCGGGCCACTGCTCGGGTTCGTATGCTGTTTTGCGCAGGTTCCCAACAAGGTCTTAAGGCCGTGTTCAGCGGTTCCGAGATTTGTCCCGAGGGTCTCCACCCCGGTGCTGGAGGGGAGGGAGGGCAAGAAAGCAGGTCAGATGAGGACGCGACATGGGCTTCCAGGGTCCTGCGACAGAGCAGAAGGGAGGGGGGCAGAGGAGGTTGGTAAGAGATATTGGCTTGGCAGTTGCTAGTCAGAAGTTGAGCGACGATTTTGTGGACCGTCACTCGCTCCCTGTAGTTGGAACTGTGCCCGATTCCAAATCTAAATCCCATCCATTTTAGTTGACCCAGAGCTGCTTTTATGGTCGGTGCTCCTGCCACATGATATCTGGGTTGTGAGGACGGGTTGGCCGTACCCCAAACCCCAGTAAAGACAGAATACCTCGTACAGAGATACAGTTAGGGGGCCGAGATGCGCCAGTAACTTTGTTGATGCTTCGAAGAGTTCGCATGTGCACTTTTGTCCAAGGTTTTCGGCACCACTTGACCTTGCCAACTCAAGTAGTGGCAAGGGCTGTCCTCAATGGATTGCTGCAGTTAGGAGCAAGTAAGCTGGAGCCGATCAAAGAGAGGTTGTCCGGCTGCAGCGGGCCGGTAGTCCTTGGGGGCCACAGAGTTTTCTTTGTCACAAAGCTCTTTGTGTTCAGAGTTTCCTTATTGCGCCGTCCGAGGCTCAAAAGCGGACTGAGTCAATTCTCCACAGGCGCGATATGGGTCAGAAATCCTCAGTATGGCGTCTCATGGATTGAGATGAGGGAAGTCGCTACGACGGATCGCTGTATTGTGACAGGTCCAATGGAAGGAGTTGATGGAGGGGATCGACTCAGTTGGCGTCGAGGCTGCTACGAGTATTCCTTGCATAGACGGACCGGGGTGCCTGGGAAAGGGAAGTGACTGGTCAGTAGGAGCGCATCCGCACAAGCCCGGAACTCACATGCATTGCCTTTGCTGCGGGGTGCTCGAAGCTGCAGGGGTTGAAGGTTGCAGAGAAGTGCAAGGGGAGACGCTTTCCCCTCTCAACTCACTCGAACAGCGCTCTCTTATTTGCCAATACAGGACGACCGGCAAGGGGTCTAAGGACCGCTAGGATGACGCTGTCTTCCACACATCGGTGCATGGTTCGCTGCGCTGGACTCGTGGTTGAGCAGTTCTCGATCGAAGCGCTATTCTCGCAGAAATGACCCCCACCAGAGAAGTAGTCGAGTAAATGAGCGGTCAGATGAAGACAAAGAATCAAGGTTGCTAAGGATGAATGAGTGCAACCATCCGAAGTGGCTAGCACATGAATACCTAATGGTTTCATAGTGCCCGCAAGAGGGGGTCTAGCTTGGCTCGAGCAGACATATTGGGAGCGGAAGCGGCAGCTCTGAGGCTCCTGAATGCAGAAGAGCGGGTGGTTCTAGATGGCAAATCGCGAATGATCAGATAACGAATGACGAGAATAACAAGACAGCTCGTGTTTCTTCTATTTGGTGTCCGTCTTCTGATTTCTTGGCCATTGCGTGGTGAAGTGAGCGCCTTCCCAGTTTCGACTAATTGCGACTAATGATACCGTCACCCTCCGGTCTGTCCGTCGTCAACACCTGCCAGTCCTTCACACAACTTGAACAGACGATAATTAACATTGCCCGGTATGTCCCTTATTTACCCTTTCAGCCGCCGCGCTTGAATGCTGGGGGCGGGCAGAGACGGCGAGGAGGCAAGACTCCAGCAAACAAGTGGATTGCGGCACATCCGCTGAGTCCGTGCATGGGCCCTTGTTGCCTTTGCGAGCCCGTGTGCCCTTTTTCCACGGGGACATGGATGCTGCTGGCGTGGGGTCACCTTCCAGCTGAGGCGAAGAGGCGCTGCTGGTGTGACATCCTGTGCTTCCCCGATCACTTTTGGTTTTCGCTTCTGGGGGAATGGCAATTATCATTTGGTACCATGTCCTTGGTACCCAACGAGATCCATGATACCCATTATTCTATTGTCACCCACACTGCAGCATCGATGGTGCAACCTCGTGTTTCGCTTCCAGGGCCCCCAAGGCAGAAGAAAGTCGGATCTCACCACGAAAGCTTGCGTAATGGTCTGGGATGACGGTGACCACATGCATGTGGAGCGGATCGCGAAAGAATCACTCTCACTACCAAGGTATTGTTGGGGAGACCAGGTCGAGATATTTCATATTTGGGCGGCAGATGCCTACTCAGGATAAGATCTTCTCCAACCGTTACCAAAGCGGTTACTTGTCAGAACTGCAAGTGTTCCTGGCAGCTCTCGGTGACCAGCTAGCCAGCCCTGCAAGTTTAAAGATTGGGCAGGATTGAACTTTCGACGAACCTGGGGAAAGCTACTAGTTTTTTCGGTCAGCCACCAAAACTATTGCTCCTTTGAGTATTTGGCTCGTCTACGGTTTCCTGATCTCAGATCATGGCTGCTTCTTGATTGCGACAGCAGTGATACACGGGCTCCACTCTTGCAGCATCCTCAGTATGGCGCTGCTCCTTTTGGTTTCCCTTTTCAGACCGGACCCGAGCGTCGTGTGTCGGTATCTAAGGTGCGAACCTCGTGGTGCGGGAAGGTATAGCCTTGGTGTCTTGGAAGGTGAGGGTTTCAGTGGTGGGCCCAGCACCGGAAGCGAGTCGCAGATTGTCGTCTGGATTGAGTCAAGCCGAAAAGATTTGGTTGGATTATACAGACAAGGGAGTCGGGTACCGGGGTTCTGGCCCAGGCTGACGGCACACTAGGCTCTGATACATGGGTAGAGGCCCTAAAGGGGTGGGGTCCCAGTGCGACGCCAGCCCATGTCGCACAGCCAGATTGTTTTGCGAGTGGCGACTTGAAGCCGGCGTGAGCCAGTGAGCCATCGAGAAGCTCCGGCGCCTGGTCTTCTGAAACCTCTTTTGGTCATTTCCTGTGCCGCAAACACTCGACTGGCTATGCCTGCTAGTAGCACCCACCTACCTAGGTAGAATGACGGTAGGTAGTTTGACCAGGCAGAGGATCCACTGCTCCCAGTTGCGTCGGAGCTTGGAGGCTTAGAGCACCGTCCCGAGTCACTTGCAGTCGACTCATAGTCGCAATCAGTGCTTTGGACAGTATCGCATGTGCTATACGGCTCTTTTCCCAGATTCTTGTTACGTGGTTCCTTCTTCCCAGTATCAGGGGCTTGTCGGAATCCTTCTCCTCTAGTATGCAGGTCTGGGCCTGCAGGCAAGTCACCAAGCAACCCGCGAGAACCAATCAGCGCAATACATCCCGAGAAAACCCTGTAAAGCTGGGACAAGGGTCGACAGAGGTGGCACATGTCCACTGTGAGTCCTTCCGAAGGGTCCCCGGATCGGGCTACCCCCTCGCTAGTGGACGATATGCGCGCTTCCTGCGCTTGAGGCTTGAGAGTCAAATGCACCTGGGGAAAAGGGCACTATGGTATTCTCAAAACACTGTCCGTGAAACTTCCTTGCCTCCCCCTCCCCCGGAGTCATCTGGAGACAATTTGTGTGAGAGCAACAACATTCAGCCGCTCTGTTTGAGGAATTGGTCGCGTGCCCTCACCGAGCAAGGTTTTGCCTCCCCCTAGACCTTGGCCATTGAGCCAGATATTTCACAGCTGATGTGTGTAAAGTGTACCTCGTACCTACCCCAGACGATTGTCGACATGTGGGAATCTCGGTCATCCCCTGACCTTCGAGGTATGTCTTGCGCAAGACCGCGCTCCACACCAGCTCGCCACATTATCAACACGGACAAGATGGTGGGTTGGCCATAGGCTCATAGCCAACTAGTTGTCCCAGGACTCTGGATCCAACACCTTCCCCTTCCCCCTCCTCCTTGTTGACATCCGGAAAGAAATGTCCCGCATTTCATGAACTCATGAATTTCCCTCGCTTACAAGAAGCCGGCACGAACCCCGGTGCCGATCGTGTCTTTGGCGGTTTCCGTAGGCGAAGACCGGACAATCGCAGGTAAGAGCCAGATGTTTGAAATCAAGAGGCCGGGCCTCTGTGGGTGTCTGGCCCTTTTGGGGAGAAGGGACTGTTACTGCTGTCTGCTTCTGACATTAGATCAACGCTTTACAAAGGGCGAGGATTGGGGGATTGGCAAACAATGACACCTATACAGACAAGGGGGAACATTAGCTGTCCCTCGTATCCTCTTCTGTATCCTCAATGTGTCCACTTGGACAAAGAAACCCAGAAGGCGGAAAGCTTCCCCCACTCGCTACGCAGGCTGAGTGAGGCGTGCCCAAGTAGTAAGTGGGTTTGTGGCTTTCAGATTCATTAGCGCATCTCTCTCGGATACGCAGTCTCGAATCATGATTTCAGCCCGTCGGATCAGGTCCGTGGGCGGCGGCGACTTTTCTTTCTTGCCCTCTTCCCTCTTCCCTTGCAGGTAGTGAACAGTGAGCTCGCTAGGATCCCACAGGCGGTTTTGCTGTTCGGTCGGGACTCAACTAACTCTTGTCCTATTGATTCAAGTTGAAGTAGCAGACCTGTAATTCCCCTCCAGTAAAATCACCGCGGGGTTTCATGCTGCCCGTCCCTGCAAGGCAGGAAGTTGTAACCCGTAGTTAGGCCCCCTCTTCATTCTCTTCAAGTCTTCCTCCTCATGCCCTACTGCTCTGCTGCCCTGCGGCCCTACTGCTCTGCTGCCATGCGACTAGTAGTAATTCTGCTCGTCTTCGCTTTCCTGCCTTGCCTGGTTCTCTCTTCCACCTTCCTTCCCCATCCCATTACCCAGTCATACCCACTCTTGCCCAATTGTGAGCCCATAGGGCGCGGCAGCCTTAACCCAATACCCACCCCAGCCATAATCAGCTACTGAGATCTCAGCTTTCGTTCGATCTATTGCTTCCGTTGCACGGACGAACCCCCAAGTTCGCCTTCTCTTTCGTCTTTCCACACGAGGCACCCAGAGGAGCCCCTCTCTTCCTGCCCCCCTGCCACTTAGTACTGCATGCCGTGCCGTCCTATGATCCCGTGCACCTTGCAACGATAAGTCGGGGCGCGAGGCACACCCTCTTAGGGAGCCAGCACTACCGAAGATACTGCACCTACATAAACACAGGACTATATCTGCTGGGCTTCTGCTCGTCATACATATCTCCATCCCACAAAGTTTTGCATGCTTTCTTAGCTACAGCATCCCTCCCCTCCTTGTCATCCACTCAGCCTTCGACTACCCAAACAACAAATCCGACATCCGGAACTCAATCTGTTGCCCCTTGTCGCTTCCTGATTTCGCCCCGGATCACCACCGCTCAAGAAATAGGAAGACCCGGAGTCGAGAATACCACATTTGGTCCTGCATCCTCGGTGAAGCCAACCTTGACCAAGAGAGCACACTGTCAAGTCATTGTGCGATACCTGCCAGTGTGATACCTATCCTGCCTGTGAAAGGACGTCCTGGGCTGCCTCGCCCCTCTGCTTTCCTCCAAGCCCGGTTTCTGGTCCTGCGCGCCAGAGCGAGCGTTCACCTCTGAAAGCAATTGCAACTCCGGGTACCAACTTTCACTCACTCCTTGCCCGCCCAGGGGCAACTCCCCAAAAGTAAATGCTCATTTACCTTCACGGCGACTCTACAGCGATTTCCTACCCGCGACCCCTATCTGTCTATCACCCTGACGATCCCGGCGCATCTCTCGTCGACGCGGGGACCTCTACTTAAGCTGATAACCTTCTCGGATCTCCTCAGAAACTGCATTCTCTGTCGTCAGCGACTACAAGTCACTTCTTGCGAAAAAGGAAAATCTCCATCTCAACCTCGTGGTCTCCTTTTCTCCGGCTCTTGCTTTCAATCCTCTCAGGACCTTTCGCAGACCTCCCAAAAGTGACTCAGAAGACAAAAGCTCAACAGGCTCAACAGGTCCAGGTTTGTCATCTGCTGGATCATTAACTTTGGGGACATTTGGGTTGGCGGCTGTCAAAGGTGGCGGAGCCTCATTAGCATTCAACGCGGACTGGCGTGAAGTTAGACTAAAGGCTTCACCCCCCGAAGGTTCGAGCTTCATCAAGACTCAAGAACCATAGATCCCCCACAAACCCACCAGCATTATCACGGAACTCTTTCTCAGAGACATACCATCGAATTTTGAAATCGCCATTATTAGTCACTCTTCCATCACCAGCCTTGGGTCAAACTCAGTGCAGACACGGATCTTGCTGGCTACTGGCTACCCATAATCAACTGTACGCTGGCAAAGACCAACTCTTTCGGTTCGACCGGACAGGCAGCATCCTTGCTTTGGGCCTTTCATCGTTGCAGAACGCATCTGATTCATTTCGACCTTCTCTAACTTCCCTCCCAGCATCTGCGCAGTTATCTACAACGCGACCTGGACAGAGAACCTCGCAGTTCTTGCACGCTTCCTATCATCAACCGTTCTGAGCTGGTGCACAAACTGCTCTCCTGCATTATTGCCTTCCACTTCTGCCCGGCAAAGTGAGAGGACACGCACAGAGCAAGAAGCTCCGCGCGAAGACCTCTTCCTAGAAGGGTGGTAGTGCTCGAAACAACTTTCTCCTCAGAGGCTTTCTCAACCCAACTCAGGACTCCAGAATTTTGCCTCTCTTGGACGGTGTTCGTGGACGACGCATGTCAGTGCTCCTCATTGACAGTCTCTTTAAGATTAAAGTCTCGAGAGCCGGAAACTCTGCCTCATAACGCTCTCGCCCGCGCAGGGACTTGCCCACCATAGCGCCGATACGCCACCACAAACGTTCCGCCATGTCTTCTGGCGGAGCAGCGCTACAGCCAACCTTCCAAGGCCATGTAGCCACCACCCAAGACGCCCTCATTCTTTTCGAGGCTTGCCTGCAAGGGCACCTCTCGCATGTACCCAGACGACCCCACGACCGAGAACGAAGCAACCTGATTAGAAGTGGGTGTGTCTTTATCTATGAAGAAAATGCATCCGGAATCAAGAGGTGGACGGACGGGGTTACTTGGAGCCCCAGCAGAATCCTCGGGAATTTCCTGGTTTACAGAGAACTCGATAAACCATTTCCACCGGGGGAGAAGAAGAGAGCCATGAAGAAGCAACAGAGACGTCCAAGCCGACCGGGCGAGCCGTATGCCAGATCGGAGGGGGGCTCATTCTCGGATGGACAATCTGGCAGTTACAACTCTGATCGCAGTGCCTCTACTGACGTGGAGAGGCAGCTGATCGGCTCGCTGGTAGACTCCTACGGGTTCAAGCAGGATGGATTGGTCAAAAAGACGATGAGCGTCACGGTCCAAGGCGTCACACATCACTTGGTCTCTTACTACCATGTGAATGACGTCCTTACCAATCAGTTGCGAACACCTTCTCAAACGGAGAACCTGCAATACATCCGTCCGCGGTCTGAACTCACTTCGAGACAGAGCTTCCGAGCACCCATCGAGGACGTTGACGAGGTGGACGGGGCCCATAACTCCTACGCATACCGCGTGAATGCAGGCGGCTATCCCCAGCCCTACTACATGCCCCCAGGGTATCCTCCAATGGCTCAACAGCCCAATCCACCCCAGTATTCCATGGCTGTTCCTTCCATGTCCACGGGCTACCTACAATCCCCGGTGACAGCATCACACATGCAAGGACAACGAACTGACTACGGCCAGTACGACCAATCGGGGTACAATCGAAGCTATGAGTCCTTGAACAGCTCCATTCCTCCACCATCCAAATCAATCCCGGCCACGCCGACCACCATGGCTCCAATAATGTCGGACCGTTCTCAGGCGCAAACGGCCATGTACCCGCCCATGAATATGCAGCGGCCAGTCAACACTTTGAGCCCCGTGTCGATGGATTCCCGAGCGGCTGTGCCATATCGACCGAGCCCATATGGGGTGACTCATGGAAATGGTACTCAGATAGACCAGAGCCGGCAGAGTCAGCCCTCTCCTACACACGTGAAGTACGAGGATCGCAGGGAATCGGCACCGCAGCCAGCACCAATGTACCAAAGTCCACGGACGCCGTACTATCCCGACACGGCCAGTCAGGCTATTCCTCAGCCACAGTATTCTCAATGGGCACAACAAGCTCATAATCCATAGGGTGGATCAGGAGCACGGCATCTTGCTGTGGGCAACATCTCTGCTCTTCGTCCCACCTCGAAGACACCACAGCCTCCGCCAGTTGCTCGCTTCGAAGATCCCGATGCGTCAGACCGCCAACGAGCACAAAGCATGCCCCCAATGCGAGCACCAAGTATTCTCATAACGGAATCACCAAGTGGGCTCACAACGCAAGTGTGGCCATGCGAAGTGTGGCAGTAGGAGTTATAGTCAATGGCCATGGTCGTTTTTCAAAAATGTGCTTCTCGTGTCAACATCCAAGTGTTTGTTCATGGCAAGTATTGCAATTGTCCAGCTCTTTGCGAAAGTATGTGTGGATCCCGTGGGAGAGTTGAACCTGGTTTCGCGAGAGGGAAGAGGACGGAGACAGGGGCTCAATATCCGCCACATTGGGGAGGCGTCACAGATCGTGCTTGCTCCTGGGTCGGAATATTTGATGTTGCAGAGAGCAGGAGGGATGGATGCAGAAAAAATACGGTGGTGGACGTTGTGGTGTACAGAATTTTCTATTGGGAACAAAGAGGAACGGGTCCTGGTCTGGGGGGGTAATGACTGAAACGACCGCTGGGGGCTTTATTGAATTTGACGAGGAAAAAAAGTTCGAGGGAGGCTTATGTGTCTTTGTAATTGTGTTTCTGCTCTTGTACATGTCGTTGGGTGTGGGGGGCAAGTGCTTCTATCGTTACAAAAACGTTGTCCAATCGGGACTGCGAGAACCAGTCAGAAGGAAGAATGAAATACATCTTATTGAGACTTTTGAATTGGATCCATCAACGATGTGAAGCCAATTTGCAGCTCGCCGGAATTGACAGATGGTGTGGAACGCCGGCAGTGGCAGTGGCAGTGGTAGTGGCAGCGGGCAAGAGCATGCCACGGCTTGTTTGTTGAGCTTGACATCTCCCTAAAAACCAGCACCAAGCTCAGGCTTTGCTTTCGTGTCGACACCAAGGTGGGCTCGGACTGACAGAACTCTTTTCTACAATGACTTTCTAGTACCTAGTAATTAAGGTCTATTACGCCTGAAGATAGATTCGATGTGCGCCTCAACATTCCAGGAGGAGTACCTCGTATGTGTCGAGGTCTTCCGCCTCATACTAAATCACCTCAAATTCAGCAACTGAGCGTCTGCCGGGTTTCTGTTGTCCAGCCCATTGGAATTTCACTGTGCTGCTGAACGGATGCTGATCAACCAGTGTTACAAGTTGCCATTGCATCAAAAGAAAGCACAACGCCGAGTGTCCGAGACGATCGGCAAAAGCTCAGCTGTCGTCTCACGCCAACTCGCCACTCGAAACATCCACCCTCAGCTTGGTTCAGACCAAGCGAGATCTCGTCTATGAGTCCAACATGACCTGGACATAGTTACTCGGACTAAGCGGGTCCTTCTCAACCAAAGCTGTCCTAGACAATGATTACCACATGCCCCTCCCGATACCAGCAGAAGAGCCCATCATCCAGCTCGATTGTGCCTAGGCCCCGCCATCTGCACTCTCGAAGGAACTTATGGAGACAGGAAGAGGATGATGTTCACGACCAAGGATCCAAACTTGCAAGCGGTGAGTCCGACATCAGGAGGTTGCCACGCGAACCATAGCGTCGAAGCAATACTTTCAAGGGCTCGTCGTTGCTACTGGTTTACTGTACAACAACCCCAGTCATGCTACTGGTGCTGGGGATAACGAGCTCAAAGTCTAAGTCATGTCATTGATAATGGCAGCAATATGGGGGCACTCTGAGCCCATTAATCACAGCCTCTGGGCACCACTTCGCTCTCCGGCAGATGTCTTTCTTTCGGCTTTTCCACCTGCCTTTGAAGCTCGTCGCATTATTGGCAAAGGGCAAGTCTCCGCCTTCGACATATAATCTGCAAGGTTGCCACTGTCTCGTGTGACGTGCACTAGAGGCACCGAAGTCTGCCACTGCCACGACTTTGAATGGCCGGCGGGATCGCGAGTTTGGGTCTGAAATAATATCTTTTCCTCGAAGAGCCGGAGTTCAGTGCGCACCTTCGATCTTCCAAGCATAGCAACCTCAGTGGCTGCATTGGAGCCAGATGGGCACCAGTTGCTACATTCTGGTTAGTCAATGTCCCCCGAGTTTCAACGTGTCAACAGAATATAAAGACTCGCCACGCCTACGCTTGCCGTATCTGCCATCGGCATCCACAATATCTGAGAGCAATTCAAGGTGAAGCTTATCTTCTCAGAAATAACCTTGTCAGCGACTGGTCTAGGCCTGGATCCATCTGGCTTGGTACATTAGGGAAATAAAGGCCGTTGATCTAAATCAAAGCCGCCAGCGACTCTGAGCCATGTTGAATGTGGTCTGCTGTTTTGTTCGTCCCCTTCTGCCTCTCTTTTCCACTGCAAGATCTACTCTCTGCCATCCAGGTAGGTAAGAGGACGAGGACACCGGAACTAGTCACTACTCGTAAGGATACCTATGGATCCCGCTTCGACTAGCTCCCAAGCCAAACTGGAAAAGCTAAGCACTATGTTCGAAACAAATGCTGCAATAATATGCAACCATTACTCGGTATTTGGACCGCACGCAAGGATGGGCCTACAAGGACAGTACCTAGGTAGGCAGACCATGTCCACATGAGTTGTCAGCTTCTGGGTGCCAGTGGGTGGCAGACCCCCGGAGCTTTTTGCATGCTTGATCGTATCTACTCTCTCTGGGTCTCACTTTCTACCTAGCCCCAGGTCGGGCAAACCTTGAAACCCCCTTTTTCTTTCTTTCCACCCTTTCTTTCGAATGTCTGCAACGGGTCTCTTTAACATCCTCCACAAGCAAAAGACCACGGCTTGCAGAACAGCCTACACGGTCTCAGAAAGACAGCCATTGCGTGTAAATGTATGGCGCCGGTGTTATCTTCTTCCTGAGACGCACCGCTCCTCATGGTACACCTGTTGAATCATCCAGAGCGGATTGTTTGACGCGCAGAAGTGGCTCTTTTGATCCGGAGGCACTGGAGTCGAGAGATCATCAGTGCTAGGGCGACTTTGGCATTGCGTTTCCTCCATTCTCCAAGTGCCGGGGACACTATTCCGCGCTTTTCTACGTTTTGCTTCTGGTATGTTGTGTTCTGGGCTGATGCGTTCTCCGAATTTCTGACCAGGGATCTAAATCACCAGATCCCAAGAATTAATCGCCAGGTACTATCATGTGAATGCCAGTTATTGGCGGTCTGCAACACCGGATTTCCTTGAAGAACATGGAACAGAATAAGCATATGATCTCACAAGAACAGCTGCGGCGTGAAAGCAGAACAGCTAAGCGCGTTCCTCTCGATACCTTGCCTGTCAGTACAGTGCAGAGATCAATCCACTCCGACCACGAATATTCCCTGCGATTCATCGATCTCTTTTGTGAGCCGAACACTTCGGTCGAGGGTTTGACCAGAAAAAGAACACCATAAACGCCCTCGATATACAGACCGTATCCGCAAGGAGCGAACTGGGAGGAGCAAGAAGACAGCCACGAATTACGTCTCCGGTTTGCTTCTAAACACGGATGGGTGATTCCCTTGGATTTATTTGCCCGGGCATGGGAGACTTTGCTTTCAGCCGAAGGATATCCAGATCGAGCGTCTAGGCTTGCGCATCGATGTTCATCTGCTCAAGTCCCAGGTGCCAATCTTGTCACTGTGCTCTTGCCTACACTTACACCTGATGGACGCCATCTTCCATTATATTGTGCCCCTGCACATTCTGCCATCTTGTCCTCCTGCGTTGGTGGCAGCTAACAGCCCATTTTAGAGTCCATCACCAAGTCTGCCATGCCATTCAGGCAGACTAATCATTTTCTACTTGGAATATCAGCACCAGGAAAGGACATCCGGGAAATTAGGCGTTCGCCGCCTGGTTATACTTTCATTCGGCAGAATTCCCCGTCCGCATACATGGGTACAGGGATCTTGGGATCTCTTATTACCTCCTGCACGGCATCTGCGTGTCGGCCATTTGCCGAGAGACTAGAGAGCATGAAGCGGAGAATGTCAAGACGCAGGTACGCTGAAACTGGCGCCTACTTAGGGCTCAGATGGCGAAACGGAGGTAAGATTTTTCGAAAAATGTTCTCTTCTCAGCTCGTCGGTTGTGGTCTTGACACCTTTACCTGCCCTTGGCTCATCCACGCTCCGATGCCCACTATCTACAGAACGTAGTTATAGCATGCCGTGGTGAAAAACTTTCACAAGTGCTGTCCCTCTACAATGGTTGTCTCCCCCTACAGGAGAATACAGGAAGAGCGGCCCAGCGACATTGGCACGCAATTGACTTTTGCCCCATCCCGTACAACTCGAAAGAGTACGTATGAAGTTTGCGGCGATGGATAAGATATGATGCGAGAGGCCGATACGAGGGTCGATAATGATATCATATGATCTCGAAAAAAAGGGCTGTTGTGGCTGGCTGAGGGCATGCATGACGTGGATAGACATCCCCGGGGCCTGGCTGACTGCCGTAGTAACCGAGTCCGGAAACCCCAGGGAGTCGATATCGCAGGACTTGCACCCGCCAAGGGCTGAACCGCGCAGGGAGCAGTGCAAGCAAAGCGAGACACGGCACGAAAGGGAAAGAACGCGAGAGGAGGAGAAATTTAGGACAATAAAAGTAGTGCCAACCAAAATGGAGAAGAAATAAACATGGTGAAGAACATGACTTGGATGTCCCATCATAAGATTGTTATTATTACATTCGATTCCGGGACTTCCCTTTTGTGGCTGGTCGCGGGCTTTGGGAATATATATCAATCATATCGATCTATACGGAGTAGTATTAGTAGTAGTAGGACGAGATGATATATTAGGATGTCTTTCCCCTCCGTACAGTTTGGATTCGTGGGACTCGTAGCTAACTCGTATGCAGACGCCCATACATTTATCCATCCATGGTTCAATCAATCGATCGATCATCCTCTTCAATGAGAAAAGAGGTTGCTCCGCTAATAAGGCACTCCGTAGTATAAGTCACTGCTCACAGCTACACACCCGTACAAGACCGGATCCATTCGTTGATTCATGCAAGTCATTCATTCACGCGCTCACTCACTCAATCAGGTTGGTTGGGGTTTCCCTTACATTGCCTTTTCATTTCGTCTTATTTCACCTGACTTTCTTCCCCTCCTCCTTTGTATTTGTCGTGGCCGCCGCCGCCTTCCTGGCAATCTCGGCACCCTTGGCCTTATCCGCCACGAGATTCTGTTGTTGCTGGGAATCGCCCCCGAAAACTTGCGGCAGTTTCCACTCTGGCATCTCGAGCTTGCGGCCGAGTTTTTGCTCGATGGCTTGTTTCAGGCCCTCGCCGCTGGGCATGGTGGCTCCCGTGCTGCCGCGGCGGCGACGGGTCTCGATGTCGTTCCGGATCTCGTCGATGGCCTCGTCGATCTCGCGCGCGGGATCGTTCGGCAGGCCCAAAGAGGGCGGGTGTTGGGTTTCTTCGGCGATGGTCTTGCGCAGGTGTGGGTGGTTGCGCTTGTCGAGTCTCTTGGTCAGGAAGCGTTTGGCGGGCGAGGCGAAGAATCCGAGGGACGCGGCGACGCCGATTACGGTGTAGAAGTACACCCGCGCCCAGACTTTCAAGGAGTCGTTGAAGCCCAGAATCACAAAGGGCGCGGTCGTGAAGCAGAATGCTAGTTGTGTGGCCACGTAGCCCAGCACGTCGTAGTAGATCTTGTATTGTGTGGGTTTTGTCCCGTCCGGCGTGAGGAAGAACGGCCGCACGTATCGTCGGAAATTTTTGGCCACCGTCTGGATGAACGCCGCCAGCACAAACGTCAGGTAGTAGCCCGGGTAGAAGCCGTGCCAGAGCGCCGAGGTCAAAAAGGTCGCCAGCGTGGCGCGGAAACCGGGTTTTCGACCTTTGGGCGTGACCCGCAGGTAGATGTAGTTGCGCAGCCACTTGTTTGTGTTTTTGTTCCAGTTGTCCAGGTACGCGCGCGAGTTTTGGGCTGTCTCGATGCCCCAAGGGTTGACATTCTCCAGGTGGTCCCATTTTGCCTGTCCGGTCTTTTCGTCGATACCGTTGTAGCTGATCCCGGCCATGATGCACGCCCCTTCTGTTAGTGACCACACCCCGTAGTACTTTGTGCGCGTGGCAAAGCCGAGCATCTGCAGGAGCCAGACCCGGTACGGGAACGAGTATTTCATGTATTCGTCCGATAGGAAAAAGGGTACGTAGTACCATTGCGAGAATTGCAGGAAGGCGCCGATCCAGATAAGACCGCCAATGGCTTTGCGCACCGCGGGGACTGTGGAGTGCGGGATGCGTCGTTTGCCCTTCTTGGAAGATGCTGCTTTACTGCCAGGAGGTTGTGCATCGTATATGCTTCCATCGAGCCATCGTTTGTAGTCGGCGTACTATAAAGCATAACAATGTATCGGTTAGCGAAAATGTCTTTGAGCTCTTGAAACTACAACCCAAGGAGCGATATATGGGAGAGAACAACTTACTTCAAATGACGGGCCGGTGAAGATGGAGGGAAAAAAGAAAACATATCCCGCAAAGTCGAGCAGGTCGGGCATCTTGTAGACTGCGCGGTCTTTCTGGAGGTCGGTCAACAATTCGCCTTTCAGTCTCCCGTCATGCACGTTCCAGCTGAACCCATGCAGCTTCATGATCAAGACCATTTGGCCTCCCGTTATGTCTATAAGACTCGGGTCGGCAATCCTTTGCCGTTCAACGTGGCTGATCGACATATGGCCCTGGGTAATAGTGTAAGAATAATACGATGCAAAAGGGGGCTTTGTAAGTCGAACCATCAAAAAAGTAAATACTAGCCATGGCATCAGCGAGCCATCGACATAGTAGGCTATTAGGTAGGTGCCAATTGCGTCTATAAGCAAAGTAACCGTCCCGCTACAAAACTACTTTAGCCTGACTGTCCTTGACACTGACCGGGGAATGAAAGCGACACTAATGCCTTCTCATATGCGGAGAGAACTCACCTCCAAAGATCATACACGCCAAGGAGATAGAAGAGGGTGATGGAGACACTGAATATGTTCTTCCATTGTGGCTTGTCGTCGGGAAGTCGTTTCAAGACAGCAGCCAACGGGTACGAAAGTAGAAAGATTGCCAGCAGCTTGAGTTCATCGACAGATGCCCCGATGGCCTTGGAAAGCCAGAGAAAGGCTGAAATGGGTAGTCAGTAAGCTTTGATGAATGGCAAGATGACGGAGCTGCCTAACTCACGAATATCAATCCCCGGCAGCATTGTGGTTGATTTCCCAGCCCTCTCAGTCTATGTGAAGAAGATCAATAGGATGCTTGAGAAACAGTGAACACTGAAATGCAGCAGACATTGTTGAGGGACTGCAAGGAGAATGGGGATCTACAGACAGACAGACTAGAGATCAGGAAACGGTGGGGGAAACTTTTTGGACGCGGAAGCGGAGGCTGATGAGTGATGAGTGGCACAGTGGAATAATGACATCAAATCAGGTCACATGCCAGGCACCACGCGCTCGACTTGAACTCAACAAGCGTCAGAATAAGTCTTGGTGGCAGCCTCGTCGAGGCACCTGCGGCATGACAAGGCTCTGCATGACCACCACCACCACCACCACCAAGCTCACCAGACACAGACCGCAGATACACACACCTCAGAACGCTCTCTGTCTTACTTGAGACTGCCCTACTCCGGTCCTCCCTGAAACCTTCTGCCTACAACGGACCCTCTCATGACCATCATGTACCGGTAACTCGCAGTCCCCCTCGCCTGCATACCCACTCCTCCCAGGCCACCTCAAACATCACAATGGACGTCGCTTCGGCCATTTCAGGCTATGTCTCCAAAATTGCTGGCCTTGGTGAAGGCGCTGCCGCCTCCCAAAGCCAGAAGATGAAAATCCTCCTCCTAGATTCCGAGACAGTCCCAATCGTATCAACCGCGATCACCCAGTCCGCCCTCCTTCGATATCAGATCTACCTCATTGACAGAATCGACAACCCTGCCCGCGAACGCATGCGCCATCTCAGATGTCTATGCTTCGTCCGCCCCTCACCCGATTCGATCCAGTTCCTCATCGATGAACTGCGCGAGCCCAAGTACGGCGAATACAACATTTACTTCAGCAACATCATAAAGAAGTCCTCGTTGGAGAGGTTAGCGGAGGCGGATGATCATGAGGTGGTGAAGGCAGTCCAGGAATATTTTGCAGATTACATTGTGGTCAACCCGGATTTGATGTCCTTGAACCTGGGATTCCCCAAGCAGAGGCTCTGGAGCCACAGCCCAGACGTCTGGAACACCGATGCCTTACAAAGGACAGCCGAAGGAGTGGTTGCGCTTCTACTGTCACTCAAAAAGAACCCGCTGATACGATACGAGAAGAACAGCCTTATGGCTAAGAAGCTTGCCACCGAGGTCCGCTACCAGATCACCCAAGAAGAACAACTCTTCGACTTTCGCAAAACTGATACCCCTCCGCTGCTCCTGATTCTAGACCGGAGAGACGATCCTATCACCCCACTGCTCACTCAGTGGACGTACCAAGCTCAAGTCCATGAATTACTCGGCATCCACAATGGCCGGGTCGATCTGAGCGCTGTCCCCGATATTCGGCCTGAACTCAAGGAGATTGTCCTCTCGCAGGACCAAGATCCATTCTTCAAGAAAAATATGTATCAAAATTTCGGCGACCTGGGCGGAAACATCAAGGAATATGTCGACCAGTATCAGAGCCGAACCAAGTCCACTGCCCAGATTGAATCGATAGCCGACATGAAACGCTTTGTCGAAGACTATCCAGAATTCCGAAAACTTTCTGGCAACGTCTCCAAGCACGTAACTCTGGTGAGCGAACTCAGTCGTCGGGTCTCGGCCGATTCACTGCTCGATGTCTCAGAACTCGAGCAAAGTTTAGTCTGCAACGACAATCATGCTGCCGATCTGAAGACGTTGCAGAGACACATTCAAAACCCGAGCATTCCAGCAGACAATAAACTCCGCCTCGTAGCTCTCTATGCCATTCGCTACGAACGCAATCCCAACAACGCTCTCCCTGTTCTCCTTGACTTGTTGACCTCCGTAGCCGACGTACCTGCCTACAAGATCTCCATCATCCCCAAGCTTCTTGCTTACCATCACAGTCTTCAGCCTGCTCCTGTTGGTGGCGCCACCGGCTTTACCGATCTTTTCGATTCAGGTTCTTCTCCATTTAGCCAATTTCGACGCAATCTAAACCTGAAGGGCGTTGAGAATGTCTACACCCAGCATTCCCCACGTCTGGAAAACACGCTCCAGAATCTCATCAAGGGGCGGTTGAAGGAACTACAATATCCTTTTGTGGATGGGCATCATACGAGGGATAAGCCCCAGGATATCATCGTCTTCATGGTGGGAGGCGTCACGTACGAGGAAGCCAAAATGGTGGCCCAGGTCAATGCTTCCGTGCCAGGCATACGAGTGGTGCTAGGGGGAACAAGCGTGGTTAATTCAACAATGTTCTTGGAAGAGGTGGATGATGCAGTTGGTAGTTGGCCGGATCAAGGTCCCGCATCGGCAAGAGAAAGACTGGGCAGGGCCGTGGGAAGGTGAGAGGAACTGGAGCCGCCCCTGCTGGTGGTATCTATGTCTCCTTTTCTGTCGACCCTCTTCGAAGCTATCTGGTCCCGCAAAGATCACCAAAACCAATGTCTTGGCCGTTCACTTCACAAGCCCGTCGTTCCTGTGTATGGTATCGACCTTTTTACATGTGAGTGTCGCGGCTGGTGGTAGGATGCAGATCAGCCTCCTGCCGATGCAGGAGATATCATTCAACGAAAGAAGGGGTTTTCTGGAGCCGAGCATGCCCACACAAAGTGAGAAGCTCGCTGGCTTGACCACTACCGATATGACTCTGTAATCTTATTGGCTGACAGTGTCATTTTGGGCGAGGTATTTTGGAACAGGTGTCTAACCTGTAACACTTGAGGCGGCAAGGGTATCGACCGACGCGATGGATGAGGTCAACTGAGGACCGCCGATCGGCAGCCTACTTTAGAGGCCCTTCAGCAGCGATGGCATCAGGCGCCAGCCTCCCCTGCTCCCTTTGGTCGGACGGAATGACATACACGAACAACCTGCAAACCCGGTCAGCTCATCCAGCTATCCGCACGCAACAGTCTCGTGCATTCCTACCGACTCGACCAAAGCCAACGTGAAGGGGGAGGCATTTCGAGTTGAGATCGTCGTACCGCCGAGTAAGGAACGTACTCGGTGCTGGACAGACCCTTGACAGAGTGTGATGTTACAAGTACAGATGTGCGACTAATTACACATGATCTTACCCTTCATGACGATGCTGAAGGACTATAATTACTCTCCTCTCGCCCTCCCCATCTATGACCGAGCTCACTTTTCGGCCCATCACTTTTCAACCATCTGCTTTTCCTTCTCCCCTTGTTCCTCCCTCGTCAATATCCTCACAGCCTGTTTATTCCCCAAGTAACTTAATCCACTCCACACCGTCGTGCCGGCGACAAGGTAATACCAACCTTCCATGACTCCCCACAGATTCCACGCCTCGACGAAGCCCGTGGGCAGGACGGGAAGTAACATGGCATTACCCACCAGCAACAGCTGCAGCAAGGTATTAATTTTCGAGATCTCTGTCGGGTGGACTTCTGCGGACGGGAGCGAAAAGTCCCAGTACCGAGTGAATGTTTTGGGCGGCGGCAGCGAGATCCACCGGAAGTAGATTGCCGAGATCGCCAGCGCGACGTCTCTGCCTAGAACGATGACGGCCAGCCATATAGGTAAAGTGCCGTTGACGGTCAAAGTGAGCACGCACGTCGTCATCAGGATTTTGTCTGCCATCGGGTCGATCACCGTGCCGACAACGGTCTGCGCGTTAAGGCGTCGCGCGAGGTACCCGTCCACCAGGTCCGTGATGCCCGCGTACGCGAATAATGAGAGTGCCAGGACGGATTCGTGATGGAGGATGAAGTAGCCCACCAAGGGCGCCGCGAGGAGGCGCGAGAATGTCAAAATGTTGGGGAGGGTGTAGATGTTCTCGTGCGCTTGGGTTAGGGAGCGCGGGAGGTGTGGAGGAGGGAAGATCGTGGGTGTGGTGGTTGCTTTTGATGGGGTTGGAGAGGGAGTTGAAGACTCGATGCCGCCGCTGCTAGGAGGGGGGATGTTAGTCTTGAGATTCAAGTGCGGTATTGACGGGGATAAGAAAGGATGTTAGTAGGATGTGTTGCTGTTCAGGAGCGTTCTGTGTTTTCCAGTGTCCATCGATAGTAGAGCAGCTCTGGTAAGACAGTATTCAATTCCACAACTGGCAAGTAGAGCAAGACATCTAGACCGAAGCGGACACGAGCCCAAGTGCGAGGGAAACGTTCCTTCCTGCCCTCGTGCTCAAGAGAACACAAACACCTGCGGTCTTTCGGGCCACTGTGACGCCTTCAAAAGGCTGACGCAAAGTCTTGCATTGTGTCGTCGGTGATGTGGTTCCAAACGTGAAGAACGAAAAAAAAAAAAAACAGGGCGAAGATATATGGTCGTCACCTTTGACGTACCTACTACTAGGTTCCTCGCGCTTGTCAGGCACGCTGCGACCATCTGGTCCCGATATTGAGGGTGTTGTCGAAAAGCTTCGCACGTGCGACAATCGGTTCACCATGACGCTGCGAGAAGGGAAGCTCTGCATGATATGAAAGCTGTGGTTCCTGGTGCTCGTGCATGTTCTGCTCGATCCGCTTGGGCGTTAGTTGATATCTGCTTGCAATTTGCTATGCCTTGCCAGGTACAACAATAGATCCGAGGAGGAGTAGGAGATAGGCCGTACCGTGACATTGACAGAAACGGTGAAATTGGAGCTCTGGCATTCCCAGCCCGTGTTTCCAGAGTCGACTTGGCCGTTGAAGTTGAGAACAAACACCTCTGACCAGCCCCTACCCGCATGGCGCGATCGCCCTGATACCCGCTCGGCCATCGCGGCGTATCACCACAGTTCCAAGTTCTCGACGTGGATCTGATAGGAGACAAGCATTGAACGGGCGACGAAAGAGGAGGTCCACAAGCGGACAGTCTGCTGGCAGCGATTCGACTCATCGCCGTAGGAGGTCGGAAGATCACCGAACGTACCATAGCCTGGACATGTTGTCGGGAGGAAGAGGTCATTCAATCCTTGGAACTCGTGGCGAAGCTATACCAATAGCGAGACGAAAAAGAGATGTCCCGGCGCCCCCTGACGGACGAATTCGGATGGCGCAAGGCCTTGGGATGTTGGACAGAGAGTCGGGCTTGTCGGCGAGGTATCTGAGGATTTAACCGTTCAGTGCGTTCTGAAGCGGGATGAGTGCTGACTCGGTGTGAATTCGTCTCCTATAGTAAACCGGGGTGAAAGGAAATAATTAGACAGGGGAGGAAGTTAGACGTTTGAGGTTTTCTGAGATACATGGCTGACTAAGCACCGGGCTCCCTTGCTCGGCTTCTGTGCAGCCTTACAAAGAATAGCATTCAGGTGGAGCTTGTCCTAGGCTGATACGATCTAGAAGGATTAATTAATATGAATTATGACGAGGAAATAGTGTCAAGTAGATGGTTGCTGGCAGGAATAAAGCCGCCGTACCAACAGTCAAAACGCCATCGCTATGCAGCAGACTATACACCCACCAAATATCATGTTATACAGGAATAGCTCCTTCAGGTTGAGCTCCGTCGCTTTGAGGCAACAACCCATCCTCTGGCATCTTGCTACGGCCACTTCTCTTCGCATACTTCAATAGCCTCAGCGCCCCATGTGGCGTTACTCCCTCCACTCTTCTGGCCATCCCCACACTGCCAGGCCGCACCAGCTTCAATACCTCCCGCTCACCAATGCTCAACCCAAATACAGAATCGTAATCCAGATCCGCGGGTAGAGCGAGGGATTCGTCCCTGGCAAATGATTCTGCGGCTTTCTGTTGGAAGGAGATGTAAGGAGCATAGAGGCTTTCTATTTGTACTCTGCTCTGGATCTTGGGGGAGTAGTTGGAGATTGAGGACAGAGATTGGACGCGGTCCGCGATGCCGTTCATGTCGACGCCGGTCACACGGAGCATATCAAATGCGCTCCGGCGGGTTGAGTCGATGCGCGAAGGAAACCCCATTTTCACCCATTCTGGGCTTGGGTGTCTGACTTCTTCGAGTTTGCTTTGCAGTTCTGCCATCTCATCTCGAGTGCTGGTGAAATGACTCCACCGCTTGTCGCTCACGACGCCGACATTGCGGCCTTTCTCTGTCAGTCGCAGGTCCGCGTTGTCGGAGCGACAGCTCATGCGATATTCACTTCGTGCTGTGAACATTCTGTATGGTTCACTCACGCCCTTGGTGATGAGGTCGTCGATGAGGATGCCGATAAATGCTTCGGCGCGGGAAAGAGTGAATGAATCTTTTCCTTGAGCGGATAACCCTGCGTTTATACCTGCAACAATGCCCTGAGCCGCAGCTTCTTCGTACCCCGTGGTGCCGTTGATTTGCCCCGCGAGGAAAAGCCCCTTGATGAGCTTCGTCTCAAGTGTCGGGAATAAATTCCGTGGGTCAATATAGTCATACTCGACCCCATACCCAGGTTGGAGCATTTTGACATTCTCAAGCCCCTTGACCGTCCTGAGCATGGCGTACTGCGCGTCAGCTGGGACAGTCATGCTGATACCATTAGGATAGATAATTTTGTTTGGCTCAAGGCCTTCGGGCTCCAGCCAAATCATGTGCCTTTGTTTATCCTTGAATTTGATGATCTTGGATTCTAGGGACGGGCAATATCGGGGTCCCTTCACAGTTTCTCGAATATGTATCGACTTATCCAGGTTAGCTCGGATGATCTCGTGGGACGCTTCGTTGGTGTAGGTGGTCCAGCAATTCAACTGGCCAGCCTCTCCAATCTCAACAGTATTGTTCAGGTAAGAAAAAGGCGTGGGCGGGGCATCGCCTGGCTGCACTTGTAAAACAGTGAAATCAATGGTATCGCGATCCAGCCGTGGCGGGGTTCCGGTCTTCAATCGTCCCAAAGTGAATCCTGCACTCCGCAATGATTTGCTCAGGCCAAAGGTAGCAGCCTCGCCCATTCGTCCTGAGGGATATGCCTCCAGTCCAATGTGTATCTCCCCACCGAGAAATGTCCCAGTGGTGATAACCACATGAGAAGCGGGAATGACTCGGCCATCTTCAAGACGAATACCGGTTATACGTCCTTGCGATATCTTGTCCCCCGTTTCGATACCCTCTCTTGAAACAATGATATCCGCGACTTTGCCTTCCAGTATGCTCAGGTTTGGCGTTGCCAACATCTCTTCCCGCATGTACTTCTTGTACAGGTCCCGGTCAATCTGCGCTCGCGGTCCCCATACCGCAGGACCTTTCTTGATATTCAGCATTCGAAACTGGATGCCGGCTTTATCAATTATGCGACCGGCGACTCCGTCCAGCGCATCGATTTCTCGGATCATCGTGCCTTTGCCTATGCCCCCAAAACTGGGATTGCAGGAACAGACGCCGAGATTGGATAATGACGGTGTGACCAGTGCCGTGCGAGCGCCTGATCTGGCGGAGGCAGCACTGGCTTCTGTCCCTGCATGGCCACCACCGATGACAATGACATCGTAAGGCCTAGAATGGGTCAGTACAGATGCGGACGAGTAAGGTCGGAGGCCATACCTAACTGCGTCCGCAACGGCCGCAAAGAAGCGACGTTGTCGAAATAGAAGACAAGACCTGGCTCGAGGCGTATGTCCCCATTGACAAAGGCTCGATTGTAGTAACGCCGGCCTCATGTTGAAGGATGCAAATAGGGATGCGAAGATCAAAACGATAGATTTCAGGACGAACCTTTCAGTGCATCGGATAAACCTCGGCACCTAAGCATGCTGCAAGGCTGTAAGGCCGCAAGGCTATGAGGCTGCGAGGTTGTGCGCGGTTAGAACCGCCAGCCGCAAGAGAGGCTGAAACCACTTGCACTCTCCTGAGCTGGCCTGTTTAATCCGACACCCTTCAGATTTGAAGCCCTTACAGCTTGTATTACGACATGAGCTTTGGATTCTCTGTTGGCGATTTCGTTGCAGTAGCGGAGTTGGTGGAGAGCACACGCAAACGTTTTATCGGAGCGCCAGCGGAATATAACGCATTGGCTAATGAGTCGGCACCTTTGCCTTACTTCTTGTGCCGACCTTCTCTGACGATCATAGGACGCGCACACTCCAAATAGTCGTCACCGACATTAAGATACAGGTTGAAGATGACGAGCTTGCGGACTCGATCAAAGACGACTTGCGAAGTGCAAACAACAACTGCGAGTCCGTCTTGAAGGACCTGAATGCGGTCATCGACGCTCATACTGAACTTGCTCCAGTAGCTGCGGGTTCTCGAAAGAAGCCACAGCAGATATGGAAACGTTTCCGGTGGGATCCCAAGAAGGCGGACCAGCTCCGCTCTCGACTCGTTTCATCCATTCAACTGCTGGATGCAGTGCGCCAAAGTCTGTACAGGTGAGCTCTGCCATAGTCCCTGGTCTCAGGAACGACTAAATCCTTGATCCCAGTACACAACAACGCGACATAGCTCAAGATTTGAAGAAGCTAACTGTAACCAACGACAACGATGAATTGCGACGTATTGCGGACTGGCTTGCGCCTGCCACCTATTCTGAACATCAGCATGACTATTTCACCAGGGTCCAACCGGGGACAGGACAATGGGTGCTCGCCGACCCCTTATTCTGCAATTGGCTCAACAGTAAAGGTCCCTCTACGTTGCTACTTCCAGGCATTCCAGGAGCTGGCAAGACTTTCGTTGCGTCAATCATCATCAATGAGTTGCAAGCACACGTGTCCCGGGATGACACTACAGGACTTGTGTTCTTCTACAACAGCTTCAGAAGAACTGCCGCCCAGTCTTGCCGCCACATCCTCTCCAGCATGGTGCGGCAACTATATCTGCAGCAACCACACAAGGACGATACTGTCAGGAGCCTCTATGAGGAACACACCAAGCGCCAGCCAGCCACGGTTCCCAGCCTGGAAGAACTAAGTGCGACACTGGAAAAGCTGTTGTCGGGTTTTTCTGTCGTTGTTTTTGTCATTGATGCCTTGGACGAGTGCAAGGGACCGGAGGAATCGAATGACAGGCCATGGCGATATATTCCCACTTTCCTGTTTCGGTTGCAGGAAAAGCTGAAATCCCAGGTGGCTATCAAGGTTCTTGCAACTTCACGACCCGATCTGGAAATCGATGGGATCTTCCCCAAGGATGGACGATTAACAATCCACGCTAGAAACGACGACCTTGGCAAGTTCTGTGATTCGCTGCTACCAAATATCAGGTGCGTTGCACAGAAAACCCACCTACACCCGAAGATCAAAGAAGCCATCTGTGAGAGCGCCGGGGGCATGTGAGTGTTGTTGCCATGCGAAGATGATTTGAGGGTTTGGCTAAACCTCCAGGTTTTTGTTGGCAAAACTACACTGTGACACCCTTGCGGCAAAAACAAAACCTAAGGATGTGCTGCAAGCCCTCGAGACCTTCGGCCGAGGTGGTGACGCTCTGGATCGAGCCTACCAGGATACCTTTCAACGGATACAGCGCCAACCCAAAGAGCAAAACGAACTCGCCAAAAAGGTCTTGGTTTGCGTCACGTATAGCGCTGAGCCACTCACACTAGACGCAGTGAGACATGCACTTGCTGTCGATCAAGAGACCAAAGAACTGGATCCAGAGTACGACTTAGACAATCCTGATGATGTAGTATCAAGTTGTGCCGGCCTGGTGACCATAGACTCCGAAAGCAAGATCGTTCGTTTGGTCCACTATACCACACAAAGCTTTTTGGAATCGCTCGGCAATCAGCTTATGTCGGATCCCCATGACTTCCTTGCCAGTTGCTGTTTAAATCATCTGCACCTGGACTTGTTTGCGGAAGTCAGCATCGGACAGGATCATAGGTATAAAGACTTTCCGTTCTTCGGATATAGCGCACGATACTGGAATTGGCACATTTCGGCTGGCAGCGGCAGTATATCTTTGAAGGAGAGAGCGTTCTCTTTCCTCGACGATAATGCACGTATCACGAATGCGCTGCATTTCCTCAATGATAATGCAAGTATCACAAATACGCTGCATTTCCTCGACCTATCATGGGAAAACCCAGTACACGACAGCTGTGCCCTCCACTTCCTCGCCCGCAGTGGTCTGAATGACTGGATCACCGACTATATTGATCGCGGCCGTCCCACGGATGGGGAGGAGAATGACAAAGTGTCGTACCTAGTATCTAAAGAATCAGCAACAGAATACAATCATCCCTTGACGGAAAATGCGACACCTTGGATAATGCTCTTGACAAGCTGGCGCGATTCCAAGAAGCGTACGCCGTTGTGGTACGCAATTCGGTGGAAACATGCATCGACGGCGAAGCTTTTGATTGATCTGAATAACGAGATACTTAATGACGTGGATGATCTTGGCTGGACCCCATTGATGCTTGCGCTACAATACGAGTCCGAGGCTGCCGCCCTCAGAATCCTCCAAGAGCCCGGAATGATATCGTGGTATCAGTATCGAGATTGGATAGGCCATACCTATCTACACGGGGCGGCCCAAAACGGGCTTGAAGCTGTAGTTGATCGACTATTGGAACTGGTGTCTGCTTTCGACACGAGCGAGGCCCGCAGCGTTGGCATCTCTTATACCACTTCGCAAGACAGATACCGCTGCACGCCACTTTTGAACGCGGCTGGAGGCGGACACCTCGGAACTGTCAAGAAGTTGTTGGCTTATAGCGGTGGACGTGAGCTTAATTTTTCGGACGAGGACGGACGCACGCCTCTTCATAGCGCAGCAGGTGACGGTCATTTGGAGGTGGTTCAGTATCTGATGAGCCAAGATGGCATTCAGCCAGGCTGTCGTGATTTTGATGGATGGTCCGCCCTGCATTTTGCCGCAAGTGGTGGCAGGGTGCCTGTGCTCGAATATCTGCTCGGCACTGGCTTCTTCTCAGCTGATTCTACGGATTTCAGGGGCGAAACTGCACTCTTACTTGCTGCGTGGAAAAACAACATAGAGGCCGTGTCATATTTGACATCTCGAGGCGACGTTGACGTGAATTGGACAGACGAGGACGGGATCAATGCTCTTATGTTGGCTGCTGACGGGGTGTACGTAGATGTCATCGCTCACCTTGCTCCTTTGGTAAGTGATGTCAATACGACTAATAAGCACGGGACTACAGCTTTGCACCAGCTTTGCGGAGGCAGCCCTTGGAGATACGAAGAATCTGGCAGAAACTTCCAAGCAGGCTTTGACTCCTTGGTCAGAAACGGCGCCTCGTTGGATATCAAGACCAATGAATGTCTGACTCCATATGAAGTACTCTGCGGTCGGCTTAGGGATCCCTGCCTGGAGAAGGGTGATCTTGAAATTTTACAAAGAGCGAAGTCAATCATGGAGCAATATATCTCAGCCACGACGGGGGATTGAGAGCATTAGAACGTGTATCTGGGGGTAGAGCACCTGGGCAGGCTTTACAAGACCAGGCTCCACTCAGCCGGATATCAGATCAGTACGCTCACCTGCTAGGCGGACCAGGTCCGCCGAAAAATTCTCGATTACAAGTTTGGCACCGAAGAAAATGCTAGCGAGCTGAAAGCAACGACGAATTTCATTTGCGTCACCTCACGACACGGGACCGCTCGACCTTGACCCGCAACCACACTCATTCCCCGATGCTGGCCTTTTACCTGCTTGGAAATCAATAAGAATGAGGACATTCACGAAGAAGGTGACTGGTTCGTGTGAATGTGGACTGCCTACCTCAAGGAAAATGGGCGATGAGATTTACCATGAACGAACCGTGCATGTAATGGAATGGGGAACCCAAGTCTTTTTTCATTTCCTAACACGTCCGTTACGACCACGATATTTTGCTACTTTGCACTGACGACAATGAATGAATGAATGATATGACCTTCAACACCATTCTTACACCCGAAATCATCTCTTAAGCAGTCTACGTAGCCCCCACTCCCAGACTTTGTATAGACGTGCGCGCAGTTCAACGGTGGCGGCAGCAGTATTCGTTGAGCTTCCTTGATATGCTCTTCGTTATGAGTCCATGACCTACGTTAATGAGAAAGGGACAGTTCCGTCCAAGTCAGCCGGGTTACTTCAAGAAGCTAGCAACCGGGGTATGGGAAGGAAGAGGACCAGTTCAAGAGCATCTTCTTGACGTGAGCAGACCGACCCGAGGTGTACGACCTCATCATCGGGATATACGGGATATACTAGAAGACGGTAAAAGTAAGAATGTGGCCATCTCGACATCGATTTCATTTGTTGGTACATGGATCGGAGACTGTTTCCTTTCCGGTCTTCGTCCGTTTCTGCTACAGCCCGGGTGATTTTACTGTACAACAATGGTTGAAGATGGCATAGCATGATGGATCATCTCAGGACCATGAACTGCCTCAAAACACCACGTTCAACACCTTGCCTCCGCCAACGACAATTACTCTCTTCTTTTTTCCCCAATCGTTCTTCTCCGTCAACCACACCCGGCCTTCTTCTGTTTCAAGGACAGCACGGACGATATCCGCCTCTCGTGCTGCTGGGTCGGATTCTGCGGCATTTCCTTCTGACGGATTGGACGACGGTACTTGTGCCGTGAATCGGAGTTTCCCATTGATCTGCACTGCGCAGGTGATTGTTGTTTTGCGGCTCCGTAGAGCAGCCTCTTGTTCAGGGGTTATGATCTCGCCCGTCCATGACACGTCGAAAATACTTCCCCTTCTTTCCGTGTCAGGCATCATCACTCTCTCCCAACATTCCTCCGCGAATGCTGGTGTGATGGGCGCCATCATCTTCAGGAGCGCGGTGACGGTGACATGTGCGACTGAAGGTGCCAGATTGTTGATGCCAATCCCCTCTAAGCCATTTGTCAGCTTGATGAGGTCGGAGACTGCTGTGTTCAGGCTGTAAATGTCACTCGAGAATGTCTGCGAGATACTTTTGCTCGTGCTTTGGGTCAAAAGCAACGCCTCGGCGTCATTCGTGCCAAGGTCACTTAACTCAGGAATGCTGGTCTGCGAGACATCATCTCGATCAATATCAGACTGCGAGCTCAATTCGGCGACGAGGCGGTTGACGCGACCAAACCACCTTTGTATGCCGACAATCTTTTCCTCGTCCCACTGTAGCACTTCGCTAACAGGAGCGGCGAAGAGGATGTGAGCTCGTAAAGCATCCGCTCCAAACTTTTCAATCGCGGCGGATGGATCCACGCCGTTATGCTTGCTCTTGGACATCTTTTCCCAAGTGACATTGGGTGCTTTACCGGAGGATCTGATTCTTGCGGCTTCCCCATCAAAGTCGACCTCACCAGGAAGCAAGAACCGACCGCTGTCAGGATCAGAGAACGTTTTCCCATGCACCATTCCCTGCGCTATAAGTTGTTGGAATGGCTCGGCATGGCCGTTATCGCTGGAAACAAGACGTTCGCCGCACAAAAATTTGTAGATGAAACGTGCGTAAAGCAAATGCAGAATGGCATGTTCGACGCCACCGACGTACGTGTCCACGGGAAGCATATCAGCTGCGGATCGCTGTGAGAAAGGCTCCAACTCATTTTTCGCGTCTGGAAATCGCATGAAGTACCAAGAAGAGTCGACGAATGTATCCATCGTGTCCGTTTCTCGCTTAGCGGGGCCTTTGCACGTTGGACATTGGCAATTGACCCATTCCTCGATCTTGTCTAGTGGATTACCGGTTTGTCCTTTGATGGATGAGTCGAGTCGAGGCAAGACCACAGGGAGGTCTTCTCTGGGTACCGGAACTGGCCCGCAGTTGGAGCAATGTATGATGGGAATTGGCGTCCCCCAGTATCTTTGGCGGCTTACGAGCCAGTCGCGCAGTCTCCAAGTCTCGACCGCTTCTGCAAGGCCGTGTTTCTTCAGGCCAGAGACAATCTCTGTTCTCGCCTCACTGCTTGGCAGGCCCGCGTAAGGACCACATAAAGGGGTCAGCCAGCCATCATTTGTGTATGCTTCCAGCACCTCAGCCGGACGCACGTGAGTATCGCCATTACCCCGAGGCTCTGGCGATATCGCAATGCTGACAGGATCCGAGGGCCTGTGCAATTTCCAGAAGTTAAGGTCGCGAGAATCATGAGCCGGGACACCCATCACTGCGCCCTCTCCGTAGTCCTCTAGAACGTAGGGAGCAGCAAATACTGGTAACGGCTCATCATTCGAACCTCCGACCTGGGAAAGGGGATTGAAGGCGTACAATGGCAGCTCGAAGCCTTCCTTGGAGTCGGGCGGGAAGGAAGCGCGTCTGTCAAGAAAACTTTGCAGTTCCGTTGACTGGGCGGCCGCCTGGACCACGAGAGGATGCGTCATTGAGAGAGCAACATATTTCACGGCAAACAGCGTATCTGGGCGGGTAGTGAAGACATGGATGTGAGAAGATTTCCCACTGTCATCTCTCAATCCGAACTGGATGCGTGCGCCTGTCGAGCGGCCAATCCAATTCCGCTGCTGGGTTACGACTCTTTCAGGCCACTTTCCTCCGTCGGACAGATATTGCAGGTCTCGTAGCAGGTCCTCCTTGAACTCGGTGATCTTGAAGAACCACTGGCGAAGTTTGATCTGTTGCACCAGGGCTCCTGATCTCCAAGAGCGGCCATTGTGATCAACTTGCTCATTGGCGAGGACTGTTTTATCCACCGGATCATAATTGACCAGCGCTTCTGCTTGATATGCCAACCCACGATGATATAACTTGAGAAAAATGTCCTGAGTGTGCTTGTAGAACGACGGCGAACATGTTGATATTTCCTACGAAGGGTTGATCAGCACTATGTACATGTATTCCATGCCTCTGACCTACGGCATCCCAATCAAAACTTGTATTCATGCTCTTGAGCTGCTGTTTCATCTTTGCAATATTTTCATCCGTCCAAACCGCCGGATCAATACCGCGCTCGATTGCAGCGTTCTCTGCCGGCAGTCCGAAAGCATCCCAGCCTGTTGGATGAAGCACATCATAACCTCGCATTCTTCGATAGCGGGCGAGCACGTCGGAGATGGTATAGACGCGAAGATGACCCATGTGGAGAGATCCGGACGGGTAGGCGAACATAGGCAGAACATAGGACTTGCGTGAAGGACTTGATTGTCCCCCTGCCTTGGGCTGATCTGCCCATCTCTGCTGCCATTTCGCGTCGATGGCACAGAGGTCCAGGCGGGGAAACTGGGTTGCAGCTCGAATAGCGGTGGTGTGCAGGCTCCGGACAGAGAGCAGCCTGATAGACTGATGGACAAACAACCTCCCCTGCATAACCACCAACCCCTCCACCACCGGTTGGGCGTAAACAATGACAAGGAGATGTGAACCACGACAGATTTGATCAGAGTACCTGGTAGAGAAGTGCACCGCTGTTGCTATACGCGAAATTGTTCAACAGGAAGGTCGGCCGAGTCCCGTGACTGTGCAGCATTAAATTCCAACTCCACTCGTTTCTTCACGTCCTTCTTTTCAGATTCAACGAGCAACCCCCTTCTCCCGTCAACTGTTCGTGGTGTCAACTAAGTAGTCTCGAGGGCTATATCCCTTATGTTCATCACCTCGTTGACCCATCGCAAACACCCGGCGCAGAGACTGTGCCCAAAAGTCTCAAGTCCTGTCCAGATCAACACAGTAGGATGACAGGTGGCTTCCACACCAGAGCTTCGCACTCCAAGAGTTATGTCGACGCTGCGCGACTTGATGCCGACCTAGGCGCAGAGGGGCAACGTCCTCACGGTCCGACAAGGACTTGCATAGGCATTCGACACAGCAGCCGCTCTAACCAGACGCTGCCCTGATTCGTTGGCGCTCTAAGGATTCAGCAATTGGGGATCCGTGGGCATGCTGACTTACTTGGAGCCATATCACTTCTCTTTATCTTGGTCCTTCAGAGACAAAGGCCCACCATGCAGGTGGATGAGAATACCTGCGACGTGTTTTCGCCGCCCTGTGCTCTGGTTCAAGGTGAAAATGGGCAACCCCTTCCTCACTCTGGCTGATTGCTGGCTCACCATATGAACTCCATATGATGCAACCATCTTCTGTCTATAGCACAGTCCATCTCCTAAAATGCACATGGCCCTCAAAACATCGGTAAGTCTTGCGTCCACAAGGCGGAGAATCTGGAACCATGCCTTGTGCATGTCACGTGGTGAGTACGCTGTGCTGGTACGTGCCAGTCGTGTTGAGACCAAGCTGTCAGTGAAAGAAAGACATTAGCATGTGCCTCACCTGGACATCATTTTAACTTCCCATGTCCATCAGCTGTCGCCTGATTGGCTCATTTGTCGCACTGTCACTGCCATTCACAGCTTCAATCGGTGCGCCTAAAGCTTGTGAGCTACAGCATCGTTTCTCTCTGCGCATCTTCTCATTCAACGTGCCTCGATCTGGAGACTTGCTTCTGGCCACTTTCCAAGGGCTTCACCTTGCTCTCTAACCACAGAGCTTCTGCTTTGCGACACTGGCCGAGGCAGTATTCCGGTTCAAAGCTACCTACATCCTCAGTCATCCTTAAGCTTAACGAGCCAAAGCTCCAGTCTCTTCTTACATCCCCACCTCCTTCAGAAAAGCTTCTTCGTTCACGTCAGCATGGCACTCTGTTCAGCTCCGCAGACGAGAGGAATCAACATGGGTGAGAAGGCACAGACTTCTCATATCTGGATCTGCACTAATTCGTCTCACTAGGCGATTGTGGGTCGATCCCATCCTCTCCTGTAAATGTCCCTTCTCTCGAGGCCTACATGCCGGTCACCATCAGATACCCAAGGAACCACTTACTCGGGATTCCCCAAGAACTTCGCGACACTATTATGGGCCTAGTCCCTCTGACCAAGCGAGCCATTGGTTCTCGACCTTCGACTGGGTGCGAGATCTTCCATTTCGTCTGCCGCCAGACCTATCACGAATCAAGCAGACTCTTCAATACCCAGGTCACCGTACTTGCGCCATCGAATCGTGTGGATGAATTCCTCAAGAGATCGTTGAATATCAATACAATTAGGAGCAATACTTACCAGAGCATCCTCAGCCTATTTCTCGAAATTGCCCACGACAGCCACAGCACGGTCTTCCTCCAGCTAGGCGAGGTTTTGAGGCGTTCAAGTCAACTTGAAGAGCTGCACCTGTTCGGGGTCGGAGCAGATGGCTATGGGGTCAAGACTAGTTCTGCTGCTTACCCTTGTGGCAAACACGGTATTTCGATCTGGCCACCAGTCCGTAAGTTACCAATCGATGGACAGCAATACAAACGTCGCCTAGCTCCAGTCAACAACATTCCATGGCTGGGGAGGCTGAGGGTTCTGGTTCTGGATAACCTCAACCTTCCTTTGACTCAATCGCATGTCCTCAAAAACAAACCACAGCTGGAAACGCTACATATCGCAGCAGACCCACGGACCGTCTTGCATGGGGAGTACTGGGCTAGACCGGAGTCTACAGTTGGCAACCTCATCTTCCCCGCGTACGAGAGCCCTCCCATCAAGGAACTTCGGGTCGATTCCAATTCCGTTCTTAGTGCGAGTAAGATCATCGTCAAAACGTCTACGACTCTGGAAAGTCTTGACTTAGTGATCCCCGATATGGTATTCCAAATACATCTGAACAAAATCAACTTCTATCAGGAGGCCAGTACTCTTCTGCACAGACTCCCCATGGACGCTAAACAATTACGGGAACTCAGGATTTGTGTTCATGAGACTGTCTCTGAAGAAAAACATTACTACGCCAACTTCATGGGAGCCCTCAAGGACTGCGTCTCACGTATGCAATCTCTTCAACTCATTGAACTTCATATGCATTCCGACTCGCCCTGGTTTGCTCGAGAACTCATTGAAGCAGTACCTCCATCCGTCACTCGACTTTACCTTTCGCACCTCTTCGTTGAGCGAGACATACAAGACCTCTCGGGATTCATTAGTGTGAAAACTGAGACGCCTTTGCTGTGCGAGCTCGAGGACGCTTACGCCATCGGAGAAGATCTTCAGAGAAAGGATCACATCAAATTCAGCGGTAATCGCCTAGCCTTCGTGGGTTACGAGCACAATTGTCTTGTCCGAGCGAGTTCTGCGAATTTGCAAGAGAAAGCTATAGCCAACTTTCTCAAGCTTAATGGCAGATTGTTGGACAAAGAACGAAACCGACACCTGGCTCATCTGGGAGGCAGCCACATACCATTCAAGAAGAGCGGCGTCATAGGACACCCAGAAACCGGCGAGGCAACCTCGAAGTTCTCATTCGAACTACCTCCACGTACGCAAGCAAAAGTTGAGAAGTATCGCAAAGCCCTGGACAAGTGCGGCTTGGGTGACAATGAATACTTTGGGAACGAAGACTTGGCAGCGTATGTCTTTGAGGGCGAGACTGCGGCTAAAGGTGGCCACTACAGCTATCCGGCGGTTGTGGAGGTTGAGAATGAGTCCAAGTTTTCCAACCACTGGCTAAGCAAGTGAAGAGCTAGGCAGCATTTGTGCAAACCACAGCAGCGGAGCTCGACTTGAGTATGGAGTATCAACAGACAAGGCAGATTTGAGTTGATGGGTGTGGAGTCAGGACATCAGCTTCGACAGAAGGGAGAGCATGAGCTGAATGGGTTCAGAAATAGTCGAATCGATGCCGTATCGGAGAGGCAAGCATGACGAACAGAACAAGATAGCTGAAAAGAAGAAGAGATTTCAATGAAAGATCACATCAACCAGTGTCTTTGGTGAATGGTTTTTCCCCTTGGTGTTACCTTAAACTTTTGCTAAATCTGCGCAAGGCTCATCCCCTAGATGCATCAAACTCTCCTGGTGCTCATCAAGCTCTACTAATATTATCCGGTTCCCCAGATCGACATACCATCCGTGGAGCCGTCATCTCCGAGGTTGCTCTGGCGCCTGTCAGACTGCGATTTTATCGTGGGCGTTTGGGCGTCTCGGCGTATCAGCGCTTGGAACCACAAGGAACACCGGTCCTTTCCCGAGTAAGTTGCTTCGCATCATGACCTGATCACTGACTCAAGCGGTGCAGAAAACAGCTTTGCCTTGATAAGCAAGGTCGCTCAAGGATGCAGCGAGATCCAGCTTCTCCTGCCTCTCATACCTCTGCCTCCGCACAAGCCGACTACAACCTCTCTCCTCCCTCGCTGTGGCAGGATGGTCGAAAAAGGAAGAATGCCCCGCCTGGCTCGCGCAGCGTCGACACCCTCACCCCCGAACAGCTGGCCAAAAAGCGTGCCAACGACCGCGAAGCCCAGCGTGCGATTCGAGAGCGGACCAAGCAGACCATTGAGAGTCTGGAGCGGAGGATACAGGAGTTGACATCGCATCAACCATATCAAGAACTGGAAACCGTCATCAGACAGAAGGATGCCATCCAGGCCGAGAATGAGGAGATTCGGCGGAGGCTTGCCTCTGTCATGTCCATCATTCAACCCATCGTAGGAGCGCAAGGATTAACTGGTACTGCTCTCTATTCTCTTCCACAGTCCCGCCTTTTTCCGTCTTAACTGTTGTTCCCGCCAGATCTTGCAAGCGCTGCGCAGCACAATGCCCAGGCTGGGCTGAATCAAGCGAATCCTCTCCTCAAACCTCCCTTTCCGGCAAATGACGGCTCACAAGCCGATTCAACATCCTTCCACAGCCAGCGAAATGGGCAGAGCGCTTTCTCCGTCTCTCCGAATCTGTCACACGGCCAGGCGGAATCTCCAGCGCATACAACACAATTTGGAGCAGAAGAAATCGAGGAAAACAGGCCTTCTCTTACATCGAGAGATGCACTGAGCAACCAACGGGATAACCTCCAACGGAGCCTTGAATTGAACGATGGCGGGGAGCGCGTCAACTTTGGTTTCCTGCTCGATCTTTTGGGACAACGAACAGGTGGTGCACGGCCTCAGCCTCAACTTCGACCTCGACCACGCGCCCAGCAATCACAGCAGCACTCCTCGCCTCTCAACCTCAGCTCATCCTACCCAGCCCTTTCCCCGACGATATCCGATCAACTACAACTTCCTACAGCATCCTGGAGTGTCCTCCCCAAGAACAGTCCGCCCACATGTCCTCTCGATAGCTTACTCCTCAAATTCTTACAGTCTCGCCAGCGCGAACCTGTAGGCGCGTCCAACGCCCTCCCCACCACACCGTCCTATCCTTCAGTTTCGTCTCTTCTAAACCCCAGCGGTCCCCGTCGCCCTCTCGACGACTTATCCCAACTCATGACAGACATAATCTCAAAATTCCCCAACATCTCGGAATTGCCTGAACAACTGGCGACATTGTTCGTCATGTTCACCCACATGCGCTGGCAAATCCATCCAACAAAAGAAAACTACGAGCGGCTCCCCGAATGGTTCCGGCCGACTCCCGCGCAGATCTTCCACCCTCATCCAGCGTGGATGGACCATATTCCGTGGCCGCGGATGCGAGACAGGGTCGTGGTGAACCCCCAGGATTACCACTTTGACAATTGGTTTTTCCCCTTTACATCGGGTCTCTCCGTCAACTGGCCATACGATCCCGTGGATTGTCTCCTAAGTACTTCTGAGAAAGAAGAACCGGTCATCAACCCGGTCTTTGAGAGCCACATTCGGCGACTGGACAACTGGAGTCTGGGACCGTCGTTTGCCGAGACCTTTCCTAATCTGGCGGACACGGCGAGGATACAGGGGAAACAGTCCGGGGCAGTTTGACGAGTTGGGCTGACAGAAAAAAAGTTGAACGGGTTGTGCATATTGACTTGTTGGTTCGCACCAAATCACCAGAGTGTCTTTCTATCACTGACTGAGCGAACGGCTTCCCTCCGACAGTACTGATCACCATTGTGGGCTCCAAGTTTACGAACTCTCACACCTGCGTCGTGTATCACGTACCGAGCTGCAGGGACCTCGAAGGCTGAGAGAAGCTCTTCGGATACCCGCGCGACTTTAGGGGGCGAGGGAGGCTGAGAAAAAGTCAAGTTCGCTGCTTGAGACGTTCACCCCGGGTGGTAACAAAGAGGGTGATATATCCACACATTTTAACGACACGGATGCCCTCGGAAAATGTACGATATGGGGCCGGCGTAGTGCTGATATTGTTGTACTTATGTACATCCTCTGGACGGTTCTAGTTTCGACATCCCCAAAAGCAAACTGCAATGAGCGCCTTTATACCGAGTACTAAGCGTAATTGTATGATGCGGAGACATGACCTCAAAGCAAGGCTCTGTCGCCGCTAATGGATCTGGTTGCAGGTTGCAGGTGGTCTGTCATCTGTCAGATACTCTAGCTTTGAACGACAAGTCTACATTCGCTGGCTCTCGAACGGAGCTGCGATTTTTCTTCACTAAAAGAGTCTTCGATGAGACGAGACGTGGTTGAGATGAAAAGCTCATAGAAGCAACACAAAATCGGTGCGATTATGAGTTTGCGCTTTCTATAAGAACGCCTTTCCTTGACTTGCCCTGGCCCCTCGTTCGCCTTGCATATGTCATTTCTCTCATGAAAAGGATAAGATTGACTTTTGGGGGGACGTTTCATTCACCTGTCCGGTCGAGGACCCTCCCTCGTCGTAACGAACCACATTGGCGACAGCTCTTATGCTGCAACTTTGGCACTGTACTTAGCCGCTGCATCATCGAAGAGCTGATTCTTCTCTTCCAAATCTCTCAACAGCGCATGCTCCGCGTCTTTCTCTCGTAGCTGTTGGAACAGTCCTTGTACGTCCTCGCTCTTTTTTCCGATAATGCTCGCCAGCACGACACTATTTGCAATGGCTTGGACATCGGCATTCGCCATTCCCACAGCTTGCTGCAACGCCGCTTCGGCCTCTTCAAACCTCCCCAGATGTATCTCGGACACAGCTTGCCCCACCAATGCCGTAGGGCTGGTGTTTCCTGGCGTGGACGCGAGTTCTTCGTAGACGTAGTAAGCGGATTGATACTTCTCTTGCCCGCCTTCCCTCAGATTCGTCCAAGCCTCCGCCAGGTTGATCAGTAACGAATCCTGGGCCCAGCGCTTGGCGGCAGCGACTTCCTTGACAGCCAAATCTGTGCGGTTTTGCATCAGGTGGATCTGCACCAGTAGTGCCACGGCTTCAAGGGAGCCTTGGTGTTTGGATAACAGATCGACAGCTTTCACGTATTCGCCTGCCACTGCCAGGACAGTACCGCAGCATATCTGAACCACGGCCTCCTCCGCATCAGATTCAGAGAGAGCTAACGCTGTTTCGAGTGCTGTAGAGTGATTGCCGGCCGCTTGTTGTGCCAAAGCAACTATCGAGCGAGAGGCGGCGTCTTGCGATTGCTTGAGGGAGGAAATGACGGACGAGGCATCGCCCACGGCTATTTGTGCGCGGTATTTGAGGATCTGTGCGGTGGTCTTGTTTTCTGAGGAGAGTGAAGAGGTGTCAAAGGCAAGGACGGTCTGGTAGGCGTGGGTGTAGAATGCAGTGGTTATGTTGAGGAGTTCTGGTCTTCAGTCAGTGAGGTGGCTTAAGGAGATGCGGCTAAGATGGTGTGCATACCACCTTCACCGGAGAATGGATCCATGGTGGGCTGATCGCACAGAGTTTCACAGTACGGAACAGGAGATAAGGGGGTAGCGGAGAGGACAATGTGGGATAGTGAGTGAACCCCTCGAGAACCGTGTCAAGTTCAATGTATGGGGGTATCGTTGCTGTTCTAGCAGGGAAGGTGCGGCGAGGTGCATCGCTTCTCCGCTCATGTTTCCAACCGCCAGCCTTGTGTCTGGAGACTTCAATCCCAAAACCCTCAATTGTTCGCCTGCTCAGGGAGAAGCAGACTTCATCTCCCTTCCGCATTGCCGCTGGCGGCACGACTTAGACGTCCTGTCCCATAGAACCTGCGAGATTAAGCGAACCCCCGTCAAATCTAGGACGAGGCCTCACCTTCAACATGCCAGCACCTCGGACTCCCCGCTTCAGCTTCGCCTACAACAGCATCCTCCTCGACCACCAAAAGATCCAGACTCGGCGGGCAATGAGTCGAGTGATGGCGAATTATCACCTCTTCCTCCGGAATCAGCCGAGAAAACCACAATTCAGCCTGCGAGACCTCGAGCCGCGGAGGAGGTGGCAGGTGCCCAAGATGAGGCAGATTGAGGATTGATGTGCAGATCGCTGCGGAGACACAGCTCGTCTGGCGTGTGGAAACACTTTTCTATTTGTGGTGCCTTTGCAATTGAGTGGTCACAGCGTGGTTTGGATGAGCTCAAGGGTATGAAAATGATTTCTCGAATATGTATTTTTATGGCTACACGGATTTCAGGACATATCGACAAAGTCTCTCCACTTTGGTAGTGAATGAGAATCTCTCTCCTTCTTGCCCAGCTTTTCTGAAACCATCGCACAGTTACTCCTTCAATGGCACGGTGTCGACGAACAGAGCCTTGGAGAAAGCCTCGGGGTACCGAGCACCATGGACTTCGGCCGCGTCAATGACCTTCCGAATCTTGGCATTGTCCTCAGGAGTGATCTTGACCTTCAACGAGGCGATGTTCTCATCGAAGTTCTTGATTCTCGTGGTTCCAGGAATAGGGAAGATATCGTCTCCCTGAGCCATCAAGAAGGCCAGGACCAATTGGCCCGGAGTGCAGCCCTTTTCGTCGGCAATGGCCTTGATGTCATCCACCAGCTTGAGATTCTTGGGGAAGTTCTCCTCGCTGAATCGAGGTGCAATGGCACGGAAGTCGCCTTCTTCAAAGTCGGCCCGGCTCCTGATGCCTCCAGTCAAAAAACCCCGCCCGAGCGGGGAATATGCAACGACGGCGACTCCAAGCTCACGGCAGGCCTGGAGAAGACCGATTTGGGGGCTCTCAATGTCCATGGAGAAAGGGCTGTACTCGACCTCAACGGCGTCAATGTGCACCACCTGGACCCATTTGTTAGCAGGCAGTTGATCGAGTGAAGCGGACGTGTTTGTTTACCTTGCAAGCTCTCCTGAGGGTGTCGGCGCTGCATTCGCTCAGACCCAGGTACTTGACTTTACCGGCATCTTGCAGCTCCTTCATGGTTCTGACGGTGATCTCAACTGGCTGACTGGCTTGGAGTCTGTGGCAGTAGTACAAATCGACGTAGGGAAGACCCAGTCGCTTCAAAGACTTGTCGCAAGCTGCCCGGATATACTCGGGGTCGTTCCTGGCGATGCGAACTTGCGAGGTGGGATCGGTGGTGTTGCCAAACTTTGTGGCGAGGAAGATGTTCTCTCTCTTGCCCGGGTTTCGCTGGAACCAGCGGCCCAGCAGGTCTTCATTGTCGCCGTAAGCGTCGGCAGAGTCCCAGAAGTGCGCGCCGGCTTCGTAGGCGTGGTCGAGCATGGCAAAGCGTTCCTCGTCGGGCTTGGGTTTGCCGTAGAAAGCTGAGAGACCCATGAGGCCATACCCGATGGCTGTCACCTCAGGGCCGTTCTTTCCGAGCTTGTGAGTAGGGAGTTTGGGAGCCATGTCGAGATGATTGAGGTGCAGATGTCTGGTCTGTAGTGGTTTGGAAGGGAAGAGTTGGGCGGATGTGATGGATGTCGACAAGGCTAGGTAGCGAGTAGTGGTTTGGGGTTTTATAGTTGCCAGTCGCGGGAGCATAATGTCACCAAGTCAAGGAAAGTCAAGGAGTCGTTCGGTCTTGAACAGGCTCAACCTTCAACTTGGATGCATCCATCCATCCATCCGCGAGGCGCGTCTCGTACCGGGCTTTAGCCAAATGCCGTTCGCTGCAGTTCGTTCATGGTTCACCTGTCTCTCACCATGCGAACCTCTGTCCCCCCTCCACCTGCGGTAGAGGGTGATGTCACGCATCCATTGGCCGCTGGTTGACACTGAGAATGAGCCGAAAGCGCCGTTTTCTCCATCTCGCCATCCCCCATCCCGAACCTTGGCCGTTTCTCTCTTTGCCTCTTGTCCCAATCGCGCGCGGCTTTAGGGGTTTGTCGTTCCCTCTTCGAGCTCCATGAAGCTCCATCGATTACTAAGGACTGAGACTAACACGGATGCATGCGGCCGCCCTGCCCGCCTCGAATAACTGTCAAGGCTCTTGATCCTTACCATCTCGTGGATCAATAGACGTCGTCGGGCGTACACTACCGCCAATCTGGGATAAGTCATTGCTGGAATTGGAAGGCCGCGTCTCCAGCCATACGAACCATCAGCCTTACCTACGAGGTGGGTTACTTCCCAGATATAAAACCCCCATCCATTGAGCCTCGTCCGGTTCTCAGGCTGGCAAATCATTCTTACCAGGGCTTCCTCCATGCTCGGCCACACTGCGCCCATCACCACCTTCCCTTTCTGAAGACTATGCTCCCTGCACAATGACTAACCATAATACCCTGAAATGATGCGGGATGCATATTCAGATGTGATGGTCACGCAACGACTTGGGCTGAAGCATACGTATGCGTCCCCCGCGTGGTATGATGGTGGCCAGAGCGGCGTGAGCGGGTTGTGCAACCCTTGCAGGCAAAAAGCTTCGATGCAGGTTGAGACTGTTGGCAACGGGATCCCAGACTTCAAGAAGTCACTCAACATTCACCCAGCATCACAGGTCCCACACGTCCTGGTATTGGGCAGGTTTGAACCTCGCGCGGGCATCCGACGGGCAACAGCCACCCTGCATTACCCCGTATGACGGTGCACTATCTCCATGTCCTTCACTGGCGCCATTGTAGAACATGTCCTCAGTTCATCACAGCTTCTCTGTAAGCATCGCAGTAGCGTCCAAGGTTCCCCGCAACTAAATCTGCCTTTTCAATCTCTGCTTCGTCCTGAATACTTGAGACAGAGTAGCTGCCTAGGTTGTTCGTTCCTATTCTGCCTCTGACAAAAGTCCAGCAAAAGACGTCCCCTACGAGGCCGCTGTCTCCGGTGACTATGAATATTGTACCTCGAGCTCCAAAAGTTCTCTGGAGATCGACACTTTTGCCAGTAGCACATGGTGATCTTTTGGGAGCTAACCCATATCAGCCGCGCAGATCTCCTCTTCCTCTTCGTGTCAGCGCACCAGAAACATTAGTCCCAGAGGGATGCACTCCTCCAAGAAATAAAAGGCTAGAAAAGCACCTGATGGTTGCTTGGCCTCGGCTGTCGCCTAATTACCTAGGTAGGTAGCGAGGTAGGTATGTATCACATAATATTACACACACATCAAGGGAACAAGAAAAAAGAAGGAGCTATTTGTACACAAATTGTAGAATAATAATAATCCAATCCACTTCTCTCTCTCTATACAACGCCTCTCTCTCACCAGGTCTTCTCCAACCTTTTTCTAACCGAGTTCCTTCTAAAAATGACCACCCGCTCGCACCGTCTAGCCCGCCTGATCGGCCCGGCCCTCTTCACCATCACCCTGTGCGAGACACTCAACGCGCCCATCTTCGCGAGCAGCACCGCGCCGACGGTTTTCCTCAACGGCTCCGTCATCTTCGTCTCCGGGCTGGCCATCGTCCAGGCCCATAACCTCTGGCGCCGCTCCTGGCCCGTGCTGGTCACCTTGGTGGGCTGGGGGGGTGTCGCGCTCGGGTTGGCGCGCATGCTCGTTCCGGAGAAGGTACTGGAGAGTGTTAAAGGGGCGAGGGTGAGGGATGTGAGGATCGGTGCGGCGGTTGTCGCGGGGGTTGGGGCGGTGGTCTCGTGGTTTGGATATTTCGGATCTTGACGCCCGCCCCCGGGCTTTAGAGGGGAATAGGGGCGTGGATCACTGCAGGCCAGTTATACGATCACGACGACTCAGTCGGGCATGGACACCGTTTTCGTTTCGCAAAAACCGCCGAAAAATTGCGTCTTCTGGGCCGCGTGGTGGTTCGAAGGAGAGCCGGACCCGACTTGTCTCTCCTCTATCAGACCGCGCCAGCTACGATGAAGACAGAGAAAACCCCTCCTGAATGTTTTGAGCCACAATTCTAGGATACCTCCCTCACAGCCCTACCTACATATGTTCTCCCTGGAATGCCTCCTAGTCCCGTCGCTCCGACGAAGAGGGCTCCCCAACAAGAACGAACAGCATGAGTTCGCCGGCACGGTTTGGTTTTCCTTGTTGCTACCAACGCCGGAATGTCTCGGCAGTATTGACACGGGGTGGGCCATGTGTGACTACTCTTCATATCAGTGCTGTTATTGATTTCTATAATCTAGCTTCTAGGATCGCTTTTTCTAGCTGAATCAAGGGACCTTCCCCTTCCCCTGTCCTCTTGAGGCTCCTTCCTTCTTTCTTTGTACAGTGCTCCGCCTAGTCTAGATCAGACTGCTAGGCCTTCCCTCGCGACTAACGAGACAAGACATGCATGACAAGACATGACAAAGTATGTCATGACGCCGCAACCTACCGCAAGGGAGAAAGGCGATGGGGAGATGGCGATGGAGGATATAATCCCAAATCATGGCTTGGCAATATCCTCACTCCGAATCTCCGTCGTCCCCTTGTCCGCATAGATGTCGTCGGCCCCGTCCCCGCGACTGCCGTTGACATTGACGGCGGTGGAGAAGCCTTTCTCGCGCACGACGCCGCCTTCGGTGTCGCGGAGGGCCTGCTCCTCGATCTTGCGCTTCTCCTCGTCGGACGCGTCGTACCACTGCGTGGCGACGTGCATGTCGTCACCGAAGACGTGGCCGATCTCCTCGAGCGTGCGGCCCTTGGTCTCAGGGAAGAAGAGGTAGATTATTACGATGTACTGGCAGATGACGAGTCAGTTGTTTAAATCTCAGGACAGATGATAGAGGGAGGTGGTAGAAGGATATGGGGCTAGGTTTAGGGCTGGTAGATTTCTCAAACTCACCACGGCAGACGGAATGATCAAGACCAGATAGAACCGCCAACCAATCTTGTTCAATGCAACAGGTGCAGCGACCAAGGTGACTTCGCTGGCCAGGTAAAAGGCCGACAGGCCCAGCGCGACGCCGGCGGGACGCAGATGGTTGGGGAAGATCTCAGCCACATAGACATACTGCGTGGCGTCGATAAAGAAGCACCACCAGATGATGTAGAACCAGATGAAGAAGACAGCGGCGCGCAGACCGGCCGTGTTGGTCGTGTTGAGGAAGGAAGCGGTCAGGGCGCAGAGGAAGATGACAGAGACGACGCAGCCGCAGGAGCCGATGAGCATGAACTTGCGCCGGCCGAAGCGGTCGATGAAGAGCGCCGTCCAGGTGTTGCCGATCAGAGTGAATGTCGTCCAGCATGCGTTAAGGAGCAGCGGAATTGACCCGCTCAGCCCAAGGCTGGCGTATATCAGTACCCCCTATACCAAAGTATCAGCAACCAAACTTTTGACCACCTTCTCTGCAAGAAAACAAGAGACAGCAGCTTACGTAGTTGGTCATAATAAATATGCCGAGGAATTGATTTCCCCACATCAAAACGAAGGCCATCAGGGCCCGTTTCCTGTTCGCAGGGGTGCTGAATAGTTCGAACCGGCCGCGAGACATCTGAGCGTCCATTTCGTATTGTTGCTCCATGAGCCAGAATTCACGGCGAGCAGTGACGTCCTCTGGGTCGCCAGGAGTCCTGTGGAGCCGCTTGACCACGTCTAGGGCCTCTTGTCGCCGGCCCTGCGAGAGGAGCCAACGCGGACTGAAGGGAACCATGTTGCTCCCAGCCAGCAAGATGGTGGGAAAGACGACCTGGAAGGCCAGAGGGAACCGCCAGGCGAATTGTGCGGCAGGGTCAGTGGCCGACATGTGGAAACAGGCGTAGCCGAGCCATCCTGCGAGAGCATAGCCGACGGCGTACATGATACCAGTGACGCAGACCATGGCGCCTCGTGTCTCTATTGTCATAGAATTGCATCGTTAGAGACAGAACATAGATGAGGCAGAAAGAAACAGTAACCTCACATACCTGGTGTGGACACCTCTGCTTGGTAAATGGGGACCACACAAGCCAGAATTCCTGAGCCCATGCCGGCGACAAAACGCCCGACAAGGAACATGGCCATATCAACCGCTCCGGCACACAAGGCACCCCCAACGATGAGAATGAGGGAGCCTATCTGCATCGTACGCTTGCGGCCATACTTGTCGGAAGACCATGCTTGTGAGATACATCCTGCTATTGCACCGGCGGAGTTGACGCCGTTCAAGGCTCCGATCATGTTGGTGGTGTGGTCATAGCCAGGCTCTCCCTGAGTGGCCAAGTGGAAGTAGGAATAGAAGTTGGGCTGGCCCACGGTCGAGCCGATGATGGCGAGGCCATAGGCAGTGGAAATGGTGCCCAAGGCCACAAACACCACCACCCAAAGGTTATAGTTGTTTACGATGATTTTGTGCAACATCTTGACGAGTCAAGAGGGCAAAAGGCTTGCTTGGGACAGGGGGAAAAGGCAAAGAAAAGGTGAGAGCGGCACTAGCAAAGCATCAGGAGGTAGATACCTGTCTTTGTATGTGTACTTCGCAGTCTCCCCAATCGAGCACCGGTCGATCAATCCAACAGAAGGCTGACATTATCTCCAACTGTAGGCCGAGGGTAAGTGGAAAATGACCGCACGAATAGGCAATAATGGTGCCGATCACGTCGTTGCCCTCCATTTCTCTGACTCAGGAACGTAGGATTCATGTCCCGGGGCAGAGGTCCCAGGTACAGGACCACCAGGTGGGAGCCCCATGGAGGAGGAGAGAAGTGGATAAAAGAGAACCCACGCTATGCGGAGCCGGCGGTGAGATTATGGGTCTGTAGAGCTGCGATTGACGTGAGGTCGTACATGTCAGGCCCGGGGGCCGGAATTCGAGAGGTTCACAACAAGAAGCATTTGATTGATCGACAACAAGCTTTGATAACGACGTGAAGGGACACAGCCTTCTGAGAGGCTCTCGGAGAGAACCACAGCCACATCCGAGATAAACCCAAGATTTATGCACGCAATAATGGGAAAAAAGGTTCGCGAGGGTGCGGCTTCCAGCTGCTAAGCGGCGGCTATGGCATGAACTATAAAGTGTTATTCGGAGACGGACCGAGGCCCGACCATGGGCGATGCGTCATCATGGGAGAAGAGGCTTTCAGGGATGATGGACAAGGAAGAGGCAGGATGGAGGTCGAGGAGGTCGTGGTTGTGGTTTTGGGTATAGAAGGATAGATAGATAGATAGATATAGGTGGCAGGCGCAGGAAGTAGGAGCACTCGAGCATGCCTTCTATAGAGCATTTCGACAGGTTCTCTCGAGGTTCCCTTTCAGCTGGGGTCTTCGCAATGGTTGTTACGGACCCGAGTCACCCCCGAGTCTCGGCAAAATGAGGTGGGTAAAGAACGAGAAGAGGGCAGGGCGATGGGTGAAGTCTTAGAGTCAATGCCAACCTTCCAACTCCAAATCTGCTTCTCCACAAACCAGACAGTGAGCCTCACCTCGCCTCCTCCTCTCCACGCTCAATTTCCCCAATGCCCCCGGCCTCCAGGCTCGAGGTTCCTCTTCGCCCCAGTTTCGCCGTTCTTGCCGCAAGAGGCCTCATTGAGCCGACGGATTTTGCGGGGAGGAAAAACACCACCACCCACAACATCTGTTTTCCCAGTTACCATATGGAGGCGAGAGATATACAGTGAGGGATTATCGAGGCATTATTGTTACATTATTATTGCATGTTGCACCACGCCACGTACGTTCGCTAACTAGTTAGTCTCCCCCTCTATCATGACTGACCAAAATCATCCCATATACCCGGACTTACGGGACAAAGTCGCGCTGGTCACGGGCATCGGGCAAGACGGGCCCCCTAACGAGACGCAGAACTGGGGCAATGGGGCCGCGACGGCGCTGGCCCTGGCCCGCAACGGCGTCAAGGTGTTTGGGTGCGACCTCAACCTCGACGCCGCCCGGCTCACGAAGTCGCGCATCCAAGCCCTCGTCCCGGACGCCATCGTGGACGTGGCCGTGGCCGACGTCACCAAAGCCGCGGACGTGGACCGGTTTGTTGAGGAATGCGCCCGGAAGCACGGCGTCCGCATCGACATCCTCGTGAACAACGTCGGGCGCAGTGAAAAGGGCGGGCCCGCCGACATGAGCGAGCAAGTCTGGGACGCCCAGGTCGAGATCAACCTGAAATCCGTCTACCTCATGTGCCACGCGGTGCTTCCGAGGATGGAGGCCCAGGGCTCGGGCGCGATCATCAACATCAGCAGCGTCGCCAGTCTCCGGTATGTCGGGAAGCCTCAAGTGGCATATTCTTCGACGAAGGCTGCGATCACGGCATTCACCAAGCACACGGCCGTCATCTACGCGAAGAAGGGCGTCCGTCTCAACGTCGTCTTACCGGGGCTTATGTTCACGCCGCTCGTACAGACCCTGGCTAATAAGTATGCGGACGGCGACTACGAAGGATTCGTGCAGACCAGACACAACCAGGTGCCCACGGGCAAGATGGGGTCCTCGTCCGACGTCGCCAACGCCGTCGTCTTCCTCGCGAGTAATGTTGCTGCCGGCTACATCACGGGCCAGAAGCTTGTGGTTGACGGTGGCCTTGTGTCGAGCACCGGCAGGACGTAGAGCCAGAAAATGAGATACGAGGATACCTCTCCACTTCTTCCAGCTTTTACGGGTCGGGAGATACGAGTATACAAAACCTCCCTGGTCCGTCTGTTTCCTATCCGGAGGACCCAGTCTCCGCGAGGCCATACATTATATGTGTCACAGGATGGTCCCCCAGAAAAAGTGGATAGAGCAAATGCTCAGACTTGCAACGTGCATATCAATTAGTCAATCATTTGACGCTCCTCTTGCACCCCTTACCTCAATCTGTCATCGCCTGTGAAGTACCCAGTGCAGATACTGTAACTGTATACATGGACGTAACTTTCAACTCAGCTCAAGCACGACGCACGGAGAATCAACCCCCCTCGCCTGTCCCATGCGGTAATCGATGATCCGTTTCAGCTATTCCTGCATACCTACTGCATACCTCCTGGCTACCTACCAGGTAGATATGTACAACAGTACATAAGCACTACTTTACCCCGTGCTGCATGCCCCCCAATACTCCAACAACCCTCTCGGTTGATGAGATTACCGTAAAGCCGCCGGCACTGCAAGGCTGAAGGCCCCTTTCAGTCCGATGCACCCCCCTTCCCCATTTTCGTCTCCCCCCTCGCGTGCCGCCGTAACATAGTGTAGGATTGCAATCAGCATTGCAGTACATTAGCGAGAAGGGGTGGACCACGACACGCTGGAACCCTAATACATGGTGTCTCGTGGATCATACCTACACAGCATACGCATTGTATCTTGGAGTCGAGTCCGCCCATTTCTGCCTCCTTAGGAATTCAAAGGGGGGCACGACGATTGATCGGAGTCGTTATTTATATAAATGGCCCCTTAAATAGGGCAATCCCACCCCGCCCGGGCCCTGCGATTCGTGTGAGGACCTATTGGGGGACACAGATTGCATAGGTACCTAGTACCTACCGACGTAGACAGCGAGGGCCGATCACATATTCCACACGAGGAAGAGCAAGTTGATATTAGAAGTTGCCGTCGAGCAGCGATGCCAGGACTATTGGTAGTCCCAAGGGACTAGCGCTAAAGGACTATATCTTGGAGGACTAGGACTAGGACTAGAAGGACTATAGTCCTGGCACTTCGCTGGGTCATGAAAATCCGCATTAGGCAAGCGAATTGAGATCCAAGTTTCATTTGTAATCCATACCGACCTAGGTAGACATATAGGTAGACAAATACTTCCGATTGTCGAAGGGTAGGCGCCGTACACTCATTTCCTTTCCTCCCTTCCTAAATCTTGACCTCTAGAGCAAAACACAACGATGATATCTCGCCTTCTAGAATCTCAGATCCCAGCCAATGACTGGACCCAACTTGGGCAGTTCATCAGCTACACTCTGGACGTCCTTGTCTCCGCGTCCACTCAGGCAAATCACCAGCGTCTGATCCTTGGTCATCTCCTTCGCAACCTGCATGGCCCCGAAGATAGCATGACTCGATTCCAGCGCAGGGATGATTCCTTCCGTCTCGCTGAGCGTGCGGAACCCTATCAGGGCCTCTGCGTCGGTGGCACTGATGAATCGCGCTCTGGAGCTGTCTTTCCAGTTCGACAGCTCTGGTCCCACACCAGGGTAATCCAGACCGGCGGAGATGGAGTGCGTGTCACTGATCTGGCCATGCTCGTTCTGCAACACGTACGTCCTCACGCCGTGAAGGACACCTATTGAACCTCCAGTAAGGGTGGCGGAGTGCTTGCCCGTGTCGACGCCTTCGCCAGCCGCCTCGACTCCGATCAACTTCACTGAAGGATCGGTACTGAAGGGGAAGAACATGCCCACAGCATTACTTCCTCCTCCAACACAGGCAAGCACGGCGTCTGGCAGCTTGCCTGTCAATTCTTTCATTTGTTCCTTGGTCTCCTGACCGATGACGCTCTGGAAAGTGCGAACGATGGTCGGGAAAGGATGGGGGCCGATGGCTGAGCCGATGATGTAGTGCGTGCTGTCGAGATCCACGACCCAAGCACGTAATGCTTCGTTGACTGCGTCCCGAAGAGTGCGGGATCCAGCCTCGACCGCCACGACCTTGGCACCTAGAAGTTTCATGCGGAAGACGTTGAGAGCCTGACGCCGTACGTCTTCTGCACCCATGTATACGACACAATCCATGCCAAATTTGGCGCACACAGTTGCTGTTGCAACACCGTGCTGGCCTGCACCGGTTTCCGCAATGATGCGTGTCTTCCCCAACCGCCGTGCAAGAAGAATTTGCCCTAAGGCGTTGTTGATCTTGTGACTTCCTGTGTGATTCAGGTCTTCTCGCTTCAGGTAGATCTGCGCACCACCGACTCGTTCAGTCAGCCGGTCGGCCAGATGCAGCGATGAGGGGCGACCCATGTAAGGGTAGTATGATCTATACTCTTTCCAGAATTCTGGGTCGTTTTTGGCTTGCTGGAAGCCCTCTTCGAGTTCGGCCAAGCAGTCCATTAATGACTCCGGAACATACTGTCCACCAAATTGGCCGAAGCGGGCGGGAATGGCGTCAGGATTGGGAGCGGTGCCATTTGTGGACGAGTTGAGGGCATCAAGCTGGTCAGCAAGGCCTGGTTCAGACGGGACGTCGGCATCGGTTATCACTTTGTCGACCTGCACTTGGTGACCGTTGAGACCATTCGCAGCTGCGTTAGGTTCTTTTGCAGACTTCATGGTCTCGACAATACCCACTTCTCTCGTTAAGCCATCCGTCGTGTTGAAATCGCCGACCTTTCTCCCCGTGATTTGAGAGCAGTATTCTTGAACGGCCTTCGCCCGCTCACCTTGCTTCGCGTTGCCTAAAACTGTGACGATCTGACTGCCGATCACCACTCCCTCAGCAATTTGTGACACACTCAGGAAGTGTTCTCTCGTGCTCACACCGAACCCAACTGCCGCAGGGACACCACCGGAGTACTGATGTACCCTCTCTAACAGCTCAGGAAGCTTGGTGTTCAGTGTGCCCGTGGCGCCGGTCACGCCCATCCGCGACACAACGTAGATGAACGAGTCCGCAATTTGACATAGCAGCTTCATTCTCTTCTCCGATGTCGCAGGGGCAATCAGCGGCACATAGCTTAATCCGGCCTTTGTGCAATTGTTGCGAAATCTTACAGCCTCCTCCGGGGGCAAATCGACCATGATAAACCCGTTGACACCGGCCTCCTTGCAGTCCTTTAACATGCGATCTTCGCCGTAGCGCAGCAGCGGGTTATAATAGCCCATGAAAAGGACGGGGACTCTAAGGCCCTTTTTTCTGGCGTCGCGTACGAACTGGAGGGTTGAGGTGACGGTGATCCCATTGGCGAGAGCGACGGTGTTTGATTTTTGGATCGTGGGCCCATCAGCGATGGGGTCTGTGAAGGGAAGGCCGAGCTCGATGATATCTGGAGAAAACGTCAGAACAACGCTTTGATACGGCTGAGAGGTATTGTTGTTCCCTACCAACACCACCGGCTTGTAAACCGAGCATGATATCTGGAGTCTCTTCAGCGGTGGGATAACCCGCAGTAAAGTAGCCCACGAGGGCTGTCCTTCCCTCCTTCTTGCATTGGGCGAACGTCTCTTTGAGGGCCTGCATGTCGGATATGGGGAAAATGAAGGTCGAAAGGGTATGGGTCTCAGAGGAGAAGGGTTGGGGACGGCGAGAATTTATATTCCAATTGAGAGAGGTACCGTTGAGTCAGGCGGTCGAATTGGGTTAGATCAGAATCTGACAGGTTGTGAATACAGCGGGCCCCTCCGACTTAAGAACGAGGCAAGGGTATGATGGTATGGAGGAGGTCAACCACGTTAAGAATTAGTTCCTTTCAACTCATGGTGTTGGGTGTTGCAGACCGTCTTTGATTGCGATGGCGGGCGCACCCCCCGGTTGCGGGCCCAAGAAATTTTGCCGCAGTCATGAGCTAAAGGTCCTCCGTCCCTGCATAAGTCTAGAAGGGCTCCAGCCTCATCAGCCCCGCCGAGATCGGCCCGCACCCCTCATCAGCCTCGTTGCGCAGCCTCGCGTGCCTCGTCCATCATGCTTCACTGCCATGGAATGAATATGTACCGGCCACCAGGTCATTCTCTGGTCCTGTTTGATGGATTTCGGGGTAATTGAGAGATGTGGATGTATAAAGTACCCAGATAGACCGCATTGAAACCAGTTTCTTGCTGTACATTCGTGATATAACATAATTGAACACTGCCAGGTGGCGGCTAATGCACTCGACGAATACCCGCTCCATGTCCACAAGTATCTCTCCCTTAGAAAGTGCAAACCCATATCCAATAAAGCCTAGACGGCGGCATTCGTCCTTGGGTTCAGTTTGTGACTCACAAAGTCTCGCTTGGTAGCCGCCAACTCAACGTGCGTCGACTGCTCCGAGATGATCAAGGTGATTGAGGCGACCTCATCAGAGTAATGCTTCGCAGCTTCCAACTCATTCCATGAAAGCAGTCGTACTGCTCCGAGAAACGCAATGTGGCTGAGGGTCTGCAACATTTCTCGTAGATCTCCGGGGTCCGTCCCTTCACTTTGACCGTTTCACCAGATCCTCCATTTCTCGCAATGTCTGTACATGGGCGAGCTTGGGTTTGACAACTCCGCTCTCCTGTTCACCGTCTGCCATGGCTCCTTCAATGTCATCTGGAACCACAGTCACAACGCTCTCGGTGACACTGTCCAACTCCTTTGTCTGTTTCCTTCTCTCCCATATCTCCAATCCCTTGTTGATACAGGCCGCTATCAAGACAAGCACAGAACTCACAATGGGCCCCCATTGGCCGATTGCCATACTTGCCTCGTTCGTCGGCAAGCCCCCTCGTAACAAGGTGACTTCATTCATGACAATATTACACACCATGAGCGGCAAACACAAAATATCGATGGCCAACCCCAGGATCAACCATGGGATGACGAACGAAGACAAGCCCAACTTCCTGAACGACCACTTGGCCCGATGCACGTAGCCAAGCAGTGCGAAATACCCACCATACCACCTTTCCATACTCGCCTTGTAAACCGTTTTAGTAAATTGCTCTCGGTGGCCCGGATGAATCAGGTAGCTCATGACCAACTTCATACACAGAGTCGATGGAGTATGCTCCTGTACGTCAATACTGAGCGCCGCGTAGGCCGCAAACTGGATCGGTCCGACCAGCACATATGTGAGTGTCCTGTACTGTGAATTGTTCAAAATGCTGTGGGGGATGGCCATGACTTCAGATGCCTGCCTCATCGGCTTCGTGATGTTGAAGCAGCTGTAGCTGCAGTTCGCAAAGTCCGGATTCATCCATTTCTGTATGGGATACTCCAACAGCATTCCCTGTGGAGAGTAACAGGCGGGTTCAGGCGGGTCCAGCGGCGTATCGAACAGTTCCGACCTCCCAAAGATCAGGCTGGTGCCTACCAAAAACCCCCAACAGATCATAACAACCCGGGCGCGTGTTCCTCTTAGTGTGGAACTCCAATGGATAATACCAATATAGGCGAGAGCACCTGTCGATAACACTGCCCACGCGGCCATGATATCCAGGTCGAAAATTCCTGTTTTGCTGGTCACCAGAGCCATGAGGTGGACTGCCGAGGCCCCTGCGTACGTGAGCGCGCTGACGAGGGCCCCGATGATGAGCCATTCTGTCCTGCGACCGAAGATGGCGAAAACCAAGGTTACATAGTATAGAAGACGAGGAAGGAGACCGTAGGTGCCAGAAATTGGATAGACGCAGTTGATTTCGGTGACTGGGCCTCCAGAGCTGTTGTTGTATATGGTCTCAGAGAGACTAGACATGATCTCCAGACGTGCGCTCAAGAGACTTTGAGCGCGGATTGAGTTGAACCAAGATTTGCAGTTCTTTGCTCATTAGAGCTCGTCGAATCTGGTCGCATCGTTGTCACGGTTGGCTGTTTCGCATCTGCGGCACTGTTGATGAGCCGTCTTGGGCGACAGATCGAAGGGCGCAACTATTGGGAGACAACGACGAGGAGGATGTCGGAAAAGCTGAATGGGAACGACGTTAGCGATCAGCACGTTTTGGGGGCGATCTTGGTTGGCGTGGTTGGGAGCGGAATACGAGTACGAGCAGCCTCAGCGAACCTTGTCAGTTTCCATTGGTTGCATCTTCAGTGCCACCCGTGGCTTTGTCCCAAGGTATAATTGGACATAGACGGCCTTTAGTACCTAGGTACATCCAGTATCATATACGAGGTACAAGAGATACAACGTGCCAAACATGCTCTATATCTCACCCAAGGACTATATCCTCCCATTTAGGCCCGGGCTCGAGAGCCCTGTCCAACGCGCCTGCCAATATCCGCCCCAGCCCTTCGCGGTAATATATATCGTCTTTCCTGGAGACCAACATGACAATATAAACGCCATAATTCCTTCTCGCCAACAAGTCCTCCACGTCATCCGGTAATGTGCCTTCCCAGATAGCTAATTCATCATCGGTAAACAGACTCACCCTGGACATGACCAAGAAATCCAGCGGCGTCCCAACCCGGTGCATCCAAGCCGCATCAAGGTCAATAGTGCCACACCACAATCCGTTCCGATCAGCAATCCCTGCTCTGATCAGTCCAGGGTCTGCGGGGGCAGGTCGTACAGTCGATAAAGCGCTCGGGCCAGTAAGTCTCTTTCTCAGGGGTGAAATGACTGATTTGTGAATCAGTGCCGGTGAAGTGAGTTTGAACTGCACTGTGACAGTCCGGAAGTGTAATAAAGGAAGCATAGTGCTCAAGTTGTGACGCGACATCGGTCCAAGGTCCTGAGGGAAGGGTATAGGTGGTGGTATACGATCGTAGGCTTGTTTGGGGAACGAATGGATGCCGTCGGCCTGATCAGCATGCCATTCAATCCACGAGCGGGCCACCTCGGTGAACTTCCATTGTATCTCCCCCATCCAGCCGGACCACGACCAACTCGGAAACCCGGGTCGGCGAATCAACCTTTTCGTCGACTCCCATAACAAAGACGGATCCATCATTGTCTCCAGTGTGCCATAGAATATTTTATCTGCTATCCGCTTTTCCAACACCAGCTGCACCCCTTCGAAGGCGTTCAGGATGTCGTTGGGGTTCGTCAACTCTCGTCGGGTGTATAGCTCCACCGCTGATGTGAACTGAACAAAGGGTTTCTCGCGGAAGATTCTGGTCGGCATGTCAATCGAGTCCAAGGACCAGCCGTTGGATCGCGGCATCTCCATATCTTCGCAGAAGGTGGTCCGCCGGCACTGATAGTATATCCGTCCGTTCACGAACAGCAGACACCGCCTTGATAGCATTCTCTCCTGGAAAGTCCAGGCACGAGAATCCCATTGTGAGGTTGAAATGTAATCTGCAAGCAGAATATGAGTATCCGACACAGAATTTCGGGGTCCAGACTTACCTTCAGCGAGATGAGACACCATTAGCCGCAAGCCAGGCTTGACCTCTTCGATCTCTTGATGGAATGTGCGAGATTCTTTTCTTACTCCTGGGAGACCAGCATTCGCATCCTTGCCCGAACCTGCCACCACGGTCAGAGCAGCTCTTGCATACACCCAGTCGTCATGATATTGGAATCCATCGTCATGCAACAGTGCCAAGCTATCCGTCCACAGATACTTCTCTCCTAGCATTTTGGTGAGCTTGATGGCGTCCTTGATCGTGCGAGGAAGCTTTTCCTTCTCGAGCGCACCCGGTTGTGACAGTTTCGGCAGGTTTTTAGAGGTCGTAAACAGCTGGGCAAAGTTTTTGCCCCAAAGATAACTCAAGGCGACATAGCGGGATGACTGGGGGCATTCGACAATGCACATCTTGTCCACATCGATCGCCCGAAAGACATCCTTTGGTTGTCCCAAGAGATCGGGGTGTACCAGTGACTCTTCACACTCCATCCCGTGGTAGGTCTCGCAATCGTGGAGCCATTGACGAAGTTGGTGAGGATCGAGCAGGTCAGGAGAGGAGATTCTGCGGCCGAAGAATTCTCGAATTGGAGCGTCGTCTGCAAGAAGGACTATATATCCATCTTTGAATGCTTGAGGGTCACTGTATATCAGTAACCGTCGTGTCCTAGGCTTGAATATATGTTCTCCAGGGCGATTGGGATCGGGTCCTAAATCTTCCTGCCCGTCCACCACCCATCGTGCATAGCACAACGGATCATCGTCGGCGTGGAGACTCGGACTTCGTTGATCAGAAGGACGGTCGGCTATCTCGAGCACCAGGCGGCAGTGAGGGCAATGGGTTTTATGGCGAATGTGGGACAGCCTGCCCAAATATCGAGGCCGATGCGTCTTTTCAAAGTCACGGGCATCATCTTGGATATAGAACGACTCGAGGTTTAGATCTAGACGAAGGCAGGTGTCGCAGAGGTAGGATTGTTCTGGGGGAGTACGATCGTCCTGCAACGCCGTTAGCGAGCCCCGAACTCTGTGAGGATTTGGGCAGGGGCAGAGCGCACTGCTGCTTTGATCCAGCTCGAGGGAAGACGTCCGAGATGTCTGAACTTTTTAGTCAAATTCAGGATCGAGGTGGAATGAGAACCAGAACCCTCTGCAGGCTCAGGTGTCGACATCTGGGTGCATTTGGAAGGTTTGTTTCCAGATCGCAGTAGTGGGGACCTAGAAGGTGATTGAGATGGGGAAGGAGATGGGGAAATCGACAGGGAGAGCGTTGGGCACTGGAGGCGATCGCTTGCTGCCGTTGCTGCCGACGCCGGGTCCTTTGCTGCAGCCTGGGAGCGGGAGACTGCTGCACCTACAGAGCCCAGAGAGGGGCTCAAGGCCGAACTGGACAGGGCCATTGACAGAGCCGCAGCCTGAGCTGCGATGGGCGGGAGAATGTTAAGACTACAACTGAACCAAGTCCAACTGCGGTGCAAGATTATAAGATTATTTCATCCTTACCAATATCTTTGATCTAACTACCTAGGTAGGTAGGTACGATCCCATAATTATTATTTCCCTCGCAACCGACAAATCCTCCAAAGCAGCCCAGACACCCACCAGATGATGGCCTAGGTAGTGGGCATGGAATCCCCCTCGCCGCAGCCCCCCCACATTGCTCTCCTGGAAAACACCTTGAACGGTGCCAAATCCGTAGGGGTGGTGGTCCTGGTGGAGCCGCTGATGGGCTGGATGAGGCTATTGTGAAACAAAAACGACTGGCTGAAGCATCTGTTTGCCTTTCTCAGCTTTCCTGCCATTATGGGCCTCAGTGGCCTAGCATCCCCGGCAGGGTCCGATGCCTGTCACAGCCTCTATGGCAAGGAAGCTGCCACATAAGGCCGCCCATTCGCCTCAGACATGGCGAAACTCGGTGCCTCATTAGGCTCGCCCCCAACGACAAACGCAAAACGGGAGCTACGCTTCGGCCCATCGCCCGGGGCAGCTGCCCGTCAAAAAGGATTCCAGTATCGGATATTTCCCCCTTCAAGGGCTTATTGTCGAAAAACCCAGTACTGTACACGGCTTCGTGACTTTCTATTCATGGCTGATTTCGTGATGAAATCAAAATGCACGAGAGCAACCACGTCGTCTTGGATGAATGCGCAGGCTACAGTGCTTGGATTGACTCTGCAACCGCTTAACACGAGCCAATGCCCGGATTGGGGCTCAACCCGCTGCATTGCGCCAGTTCCGGCAGTGAAGGCCAGGATGTTGGCCTGATTTCCCAATACGAAATGCATCTCCATGCCAATGGTGTGCACCTTGCCTCCAGGTATATATGGCCTGCCTTACCCCTTCAGCCGTAGGGCAGAACAACCCATCGTTCGATTCTTTTCGACCCTGTGCTTCAGCCTCACGAGAAACAAAAACTGCGGAAGTCGCCAGTTGCGAAGCGCGTATCATTGAGCGCTCCAGTCCAGAATGTGACTGGACTCCTTGAGGCTTAACCTAGGATTCGTGCACACATCAAAATGCGCTGGATTGCCAATTTCAATGACTTGCAGCTTGACATTGTCGGTATCATTGCGGTGCTGGGAGAAGGATCCATAACTCGAAATGCTCAAGTAACAAGCCTTTCTTGGTGGTCCACGGTACCTAGGCTTATGCCAGCTCCGCACGCCCTGCTCGAACCTGAACGGAAATACCGCCTGCCTACAGCTGCTGGAATCGTCGCCGGAGCGTATAGCGGCATGGTGAAAAAGGAAATCAACTTCTTCGCCCAATTGCTGCACCCCGAGCCTCTGGAAGATTACCAGGTTGAGCTTGTCCAGGTTACGCGAAAGGTTGCGCCTGCAGGACCAAAGACACTTCGTTCATTTGGTCCTAAGAAGTATGGTCCGCTGTTCTGGGTTTCGATTGTCGGAAGTGCCATGGCTCTGGCTTTAATCGCGCTCTCCATCTATTACCACGATGGCTTCTCCTTGTTGGCTACCATCATGCTGTCGATGGTGAGCTCATTCGTGGGATTTGGTACTCACTGGAGTTTGGTCTTCCAAGAACCGAAAGTGGAAAGGGAAGGGAAAGGGGTTATACCTCGCTCCGATGTCATTATTTACTATCCCAATGTGAGTCCGCGGCCATCGTGGTTGCTTTTCTCTTTGGCGGAGGCGGTCGGACAATAACAGCTTCTCGACGGAAGTCTCGCCTCACCCGGGACATTATACAGGTTGACAAGATCCGCATCGAACTTCCTCACTTATAGACTGCTTATTAGGGATCAATTCGAGTAATTCGGCCGGGCTCCGAACATATTGCCCGCCTGTATTTCCAGACGGAGCATGCACAATATGTGATTGACGGTAGGCTGTCGCTGCCATCAAAGCAGGCAAATACTGACCTACCTCGAAATAGACACTCCGTATCGTACCCTGGCCCTGTTCTCGACTGTCATGCTTATGACAGGAGTGGTGTCTCTGGCGAATGCATCCAACATTCTTCAAGTGGCCTTCGCTGCTTCGTATATCTTGTTGAACGTCCTCTACTGGGCTGTCTCTGCCCTAAAACCTTGCAAGTATCATTGGCAGCATGAATACAAAACCGAAGTCATGCCGATACAACATCTGCAGAATCAGGAACCTGACGGACTAATCGTCATCGGACGGGTCGAGGAGTTCAAAAAGAGGGTCAGAGATGAATGGCGTCGATTCCAAGAGGCCTGGATATTGGAGAAAAAGCGAAGTGGGGCCTACAAAAGAGCCGAGACTGTTTTCGAGAAGAACAAGGAGGCAAGAAACTTCACCGGCGCGCTGTGGACTGCCATCGTTCTGACCGGCACGTCTCAATGGCTGAATGAAGCAACCACCATCGCACCGATGAACGCTGCCTGGAAAGAGTGGCTGCGCGAAGCTGGCGACCAAGTCCGACCCAGACTCGAGGACGGTGACAGTCCTGGCAGACCCAACGATGAATGGGACGGTCGGTTCGAGCCACATCGCCGGCCGCGTATTCTGACGGGCCTGGACTGGAGTTTCACGCCTGCGACCAAAGAGAACCTGGGATCTTCTTCCCGCAAGCGCCGAATCAAGATCAAGTCCTGGGATTACCAGGGCCGGCTCACCGAGATCCTGCGCAAGCACGCGCCCCAAACGAGGCTGCCCCTTCCAGACGAGATCCCCGGGGAAGACGCCTCTGCTGCCGCAGCGGCTTCGGAGAAGGACCGCTTGATACCTGCTGTGGCTGAGGAGGTGTGAGGTATGTTTGCACGGGTCTCTTTCTGGACGACTTTCCATCCAAGACTGTTCCTTAAGTGGTACGACAGTATCACTCTGGGAGTGCTGAGCCTCATTTCCTGTGTTATTGTATTTGGGAAACTTCATGTTGCACCTCAGCCACTTTTTGTCGTTGTTGGTTGCACGGCGCGTTTCTGGGAGTCAGATGTGATCACCATTAATCAAGTAGCTCGCCGGCTTTAATTGAACGAGATTATGACTTGAATAAACTTAAACGCTCCGGTCCGTGTTTTACATACCTAGAAATCAAGCTCTGCCTCCCGTTCCACCATTCCCCTTCTCCCATGCGAGGATGCGGATTGCTTATGAACCGACAACCCCCCTCTCCATCCATCCATCCATCCATGGCACCTCTCGAGGTTCCTCACCCCTCTCCTCCTCTACCCGGACCTGTGGCGATCACTCCTCCCTCCCCAACACAAGCCGCCACGCCACGGGCTCGACCTGCACGACCACCCCTCCGTCATCGTCCGCCGTGAAGACAAAGTAATCCAGCGCCTCGAACCCGTAGGTTTGCAGATCAATCCCCGTCCACGACTGGCAACTACCCTGGGGGAAAAAGAGTTGCGCGTCAAAGGCCGCGAGTTCCGCCGCCGAACTCGTCTGGTACACGGCGCGCCAGGCCGTCTGGTTCCCCGACCCGAGGTTCGTGGGGTAGAGGCGGATGGCGGTGGTCGTGTTGGTGTCGGCTCCCCCGAGGGTGGCGGCGTAGGTGCCGAGCACGTCGACGCCGCGGGCTGAAAAGGTCGAGACGGCGAGGCCGTAGTCGTCGACGACGAGGGTGATGGTGCTCGTGGTCGAGTTTGTCCCGCTCCCGATCCCCGGCGAGGACGGGGAGGTGTATGTGCCCGCATACCTGTGCGCGGCTTCGCTCGTGGCGGCGTGCGCGACCGGTGGCAAAAGCGCCCGCACCAGCGTCGAGAAGAGCACCTGGATCGCGGCGATGGAGCTGTCGGGCCCGGCGAGATTCATGGTCATGACCAGGTCGTAGTCCGGCACCAGCGCCAGGATCGCCGTGTAGTCGCCCAGGTTGCCGGTCTTGGTGTAGAAATCGACCACGTGCCCGTCCGCAGTGAGGTTCGCGCCGCGCGCGATCTCCCACGGTGCCCCGACGTAGACACCGGCCGACGAGGTGAAGGTTCGGGGTTTCAGCCACGCGCGGGCCTGGGCCGGGGCGAGCAGGGTTTTCGTATTCGACGACACCGACGACGACGACGATAGGATCGCGGCCCCAAGGGATAGGAGGTCGTTGTTACTCGAGTAGATCCCGCCCGAGCTACAGCACCGCAACGCATCGTTAGTCAGGGGCCATTGCTTTTTCTTTCTGCAATCCGCCCGGGGGGAGGGGCCACGGGTGAGACTTTACCTGTTCTCGTAGCCCAGAGACGTCCCCCACCAGCTGGTCGCGGCAGGAATGAACCCCAGAGAGCTGTTAGCGGGAGCACCGACGAACGTGCGGGTGAGATTGGCCGGCGTGAAGATGGCGTCTTCGAGGTACACCGCGTAAGTCTTCCCGCTGACGTTCTCAATCACTCGACCGAGGAGCGAGTAGCCGATGTTCGAGTATACCGGAGTCGTGAAGGGTGCGTAGACAGGAGGTCGTCGACCGAAGTTGTCGAAGAAGTCTAGTCACATTATCACGCAGAGTGTCAGTCAGTCAGTCAGCGGGCACAAGGATTGTGGTGCCAGAGGCCAGAAACGAACCGTTCCAGGTGCATCCCGGAGTTCCAGGGACTCCGCCACAAGAAAGTGAGTCTTGGGATTGAGTCAGTGGAGGGAGGCCAGTCTCTTCGGTAATGCCGGGCACATATGGGATAACGTTGTTCGTGACTGCAATTCGCTCCATGGTGTCAGTCAATTTCATCTCCCATCCCTCCCCTACTCCGCCGGTCTCGAGTGGTTTATATACGCACGGTCTGCACCGATTCCGCCCAGATGGCTCATTAGAGCATCCACAGTGACAGATTCCCAATCGACGGCCAGTAGAGAGTCTTCTTGGCTCTTATTGGACATTTGCGCGAGCCGGGGGACATATTTCGTGATCGAATCCGCTAGGTCAACTTTCCCTTGCGCTTGCAGCTGGAGGATCGAGAGAGCCGTCAAGAGCTTGGTCGCACTGCCGATGGAATAGACCGTGTCGCCATCAACATTGTGCGTGCCACTCTTGTTGAATACTGGCGGGGTGTAGTGGAAGCTCAGCAGAGGTGCTGACTCGTGGACGGACCTCACGCCCACCGAGAGGGCCGTGGCATTATCGAGTGAGGAGGAGCTGAAATTTTGGAGCTGAGCAGTGATGGCCGCGAGGACCTGTTGCAGCTGCACATTCTGCGTCAGGTTTGTTGGTGAGGGTAGGATGGGGCCCAAGGGTGGGCATTGGAGTTGAGCTAGGAGAAGAGTGAAGTGGAACGAAATGAGTAAATTGAAGGTAAGCCACGATATATGAGCCATGGCAGGGAGGTTAGAATCGGGTGCTGCGCAGAATGGGTGAAATTCTAGATGCTCAGGATCGTAGGGATTGGACACCCAACTGTCAAGAGGATTGTATATGTCGTGAACAGTGCATGACCGAGATGAGCACACAAGCCATACTTATACAAAGTAAAACAGGGCTGCCTGCACAGCCGTCAAAGCCACTGCGAACGTCCACGTTGTATCTTCTGCAGGAAACATGTGCAGAGAGTTGACGCTAGACCAGGTAGGAAAGACTGTGGTCCTGGGAATAGAATCACAGCCAAGGGAGGATGGGCCACCATGGACATTGTCCAGACTTGCGACTCATGTACTTGACTGCGTCTGGGGAAGAGAGCGAGGAGATGGGTAGCCATGCTCGGGTTCATAACTAGATGGGCGCTTTGGAGACAATTTGCCTTCCGGTAGCATGACGAACCCCGCGTGTGGCTGAGACCGATGACAACAGGCAAGTTGGTGAATGAGCTGTGGATTTTGAGTTCCTTCAATGAGAAGAAGATCGAAGGGATGAAGCCCGCGACACACTCGTGACACTGCACCACGAGTGATAGTGAGAGGATGCTCGGATGTCGGAAACCGCACCGGATGGGGAAAGGTCGGCAAGGCTGCGCAAATGGAGACGTTGCAATGAGTCTGTCAGAGTCTGGGGCCGCAGGGCACGCGAGATTGCTGTATGTACCGTGGATGCGTGATCCGTGAGTTGATTCCAGGCACCCAAACTGTAATGCGCAATCCCAGATCAGGATGAAAGCTTCTTCCAACCTTTTTTACTTGAAGAGTTGTATACTCACTTTGAATGATGACAAACGGTGAAACCCATCTTCATTCCACAACTTCCAGAGTCTCTTGCCTGGTATGCCAACGTTGGGGACTGGTTGTATCGTATATGAGATATGTGACGTCCACAAACGTCTTTCCAGCTTTGCGATAGTTCAGTCCAGCAAGCACATCGTAAAAGAGCATCGGCCCGCGATCAGGGATTCCAGACGGATCTCCTTCTGGGCCAAAGGCCGCCAGGCCCTCTTCAAGTTCCATCACTCTTGTCGCAACACGAATCAGTTCGGATCTATGCCATAATCCCTCCTTGGCCCCCGTCAGATGCATCAACTCAAGGGCTTTCCTTCGGACGCCAGATTCCCGACATTTGAGTGCTGTAAGGTAGAGCGGTGCCAGGAAGGACCCTTCAAAGGAAAAGCTCCTGGCTTCATCTTTGAGAGGAAATCTCGTCAGGCCTTCCTCTGCCGCAAGTACAATCCCCCTAAAATCCTGCAGGTGCTCTTCGTGGTTCATCTCCGAGGGATCGAGACTTGCACAGGCGCCGAACCGAGTGGTCAAGTAGTGGGTTCTTAGTATTAGATGCGCCTGCGAATGTTGAAATGCACCCATGGCTGGTTGTGAAACAATGTGTTCCAGATTCCTTCGCCAACTTTCCAACAGAAGCAGGGCAGCTTGTTGCTCCCCCTCAAGCGAAGCTTTTGTCGCAGGTAGGTGTGCCATGGTCGAATTCGAATGCACCTGAAAGACCTGCAGTCTCAAGCCCTGAACAAGTTCCGAAATCTCGTGTAGGCAATCCCTTGCTCCTTATATGCTGTTGAATTCCGGAAGCTGAGCAGAGGTAGACAGCAGCGAACCTTTCGGAGACAGCCTTGGTAAGCGATATCCAAACATACTTGATAGAAGCCAAAGTCGATTGAACACTTTCATCAATCTCATATCTATCGAAGCTGTTCCAGACACGGGCTGATTTTTGATAGTTTCTGCGACCATGCCACATCCCTTGGAGATCAGCGAAATTGCAGTGTTATCGTTCATTCGGTAGAATTCAACGCAAATGAAGATGACGCATGAGAGAAGAGCGACGTGCGCGGCTTGCGGCGTGCATGGCTCCTGCAGCAAATGCGACAATGCCGAGATGGATTTGTTGTAGTATCGTAGAGCTTGTCGACAGTGAGCACAGGTACATTTTGATGCATGATCTGAAACACCCGTTTGGCCATGTCTGAAAAGATTGCCAAGTGCAAAGATTCCGTTGCGGACGGTAGGGTCTGTATCAGCGACCTGGAGCATCACGTTCTGCCATAACTCCGTGTCAAAAGCGCCGCCCAAAATCGATGCGATTCTGTGGGTGTAGAAGCTGTAGGCTTGCCATTCTGACTGTGTAGCACGAAAGGCCGAAAGCAAGGATGAAGAGGTGCTGAGGTGTGGAGGAGTAGTCGCTTTGGAAGGGATCGCAGGAACTTCTTGGACCAGTGATAGTTGATAGCCCTCACAATTTCTGCCTGCTTTGACGCACCTCGCGCACGAAGGCCTTTCGAGACTGCACTTCACCCGACGCCGCTTGCAAGTCAGACACGCTGTGCGAGTCTTTGGGCCATGCCTGCCAAGGTCATGAATAGCCATAGCATCGTTCTTAACCATTCAACAAAGAACGCGAAAATATACAAGAAATGCCAGGCGGTCTACGCGCTGCTTGGTGAGGCAGTGTGCGCGGTAGAGTAGCACGAGATCTCGCCAAAGCCATCACCCTCACCTACCGCTCCATAGCCGGCCCGTTTCACTAGGCCCTGATGGGACCATAGCGGGTTGCCTGATGCAAGCTGGGCATTGCGGTCATTTGCAGCTTGGACGCCCTGCGCGTGACGACCTCGGGGCTCATGACTAACTATATGCTCAATATATAAAGAAAGAAAGCAAGACTTACTACACTTGTGTTATCCACTCGAGTAGATTCGGATCGCAGCAATAAGCTTTGATAACATGGTAATGTGTAAGTTCGGACATGTCCGTGCCAAACGCCCATAAATAGGCCTTCAATCCTGTGTGATTGCGACACGAACGAGGAAAGACCAGGGACCGCTGGATTGCAACAGACGACCATCTAAAGACTTGGGTTTGTGGCATTCTCAAGCGACGATGTCTATCCCTCAATCCAACGAGGAACGTTTGAAGGCGAGGAAGCCGTTGCCCACTCCTCAACCCGCGTATCTACCTACGGCCGGGTCGCCCTTGACGGTCAATCAAGAGTTGTATCAGTCGATCCAGCAAAGCCCCAGAGAACTTGTCGAGTCATTTGTCTTGCCTATCCGTTCAGGTCGTGCTTGGAAAGCTCCAGCTAAGAGTATTATCCGGATCAGCACGCCCGAAGGACCTCAAGTCGGTAGGTAAGGGCAACTTCGGTAGAGGTATCTGGGTTCTGACAAGTCCTGTAGGGGATTTGAATATATGGAACGCGAATAACCCTCGCGAGAGGTTTTGGGCCTCTCGGACAAAACAGCTCCATTCGTCACACGTTACAACGTATGATCGTCTCTGGTCCTGCCTACCGTATATGCGTCCATTGTGCACCATCGTCGCCGATTCCCTTTCCTGGTATGGAGTGGATGAGACCGGAGGGAGAGTCCACGACCTCCTTGGCACCAGATGTGACCCTTATATCAATACCCTGCTCTCAGGGCCCGAGGCATCGTACAACTATCATTGTCACTCCAACCTTACAAGAGCTATCCTGCCTTTCGGTCTCAACGAATCAGATGTTCACGACGTGATCAACTTGTTCCAGGTAACAGGCCTGGATTCGCAGGGGAGATATTTCATGAATCCGTGTCCTGCTCAACCGGGCGACTATATCGAATTTTTTGCGGAACAAGATCTCCTGATGGCTCTGTCAACATGCCCTGGTGGAGATCTTTCCTTGTGGGGCTTTGGGAGTGACAGCGAGAAGGAAATGATCAAATGTTGCAGGCCACTGAAGGTCGAGGTGTTTAGACTGGTCGGGGAGAGCACTATCTTGACGGGAAAGTGGCAATTAGCTCAACGCCCAGACTATCGGGGCGTCCATGGTATGACAGTGCCAGAGGGTGAAGTGAGAACATAGTCCAATGTGTCGGTTTCGGCTAGTGAGCCTTGCGTAGCCAGAATGTGTTTCAGCGACCGGCCATTTCTTGCTGACCTGTTGTACCTGTCACTTGACTTGGCTTGTTAAAAACGACGTTCATCGCATCTTCAAGGATTGCAAGCCCTCTATTGATTTCCTCGTGCGAGATAACAAGTGGAGGAACAATTCTGATAACACCGTCTCCAGCGGTGATGACTAGGAGACCTCGTTCTCGTGCAGCAGTAATGATCTCAGTTGCCTTGTCCTTTGCCGAGTCGGTCAACTGATATCCGACAATAAAGCCCTTACCCCTGACCTCGGAGAGGACGCCCGGGAACTTTTCCTTCATGGTCTCGAAAGCGCTGAAGAAGAGGGTCGACTTAATTCGAACTTCTTCCTGTAGTTGGGCCTTGGCGAGACGGCCAAAGACGTGATGAGCAATTCGACAGGCAAAAGGATTGCCGCCGAAGGTCGTCCCATGGTCGCCCGTCTTGATGTACGGCGCCACGGTCTTGCCTGACACGAGGGTTGCTCCAATGGGAATGCCGTTCCCCAGGGCTTTGGCGGATGTCAAGATATCGGGATGCACTCCGGATGCAATGTATGCCCAGAGATCTCCGGTCCTTGACAAGCCACACTGAATCTCGTCAAAGATCAAGATCGCACCAACTTCATCACACCGCTTGCGGAGGGCTTGGAGAAACTCAGGTGTTGCAACATTGACACCCCCTTCACCCTGGATTGGTTCAACGATCACTCCTGCAGTGTTCTCGTTGATCAGCTGCTGGACGCCCGCAACGTCGTTGAACTTTCCATAACGGAACCCAGACAGCATGGGACCAAAGGGGGCCTGGTATTTCTTATTGGGAGTGGCTGAGAGTGACCCATAGGTGCGGCCGTGGAAAGAGCCATGAAATGACACAATATCTCTCTGCTTTGACTCGGGATCTTTGGCATATGTGACCTTTCGAGCAAATTTTAACGCAGCCTCATTGGCCTCGGAGCCAGAGTTCGAGATGAAGACTTGAGTCAAAGGCGAGCCGGGCGACTGCTTCTGTGTCTCCTCAATCAGGGATTTAGAGAGTGTTGGGGTCCAAGGATTGTGATAGAGGTTGGATGCATGGATCAATCGCTGTGCCTGGTGGGCAATCAGTCTTGTGATTTCGGGATCATTGTGGCCCAGAGAAGTAACTGCTATGCCAGCGGTGAAGTCTAGATATTGTCTGTTTTCATTATCGTACAAAGAGCACCCTTCTCCCTGTACCATCATCGGTGGGGGGCGAACGTAGGTAGGGACCATGTAAGGAGTAGACTGATTCAAAAAGGTGGCCGTCGGCGAGTCCGAGGAGGGATCTGGGTTGGGCACAGAGGTTTCATGCCGAATTTGGGTTTCATCTTGAATGGGGATGCTGGAAGAGGTGGGCACAGCAGCGGCGCTGGCATATCGTCGCCAACTAAGTGAAGCTCGCTGTGAGGGAGCAGCAAGCTTGGAAAGCTGGGCGCATGCCAGTCTCTTGCTCAGTGAGAGCGCCATTGGGGGGTAACGATGACGGCAACGACAACAATATCAGGAACTTTGCTCACTCTGCGAGAGCAGATAGGAAACCAGTCTATTAAGGAAGACACCACGGATTTGTCAAGGTCTATTGGAGAATTTTCTTCGAGTCACACTGAAGTCATTGTTTTTTCCTGGATCTTTTTTTTTTGGAGGCGCAAATGCGGGGAAATCCGGCGTAGCGAGGCGCAGGGCGTGAGGCCAATTGCCGGCGCCATCAGTGTGAAGCATGGAAGGAGGCGGACCTCACCAGTGCATCCCTCTTTTCGTCTCCCTCGAACCTTGACACTCACCCTCGAGACCTTGCTTCCATTGATATTATTGACATCGGCCCTGTCATGGGCTCAATCTCCATCTGAGACAGCTGCATTCCAGACCCAGGAGAATCGCGAGGCCCTCAATGCAGGTTATGCAAGGATTCCCCCACCTATCCATCATGCGGTTGAGAAGACGACTGACAAGTCCTTCCACTCATCTCAAATGTCACCTCGATTTGAGTGACATATCCCGAGCTTGTCTCAAGACATAACCGGTCTATCGGGCCTCCTTGCAATATTGACTGCATCCAATACACCGGTCCAGCCTTGATATACTCAAGTCCCTGATTCAGATGAGCCATCAATTTCTGGTGCCTGATGAAGGTTGTTCAGCGGGTTTCGCAAGGCGAAGTCTTCTACATTATGCAATATGGTCCAGGACGTGACACATGTCCAGATCGAACCAGAAGAATCGTGCTCTAACCTCTATTTTTTGCCCGATTTCATTCCGAACTATCTGTCTGATCTTGTTTTGTCTGAGATTGTTTACAATAGGATGGACATGCCGTGGTAAGCTTGAATGTGGTGAGCCCCTTTTGTCCTGTACTCCTGTTGTTTCTCGAATGATTAAAAAAGACTCGATTTCCCATCCCATCAAGGCTGTATCACAGCTCATCACCTCAACACATACTTGGCCTGAAGCAATTTCCAAAACACATTCCGCCATGAAGTCTTTTCTCTTTGCGCTCGGCACTTGCATGCCCTTTGTGGCCGCCAATCCGTTCGGTACCGGCTCCTTCTTCGAGCGAGGTGTTTGTGCTGCAGATAACTGCGCTAGGTATGAACTCACGATCTTGCTTTGGTCGAAGCTAACGCCTGTTAGAGCTGTTACGGGCTCAGCAGGTCAACCAGCTCTTGCGACCCGACACGCAGATTGCTCTGCTTTCTTCAGTCCAGTTCCTACTCCGACAGTGCCAACCTACGCTTCTGCTTGCAGTGGAGCTGCTCGCTATAGCAGTGCTTGCTCTTGCCTCGGTATCACGGCACCGACGTATACTTGTGTCAGCGCAGCTCAAGCGACCAACATTGTCAACACCTTTGCTTCATTCTTGACTGCTCCGCAGGCTGCAGACTTTTCGACAAAGGCGAACGCACTGCTAGCGGATAACTTCACTGACACCAGCGACTCCATTAATTGGTTGGCCGGTTACCCAGTAAGTCACTGTCAAAGGATTTAACATGAGTATATACTCACAAATGGGTAGCTTGGTGGCGTAACATTCCCAAGCAAGGCCGCGTTCATTGGCGGACAAGGAGCACAGCCACCGATCCCGACCCTCACCACGCTCGATATTTTCTTCTCTTGCAATAAGATCGCCTGGCGATGGCTCGCACAGGGCATCGGATCCGGCCAATATGAGGTCAAGGGTATGGACATGTTTACAATCACACCGGCGGGCCAGATCAGTCAAGTCTTTTCGGAGTTCAACAGTGGAGCTTGGGCAGCAGATCTCGCCGGTGCCTCGTCGCCTTCAAACTCATCAAGCACCACGACGACCGCCACCACCACCACCAGCGCAATACCAACTTCATCGGTGGTTTAGAATGAAGGTCTTTTGTGGATGGCCCTCGTACCGTGGGGATGGAGATTGGCTAGATCTCGTCCTTGATTGGGACCTTGGTATTTTCGCTTCTTTTCAGTGAGAAGGCGTCACAGAGCAGTAATGCCTTTAGACTGTTGCCTGAGTCTTCAACTCTGAGCTTAAGATAATCCAATTTGCACTTGAACCTAGAATTTTCCAATTTTCGAGGTGATATTCTCGCGCCTCTTCTACTGTGGCGTACCATTGCTGGAGTCCCCGAAGAACAGCCGGCCGGTGCAGTTTCCGAACACTCGCTACTAGTAGCTAGAGTCCTTTTCTGTCCATTTACCTCATCCGAATTTCTGGTACATTGCCCAACCTGCATACCAATTGTTCACAACTGTGAGCCAACCCTCCGCACACCTGCTGAATAGGACCAAGACATCATTTATCCCCCATCATTCAACCAGGAAAAGAGCAGGAAGAACACCACTTCTCTCCTCCTCCGTTGAAGTCCATCACCTTTCTGTCCCGCCACCAACCCCAAGAAATGAAATACGCCGCCACATACCCTCTACGCCCGCTCACCCTCTGCGCCGCTCCCCGCGCCCACTTGTTCACGGCCCTGCGATTAATCTCGATCTCCAGGCCAAGCTCACATGTACTTCCGCGTTCACGTGGGCGCAGCGGCGCTCGACAGCTAAGCCATGCGGCACGACTGAGGAAAGACGATCCGTTCAGCTTGCGCGGCATGGCAGCCCCGCCGCGGCTGCCCAAGGAGGAGCAGGAGATCTTCGAGGCGCTGCAGCGGCAGTCGACGGGGGCGTTCTCGACGCCGCGGCCACAACCGCCGCCGCGGATCAATCAGTCGCCCGACTCGTCGGTCTCGGAGAGGGACGACGCGCAGGCCACGGTTGACGAGCGCGTCGACAGGATAGCCTCAGCCTCAGCCTCGAGCAACGGTGTCGGTGTCGAGGAGCAAACGGGAGCCCAGCACGTGATCGAGGCAAGCGGTGCAGGAGAAGAATTACATCCCGACTCGGTGAGACGGGCGCAGCCCGAGTTTGAAGGAGAGAGGAATCCAAAAACTGGGGAGGTTGGCGGTCCTAAGAATGAGCCGCTGAGATGGGGGCCCAGCGGAGAGTGGACATATAATGGGAGGGCTACAGATTTTTAGAGCGGGAAGATGAGACGGACGATGTGATTCAACACCGAGTATGGTTTATTGTGTCATCTTAGCCTCATGTTATCCGGTTTGAAAGTCGTGTCCATCGTTCCCCCGGTTCAGACCCACGTTATTCTCTGACCTTTCAAGTTTTCTGTGATTGTATACCGCGGATGTCCATTGCTATCGTGACGAAAGGTATCATCAAGCTCATGAAAGTCTGGAATGGTATAACACATCAAGCTCGTGAATTGAAAGTGGCTGAAGAGTCCCCTGTAAAAACCCAGGCAATGCGTTCGGATGTTTAGACAGCCTTTGGACCCTGATCATTGCGTCTTGACCTCGCTGTCCTGCTCGACGTGGATGTGCTCGTTGGTCTGGAGGACGCCGACCTTGTCTTCAGGGAATTCGACACTATCGGCCAAAGAATGTTAGATTTCCGCTGCAGAGAGCACCCGAACGCAGAAGACTTACGTGAAGCCCTTGATCAGGGTGAATTCGTGCTTGATGGTTCCTCCATCGGCCCTGGCCTTCTCCTTGGCCTTGTTGAGCTCTTCGGGAGAGGCGTTTTCCTTAAGGGTGACCTTTGTCGACGTGTCAGTAATGGTCAGATTGACAGAGAAAGAAGAAAGCGTACGTACGTTGAAAAGAGGCATGTTGATTGCGGAAGTGGTGTGGAAACAAGGGAGCCTGATTCGACTGCGGCTGCGGAATGCAAGGGAATGCAGAAGCAGATCTGGGAAGAGAATTGTAGATCGAACTGGAGAAGCGAACAGGTCTAAGGTTTATGAAGAAGAGAAAAGAATTCGCAACTTGGGAGAGTGATTCGGTGTGGTGAAAGATGAGAAGGTCGTGTGAGTTGTGAGTTGGAGGGGTCGTGTCAAGGAGTCCACGCAGTCCCTCTATCGATAGCCCACGAGCCCAGTCCAAGTTCACAGAAGAAACTGCAGTGACGCAATGACGCAATAATCGGCCTTCGCCGTCACCGTCGCTGAATAACCTGGAAGGCATCAGTCGCCTTTCATTTCTCTGTTATCATTCAACTACTAGGTACTTCATCAGTTTCTTATTCCCAGATATCATGTGATGAGCTGAGAGATGTGTTGGTCTGTGCTGCAGAAGTCGAGCACTGGTCCCCAGCTGCCATGGATCCAAGTCGACTTCCGTCATTCTCTCGGATCAAGTTCAGTACTGCACGAGTTCGATCAAGTACCCATCAGGATCCTCGACGAACCCTACTCCAGTGACGGCCTTCCAAAGCCCCTGGTTTCTCCCCTTCTCAGGCATCTCTGCCCCAGTGGCCCGCGCTGCCACTTCCAGACCTTGCGGACTGCCGGGCTGTTTGAGGACTTTGACTCCCTTGTCTTCCATTCGTTTCATGCAAGCTGAGATATCTGGAACCGTGAAGCAGAGCTTGATCAGGCCAAACCCTGGGTGCTCGTTGGCATTGGTTATGTGTTTCGAGGAGTGCTGCACCTGGATTAGCTCCGATGGCATAAATGAAGCTTCTAGGCCCGGCACTCTGCCCGTCCAAATATCTGCTACGATGTCGTAGTTCGTCAAGGGGAGTCACGTACCTCCGACCAGATCAACTCCAGCACGCCTTCTCTCGCCAGAAACGACCTGCCTGTCGCGGTCCCATCTGGGCCCGCAGCCCCTTCAGGATATCCCACAAAGCAAATCTTCACAGTCTCAAACTCCATACGTCCAAGCTCTTTCATACCCAGCACATCCTGGTAAAAGTGTAAGGATCGCTGGAGGTCAGAGACTCTTATGCCGATCTGGTTGAATTTGTAGTTTGCGGTGGGCGACGACATGATGAGCAAATGTACATAGATTGCTTGACTAGGTACGCAAGTTGGGCCTCTTCCATCGTCGAGTGTTTATTCTATTATACTCTCTTGCCTAGGTATTCATTCAATAAGTGGAGGCGCATTCAGCCGAGAGGCCGAGGCTACGAGTACCCTTTCCTTGATAGTCTTGGAAGCCCAATGTGAAGTCCTCAGAGGACTTGCAGGCTTATGCCAAAGAACCAAACATTGTGCACAGTGGTTCCTCGCTGAAGAAAGAGTGGTAGATTGCAATCCAGTCCATCTCGGGTCCCCAACCTGGAAGACTAGTCCTTTGGAGCCAAGGTTGAATGCAAGCAACGCTGTGCAATGCTGAACTTCAGTCAGAGCTCGGATATCGGCTGAGCTAGGCTGTATTCAAGGCCATGATCGCTCTCGCTCTACGGATGAACGTCCCTTGGTAGGAGCGACAAAGGACATGTGGGGTAAGAGTGAAGTCGGCCCATATGCATGCCCATTTTGCTCCGTACAGATAAGATCTGCGCGCATTGAACCCAATCGTCCGGCTTTCTGGGCTGTGGCTTGGCTGCAACGTGGTCTGCAAGGCCTTCCAACTCGGCACGGCACGACATGGTCCTTTCTCTGGTATTCATTCAATGCTCAGTATGTAGGAGCAGACGCGGCCTATACGGGATACCTTGACGTCAATGGTGCCGGGGATACCTACTTGAGAAGCCCGCACATGCAAGAACATTCAAATACCCCGTGAAAGCATCTCTGGTGGCTGGCCATAGACCTTTTTGATATATCATGAGCCATTGAGTACACAACCCTTGCAGCCATGCCTGAGCTGACAGACCGCGACCGGAAATTCCAACTATACTTCGCCCTCCTGGCGCCGCAATATGCCCACTTGACCTCGAACACAACCTACGACCTCCTGCTGCAAGCCTTCAACGGGCCTCTCCGATCACGTCTCAGCAACCCGCTCACCTCGTCTGACCCTGTGACTGTGCACGATAACGCTTCAGGCCCGGGCACCGCGACCTCGGCCTTACTCGCCTTCTGCCAAAGCGCCGACCTGCCGGTACCGACCGTCCATGCCACGGATTACACCGAAGCCATGATCGAGGCCCTGCAGCGCGAGATCTCCGCTCGAGGCTGGGAAGGACCCAAAGTCACCGCTCGCGTGGCCGACTCTCAAGCTCTGGACTTTGGAGACGACACCTTCGACCTCGGGATCGTCAACTTCAGCATCGCAAACTTCGACAACGCCGAGATGGCGATGCGGGAACTGTACCGCACGCTCAAGCCCGGTGTTGGGACCGCGATAGTCGCCAACTGGGAGACGTTCGGCTTCGCCACCGTCCTCAACGCGGCCATGAAGAAGGTCAGACCGAGCATCCCGGGCCCCTTGCCTGCGGCGGGCCAGGAGTTCATGCAGGAGGACGTCCTCGTCAAGACGCTGGTGAGTGCTGGCTTCGAGAAGCACAAGATCCTCGTCTACCAGACGGAGATTGTGGTGGGTGACGCTGAGAGGTTGGCCGGCATGAGGGACTTCATGACCGGACCGTATCTTGGGCCAGTCGCTTCGACACTGTCAGAAGAAGAGAAGAAGGAGTGGCCTGCTGCTGTGGCCAAGTCGATTGAGGAGGCCAAAGCCGCCGATGGGGGTGTGCTTTGTAAGGCGTGGGTGCTTGCTGCGTCGAAGTAGTACCTTGTAGTCATGCTGGGGAAGCGAAACAGTATATCAGGAGGAGGTGGGGAAGAATGTACTCGTATGTTCCTAGGTATTTGGGGGCCTATACATACACTTAGGCAGTTCCATACCTAGGCTGTATGTAATACGGTAAAGTTGACTGAACAAACCCGACCAAAGAAGCTCACCCTCACGTCGTCGGCGGCATTAGTGTTCTCACCGAGATTAAAACAAGAAACGGCTCGTTCATTGACAATGTGAAGGAGCGGAAGACAGTCAGGCATCGGACGATATCATTTGATCTCATTCCATCTGGTCTTGTCCCGTCTCGTCCAAGACAATTCTCCACAGCGCCCAGGGCACAGAGAGCATCGCCATCGACACATATACGCTTGGAATGAAAAGAACGAAAGACCCAAAAAATGGAATATATAAACAGCCAGACTCGGATGTATCCTCCACCAGCTCAAGGCCCGAGCCCTAGATGTTGAAAAACTCCTTGACTAATGGTTGAGACGCCCCATCTCAAGCTCAAAACTCCAGGCTCCCCAACTTCTCCATCCCTTTTTTTCAACTAGGTACGTCAGGTAAGCAACCCCTAGTCTAGCACCCCTTCCTCGACGCACCCTTCTTGACGCCCTTGCCGACACGGTCCAAAAACGTCCACGCGGCGCGATCGTCCTCGAAGGCGATATACCCGTCGAAGTGCCTGGTGGGGGTGTTTTTCAGGATCTTGGTGACGACCTCGTCGACGGCCAGCGCGTCGGCGATGTTGCTGATGCTCTCGCACTCCGCCACGTCGCCGTTGTCGTCGCACGTTGTGGTGGTGGTACGCATCTCGATCTCCGGCGGCACGGGCAGGACGCGGATCCCGCTGCCGGCCGTGCGAGGCAGGCGCATCAGCTCGCATACCTTGGGGCAGACGATGTTGGATTGCGGGACTAACAGGACGAGTTGGGTCGAGGGCGTCTGGAGGAGTGTGGAGATGGTCGTGTAGGTCTGCGGGTAGATTATCGAGGCCACGGTCGGGCAGGAGAGGAGGTAGGTTCGTACCTCTAAGGTACTGCTGTTGTTGTTGTTGTTGCTGCGGCTGCGGTGGTGGTGTTTGCTGGAGCTCTTGTGGTGGTGATGATGATGATGTTGAGATCGCGATTTCGTGCTCGACATCGAGTATTGGCGGTCGTCGGCTTGGTCTGCCTGCAGTCCAGACATCACGGTCTCGGTATTGGCGGCGCTTTGATGCTTGGATTTGTGCTCCGCTCGTGCGGCTTTCCGCGTGGTCGACTTCGCGTCCGAGACGGGGCAGCAGTTCTGGACGGCGGGAAGTGCGCATTTCCCGGTCGGGTAGGCAAAGTCCCAGCACGAGACGCCTAGGGTTTCCATGTGCGACTCGAGATCGGCAATGTTCACAGTCGTCGTCGACGATGTTGTCTGCTTGGCCACCATTTCCGTCTGCTCTTTCGTCGACGAGGCCTTGCCTAGACTGAAGCTGGGCTGTCTGAAGCCTTGCGTGCTGAAATGCATAGGGAGTAGAAGTCCGACTCCAAAATGGTATCCTGTCTCTAGGATATGCTCGTGTAAGGGGGCAAAAGACCACTGTACGTCTTATGACGGCTTGATAGGTAGGTGGTAGGTGGCACTGGGCTCTGCCTACAAACCGAGACGTTGGACCTCCTGACCGGATAGCCTCGTGTTAGTGAACGAGCAGATCTGCTTGGATGCGCCTGTCGCTGGCAGATGATCAAGTCCAAGACGATGTCGCTGATAACTAATGCTGATCGTGAGCGTATGATCGATGAGGGCAGGGCCAAGTCAACCCCCAAAACCTTTCAGCCATGGGAGGAAGATATAGAGCACTTCATGGCTACACGGATGCGGCCCGAGAGAGGTATATTAAAGAGCCGTGATAGCATCCGTTTCCTGCCAGGGAAAGGAGTCAGAACTTCTCAAACCGGTTTGAGGCAGGGCACCGTCGAGAGCCATATACTTGTACAGAAGACGTCCTGACAAAGGTCGCATGACCCCTGCTACAATTGGACGGGCGCCGAGGGTTGCACTCAGGCTTTCCCTGTCCTTCTTAGGCGACCCTGACCTGAGGTAAGAGCACCAAAAGGAGCGGGAAGGATGAGCAAATCATCCTCCATACTTTGGCTTTTCCACCCATGAGCGATTTTCGTCGGTCAGTATCCCTTGCCATTCTGGAAGGCCGATGAAAGGGGAAAGGAGAGGTAGAGCAGCCGGCGAGAGGTCCGGGATCAGCTCTAGGAGCATGGTTGAGAATGCGATGTCAATCACTAGAACAAAAAAAAGCGTACCCCACATCCGGATAGCCGTTTGACATATGGACCACTTCAGCTGCTATACGAATAGGCTGGTGGTGCCGAAAACGCGAGGCCGAGCTGGTGGCTGCGGCTGAAGGTTCATGGATATTTTCCGACCAAGCCACTTAAGTCAGGGCAAAGCTGGGGATGAGGTGAGCGTAGTGAGCGCGATAGGGCGCCCCAGAATAGCTGACCCAGGGTTCTCCAGATGGACAATTCAGCAAGTACGTCTCCAGGCAGACCGATTTGGGCAGCCGTCGCGAGACAAAAGAGTGAAAGGGAAAGGGGGATGGCTGGTATATGCAGAGCTTCAAACTGCGGGTGGTCCAACAAAACAGAATATCCCTCACGCATCTCGGATGGTAGTCGCGCGAGCCGTAGCACGGGCCCATCCGAGATCGACAAGTGCAGCCAGGAGGCGACTTTTGCGCCCGCCGTGGTTTCCGGGCGTTTCTCGGTGCCAGGGTCCGATCCTACTCGACTTACGAGTAGCGAGGACTGTCCGACTGAGGATGGATTTGAATGCGAAAACGCAGGGAGACCAATTTTTGCTTGCTCTTGGCCATACTCTCTGGGTGGAAAGTATTCAGTGTTGCGAATTTCCTCTCCCTGCTCTTGTGAGACAGAGGTATACGAAGCGAAATTTATATACTATAAGGATTTGTATGTGCAGAGTGTCCATTATTTCAGAGGTGTGGTAGGGGACGAGGGGAACTGCCTTAGCAACGGCATAACTAGCTTCATTTCCGCCATGGTACGAGGTAAATGCTTCTGCTCACCTCATGTCGGTCCACGTGGGGAATGCCGATGAGCTCCTCCCGTAGTTCAATTGGTAGGCAAGGTAACCTTGAAGACCAAAACTTGATTGTCAAGATTGAATCCACTTTCGTCTGCGTACGGCAACAACCCGCCGTTCATAAATCCATTCTGGGTGATGAAGTCATTGTCACTTAAGCTGAATATGAAATACTCGCCGTCAGACTTGGTGTATCCATCCTTGCAGGTAGCACTGGAAGGGTTGACAGGGACTGTGGCTATTGACTCCCATTTCTCATTCAGAAGGCTGGCGTCTTGTAGACCACCATTGTGTAGCCCGAAACGGTTGAGCTGAGAGTTGACATTGTAGTCGAGCCATGAGCAATAGGTAGCAGGTATGATGGCCGAAGCGAGAACACCGTTCACGGAAGCCGCAGAACAAGTTGTGCAGTCGTATGTGTTTCCGGCCAGATTGGTAGCTTTGGAGATGTCAAAGACGTCGATGTGGCGGTATCGGGATAGTGAGTTGGATTGGCCATGACCACGGCCAGAGTCACGGGCGAGAACAAGGAATTGAGTCGGGCTGATGTAGTGGATCTCAGATTGGGCAGCAACCAAAGTGTTGTTGCTGAAGAGCGGGAGTGGAACCATATATTCTGCCTTGTAGATTGGATTAGACGGATCACTCACATCGTATTCGAGAAACCGACTAAGTCGTCGTGTTGATGAATTGTCGCCACCCTCTTGAGCCAACGCCGACTGCATCAGCGCGTAGAGAGTTTTCTTATCGGGCGAAGAGGTCAGACCCTCGAGGCCTTGGTTATTGGACCGTCCGGTGTCAGGATTCGCGGGGATCGTCTCGAAGTCAGGGTTATAACGAGGTGGGCTATCAGCGTTGAAAGACTCGGTACCGTTTCTCTCTGGAATGATTGCCGATGGAGGTCGGATAGCCCCTGTCATTTTACCACTATGGTCGAAATGGTAGATGTAAGGTCCGTATTCATCAGAAACCCAAAAGCCGTCAGGGCTGAGGACGAGCCCTTCAGTGTCTCCAACAACACGGTGACCTCCCGTACCATTACCGCCAAAGCCGTCACCCGTATAAGTCGCGGCTGGAAGCTCGGGAAAGCCAGGAAATGTGAGGTAGGGGGGTCTGAGATCGGCATCGAGACCAGTCAGTGGTGTTCCGGCAGGATCTGTGAAACGGATGGTGTCGAGGTACTGCAAGTGAACGTTTGGCGAGCTTGGGTTCGCGGCTGTGGCATTGTAGTTGGGCTTGAAGGTGACCTGGAACTTGTGGACTCGAGGTTGATAATTCAATGTACCTTCCGTGTTCCATCCACGGTCGGGTAGAGTCCACAGAATGCCAGTGTAGGTCCCGTTGCTGTCGACTTTCCACGAGTGTTGGTCGATGGCGGCGCTACTGCCGAAACCTCCTGCAGTATCGCCAAACTTGTCGCGCGAATCCGACGGCGTGAATCCGTAACCAGCGAGAGCCTGGTAGACATAAGTGTGACCATTGCAGGTGGTGGAGTTGACAGTGGGGCTAGCTCGTCGAGCAGGAGACGCCCACGCAAGGCTGGCAGCGAGTGCAGAGATAAGCAGTGTTTTCATGGCCATTGTGATTGGTTTCGTCAGCAGTTGCAAGCTATCACTGGGGCTATTATTGGTTATCTGAGCAAACGGGAGGGAAGGCCGTACAGTAAGCTCAGCGAAACGAACGACGTGGCAAACCTGGAAGCTTTGGAAATGCAAATGCAGGAACGATTGACACGACATTTGCACGGCTTTTTAACAGATACAGCAACGGTTGGCCATGAAGTGACAGCTCCGAGGCATGCTGCACGTGTATAGATGAATCTGCTTGATTCGTGCGAGCCATAGCGACCTGCCAAAAGAAAAGCGTGCAGATCTCAGTGGGAAAAGGTGATGATGGAACGAGCCAAGCAAGCACTAAACGGAAGGTACATATAGCGAGTATTAATTAGAAGCAGTGGCAGGCCAGAAGTGTGCCACCTTGAATTCCACTCACTGGTTGGGGAGTCACTGGACGAGGTATTAGTCCGTGTTTGTCGACCAAGAAGGTAAGCCGAGGAAAAGTATTCAGAGCAGACAAGGGCTAGCTGTATAGAAGTTAGTGTGCTTCATTAAATGGGGAGTTAGGTATTTGCGCTTCATACTCAAAGCAGATATAGCCATGAATAAAGTTAGCTAGCTCGCTAGGAAGTTCTCCATTTGCCCAGGTGACTGCTTGTTAAACCACTTCTCTGAAAACCTATAGGGCATCGCTCTCTAGCCTCATTCGGTGTCACCATTGTTGCAGCCTGAAAGTCTCTTCTGGGTGCTTGGTAGGTACTCGGTGTTGTTGTTGGTCGAGGAAGAATAGTCTATATCACCCAGAGTTGCCGTAGATCCAAGTTGAGGGGAAAACACGATGCCAGCTGGCACCTGTTACCTACCTGTAGGTAGCTAAGTATGTACGGAGGCGCGCACCAAAAGGATTGAGTTAGCGTTAACACGCTAACTCAAATGACGAAGCTCCGCATTGTGACAGCCAAGTTCTGAGAGCTTATAGGGGCTAGTGCCTATCTCTCCCCTAGAGGGAGTGGCTAATAGGTGCTAGCTTAAGCTATCTAATAGGGGGAGGTACGCCTAAGGAATAGAGCTCCGATATCTCTGGGGGCTGTTGTGAGGGGCAACGAGGATAAAGTCCATCGTCTTTTGATTAGCTGTCATTCACTCACGTGAATAATCGACGCTAACTCAATACTTTTGGTGCGCGCCTCCGTACCTAGGTAGGTATTTGGCTCGACAGTGCATGAGAATTTTTGGTCAGCCGTGGGAGTGCGGGGAGTTCGTCGGCCGATTGTTTGTTGAAGAGCAGATGCCGTGATCACTGAGGTGGAGACCATGGCAAAGCCTGATCGAGATCAGATTGACATGTCAAAGCAACGGTCGATGGGCGGAAGCTGTGGCAGTGCTTGATTTCGCCCTTGTATGCCTGAGCAATAAGGAGGCTTTGATGGGAAAGGCCGGAAAGGGAATGGTTGATGGGTTTTGCCAAGGCCGCCGCTCCAGGCACAGTCACGTGGACTGCCTGTCCATACTTCTGATTGGTTGGAAGACGTCATTGGCGTTGCTGGGATCTCGACATGACGTAGTTGCATATGCTTTCTCGATCGTGGGGTGCAAGACACGCAGATCGAGGAGTTGGCAGCTGATCGTCACTGTGCCTTCACTGAGAGCCTCTTGTGGTCTATATAAACTGAGAGTCCCTCGGGTTGGAAATCTTTTCCTTCTCATCATCAGCAAATACCTGGTAACCTCGCAAACGAAAGACCATCAAAACTTACAAAACATATCTCAACACTACAACCATCAGTTGTTCATCGCCGCAATGGATACCATCAAGTACGTGACCCCCTTCATCTCCTCTTGACCTTACACTCGTCGTTGCATCTACTGACAGTTCACTCTCAGGAACACCGTCAACTACGTCACGGAGTCCATCTCCGGCACCAGCGCCACTGCTTCCAAGGAGGCCAACAAGAACGTTGCCAAAGACAACAACGCCGACATCACCACTCGTGCCCAGGCAGCCGGTGATGCCCTCTCAGACAAGCTTGATGAGCAGAAGCACGACCGCAAGGCCGATGTCCACAAAGAGGCAGCCAAGCACTAGATTTCTCGCCAACAAGAGAATATGATGAGATATGAAACAATTGGAGCTAAGAGGGAAAGCAATATGAACGTCGAGATACCCCAAACGGCCCCGAAATGAGGCATGAATGAGCTTGCCGACATGCAATAGACTCAAATAGTCTCAATCGACGAAATCTACCACGAGCTTGAAACCTTGTCCTGCGATAAAGCGTAGACCGAAATAGTGTTGCTGATGCGTTTTGGAAGGCTTTGGCCATCTTTTTCAATAAACAAAGGTTCTCGTTGATCACTCTGTGATTCATGCCTACACATGATCAGCGTCGGAACCCTCTAGCGCAGCAGCTGTCAACGTCCTCATCCGTTCGCGCTCCAAGGGATGAATGTTTTCAAGCGCAGCATCAACATCCCTGGCCCGATTCTCCAGGGCTACTGTCGTACCACTCTCCGACAAGTAGCTTGGTGGACGATATCCGACAGTCTGATGTACCTGGTTCAGCGCCTCCTCATACGTAGGCGTCAAAGGTGTGGGCGGGATTTGGACTTCCTTCCAATGGACTAAGTCCGGGTTCAGCCTCTGCCAAACAGCGTCAGTAATCCGTGTTATTCACTCCTTTCGGATGCTTACCATGCTTGTTCGCGTATTACCATACACAGGTGGTGGAACTCGAATTGGAGCTGCATTTTCCACATCTGGACTGAAGCCGGTGTCCGTGGACATGTGTATCTGGATGGGCTTTTCAAGAATCAGGTCTTCAGTCCGCCCGTTTTGTCTCTCTCTTCTATCACGACGGCCTCCAGTTTGTCCTGCCAAATGCCGGCGTCGGGTTCCGTGCGCTGTCCGATGTCTCGACCTCCGCGGTCGTCGCATGAGCATGCACATGCGAAGGAGTTGATGGATGAAGATCCCAGTCAAGGTCAAGATCAGAAGGATGGAGAGGACATGGAACATGGTATTTCTGCCCACACTCGTGGTAGTCCCGAGGACCAAATCTGTATGTGTCAGTCATATCTTTGTAGCATTGTGGTGGCCAACTCACAAATGACTACCGCGACCAACAAAGTGACACCAAATGCGAAGCTGATTCTTGCCTTTGCGTTGACATCTGGGTCACGATATGACTTCCTCGAGAAAATGCCGTATTTTGTCTTTCTTCTTTTTGAGGAACGACTGCTGCCGCTCGTACTGCTGCCGTTTCGATATGACCGCATGGCTTGACGTTCGGAAGGGGTCGGCTCATCGTCCATATTCCGGGCAAGTGGTATCGGTTCGATTGACTCAACGACAGACGGCTGATCCCGCAGGCTACCTGCGTACATGTCTGACTGCTCGTCCTCATCATCTCGTCGAACTGACAGAGGTGGAGCTTCCACAGCCCCGGAAGGCGCACTCTCTATGACTGAACGTGTTGAAGTCCTCGACCTTGTGCTGGCGGGCAATGCACCACGCGCGAACATATCGTTTCGGGCAGAGCGACGGGACGTGGCCAGGAACAGGGGCACCACGAAAGTCTTTGCGGCGGGGTTTGGTGAAGCAGCAGCACTATTTGAGCTCTGGTTTGACCTCCATAGACGCGACATGCTGCTCACAGTGCTCGTCCCCATATCCGCCGACGCAGAGCCGAGGGTGGGTTGGGGTGGTAGAACGTGTCTTTCCTCCATTGCTAAGAATCCGTGCTCCGGTCTTGGTCTTTTTCTGGCTGCTCAGAGCAGATTACCCTTCGAACAGTGGACGTGAAAAGGTCGACATGAGAGACAGCAACGGAGAAGAAATGCAGTGAACTTTACCGTCGTGGGATACTGCGTGACAAAAAGGGAAGAAGCACAACATCAGAGTGAATACACGTGCCGCGTCCGGGCTTGAGTCTCAGAAACAGGACCATCCTTTTGACCAGTGGTCGCCACAAGAGAACACCCCCATTGTGGGCGATGTGCTTTCTTACAATAGTGCAAGGAGCGAAGAATTGGCGGTGGAATGTTGATGAGAGTGAAACATTGACACCCTTCGGACCGCGGGAGACAGACGGTTTGACAGGCTGTCATTCTTGTTCCCATTGAGCGGGAGATGAGTTACGCATATGGCGAACTGGTCGACCGCGATGTCGCTGAGAGGTGCTGGAGGGAAAAGCAGGTCGACAGGATGGTTCGAAAGAGGACGCGTTCTGAAACGCCATGTGGGCGTGTCACACCGCAGGGCCACCAGGAGGTGCCAGTGGGGCACGGACTCTGGAGTTTCCCTGGCCTGCCTGGTAAAGCCCTTTAGGGGTGCGCCCACGAGCCTTGAGTGCCCCTCACCGGCCACAGAGGGGTCCCCTACCAGTCGAGGTATCCCCAAGTACAATAGGCGAACTAAATGACACCTGGGCCTCACCAGCCATGGCGCTCAGGGACTCCAGGGACGACTGGGGGCCTTGAAAGCTGCACAGCCACCCCGAAACAATCACACCTCGCGTTATGACGTTGCCAACTCTCTTCCTAGCACCAGAGTATCCAGCCCTCCGCCAATAAATGGCTATCACTGCGAGGTCTCGGTACCAGAAGCTTTTCCCTCGAATCGGCTCGCCTGTGCCGAGCTGCAATGCTTAATGGACAACGACGCATCAGACTAGAGTCTGATAGGAAATCTCCGCGATTTCGCGAGGGGAAGTCGCCAGAAGGCCTGAATTTGGAGTATTCCTCGAGACACGACACTGCCTCGCGCATTGACTTCGGGATGCGCTTCGTGCCTTTTTTCTCAATTAGGTAACATACCTGTAGGTTTCTAGCATCCAGCATCTCTCCAGCACAATTCGAAAAATTATATAACGAAGAGCAGTATGCGGTCTCTAAATGCTCGCATGTCAAGCTGAACTCTCCTACAATTTGCTAAGCAACAATATCCTCAACCATATCCGCAGAGGCACCCGACCTAGACACTTCGCAAATCTTTGAACAAGACCCAACATGTTCCCCATCAAACTATTAGCAAGAGGCGTCACCGGCGCATATGGCATTGCGCGTGAGGCAATGGCTGACCACGACGCCAAAAAGACCGCAGCGGCTCAGAGCCATCTGCAAGTTCCCTCCCCAACCAAGGAGGAAGCCGAGCTTTCAGACACCTCATCAGTCGAGTCATCCGACGGCGAGGAAGCAGCCCAAGAACTCGACGAAGTGCAGCAGTCACTTCTGCCAAAATACAAAGACATTCAATTTGACAATGCACACAACGTCGATGAAGTGTTGGATGCCTTCATGAAGGTACACCCGCCTCCCACGTATTCGCCAGTCGCTGGCAAACTCGAAATGCCCGTCATCCTGCCCCAGCGTCGGCCGAATAGCAAGGAACGAGGCTTCGTTCGCGCCTACGCGCCTATTCTTCAGACTTGTGGAGTCGAGCAGGCCGAGTTTCTCGACTTCTTAAAGGGATTCCAAAAAGCGATCCAGCTGCATCCACTTTTCCATGCTTTCAATCTGGCGTGCGCAGGAGCAGTCCTTGCCACCGACATCGCAGTTGGCCCCATGTTTTTCGTCCACATCGGTGCCATGGTAGTCCACACGAGCGTCGAGGTGTCCAGGAGACAATACGTGAAATATGAGTCGAACAAATATCTCGACAAGATGAACGAGACCTTTTTCAAGCCCCGCGGTCTGTATGCCTTGGTCATGGCATATAAACCCGAGTCAGACGATTTGGTCCAAAATGTGGACATGAATACCCACGTGGTAACCTCGATCGCGACCAGGGACTCTGGCCGTGGCAGTCGATTTGCCAACGCGGCAGGTCACGCAAGGGAGATCGAGATACCCGAGTCCGCCCCTCTCATCTTCCCAGAGCTGGACGCTTTACCGGAGAGCGAGAAAGTGAACGCATTCAAGCGCAGCGGCAAGAGACTCGGCGACTATTTCGACCGCCGGGCTCAAATCAAGTTTGAGAAGGCGAATCCGGGTTCCAAACTCAACGTGTACCAGGAGAGGCAATTTGCGTCGCGCTTCAGCGATCCCAACCATCCAGCCAACAGCGGCAGCTTGGTTGCCTTGCTGAGCGGCGGCAAAATCGACACAACTGAAGCAGATCGAGCAAAGGCTGAGAGAAGGGCACGCAAACGCCAGTACAAGGACGCAAGACGTGTTGCAAGGGGCCGCGAACCGCGCTATGATGCCAGCGGGATGAACAAGAGAGCTCCGAAAGGGGGAATCAAAGGCTTGATGAAGTCGGATGTGCTGTATCTTATGATCGTGAATTACCCCAGCGAGGCGGAGTTGAAGGAAGCGGCTCAGGCTATGACCAACTTACAGGTGAAGTAGTATTGGGTGGACATTTAAGGAGTTTCCGGAAAGGGTTCCATGGTTTGCTAGTTATAGCGAAATTTTGTAGTCTTATCCTACGTGCCGAATATTAGTGCCATCCCTGGTGAAACCGGAGAGAGGCATATTTGTATAGTGACCTGATTCCTCACCGCATTCGTCTGAAGCTTGTCCCAGCTCCTTGTCCCAGCCCTGCCACGCCGAAGACTCTAAAGGCAGGGACACGGAATGAAAGGCTCACCAGGTAAAGTCGCAGGTGGAGAAGTTCGGAAGTCAATTTGATGAATGTGAAGCTTCCTGATGAAGGCGTTGGTGTTGCATTGACTCAATGTCTCCTCGTCTTTATGATCGACGTGATTTGTCGTTCCTTTCCTAAACAACTGGGAAAGGTCTTCAGAAGACCTGTTGTTGGTGTCTAGGCAATCTGGAAGACAATTTGCATTTGGAAGTCGTTGACAAGAGATTGTTTGGAATTTCCAGGTGCAGGTGAGCACCTATATCAGCTGCGATACCACGATGGTGTGCGGGTTTCGCTGGGTTTCACCTCCAAAAATCACAAATGCATCGTTGGGGGCGACTGCTCGAGTATAACAGGGACTGGACGTCAAGTCCGGCTCCTCAGCCCTCGCCCCGTTATTGTTAGTGGATCAGAACTAGCATTGTAATTGAGCGACCCCAATCCTACAATGGAAGGACGATTGGTCATGCGTATGATACAATGTTAGGAGGCATTTCTGTTTGGCGACCCTGCGAAGCCGTCACCTTCCTAACTCACCGAGAATGAGATTGCGATCTGTTGAGCCAGAAACAACTGGATGGGTCAGCAATATCCGGTACGCCACATAAGGGGAACTCACTGATTGGTTCTTCGGTGGGCGAGAACCGTACGTCGTTGACCGTTCCTTTATGCCCAGGAAGCTTATAAAGCAATTTTGCTGATCCAGTGTCCCAGATCACTACCGTCCGATCACCTGCCCCAGCACAGATTTTGTCTCCTTTTGGATTCCAGCTTGCTCGTATCAGGTTCTTTTCAAAGCCCGAAGGAGCTCCATCGTAAGTCTGTACGGCCCGGTCGACTGGAGCAAATGGCCTAATATCCCAGGTCCGCACCGTCGAGTCGTGCGAATTCGAAAGTAATGTTTGCGAGTCGGGTGACACTTCCAGCGAGGTGATGGTGTCTTGATGCCCATTCAGGGTGTAGGTAACCTCCATTTTGCGAGCATCCCAGACCTTGATATCGTTGTCAATACCACCCGAGTAGATCTCATGGCCCTGCTCGGCCATAGCCACAGCTGTAATGGGGAAGTCTGTTTCGATGTAGTCAACCGCCGCTTTCTGACGAGGATCCCATATCCCGATGCAGCCGTCATCGCTACCACTGATTAGGAGATCTTGACCACGTCTGCTCAAGTCCAAGCAATTTATTACCTCCTCGTGGCCGACGTGCTTGCGCACCCTCAAGCCTGTCTCGAGGTCCCAGCTCGCGATGGTCATGTCGGCAGAAGCGGAGTATATCGTTCTGGAATCGCGGGACCATTGCAAGTCCAATACAGCACCCTTGTGGCCAGTCATGATTCCGTAGTTTTCACAATGTCCATATGTATTCCAAAGCATTATTGATCGGTCCATGGAGCCGGAGGCGATGTGTTGACCAGTGGGATCGAATCTGGTTGCGAAAACCTCCCCCGAGTGACCTGTGAGTTCCATGATGGGAGCCGTCAGCCCACTGGTGCGAAGAGCCTATTGGAGATTTGTTAGCGGATCAATGTAACACGTCCATCCTTGAGACATACAGAGGGTACGAGAGTGCCATTTTGGTCTTTCGCACCAACAGTCAGAGCCTGGTTGTCGTTCAGATCTGAACTGGATTTTTGTCTCTTGACCAATGCCTGTGGCTGGCTAAAGCTGTCAGAAGCCTGTCGCTTTATGGACGGCATCATGTTGACGAGGCGAGTGGGAATGCAGAGGAGGGTGAGAGACCAGCATAGGACACAATGAAATATGGATTGCGACCCTAGTCACCCAAACCACCTGAAGTTCTAGAAACTTTTTGGGTCGGTGGCCGGAATATCAGTTTATCCGCAAGCCAAAAGTCTTGGCGTGCAGGGTGCCATCTCGCCATCTACACCTCTCGGATGGAGCGATATCAACGCGATCGACGTTAAGCTGACGGGTCTCTTATATCTCGGATAGTGTTTCCTCGACGCAAGGCCGAGCTGTGGTGAAATGTTCATACGACGGTACAATTCTAATCCCTGATCTGCATGGCGTCGAGCCAAAAAGCCGCCCGCGTTGGCGAAGAGTAAGCGTTCATCAGCACGTCATGTAGTTCACTTACTGACTGTGGTTTCCTCAGGATTTGGAAGTGAGTACTCTCCAATATCAATAGCGAGGATGTCTTACAATTATCAGGACACGGGTGGACAAAGTCAATGCTGAGCTTGTCACCCTCACATATGGGACCATCGTGGCGCAATTATGTACAGACTACGATTTTGATTACAGCCAGGTCAACCAGCAATTAGACAAAATGGGGTACAATATCGGCATGCGACTCATTGAAGACTTCCTTGCAAAATCCAATACTGGCCGTTGTGGGAATTTCAGGGACACGGCTGAGATGATCGCCAAGGTAAGGCCGTTTACTCCGGCATCCAGAATAGCCTTCTAACCTTAGAAAAGGTTGGTTTCAAGATCTTTCTGAACATTACGCCTACCGTCACGAACTGGACTGCCGACAACAAGCAATTCTCTTTGCTGTTCGACGAAAACCCTTTGGCAGACTTTGTAGAGCTTCCGGACGATGGGCGGGCCCAAGATGAGTTGTGGTTCTCCAACATCCTCTGTGGTGTTCTACGTGGAGCATTGGAAATGGTACCAGCGAGCATGATTCGGTCGTTTGAAAGCGGTTCTAACAGTGTTTTAGGTCCAGATGTCCGTCGAGGCACGTTTTGTCAGTGACATGCTTCGAGGCAACGACGTGACGGAGATGCGTGTCACACTGATTCGATACATTGAGGACGAGATGCCTCCTGACGATGAATAGATGCACCAGACTGTTCTACGGAGCCAGAATATCTGCAAACAAAGCTGAAAAGGATTGACTGCATAAAGCGTAATGGCAGAGGAGCCCTTGCTGCACCCATCGGCTGGGACGTCACGTGGCCCAAGCCCCTTTTCTTGAATGGCTAAGGGGCCACTTTATCTGCCCATCTACCGAGTACTTTATGATAGCCGGGAAAGGATTCAATATTACCCCTGAGGCAGTTTCAGCAACTGCAATGAGGGCGCAGGGGTTGATTCTGGGAAGATACTGGGCGATGCAGCGATCGAACGTTTGATGCGGCAAAAATGACCTGTGTTGCTGCCCCGTTGACCGCCTTCAGCCGGGCGTGGAATTTTTTGAAATGTTTGCTGCATAGAGTCGTGTCGAGGTGGAAGAAAGCGATCGAGGTGAGGTTGCGGTGCCCGGCCAAGCACCCCACCATTGGTAGCCCCATTTTGGGCAAGGCGTGCTGCAATCTTCGCAGGACGGGTCCGTAGGGCTGACGCAGAACGCACTGTGAGTGGCCAGGGCGTGGTCAGAGTCATCAATCATAGGCGGCCTTTTTGCCTGCAAGTGCCGTCCCGGCCTCTCGTGAGTCGCTGCTCGCCCCCCCTACCCTCTCAGTGCCTCTCGATCTTCTCGCCTGCGCCCTGACAGCAAAGCTCAGCAATCACCAGCCCGTTCTCCAATCTACTTGGGCTCTGGGCTGTCCTGCACCGTGCAGCCTAACCCACCCACCGCCGAAACCTCAGCCGGCACCGAGCACTGAGCACTCTCTATACCAAAAACCAACCTCATCTTTCTCGTTGCCTTTTCGCCTCGCCCATACCCACCACTCACCACTACCACCTACTAAAGCACCCAGTGACTATCACCTTCCTAATTTCCCATCCGGTCACCTTTTACTTCTCATCTTTTACTCTTCCCTCATCTCTCCTGATCCATCAGGACTGCTATCAGCTTGGTTTAGGACCTACATTACCGCATTTCTTACTCCCCTGCAGCCCCAAACTTGCTTGCGCTCCCAGGTTTCTTAGCCACCCCATCCCATAATTTGTGGCGGTCGCGTTTCGTCTGAGGCTCTCGCTGTTCGACCTCTATTCATCGCAGCCACGACATCCTTCGATTATCATCAGCCAACATCGCACCTTTGCCCGATCCTCTCCTGCAGAAAATGAGGCTTTTCTCCATTCTCTGAAGTCGCTGTCGGTTTGCGCGACCGACTCTCTCCGCACGCCCATTACGAACAACTCGAACAATCACGTTGCGACCCACACCGACCTGACACACTCCCACGATTGAGGTCCTTTCCTATTCCACGCGCCCTCAATCTCGTCCTTCGAGCCCTCCCCGCTTCCTTGAATAGACTCGAATGTCGATGGCTACCATGAATATGGCTGGCATGAATCCAGCGGCCATGGCGCCAGGCGGGCCCGTTGGTGGTGGAATGATCATGATGAACAACGGCAGCCCGGCTACACAAGTCAACATGGCCAGCTCTCCAGAACAACTCAAGGCTCAATTAAACACCTACATCTACGAGTATTTCCTCAAGCTCGGCCACTATGACCTTGCCCGAAGCCTGCTGCGCGAGGAAAAATTCGAAATCCGTACGAAGCCGCCGGTCAAGCAAAGTCCCGGTCGGCGTAAAGACGCGGAAGTGAATGGTGTTGATGGAGATGCCATGGATACCGATGTCAAAGACGATATTCCCGAGGACCTTCCTCGCCCCATGCATGTCGGCGATGCCCCCTCGCCCGGCATTGGCTTTTTGTTTGAATGGTTTAGCATCTTTTCGGACCTGTTCACCGCACATCGTTCAAGCAAGATGCAGGGTGGCCAAGGTGGAAATATGGGACCTGCCGCTCAATACTTGATGCAACATCAGGTACGATCCTGTCGCAAGGCGCTGTTCGTCATAGTTGACTGACTTCTTCCTGCAGAACATGCAACGCATGAGGGAAAACCAGCAAAACCAGAACCTCGCTCGGCCTGGCATGATGGCCGCAAACCGATTTGCCATGCAGGCTAATCTGCGCAACAACGTCGTGAACGGGAACAACATGTCGGCCAAGTAGTGAGTGCACAACCCTCTGATGTCTTCCTCTGGACCTCCCGTTAGCTGACACATATGACCAGTACTCCTCAACAAATCTCGCAGCAATTCAAACACGTGCAAATGCTTCAGCAGCAACAGCAGCAACAGATGCAGCGTGAACAGGGCGACGTGGATATGAACGGTCGCGCCTCGTCGCCGGCGGAGGGCGAGAATGGTGGGTCGCCGTCCAAGAGACCACGACTCGAAGGTCAACAATTCAACGGTGGCATGATGCCTAATGTGCGGCCAGGAATGCCCAACGTGGCACCTCAAAACATGATGATCCAGAATGCTTTCCAACCCAACATGAACCAACCTCAGTTCCGGCAAAATGGGGCTATGCCACAGAAACCCATGCAGGTAAGTAAATCGCAACTCCCCATGGGGTCTATGGCTGACTGCCCGATAACAGGCTGGGATGGCTAATGGCATGATGAACATGACCAATGCCGGCTCACCCATTATGCAGAACATGAATCCTCAATTCGAACCCGGTATGCAGATGGAGATCTACAATCAGAGGCTGGCTGGCCAACAGTTGCAAGGCGGTCCTGGTGGAGGAACTGGAAACCATGCTCTTCAAGATTATCAAATGCAGTTGATGCTCCTTGAACAGCAGAACAAAAAGAGATTGATGATGGCCAGGCAGGAGCAAGACAACGCCGTCAACAGAGACGGTGGCCCAGGCGGACCCATGGTTGGTATGCAACCCGGTGGCATGTCGCCTTCGGGCAGTCGGACAGGCACTTCCCCCAACCCGGTGGATCAGATGAAGCGCACGCCTCAGCTAGGAGGCTTACCTGGCTCGCCATCGGCAGGAGATCTGGCAGGAAGATCACCTGGCGCAATCAACTTCATGAATGGCATTCAGGGTACCGATTTTAACCCCAACATGTTTATGAAAGATAACCAAGGCATGGTACCCGGTGCTCCGAATATGAGACCTCCCACGGCCATGGAAATGCAGGCAAATATGGCCCGTCAACAACAAAATCGTATGGGTGGTCAATTTCAAGGTGGCCAGCCAATGGTGCAGCAACCATCTCAAGGAGGAGGGCCGCAACCGATGGGCACCCCTGGCCAACGGAATGAGATGCCTCCTCCTCAAGCTCCTGCAGGGAACAATGCTCAACGCAACCAGCCTGGGTCTCCGCAGAGCGGCAATGCCCCCCCGACCCCGTCGACAACTAACAAACCGAACCCCAAGAAGAAGGGTAAGGAGGAAGGAACCAAGAAACGCCCGGCCAAGAAGGGGTCGACGGCTGCAGCTGCGGCAGCTTCAGAGAATGAACCACCTGCGACGCCAACTCCTTCCACTCCGCTCACCCCGGTACACCCTCCAGGTTTCAACAATTCGGCTGGCAAGGGCGGCGCGGCTGGGATGCAGAATCCCAATCAAGCACCTCCACCGAACGCAGCCATGCCACCCAATCCACCACAAATGCACCAGCCCGATCTCTCACAGCAGAACGCTTTTACCGACTTCAATGCGGACCAGAATTTCAACTTGGATTTCAGCAGTTTGGAGAACAGCGATGTTTTGGAGAACTTTGACTTTGACAGTTTCCTAAACACGTCCAACGAGGACACATTCAACTTTGACAACGCCATGGGGATAGGAGGAGACTTTGGAGTTGACACAACCAACGAATAGTGGTTCGTTGGGGGCGATGCTCTGTATTAACTACTAACTAATGCTTTGGCGTTTTGACGATCTCTGGCAGCTCACGCATGGGTTGGTGGGTGTATGCACGAAAAGAGCTCCGGTTTTGGAAATACTTGCTCTGTGGATTACTATACCCGTTGCTCAGACGAAAATGATTTGACTTGCTTGGACATACCTTCACGGTTTGAGATGTAGTTGCATTGGTATATGGATGGACAGGTGCCTAATTCCAGTTTCGTTTTCCCATTCTTCACAATGCCCTTCTCGAGAGAGACACCGAGGTTGTATTTTCTTTTTGGGGAAGTTCTTTGAGACTCACAGCCAATCTTCTCTCTGCAGTTCACGCAGATGGCGACCTCTCGGATCAGAGACCAAAGGCTGGCACCTGCTGCTTCCCACCGCTTGCTCTTGCATTAACATGGCAGTGGACCACGGTGACAGCCACTACCCGCGAAGCTCGAAAGCTGTCCTTCAACCAGCATGCGCTATGTATGCCGCTCACACTCTGCTATCTCCCTTCGCTAAGTATGAACTAGAATTGCGCGTTCCATGTCGCGATGAGGTACCAGAATTGGGACGTGCTTCTCTTCCCTGGTGATTCAAGGACTCCCATCCAGGAATTCAATACAAAATGTTTTGTGTTGAGACAGAGTGAGTCCTGTTCGTCCGTTGGCGACAACGAAACACGCTAACAGGCTGCAGACTTGAGTTTGTCCTCAAACGAGGCCCTTGTCGAGAAATATCACAGCAACTTTGAGTCGATGACACTGATTCCAATCCTGAACTCCTTCATTGCGAGTCTCGAATGTGGAGCGGCGTTCCGAATCTCAATCCACAGCTGGGATAACCCTACTCCATCTCACCTCTTGCTCAGCTACAAGACTCCAGACGAAGCAGTTCTGTTTGAGGCACGAGTGTACATTAACGGAGTTCTCGTGGCGTAAGGAGGTCGTCAAGGGTCAATCCATCGTCCAGACTAACGGGATCACATAGTCAACGCACATTTGACGAGAATGTGTGGCCAGAGGTCATTGGTACGACACCAGCCTACTATAAAGGTGGACTTCTTTGACTAACAGCGTTGTAGGAGATCCAGGTTGTCCTTGGGTGTCCCTTGTACACGGCAAAGGCTAACTGCGCAGACCGCGATGCTCAATATCTTCGATTCCCTAAGTTCCACCGAGAAATCCTCCAGCAAGATGGATGGGAACCCAGCGAGTTCATGGGCCGAATCAGGGTCGTGATTGCAGAAGGGGTCATGAGAGACAACACTCCCCCTGCTGCTTCAGCCTCTAGGTTTGACCGCCTCCGAGATGTCGTTGCCTTCTCTTTTCAGCATGCCCCCCAAGGTATGTGGGAATTGCAGTTCCGCTCCCTTCCCGTCAAGCTGAGACATGTCAGACATCCTCGAGTACTCAGGGATTGCCTGGCCAAACCCAGAGATGTTCAAGAACTTTCCCAGCAAACCGTTACGACCTGTACCGATCGGCTCTCGAGTCTCCGGTATTTCCGGCCACGAAGCTCATTCGCACTCGCCACAACGGTTACCTCCAATAGCGTCACGAAATAAAAGACTGTCGACGCAGGAAAGCTTTCAGAAATTCTTGGATGCACAGAACCATTCAGAGCTCCAGCCCGGCTCGAGCAGCAAAGCACCCACCATTGAAGCCTTGAAGAGCCAGTCCATTGAGCGTCAAGCCTCGGGCAAGCTGGTGGCGCATGATGATGATCCTTTCATCTCCTCGCACCAGACTCCGACGGCAATACAGCAATGGCGGCTGCAATTGAGGTCCACTAGCCATGACATCTCCATGGCAGATTACACATCCAGCAAGACTGATCGCAGTGTCGTCAATACAGAGATGTCCGGGGTTAGCATTCCGCGAGCCAACTTCATGAAGCACATGAACGACGCGAACCTTGAGGAGATCGTACAAGCTTTGAGTCCCGCCCGTCAAGAAGAACTGTTCAAAGTTCTCAGCGCCTCACATAGCCCAGCTCCTGGCGTAGGCACTCGGCCACCGGCAAATACTCCTCAGATAACTGACGACTTCAACACTCCCAGAGTGATGCACTCTGGCGGCGCAAATGATGGCATCACGGCAAAGCTCTGGCAGGAACCACGGCAGCGACGCCGGACATGTTCGCTAGCTAGTTCCAGAAGCACTTCAGAGCCAGTGGCTCAGCTGAGCAAAGAGCAGACCAGCCCGCGACTACCCCGGGGACTGAACGCGCCTACAAGTGGAAAGAACCAGTTGTCACTCGCACCGAGATCGCTTTCACTCGGCATCAATCGCCAGAGATCGGGCTCGAATGGCTCAAAGCGTAAGCGGGGCTCGACTTCGCCAGGATTGGGTATGGGAAAGACGCAGGACACGATTCAGGTCGTGGTCTGTTCTTCGTCCTCATCGGCATCGGATGGGGGTCGAGACGAGCAGAGCGAAACAAAATCTGCCACTTCACCTGGGAAAACCGTTGCTGTTGTAGCAGAGTGAAGGCGCAGGAAAGAGCAAGTAGTTGTGATCGAAGCCGATATTGTTCAAAAGATATAAAATGGGTATCATGGCTTACACAAGCGACGACAACGAGGCTGAAGTCAAGAGCAGGCAGATCAGCGAGGCTTCTTTGAAGGGGATGGTACTCGACCTGGGTATAACCGATAGCGACAGTATGTTGAAAGCGCAGCGACGTTTGATCTGACTAGACGTATACGTAAAGAATAGCGTGAAATGGTCATCCGCTGCCGTGCAATCGGTATATTACACAATTCGGAGTATCACTCGGTCTATACTACTGAGCCCTGGGACTCGGCCCCGGTATCAGCGATAGTACCTAGGTAGCCTGTGACTAGAAGTATACATGACAATCACATTGCAATGGGTCCTCCGCTGCCGTGTGGGCGGCCCGTGTATACCTAGGTACATACCTAGGTACGTCGGTACGTACCTACTAACACTCGGTATATTCGGAGTATTCCAACAATCGGATGCTTCTACCCCACAAATTCCCAAGCCTGCAGCTCGCCCTGCAGACGGTGCGTCACACTTTCGACGCCCTGCCCCGCGATCAAAAAACTTTTGCCTCTTGCGCCCTGCGCAAAAGACTGACTCATATTCTCCGCATTCGAACTTCTGCGTTGAACTCTACAGCCACTCCCACTGTCATTCTGTCGGCTCTCAATCAGCTCTGGCGATCACCAGTGAGTCTCAACCCAAATCGTCGTTGCCGATACCCAGCAGAGCCACTCGTCTGCCTGCGCCATCGTTCGAGAAAACTCGATTGTCGAATCATTTGACCCTGACAAGCAGTATCGGACCGGGAGCTTTTCTTTAACCATGCCTATGTATGTTCAGCTAGCTGTCAGGCTCACAGGACCGGACTGACCTATCTATACCAGGCTGCGGGAGCCTTGGAAAAAGTATCGCAAGTTCAAGCCACTTGACTTGCCAAACCGACAATGGCCCTCACGGACCAACGACAAGCCCCCTCGGTGGCTGGCCACCGACTTGCGAGACGGAAATCAAAGTCTCGTCGATCCTATGGTGTGCAAGCTCCTCCCGAGCCTCCCAGGCACTGGTACAGAGACTAATGGTCGCTTCAGGACGGTGAACAAAAACTTCGCTTCTTCAAGATGCTCGTTGAGTTGGGCTACAAGGAAATCGAGGTCTCCTTCCCTTCCGCTTCGCAGACCGACTTCGATTTTACGAGATACTTGGTCGACACTCCCGGCGTGGTCCCTGACGACGTTTGGTTGCAAGTCCTGTCGCCCTGCCGCGAGGACTTCATCCGGCGGACTGTGGAGTCTTTAAGAGGAGCCAAAAAAGCCATTTTACATTTATACCTCGCCACCAGCGAATGCTTTCGCAGAATCGTCTTTGGCATGACTGAAGAAGAGACCCTTGCTCTGGCCGTCAAGTGCACCAAGTTTGCCCGGTCCATCACCAAGGACGACCCCAGCCACGCGGGAACAGAATGGCTGTACGAATTCTCCCCCGAGACCTTCTCTGATACATCGCCCGAGTTCGCAGTACGAGTTTGTGAGGCGGTAAAAGAGGCGTGGGGGCCCACCGAAGACAGCAAATTGATCTTTAATCTTCCAGCGACGGTGGAAATGGCCACGCCGAACGTATTTGCAGACCAGATCGAGTACTTCTGCACACACATGACCGAGCGCGAGAAATTTTGTGTCTCGGTGCATCCCCACAATGATCGAGGCTGTGCTGTGGCAGCAGCAGAACTAGCACAGATGGCGGGCGCTGAGAGAGTCGAGGGCACTCTGTTCGGCAATGGAGAGCGAACGGGGAATGTCGATCTGGTGACCTTGGCCCTTAACTTGTATACACAAGGTATCTGGCCCAATATCGACTTCAGTGACATCAACAAGGTCATCCGCGTGTGCGAAGAATCGACCAAAATACCAGTCAATGAGAGGTGGCCGTACGGTGGCCAGTTGGTCGTCTGTGCCTTCAGCGGCTCACACCAAGATGCCATCAAAAAGGGATTTCAAGTCAGGAGAAAGGAAGGTCGTGGGCCAGAGGATCCGTGGGAACTGCCCTACCTGCCGCTCGATCCTCAAGATATTGGACGTACATACGAAGCAGTCATCAGGGTCAATTCGCAGTCTGGCAAAGGGGGTGTTGCCTGGATCATCCAGCGCAGCCTCGAACTCGACCTGCCCCGCGGGTTGCAGGTCGCATTCAGCAAGATTGTGCAGAAAGAAGCCGATGCCAAGGGCCGAGAATTACTTCCTCGAGAAATCCAGGCTCTGTTCGAGGAGTCGTATCACCTCAAGAAGAATCCAAGATTTACGCTCATTGACTACAACATCACGGCTGTTCGGACTCCCTCACCGGCTCCTCAGATGAAAACTTCAGTCGGTCAGCCACCCCAGACCGCGGCGCCGGCTCAAAATACCTCGACAGCGAAACGACAGTTTGCAGGTATCATCGCCATTGACGGAGTGCAGCATCCGATTGTGGGGGTGGGCAACGGCGCCATTTCGTCCTTGGCCAACGCTTTGCATTCCTTGGGAATTGACCTTGACGTGGCGGATTACAAGGAACACGCCATTGGTGAGGGGAGAGAAGTGAAAGCTGCCACGTACATAGAGTGTACGGCGAGCAACTCGAACGAGAAAGTCTGGGGAGTGGGTATTCATGAGGATGTGGTCCAGGCGTCCTTGATCGCCTTGTTGAGTGCAGCAAGCTCGGTATGTTACCCCTGCTACAAAGGAAGCTCGTCTGGGGATCTGGAAATATGTAAGCTGACAGTTCATATTGCAGTTCTTGACATCGCGGGTTTCCACGCCAGTCCCCTTTAAACCCAAGCACCTCAGGCAGTTTTCTGAAGCGGAACTTGAGGCTTTAGAGCGTTTGAACCTGAGTGGTCCCGATAGCCCCAGCAGCCCGTTAAGGTCGTCCGTGACGGCAACGGAAGGAGGAGTTGCACCGTCGAAATTGAATATGGAGACGAATCCGAACAGCGTTGAGGCGAAAAAGATCAACATTGACTTGCTGGAACAGAAGGCTCAGTCTATCAATGGGCACGTGGAAAAGTCCTAGGAGGCTAGACATTCGGGACCCGGCCGTTCTCCTGAAGGCACAATCCATTATTATTTGCATCAAAACCAAAACGGGGCACGGGGGTTAGGTCAGTTCTAGTGGTTGAACGCCCCCCCAAAAGTGGCTTGATTTTGTTGTATAGTCAGGACTCGCAGGATGCACGTATCCGAAATTGATGAAACCTGGGATCGGGCCGTGATCGGCCTACAAAATGAAAAGGAGATTGGTACAAGAGCGCAGGGATATCCTTGGAGCTGTCAATGGCAATTATTTGCACATGCTCGTCGTCTTCGGTATTCGACCCTCGGATGTTTCAGCACCTCACATGTTTCCATCTGTGCTCGGCCAGCCTCTATAAGCCGGGGCCACTAGGCTAAATTGTCTAGGCAGGAAAGTTGAGGGAAGGGCTTGGGGGTTCGCCCCCATAGACACCGAGGAGGCGCCCAATAGCCTGCATGGGGGTGAGGGTCATGCCCATAAGGCCAATCAAGCACCGCTGGGCTCGGTTAAAGCCGCCCCCAAGTCGGGCTGCCAACACCGAAATGCATCCCCCACGCGCATGCCCACTGGTTCTAAAGGCCCTGTGCAGTGAACCATGACGACGGCCCTGCAGCGGGCTTCCACTTCCATGCCTCTCCGCAGAGCCATCAGCCCATTCACCCTTTTGCGACACACGGGACTCTTCCCATCCATGACAACCCCGAAGACTTCTTCCTACATGCTTGGGGGGTTTGGATCTCAGCTTCATTTCTAGTGTCCTTGCGTCAGGAACTGAACCGTTCACTTCCTTCAGACATCTCGCTGTCTGACCTACCTTCTTCATTGATGCCCTGTCCTCTACTCTAGCCTCAATTGCTCACGGGCTTTACCAACTTCACGCCATAGCTTTGTTGTTCATCTCACCGTCTCTTTTAGGTGGACTTGGATCATGGGCGCTCCGGAACAGTGACGTTAATCACTGTATTTGTTGATCGTCGAAGCCACGGCTCCCTCAGCGCAATCCGTCCTATTCAACGTTTGACCCGCAATTGACGCGAGACTGTACCTCCCACTACTATAGAAACCATGGCCTCGGCCGGTCGCTCCTCTTCCGCTCGTCGTTTCCTCAAACCACTCCTTTATTCTGGTACCGCAATCGCTGCGGCTGGCGGCGCCGTCTTGTACCTCTCCTACCGTCCCATAAACGTACCTGGCTCTCAGGGCGCCATCGTCCCCATTCCGAGAACAGAAGATGGCACCATCATCCCTCCAAAGTTCCCCTTGATTAAACCACGCGCTGAACAGATTTCCGACCTGAGGAAGAGTGGTGGACTGGTGGGTGCCGCGCCAGAGACGCCCCTCCGGCAGCAATTGAAGAATAGTTTAGACCGATTAAGAGGCGCAACGAGCGATAATAGAGACATAACCTTACCTGCGGAACAAGAAGCTGGGGAGCCGTATGACCTCTTGGTCATTGGTGGAGGGGCTACAGGCTCTGGGATTGCCTTGGACGCAGCCACTCGCGGTCTTAAGGTCGCTCTTGTCGAGCGCGATGACTTCGCTGCTGGAACAAGTAGCAAGAGCACGAAACTAGTGCACGGCGGCGTACGGTACCTCGAAAAGGCTTTCTGGGAGCTGGACTACAACCAGTATGCACTGGTGAAAGAAGCCCTGCGCGAGAGGAAATATTTTCTTGACACGGCCCCTCATCTGTCAATGTGGCTCCCTATCATGATCCCTTTGCAGAAATGGTGGCAAGCACCCTATTTCTGGGCAGGTACGAAATTATACGACTATCTCGCAGGCAGTGAAGGCATCGAAACTAGCTACTTCTTGACCAAGAGCAAGGCCTTGGACGCTTTTCCAATGTTGAAAAAGGAGAACCTGGTAGGAGCGCTGGTGTACTATGATGGGGCTCACAACGACAGCCGCATGAACATTTCTATTGCGGCCACAGCTGCGCTCTACGGTGCAACGGTGGTCAACCATATGGAAGTTACCGGCTTGACCAAGGACCAGAACGGCAAGCTGAATGGTGCTGTGGTCCGAGATGTGATTGCCGAGAAGAATGGCAAACCGACGTCGCCTTTCACCATCCGCGCCAAAGGTATTATAAATGCAACGGGCCCTTTCTGCGACTCCATACGGAAGATGGACGACCAAAACGTCCAGGAAATTGTCGCCCCTAGCTCAGGTGTCCATGTGGTGCTTCCGGGGTATTACAGCCCACAGCGAAACTCAATGGGTCTGATCGATCCTGCGACGTCCGATGGCCGTGTCATCTTCTTCCTCCCGTGGCAGGGCAACACCATCGCTGGCACCACCGATGCCCCATGCAATATTACTCAGCACCCGATTGCGGGGGAGGAAGAGATTGGCTGGATTCTGAATGAGATCAAGGGATACCTGTCTCCCGACATCAACGTCCGACGTGGAGATGTTCTTGCTGCCTGGTCCGGGATTCGCCCGCTGGTCAAAGATCCCAAAGCAAAGAATACCGAGTCGCTCGTGCGGAATCATCTTGTGACTGTCTCGGCATCGGGACTGCTCACTTGTGCTGGTGGTAAATGGACAACATATCGTCAAATGGCAGAGGATGCGGTTGACGAAGCCATCAACCAATTTAGGTTGCAGACGAAGCCCTTGACAACACCGAGGAGGATCAGCGGAACTGAAAAGATGGACGACGCAGCCCCGCTTGATGGGACATGTCAAACACACCAAGTAAGGCTTGTTGGTGCTCATGGATTCTCCAAGACTCTGTTCATCAACCTAATCCAACATTTTGGTCTCGAGACCGAAGTGGCGAAGCATCTTGCGGAGGCATATGGCGACCGTGCGTGGACGGTGGCAGCACTCTCAAGCCCGACTAACGAGAGGTTCCCAGTCAGAGGAGAACGTATTTCTGCGCTGTACCCATTTATAGATGGAGAAGTACGGTACGCAGTAAGGCACGAATTTGCGCAACGAGCGGTGGATGTGATTGCACGAAGGACAAGATTAGCTTTCCTAAACGCCCAGGCTGCGTTGGAAGCGTTACCGAAGGTTATCGACTTGATGGCTGAAGAGTTAAAGTGGGACAGCAAGAGGAAAGACGTCGAGTGGAAGGAAAGCGTTGCCTTTCTCGCCTCGATGGGCCTTCCACGAAGCAAGTTGAATGTCTCTAGGAGAGATGTTGAGAGTGGCAAAGCCGGATTTGCCGACGAGTATGAGAGGAAGCTCTATTCGAGATATGGTGAGTGGAGCGCTGTTGTCTCGCAACGAGCCTTGGGCAGATTGCTAATAGAGAGTTCAGATGGTCCAGCGGATACGCTTGAGAGTGACTCGAAATTGAGGCCCGGACAAAATCCAGTCCTGGGACAGGAATCGCCCGCCAACAAGTAGCTTTCTCTTCAGCTGGATATCCGGACTGAACAACACCTTAGCCGAAGTTGGGATTTTCTTAGGACCTCCGGGGGCGAGCCTTGCTCTTTTGGTGAAGGGGATCCTGCAAGTCGTACCAAGTGTATCGGTGGCGATCCTCGTGAACTATTTGGACGCGACCCAGTCGCACAGAAGGGCAGCCACTCAGCGCAGCATGTTGCAAAATACGCCTTGACTATCAGCAAAATGCTAGCCGGACCTGCGGTATCCTTGGGTGGCTCCTGCTTGCGATACAGTGTGACGTCCCCCCATCAAGGCCTACAAGAAGGGAGGTATTCCTTTTCTTTCACCTCTTTGGACAATTCTCTGCGCAATTCCCTTATCCTTCAACAACATATCTATTCTTTGGAGCAGAGCCGTCACCATCCTCATACCCTTCGCTTAAGCGGTGCGGCTACTCTCCACACATCCTCATAACACCCGCGCAGTCTGCATTACCACCTTGACCCTAAAGTCTTTCCAAACATGGAGCTTTCTTGCAGAACGTCGGCCTCCGACGTCCGCGGCAGCGACGACAGTCCTCCCACCAGCGGCGACACGTTGGTCTCCAATAACCCTAGCAATATCGAGAGTGCCCCTAAGAGCGGGAACATGGCGCAAGAGAAACAAAACGACCCTATGGCTAGCCGGACAGACGGTGGAGTGGAATACAAGAGCATGGTCTGGTGGCAGGCGGGAATGGTCATGGTCGCTGAAACCATTTCTCTTGGTATCCTTTCACTGCCGGCCGCCATGGCTACCTTGGGCATCGTACCAGGTCTCATCTTACTTGTGTTGCTCGGCGCGATGGCTTCATATACCGGGTTTGTCATCGGACAGTTTAAGAGGCGATACCCTCACATTCACTCGATGGCTTGCGCCGGTGGAGTGTTATTTGGCAAATGGGGGGACCGAATTCTCGGCTGGGGTCAATTTTTGTTCTACGTCTTTATCATGGGCAGTCACATCTTGACCTTCTCCATCATGATGAACGCCATCACGGACCACGGCGCCTGCACCATTATCTGGATGGTGATTGGCACCGTTTTGAGCCTCGTCTTCACGCTGCCACGGACCCTGAAACACCTTTCCTACTACTCGATCGCCAGCTTCATCAGTATCATCGGAGCGGTCATGATCACCATGATCGGGGTTTCGATCACGAAGCCAGGAGCCGGACCAGATGGGGTCATCCATGTTCGACTGTGGCCGCGACCAGGTCTCAGCTTCCAGGACGGATTCAACGCCGTGTCCAATATGGTCTTTGCGTATGCCGGCCACGTTGCCTTCTTCACCTTCATCTCCGAGTTGAGGAATCCAAACGACTTCCCAAAGGCCCTCGCGTTTCTGCAGTGCAGCGACATTACCATGTACATCATCACGGCTGTGGTGGTGTACTATTATGCTGGAGACAATGTTGCCAGTCCGGCGTTGGACAGTGCTAGCCCAGTGGTCAGGAAGATTGCGTATGGGGTGGCAATTGCGACGATTGTCATTGCCGGGGTTGTCAACGGGCATGTGGGCGCCAAGTTCCTGTACGTGCGACTGCTGAAAAACCGAGAGGACGACCTGCTGCACCAGAAGACCTGGAAATCATATGGAGTGTGGTTTGCCATCGTTAGCATTTCGTGGCTGGGGGCTTGGCTCATTGCTGAAGCCGTGCCAGTGTTCAACCACCTATTGGGCTTGACCTCGGCCTTGTTTGCATCTTGGTTCACGTTTGGACTGTCGGGCATGTTCTGGATGCACCTGAATCTGTACGGCAAATGGACGTGTGCCAAGGCTTTTCTCTTCGTTCTCAACTGTGTCAACATTCTGGTTGCTGCCATTCTATTCGCTGTGGGAACATATTCCAGCATCGCGGCCATGGTGGAAAATGGGGCAACCAACAAGCCATTTTCGTGTGCCAACAATGCTGGCGGGCATTGACAAAGAGACGGACGTATTGGGTGCGGAGACACTGGTGGTAATTCTATCTACCTCCCTATCTACCCCTTACAGCGCGCTCCTTTAGTTATTGATAGTATTGAGAGTGGTCCTGCCAATGTGTCCGGGTGTTATGGCAACTCAACTCTCTTGAGCACCATTTTTTCTTTGCTATTTCTGTTCGCGGTTTGGCAGGCAATCGGCAGTTGGATGCGGCTTATGGGTAGCAAAAGAGCCATGGCCACGGTGTGTATCATTTCGCCGCCAATTTATGGCTTCAAGCAAGGGGCAGGATCGGATGAGAACGACGACGGAGAGGGGCACGAGCCAGGAGCCAGGAGACGATATAGTTAACAGACGAGAGTGCCGAAGATTTGTATTCTGCAAGCATTCTGAATACTAGAGACATGTCTTGTGGGAACTGGTACTTTTGACACCCGTCGAGGCCGTATTGAGAGGCGGCCTTACAACTGCTGGGCCTGGCTTACCCGCAGCAGCGCTGATTCCTTCCTCCCAGAGTGAGTCCTTTCCGCTTTCTCTGTCTTTTTTTCTGTGATCAGAGAGGAATAAGGGAGTCATGACCTACCTAACCCACGGCAATCCGTGCCACGGGTGACAGGGCTGGCACGAAGTCTCATGATATTAACGAGCTCGCCATCGCGGAAACCAAGAAATCTTGAACCCCTCAACTGCCGAAAGCTGCACCCGCCGAGGGAAGCGCCTCAGCTTTTGGGAGAGAGGAACAACTGTCTTGGGGGGGCCAAGTCGGCTATTGTCATGTCCCCTGGAGTCGCCACGCGACGCTAATACCATCAGCAAAGCCGCTTGAGGAGCCCGCGACAGCCCAAAACCTCTCACAAAGGAAAATTGCCTGGCCCTGCTGCTGCCCGCGTCAAGCGGCGGCCTTTGATAATTACTACCAAGGAACGTTCCGAGGGAGCCAGCTTAAAGAATCATGTCTCTCTCGTACTATGGTACTGTGGGACCAAGCGCCGGTGTGTTCCTGTTCTGGGATCATCTGTCTTGCGCCCATTATTACTGATCAATGCGTTTCAATCTCTTATTATCCACAGGCGAATAAAGGACAACCTGTAAATGCTTTTCCGCCAGAGTGATGCCAGCCACGAGGTAATAATTACTGTTACTTCGGTATCCCACCACGGCAGTACCAACGGCCAGCTAATGGAACGAGATATATCACTACCCAACACCTGTTGGCTTTGTTCCTCTACCTCTTGTCTACATCACAGTTTTGCAATCGTTGCATCTCTACCTCTGCCATACTCGTTTCCCCATTCTCCGGTCTGTTCTGTGCGAGTGTGATTGTTTGCCGCGACTTGCACCAAGTCTATACAATTTTTTACGGCCCAGCAAGATTCGTACTGAGGAGTACTAAGCAAGCTAATCTCGACCTTTCGCGGGGGAATTTTGGAAGGGCGGTAGAGTCCAGCAACTCGTTGAATTTTTACGGGCTGACTCGAATCCTGTCGCCTGATTGAAACCGCCGTTGAACACGCATTCCATCGCCCAAAGCACACAACTTTGAATTGAGTTATTCAACCGCCGTGATAACGATTTCGTTGTGTTGGGCATCACCAAAATATCGAAAGAAAAAAACACACCCTCCGCTTTCGGACCATTCCGAGACACATTATTATTACCCTCAAAGTGCACCAATTTCTTCCCTGGGGGAGTTTCGGAAAATTCCCCCCCCACCCTCCTTTCTTGAAGGGAACATATTATCAGAAGCCCACTACTCTGATCAGAGTAGTGGGTGACTTGGGTGACCCGGAGCCTCGGGGGGTATTGAATTTACGTCATTTTTTCAAGGCCCCTGATCTCGCGCAGCCTTATCCCGCTACATACCTACGCACGCCTACCATCATCAATCCCCTCCCATCCCAGACGGCAAGTGGAAACCGGAAATAAGCCATGGGGAAAGTTCAACTTCACGTCTGTATCGTCGGTGCAGGGCTTGGAGGACTGGCAGCTGCAATTTCCATTGCTAGAGCTGGCCACAAAGTGACTGTTCTGGAGCAGGCGCCTGCCCTGGGAGAGGTGAGTGGGCCATCTTTTTATTCACTAAACAGTCCCAAAGGAGATGCCTCCAACTAATAATGCCCATCTTCGCTCAGGTCGGAGCAGGCATTCAGCTCCCACCCAACAGCACCCGCATTCTGTCTCGCTGGGGCCTTCTTCCGGCCATTGAGAAGGTCTCGGTGCGTCCCCAGAGCTTCATCCTGCGCTCCTACCGCGATGGCAAGGTCCTATCCACCCAGCCCCTCATCCCTCACTGCGAATCCGTCTATGGGTATCCTTACCTGCACATCCACCGTGCCGACTACCACAAGATCCTGGTCGAGGAAGCCGAGCGCCAGGGCGTCGAAATCCGCCTGGACTGCTTCGTGACAGGTATCGACTTTGAGCTCCCAGCCGTGCACATCAAGAACCGCTCCGAGCCCTTCACCGCAGATCTGATCATAGGCGCTGACGGCCTCAAATCTGTCTGTCGAGAAGCGCTCCTGGGCCGCCCCGATCCACCCCATCTTACTGGGGATCTGGCCTACCGAATCGTCGTCCCTGCCGAGTCAATGAAGTCCCACCCACTGCTGCGCGACCTCGTCGCAGTGCCCAATATCAACTACTGGATGGGACCCGACTCACATGTGGTTTCCTACCTCCTGAAGGGTGGTAACCTGTACAATATCGTGATCGCGTGCCCGGACAACCTGCCCGAGTTCATCAACCAGCAAAAGGCCGACCTGAACGAGATGCACGCATTGTTCAAGAACTGGGACCCGCAGCTGCGGGCCTTGCTGGAGCTGTGCAAGGACACGAGCAAATGGCGCCTGCAGAACTCGCGCGAGATGCCCACCTGGAGCCACCCGAGCGGCCGATTCACCCTGTTGGGCGACGCCTGCCACGCCACCCTGCCGTACTTGGCCCAGGGCGCTGCGCAAGCCGTCGAGGACGGCGCCGTGCTGGGCCACCTGTTCGAGAAGATCGAGTCCCGCGCCCAGGTCCCCGACCTGCTGACCATCTACGAGAGCCTGCGCAAGCCCCGCACCACGCGTGTGGTCATGGGTGCGTCGCAGTATGGGAGGGAAATCTTCCACCTCCACGACGGCCCCCGCCAGAAGGAGCGCGATCGCCAACTTCTCGCGTGGCAGGACGAGCCGTTTGAGGGATACCAGAACCGCTGGCGAGACCCGGTCTTTCAGAAGTTCCTGTTCGGATATGACGGTAAGGAGGTCGTCGAAGACGCCTGGGATCGGTACCTGCAGGGCCGATTCCCGGGCACCATGGGCCGCTTTGCGCCCGAGCTGGACGAAACTGAAGGTTCCGCTCGCGAACTGGACGAGCTGAGGAGGGCGGAGAGGAGAATCAATGGTGACGCTGTCGCTGGCGCCGATGAGGATCAGGCGAGGCTGTGATGAGTGGCGAGACTGTCTATGCCGCGTTTGACTGAGCTTGAAAGTTGGCCCTTTCCCCCTTTTTCTTATGCATTACGGCTGGCGCGTTCAATGGGTTTCTGGTCTCCAGCATTTTTGAAGCGGCACCGTCCACAAGACTTGTTGTAAATAGGATCTCGCTGGGAGGCCTCGGATATAACAATGCGAGTGGACTGTCCTCTTGTTTCGTCTTCCTTCGGACTGTAAATCAAAGACACTCGTGTTCGCGCACACATATTATACCTCGTGATTTGTCTCTCTTGATCCTCGGCTGTCCTCTTTTTTGAGCTTCCTCTCAAATTGTAAGATGTAAGTCCTCCGCCCTACCTGAACGGATTCGAATTGTGTATCTCCCTCCACAACCGCTGCCCGTCAATGTCACTTGTGGTGGGGAACCAGAGGAAATTGAGCAGCTTCTCCTTCAAACTCTGCCAGCTCAGGATCTGCATCCTATGCACGAGCCGCTCGAGCACCGAGATGTACCACGTCTTGTCTTCGGCCGTGGATGCGAGAGCGCCCATGAACGTGATCCACAGCATCAGCGGAGCGCCCTTGCGCCATCCCTTGCCGTCGTGGCCGCCGCCGCTCGACGTGGATATTATTAGATGCTGCCTGATCTGTGAGGCAAGCTTTGCAAAGGGTGCTCGCGCGGGAGGGATGGGGAAGACGCTGATGAGGCTGGACACGACACCCGCGCACCAGGTGGCCTGTTGGAGTGAGTACATTCCGTCGTCTGCGGACGTCGTGGTGGTGGCCCCCGGACTCGAGTGCATCGACATTAAGCTGTGCTGGACAAAGTTCCTTTGGTCGGCGAGTGTTAACATGCTCTGGGCTTGCGGTCTACCCATGATGTAGTCTTCAACCGCCAGCAGATATGTCGAAAGGTGCAGGAGGACATTGTAGAGCTGTTGGGCCATTTCCGGGGGGACGAGATCGTAGAGCATCTGAAACCCTGAGCCGAGCTGAGCTAGAGGATGGCCTGGCCTTTTGACACTGGCCAGGGTCCTTTCCGGAGACTCGCCGATTGGCACAAAGGGCAGGGTCGGTCTCTGCAGCAATCGAGACGCCAGAATCACATCCCCACTGTCCCATCAAAAGTCAAGCAGACATCGAGTCAGTGACATGCAAGTAACAAGGTGGAGAAACAGGCTATCCCTGGTGACGGGCATTCTTACTAGCTCAGCATTGCCGCCAAACCGGGGAACTTGATGTCGTCAACGCCTCCCCGCATGGCCAGCATCTTTGCCAACCCGTGGACGTGCATGTGCACGGGATCTAGTCGACCTGCGTATGTATCCAGGCCCTGCAGAGCATTCAGTGGGCCCTGCGAGGGCGAGTAAGGAGGTTCGCGCGTGTCGTGGGCTGCTGTTTTGTCACCATGAAACGCCAACGCCTGCACGGCAAGAATACTCTCGTCGGAACATCGAGTAGAGGCATTACTGAATCGTCTATTGACCTCTCCCACCACCACCGAGTAGCAGTACCACTTTGCTCTCTGACTAACTGGGTTGAGGCCAGAAGCCTCGGTGACCGACAGCCTGGCTAATTGGCCGAAGCAAAGGGCGTGGAACAAGGTGCTGTCACTCATGAACCAAGATATCCAATGGCGTGCGACGCTCTCTTCCATGCCATCTGGCTCCGGGAGAAACATGATATTGAAGTAGTGGTTGACTGTTTGCAAAGTATATCGAATTAGATCAAGGGTCGCTCCGCGCCAATTGGCCGCAAATCTTTTTTCAATGCTGCAGATCAAGATGTTGGAGGGAGGTATTCGTGTACTGGCTTACCTTGGGCAATAATGGGGGCAGCTATTTCCCTTGGCAGCCGCGATGGATAGCTGGCAAATGGATCAATATCACCCGCACCTACTGTGTGGAGAGGACTGGGGACAGGGTGCGATCCAAGGATGGTCTGCCTTCTGGATGGCACAACTTGTCGAGAGCCTGAGGGACCAGCTCCCCCAAAGCAGGTATCTTGGTCCTGCTCGTCATTTGACTGTGATGATACTAGCCCGGTATTGGCCAGAGGGGTTTGCTGCACGGCCGGAGGCTGTATTGAGCCAATCTGAGAACTGCCCTCCTGCCTCGACTGCTTTTTGCCCTGCCTGATCTTGGCCCACGACGCGCGTGAAGCATGGGCCCGAATGACTGATTTAGCCTCGCGTCGCGCCTGGGTCGAGTCGGGCCGTGCAGTCACAAATCGCAGTTTGGGCGGCTCAACTGGGTTCTTTGCAGTGGTTGGGTCGCCTTCCTCGGTCTGGTCTGGCATTATTATCAAATGGCTGACGGGGTTCGCACATTGTGGTTGGGGCGGAGAAAATAGGCTCCTTTTCCGCCGAAGCTTCTGGGGACCGGGTAAGCTTTGTTTCAATACCACGAGGATCGGAGCGAGTGTGAATCAGGGTAATCTTTTGTAACGAACGTGACTAGCAGGAATACCCCATGGATAGAGGTAGGTAGCGATGGGCAAGATAGTGACGGCGTGTGAGATGCAAGGAAGAGGGGGCCGAAGGGGGGGTTCTTTGGAGGAGAATTTCCAAGGCCAAGCACGTGAGTGGCTGCCGCTGACTAAGGGGCCACACTAGCCGTAGTTGGAAGTTGGATTTTAGCGTGGGTGGAGTCGTATACAAATAGTAGTCGGGCATGTTTTCTACTATGTTGGTACATGTACGAGGTATTATACCTGGCGAGCTGGGTGCCCAGGTAGCTGGATATTGATTTATCCACGTCATTCGACAGCTACTGCCCTCGCTTTCTGACGGTACACTCAGCCTCAATGGCACTGCAGAAGCACATTCTCCTGCACTAGTTCTCCGACGTGAAACCCCATCCCAACATACGGTAACTGCCCTAGAACTGTCCTTAGTCCGGAAACCCCTGTGCCTACGCACTTTGCTGCTTGTTATAGTTCTGCTTCCTGCACTGACAAAGTTCGAAACCACTATCATACTCATTTCTTAGTCACACACACATCCTCTGGCATTCGGGCGTTTAATTAGCTAAGGCTGCTGCAAGTATTTCACAAAAGTCCTCGAACAGTTTCTGGGGTATTTATCTCCCGAGACCCATACTTGGGACTTTTGCTTCAGCACAGACGGTCGCATCCGACGGACTCTGAGGGACAACAGGCAATAATCCCTACAGTTCAACCTAGTCGCCCAGCATGACTATGAGTTCCAGTGAGTTTCCCTCAGCGATCCTGTCGGAGCTATGGTCCCAAGAAACGGCATGCCGTATCCTCGCACAGCCAAAAGGAAAACACTAACAAAGAGCGCCGTCAAGACACCTCCCAATACTCTGCCACGCAATACCCTTCAGTCGCCCCACGAGTTGAGAGCAGGATACCCACGAGCTCCGACAGTGAGAACCCGCCAGGAGAAATTCAAATGCAGATCGGAGAGACGGCAGAGATGCGCGAGGTATGTATGGTTGCTGGATTACCTGCCCTTCCCACGTTTCGCCTTTTTCAACACATGTCACAACTCGCGGCTCACTCGTCTTTTTTCCCCCTCTCCAGCGTCGAAGAGTCCAAAACCGACTGGCCCAACAAGCCTTCCGCGCCCGGCAGAAGATCCGGGTCCAGGCACTGGAGAGCGAATGGACCCAGCTGCGACAGCTGCACGAGGCCTTGAACCAGGCCTGTTCACAACAGGCCAAGGAGATCAAACAGCTGCAGTCGCGGGTCGAGGAGCTGCTTCAAGACATTGAACTTATCAAGAATTCTCAAGAGAACGAGGGGAACTCCTGGTCCTCGTCTTGCCCTACGACACCCGAGCAACAGCTTCCCATGACGAGTGCGATCACAGTGGCCGAGGCGGAACTGCGGAATTTCTTCATCGAGGGCAGGATCTCGGACTTCCCAGAGTTTCCAGAGTCGTTTCGATCTCGCTACTCTGCCTAGGTGAGAGGCGAGTGCAGTATTCGTTTTGGAGGTTTATTCCTCAGAGAGGCCGTTCTGAGCAGACGGGTATCTTTGAGATGAACTACAGATCTATCAGTTGCGGGTTAAAAAGTGATCCGGATTAGGATGTCCTGGTGTTTTGCTCTTGATGCGGTCTGAGCGTACGATCCAGGTAGAAATCTATATTACGAGTTGCTCCTATTATGGGTCATGCTCATAGCTCATCTAGCACATCAAGTCCATGCTGAACCGCCTTCCAAATATCGAGGCCGTCGGGATCGCTCGTCCGAGGATGCCATAAGAACGACTGCAACAAAACCTTCAGGTCCTTCCATCCCTTTATGTCGAACTCGTCCAACACTTCCATGATCCGTAGCAGGAACCAAGGACGATCAGGCAGCCCTATCGAGCCGATCGCACCCATGGCCAGGATCCACAAATGCAACCTCAGCCTCGGAGGGTCAAAGTTCTTCCACTCGGTGGCCTGCAGGGCACGCTTGATCCTGTCAATTAAAGTCTCAAAGGGTCCCACCACCGGCGGGACGGGAAAGACGACGATGAAAGAGTAGATGATGCACGCTAACCGGCAGGTCTCGTATTGCAGGTCGTCGACGGCAACGTCCCTGGCGGTGAGAAGCTCCTCCGCTGACCACAGCGACATCAGCTTGTGCTGAACGAAGTTTCTCTGGTCGATGATCTCGGGAGACGTCCGTGGCATCCACCTCCCACTCGCGTGGTTCTCGACCACAACCGTGAAGTCGCAGATGTCGCGGATGACTGTCAGCAGATCGTCGAGGTAGCTCGGCGCGGAAGGTTTGGGGCTCCAGACTTGCCAGAAGCCCGTGCCTAGGGTGCCTAGGTCAGCAGCAACGGCGTCACGCTCGTGGTTGGTTATAGAGAGACGACCATCTCCGCGGACGAAGGTGGCCGTGTGGGATATAAAGGGAAAGATGGGTCTCCCAATACTGCGGCATGCGCCCATGATACCGCACCTGTGGGTTCAGTGACATGATAAGTCAGCATTTAGGCTTCGGAGAAGCGGCTCCGACTTTGCATATAAACGTGGCATTTGAAGAGGTGGAGAGCGCATGGGGCGAAATCGGCTTACCAAGAGACTATCGGAGCGATCCCGGGTGTCTTGATCTTGTGCAAGTTCCCAAGTAGGTCCATCATTTTGATAAGGCCAAGGACATGCTCAATGACAATCTCCATCTTCAGATAGATATGAATTGACTGTAGCTCTCTCAAAAAGGACTGCCGCGGGTAACTTGGCCCCGACCTAATTCTATCTTCGCGGCCAGAGTATGCAAGCACCAGGACGGCCCAGATGTTGGAATCTGACAAGGCTCGTTTGGGGTCCGGGTCGCTGATTTCCGTATTCAAGTGGCGGATGGCTTCTGTGCCGACCATCAACTCTGTGGCTGTCGGGTTACTGATCCCCTGTTGTATGCGGTCATGCACCATGACCGCGAAGATCATGGCGTGGAGTTGTGCTGGGTGCTGGGAGAGCGACGCCATGACATTGCTGGCAAAGGATCTTCCATACTTCCCGGTCAGCGCAGCTTTGGATACCAGCTTCGCAAGAACGTCAGGGACTGCAGACACAATCTCGTCAGCACCGAGGAGAAATCCCTCTTCAACAACATGCATAGTTTTCTCAGGATCACTGACGGTTATGCAGGTGTCGTTTGACCAGCCCATTCGGAAGTGCTGATGGGAGAAGAGGATAGGGCTCGTCGGCATCAGGTTCCAAGAGCAGCGATGGACTTTGAGAGTAATTCACCACCGCCAGAGCCTCGTCACGTTCTGCTTTCCTTGCGACAGTCTTTTTGGAAGTCACTGTCCTAGGTTTCCGATCCTTTCCCCGCTTGACAAGAGGCTTTCGCGGGGTTACAGCAGGTTGAGAACCAGTTGTGCTGGATGTTACTGTGTCTTGTCGCCCATATTGAGATTCATCCCGATCGTCCTGCTCGTCCTGATCGTCCTGGTTCGTATCGTGTTCGGAGCCTCCCCGGCCTTTTGGGAGACCTGATTGGGCGCGGACAGTGACCGAGTCTTCCCAGCCCGCGGGTTCAGGCTGAGTTTGCCGCATCCCAGAAGGTTGCCCTTTTCAGTTATGCAGCCATTGACGGTGATTCGCACACGTAGATCAAAGGCGCAAACAAGAGCCTACGGCTTTTCTGCACGAGAAGATGCAATGGGTTCGTCGTCGACAAAGATTGGGAGCGTTGGTTCATTAAGGTTGGGGCTAGACTAGGTGAGACGTTGACAAGGCTGATTCGCTGTTTCGTTTTTTGCCAGATCTGCATTAGTCTCAAAATCCAACTTCCTTTTGAAGGAATTCCGAAGTAAGCGCATATTAATATGCAACAGGTGCCGCATATCCGCCGAACATGGTCAAATAGTTTGAGGGCGGTATTGGCTTGGAAAGGTTAGACACGATCATGGTTGAGTTGAGACGCTATGCCCCACAGGTAGCGGGCTATACCAGTAAATACAAGCTCCGTATCACTTGGAAATCGTTGTCCCGTCACTCACCTGTCTTGGAGTGATCTCGCAGATATACTTGTGCAAATATCTTCCGAGCGACTCGCAACCTTCCTATGCAGAGAGAGGATGGTCATTGCGACCCTTCTCTGTCTTTCAAGTGATGACCATGGCACTTCCGTTGTATGGCAGATACGCGACCCTCACTTGAATTGCTCACCGGTAAGAGGTTGAAACAGATCTTCGATCCCACTGCCGTTTCCCAGTGTGAAAAGCCGAAGGTTTTAGTTGGTCAAGTGCGAAAGCAGTCCCTGTGACACTAGCTGAGGCTGTTCCACGACTTTTCCAACGGCTTATGTATGTGTGTCTCCAACAGGAAGCATCATGCTAGTAGCCATGAGCGGTAGAAAGGCTGGGAATTGAAAGGGACCTTGACAGTCTGATTGATGTGACCATGGGAAATGTGCCGCCAGATTTTGTCGATTGAGTTATGAAAGTGCTTGACGATCGAGCCTCTCGGTCATAACCAACGGATGTAAATCAGCCATCTGGACGTATGAAAGTGGACTGCTCAACCATTGTACGGTGCGATATTGAGAGTATTTGGTTGTTTGGAAAGAGCCAGGTGGTTGCATCACCGGATACATGTGTGAGTCACTGTGAGAATTATCATGCTAACATTTGTAAACAGGAGATCAAATTCGAGAGTTGAAAAGAGAAACACTTGCAGTCTTTGCGGCTTTTCACGATTCCACCTGTCAATTTGCGAACTTGTATACGCGCTGACCGAGCTGAGTTAGCGCAACGGCAACACCAAGCGCGGTGACGGCGAGAGTGATTGAATCCGCCATTTCAATTGACCGGTGACTGCGATATCTCGATATGAGGCGCCTTCAGACCTGCAGAGGTAAGCGCATGAGTTAGCAGTGCAAGAAGCCAGAGGTTGGCAGACATCTTCACAGGAAGAGGCAGGGGGCGCTTCCAAAAGCTCGGTTGGGCCCTTCTACTTGCCTTATTACGTTGTCTCCGGCTGGCACTCTGCAGTGGTCAAAACAAGCATCAGCTGAAAGACGCGGCGCTGCTCAGCCCCGGAGTCAACGCTTGAGGTCAGGCCAGCCGCGGTGACTCGACTCCTAATAGGTCCAAATCAGCCACCAATGCAAGAGGTCATGAAAAATTAATAGGACGGTGAAAGGCCACAAAGCAGTGAGCTTTCCACGTATTTCATGCAAGGGAACCGATGGGGAAAGCGTGATGCAGGACTAGACTCGCGGGGCTGGGAAGCTCCTTCAGCCTCAGCTGGACCCTTTGTATGGGAAATATTAACACGCAGTTTTCCTGCGACCTCGAATTGCGAAGACAGCACTGACTGACTACCCTTTTCATTCCTGCACCCGACAGTCGAAAACGGAATTGAAGCAATGCCAAATGGATTCTTGAGTTCTCAGCGCCCTACTCGATACCAGCCGATCTATTCAGGTTCGTGGGTCGGTCCACTGTTGTAGGCGTCAGGCTGATTACTATAGGAGGGTACAATGACCCTGCATACTATGGTTCGAGCGGAGAAGCCCTTTTAGCCCTCAATCCCAGCGGGAAGGGCGCTTCCGTTGCTGCTGGTAACGATCAGGATCACGCGTATGGATATCCACCAGCACAACAGCACGAGTTTAAACGGCCGACCGACACGAAGAAGAAGGCTCTATACTTCTGTTTGTTAATCTTGACAGTGCTTGTTTGTCTGGGAGCATTGGGAGTGGTCCTTGCGCTACACTATACAAAGAAGAAGTCGACAAAAACCTCGGATTCAACTCATTAGCTTGGGCTGGCGGCGTTCGGTTCAGACTGGGAAATGTGTGAAGTGCCAGATGTCAAGAGCGTGCTTTGATATGGTGGCAGTGGATAAATGAGGGTTTCTAGTTTGTCATCAATTCCAGGCTGTGAGCTGAGGTGCTGCTATTTTGCGTGGAACAATCATTCAAGAGTCGGGTGGGAGACGAAGAAGACGAAGAAGCACCACCCCCTATTCATCTTGGGGTCGGCATATTTTGTGCCCAAAATGTTCTCGAACATGAATATAGTGTTCTGAAGAAGAACAAGCGATTCTCATGGTCGTCTTGGGACAGGATAACCCGCCTGCCCAGGCTGATTTGGCGCTCCCCCAAATCTGATGCCCATGTCTGGTGTCCAAATTCCTCCACCACCAATCGTGCCGCCCGCAACGCCAACCGGCAAGGGCGAAGTGGAGGGCATAACTCCTCCAGGAGGCGGATTCCTTGTTGGCGCCGGTGCCGTCAGTGCTTCTTGAGTCTCTGCAGGTGGCTGTTGTTGCGGACGGCTTCTCGTCTGCGGCGCTGTATTCTGACTCCTTAGTTCCCTCCTTGTCTCCTGAAGATTGAGCCTGCCCATATCTTGACCAGCAAGCTCCGCTTCAAGCTGACTGGCTTCAATCCTGCGCTCTGAGACCTGTGCTTTACAGTTGTCTCGGAAACGTGTCACATGAACAGCAAGGTCGTTGTAGAACTTTCTTCCAGTGTCCAAGTTACTAATGAGCTCTTTGTACTTGGCATAGCCTGTGTCCAGCGTCTGTAGAGCCTTTTGGCGATCCTTGGTACTGGTGTCACCCCTTCGAGCGTCCAAAAATGCTTTGTTTGCTTCGCGCAATCGAGCGATAATTTGGTCTTGTTCTTCTTGTTCAGTGACAAGAGCTTCGCGATCAGGCTCATAAGCCTGTAGGCGTGTTTCGAACAGCTTCTCGAATTGACCTGGTTCGATCTTCTGCATGGGATACTCCCGCTCCAGGCGAGCTGCTTCGGCGAGCAGAGCCGGTCCGATATCATCAGACTTGGCTTTCTCTTTCAGAGCCGCAATGCGATTCTTTCGCCGAGTCTCTAAGCGGGAGACCTCGTTCAGACATGTCCGTAATCGAGACGCGGCTTGCTCGATGGCCGGTGTCATGGTAACTTGACTGGAGGAGGGGACGAATCGTTCGAGATCGCGATTTGTACCAGTCAAAATCTTGAGGATATGCTCGTTCTCCCGGAACTTTGCTTGCACCAAGTTGTCACTTGAGGCGGCAGAGTTTAGATACGTCTGGAGCTCGTTTGAGGTCTGATACAACTTGGCTAGAGCAGTGGTAGAAGGTGGGCGCGCCCATCTGTCCGTGCCGTACTTTGCTCGAGCACGCTCATCCTCGGCTTTCTCGGCCTCGAGCAATGCAACGCCTTCCTGATAGATAGCGAGATCGTTCGTCTTTAACTTCGTCGTATCTTCCATTGATCTCTTGATTCTGTAGAGCGCGTCCTGCTGTCGAAGCTCCTCGGCCTTTGAAACCAGGCTGCCGGGCAAGCCGAGTGGCTTTTCGAGGGCCTGTAGTGACCCGGGTAAATCGAGCGATTGCAGGATTTCTCTCAGTCTAGCTGTCATAGCTTCAAGATCGACGACGATGGACTGGTTGACGAGGCGGTCGCGGCGATCGGCGTATATTGATGCTGCTTGGTGGACAGCATAAGGAACAAGTTTTTCGAATAACGGCCTGCCGAAAGGTTTTCCGTCACCCAGCAGAGAAATGCCATTGACGATATCTGCCGGTGCTTTTGCAGCGACCATATTTGTTCGGTCCAGAAGCTTGAGCTCTGATTTGGGCGTAGTTGTTTGCAGGTAGATCAGATCATTGTCCTTTTCGGCCCTCTTCAGCTCTTCAGTGACCTTGGACTTGAGACCATTGAGATCCCCGGTCACCGTAGCATTGATGTATCGGGCTTCTTGAAGACCCTCGTTGACGCAGGTGAGACTATCCTTGAGCCTGGCAATCTCCTCCCCATATTGCTTGTTTTGCAGACAATATCGAGATTGTCGAAACTGAGCGGCGGCAGCGAAATGGTGATGTTTCGCTTGGAAATGATGTATCCACTCCGCGCTCACGGCCCTGGACTGGCGTGCGGCATCCGCCGCAAAGATGTAGTAGTCGGAGACCTTCGCTGCGAGCTTCGCTACCGTGCCGTCCGACATGGTCTTCTTGATTGCAATCTGCCAAAAGGATTCTTGCCCTTGTGCCAAACACAGTTGCTGCAAGCTGTCCAAAGTTATATCATCCATGTCTTCCGGTGGCGTCGAGCGCATATCAGGAAGGATATCTGTCCGTATGAAGGAAAAGGTCCCGGCGGCTGCGATACTATATTCGGCGGCAGATTTGAGCCCATCGATCGACGTCCGGTTCGTGGCATACGCAAGTTGTGAATATAGGGCCGCAAGATTGAAGAGTATATTCGCTAGCTCGAATCGTAGGTTGTTCTGTAGTACGGGCTTGTCTCGATCGTAGCCTATCGCGGGGTACCAGGGGAAATCGACGCCAACATCAATGGGAAATTTCCCACCCAGATACCGCAGCTGAGCGGCATATATCTGTAAGCGTTTGATACCGCTGACATGAGGCTCGCGGACGTTTATGGCATCGTTTCGTAGGCGGTCAATGTCTCGCAGGTCATCTGCGAACATATCCGGAGACTGATCATATTTCGTGGAGATGTACTGCTTGATGGCGGAGGATAGATCCACAGAGTGAGTCCGACGGAAGGGGATTTCGAGGAGATTCCTGTGGTCTGTCAGTAATATGTCAACGGTCTCGAGCATGTGCGAGACGTACGAAGCCATGCTGTTGTGATTGTGCAGACGGCAGAAACTGCGGCTGCGAATCCAGCGTGTAAAGCCAGCCTTGTTTTTGATCAAGGCTGCGTGACGTCAGCCTCGGCAAGGCTGAGCCTCGCGAGAGACGAGACACAGGATGAGTGCTTCGCAGCCTTGCTCATCTTCCCACCTTCAACCCAGCTCCTAAGGCCCAGTGAACTCCTCCATCGGAGACTGACACTCTTCCCCGAGTACCAGCACTGTTGGCGAACGTCGAGACTCCCACTCAAACTCAATACGAGGTACGAGACACTGTGCTGATCTAGTTATATATGAAAGATCCAATCGCAGGGCGTGCGGACTTCTCCATGAACCCATCCATCAGTGCCCCTCGCTCGCTCCAATGAGACGTCTATCATTTTGCCATCGGGGTCCCTTCACGCCCTTTAACCACATTATCTTCTACCAAGCATTTCTCTCCCACTCGTATCTCGTGTACTTCAACTCAAATATCAAGTCCTCAAGAAAACAGCTTGCCCCTCAGAGTGTATCCAGACTTTTCACTTCTGCAAAGTTGAGCCTCCTCTCCATTTCATCGCTTCTCCCATTGTCTGTCTTTCTGTGTTCTAGCCTCGCCGTCTTCTGCTCGACCCAGATCCTTGATCAAAACCATGGCCCCTTCTGCGATCAGCGACCTCCTCCCCTCCGGGCCCCTGGCCTCAAAGTCCATCACTCCTGGCAAGGAGGAACATGTGCACGGCATGGAAGACAAGTCGCCCCTTGCGGCCATTTCCCACGGCGACGTGATGTTGCCCGGCGTCCCCAAGTTCGACAACTTTGCCGCCCAACGCCAATGGCAACTTGAGCACATGGCCGCAGCTTTCCGCCACTGGGCACGAGAGGGATTTGTTGAGGGTATCTCAGGACATATCAGTGTGAGAGATCCGGAGAACCACGAAGTCTTCTGGACGAATCGTACGTCAAACGTCCCTTTTCTGGAGAGAATACAACAACCGTAAACTAACCCCGGAGGAACAGCGCTGGGTGTGCACTTCGGCCTTCTCAAAGCCAGCGACATGATCGCGGTGAACCTGGATGGCAAGGTCGTGGGAGGCAACATCACGCGGCCGCCCAACGCCGCCGGCTTCCTGATCCACAGCGAAGTCCACAAGGCCCGCCCGGACGTCGTCGCCATCTGCCATGCTCATACCGTCTACGGTAAAGCCTGGTCCGTCTTCGGCCGGCCCCTGGAGATGCTGACGCAGGACTCCTGTAAATTCTATAACGCCCACTCGGTCTACAACTCCTTTGGCGGCGTCGTGCTCGCGAGCGAAGAAGGCGCCCAGATCGCAAAGGCCCTGGGACCGACCAACAAAGCGTGCATCTTGCGGAACCACGGCCTGTTGACTGTGGGAAAGACCGTGGATGAAGCCGCTTTCCTCTTCCTCAGCATGGAACATGCCTGCCAGGGCCAGCTGCTGGCCGAGGCCGCGAGCCAAGGCGGTAACTTGCCCAAAGTTCTCATCTCCGAGGAAGAGGCCGCGTACACGAAGAAGATGGAAAGCGACGAACAGACCTGCTATGCCGAGTTCCAGGTCTACGTTGATTGGGAGGATTATCACAGCAAAGGCGAGTTTCGGAAATAGATGGCCAGTAGCATCGAGACGATGACTAGAGAAGAGGCCCAAATCCGTTGAGCTGGCAGTGATTGTAGTGATAGAGTCATCAGGCCGATATATTGTTACAAAGCAACGAAGCGTCCGGAGATGTAGGTGCATTCCTCTCATTAAAATTATTCGCATGTAAGATGCGCATAAGTGGCTCGGAGAGAATCCCCAAGCCGAAACCCGAAGCTCCAACGAACCTGCCAAAAAGCATGATGTGACGATCGCTTTGGAAGTTGAGAAGAGTCACCGCCCTTTGAGAAACACAGCAAGATGTTCCGCGGGTTACAAGACCACGGGTGCTATATGAAGAGCCCGATTCGTGCGCAGGGTGTTCTGGGCATTGGTGATATGACAAGGTGCTCGCCAAAGACTGCTCCTCATGCACAGGCCGGTCGTGTTTGCGAGCAACCAGGGCCTTTTCCAAGCAGGTTGAAACGACAAGCAGTCTCTGGTTGTCCCTTCTCGCATCGCTTCTCAATAATTGTCTCAGCCAAGATAGATGTTGACTGCGGGGTCCCTAACGGAAAGAGTTCGGGTATCAATAATGCGGGTTGATATTGGAGTTTCTTTCTTTTCTCATGATAATGAGGTGATGACTGTCAATAGCAACTGTGGGTCTCAGAGACCGAGGTTGCTGAAACTGTAGACATGTCAACGTGGGTATGGATTTCGGATCGTCTGGAGGTAGTGGCCTTTTTGAGAGTGAGAGAGAGCCATGTCCGTTTCGCAGCGGTGCTGAGAAGTGATTCTTTCAGGAAATCATGGCTCTCGGTACGAAATGTTGCCCCCAAATGAACCCGAGCCAATTACTCCATCGACCTTTACTCAAATTTCGTCACGATCTCGATATTGCTCTTGCTGCTGCTGATCCTCGTGTCCTTCGTCTTGGCGTTGCTGCTGTTGAAACTCATCGGTCTGTTCGCGCTGTTCTTCTTGACCCCACTCATTCCAGGTCCAGGTAATAGCACAACCAACCAGAATCCACCTTGAGAGGAAACTCCAGAGAGCCGCTCGCCATAGCAATGCTCTCTGCCACACTGGCCGCTTCCAGATGCCAGCACTTGTCAAGATAGTGGCGATGAGAAGAAACGGACCGACTTCGCACGACAGCAGGAGGGCTCTCTGCAAATTGGGATAGGCTCTCCCGAATGCTGTGGTCCTGGCACTGTCACTACCACCGGTTCTTCTTCGCCGGGGTGGCATGTCGAGTTATTTGTGGTTGCGGGGAGAGACGTGGCGACGTGTCGTGGTATTGATGCAGGTAGCGATGGACAATCGTCGTAGGCAGCGAGGACAGCAAGTGTGTGCCGAAATCTTGTCCGAATAAGAGAAGCACTGCCGCTGAGCAGTTCGCCAATTCTCTGAGTTTATCTACTGGCAGTCATAAGACATGTAATTTGGTGCTCATGGAACGGTGACAATTCAAGCTCAAACGTGAAGTAACGAGTCAATCCCAAAGCTGGCCTTCACGTCTTTGATTTGTTTGAGGCTATGCAATCCTCTCTGAGGACCGAGAGCCAGTCGTTCAGAGTGTCGTGGTATGATGAGGCTATCCGGCTTGTACGATCATTGTTGGTCTCTCAAGGTCGAACCGGGGAACACAAAGGATTTGGCATCGAGTATAGCAGGATTGGCTAAAAGACTTTAGGAGTTTATTGAAATTTGAGACGATTGTATTTGAGGAAAGAGAAGTGACTCGTAACTCGCAGACGGCTGGGTGATATGATGGAAACACATGCAGGCACACGATCAACATGTTCAGATGGGCGTGATGTAGGTTCGCTCATCAGATGTTTGCAGGGTTTGCAACGTTTGCGCTGTTTGCGCTGTTTGCGCTGTTTGCGCCATTTTCTGTGTTTGTGGGCATCGCCTAGCTTTGCCTCCACAAGTTCCTCGGCCAACCAGCTTTCACTCACTTACATTATCAACCATGGAAGTACACCGAGCGATACCTAGTACCAAATGTATTCTTGTTCATTTTTCAATAGGAGGATTCAGTGATCAAAAGGGATATCCAGCAAAGTCAAAATCTATACGGCACAGAATTAGCCAAACGAAAGAAAAAGGAACTAGCTCCTCTGCTTCCATCACCACCCGAACCCTTCCTCAACGAAATCCACATTCACGCCAATGTCAAGCATCGCCCGGGATGCACGCCTGACTTCGTCTGCTAACCCTCCTCCAGCGCAGACACTCACTCCCATACAGCCGACTTTCTGTTTGGCTTCTCCCGCAATGATGGCTTCCACATCCGGTCTCCCTCGAGCCATCTGAACGTGCTCGCTGGGACTTCGGATAGCCTGACTGAGGCTGACTCTTGTAACATACAGCAGAACTTTGAGCACCTCTCTCCGTCCCTCGATGGAAAGGATCTCATGCATCCAAGGTCGGATCCAGTCTAGACATTCTGTGTTCGGTATGACCCACACAAGTGTGACTCTCTTCGCTGCGACCGTACCGTGGCTATATCCTTCAACAAGCTCTTTGACATATCCGAGTTGATGCGTAATGCCCACACCGCTGGCAAAGAGGACCACCGTCCCATAGCTTGACATGCTGCGCTCGGTTCCGTAAGGTCCTTCGATCAAAGCATTGAGCTCCAGACCAGCCCCTGCTGTCATTGCCCGATGCCAGAGTTTGTTCGTCATGCCGGTCTCCTTTTTGACAATCAAGGACATTGTTTCCTCTCCACGTTTCTCGATATCCTTTGGGGATATGTGAATTATAGGTCTCTTTTCGCTGTAATTTGATCTGAGTGAAGATGATCTGCTCAGAGGGTCTTCGATCCCGGACCATGCAACAGAAAAGGGGTGCGCAGTCCATAGCCCGATGGAAGGAATTGTCAAGTACAGCGACTGCCCAGGGCGATAGGTCCAAGGCCTTGGGCTCGTGAGCGTGATTTTGACCACGCCACCGTTGAGCGGATCAATCTTGACTTTGGTGCCACCTGTTCCAACACTTCTGTAGATCAATGTCGCAAGTCTCAGAGATCTTGCCGTGGCCCAAATTATGGCGGCCCCGAGCAATAAGCCCCTTTGAGGTACACCTTCAAGGTGCCTCCAGAGGAACACGAGTACCAGCACCACAAGGACGATATGTAGGTGAAGAAAGAACTCGTATGCCAGGTTCCTAATCATCTTTGGACTTGACAACAAGATGAGTACGAGGCTGATGGCGGCAGTTAAGCCACTGTAGATGAAAGGACTCTCCAATGATGTCTTCACTGCCGCCCACCCACTTGACTGCACTTTTGCAATGAGCCAGCACAGAACATGAGTGATGACTTCGCAGATAGCGAGGCGACCAAACCAGCGGTGCATCAGATTGAAAGTATCGTAAGAGATGTCCAGCATCGAAATCAACGGATTCTTCACCGTGGCCATGACCATTATCGGGATGAAATTGGTCACCGCAAGGGTCCCAGTTCGGTTTCTGAGGATAGGCAAGAGCTTTTGTTCAGATTTCGACCATGGGATGTCCCAGGTGCAGAGGAAGACATTCGTAATGACAACTGAAAGAATGAATATAGATTGCAATCGTGTTGGAACAGTTCCCAAAGTGACACGTCGAGAAAATCTGATCTCTCGTGCTCGCCGATAGAAGAGGATTGGTGCGTACAGCATCTTGCTTTTGACTAGACTGAGAGCAGGCGACGAGCTGGAAAAGTATCGAAGAGCGCCTGCGCCGGACATGGAAGCCAAATGTCGAATGTGTGCATTGAGCCGTAGAGTCACTGAATAGGCGAAAAGCAAGGCGACGACACCCAGTAATGCCCCGAGGTAGGAATGGGCGATGGTCCTGTTGAGTCCCTCGAGATGGACTTGTGCTGCATCCTCTTGGTAGTATGAGTTCCCGCCAGTGGTTGAGTTGCCTGTCGTAGAAGCCTGCGCGGCCACAAAGATGGTTGCCATCGCCAAGGGGGGAAAAAGAAACATTCTTCTAGAAAGCGGCAACAATCTCAGTAGTTAAATCGAAAGAATACAGGACAAGCCCAGCTCGTCAGGCAAACAGGTGGACGACACTTGTCCTGGATCACCGAGAAAGCAACGTATACCGGACAAGCATCGAAAAGGTGATATGGAAATCGTCAATGATCGAATGATGAGGAAAACGAAAATGCCGAGGGTCAGCTGCTGACCCGTGTGGTAGTCACTTTGATATTAAAATCACCCGAGATCTCAAGATTTAGCGAAATGACGAATCCAATGGCCTGGGCAGATGAGTGGCTATGGCTTGCATGGGGTAGCGACCTGGTCTGAAACGAAGCTTTCTTTCTCGTGGGGAGACTGGTGAGCCTCGTTTATCTATATCAGGGCCATGGCTCGAACAGCGTCCACGCAATCTAAATCAGCATCCGAGGCCATAGCTTGCCACTATTAATATTGAAGGAATGTCCGGCGTTGTACAACGACAAGGGCAAGAGAATCGAGTGGCAATCATGGTATGGCATAAGGGGCAGCAAAAGGTGACATGGCGAAGGAGAGATAATCCATGAATCCCGCCAGCAGAATTCCATGGAAGGCGCTGATATGGCATGCGCTAAAAATCCTCAATTACCTCAAAGTAAGAATGTGGAGCAAGGCTCGGAGAGCTCGCAGATGAATGCAAGTGTTATTACCTAGAGGTGATTTCTCTGTTGAGGAGAAAAGGGAGACAAGAGAGGGACGAGGTGGTCGACAGAAGGATGCGGGCGGGTGCCTGCCAAGCCACCAAGGCGCTTTTCCTATTGGTGGATCTGGGTCGGACCAATCTCAGGCGACCGGCATGCCCAGCCACGAAAGCAATCGGGCCAATCGCCCCCGGCCGGCCGCTCTCCTGCTCGCCGGATCCTGAAACAGTAGTTCCGCCGAGTGCCCGCTATCATCCTAGTCTGTATCAGCCTTGGCCGTTTTCTATTTCCGTGTTATCTGTCGTGGCCCTGCCTTTCCTCGGGCACAGATCTTGAGGATCGTCAACGACCCTCTTCAGGTCGCCATCTACGGACCTCCGGCACAATGATGAATCACTGTTATCATGCATCAGGACATTCCAGACACGGACAAGGAACACCTTACCAATGGACGCGGTGCCACTGCAAAATGCGCTGCGGTGCCATGGTGACGAATGCTCGTTCTCTGCAAGGGGCCGTGGAACATCATCACCCTTGGGCACACAATGGGCCACAGTTATGTCACCCATACCACCTGATTCAAGAACTCGCTCGCCTGCTATTGTGACAAGCTTGATTCGTCTTTGGATACTTCCTCGAGATGGTGATCCTTTCGAGCATCGGTTCGGGACATGTGCTTGCCGGCTAATACTGCAGGGTTGAGTGCGATGGCCTTTTAGGAAGCATTCCGCGCCTTACTTTTCCGTACACTCGATCCACATGTTCCTTAACGCCATCACACAGACGCCTCTACTTGAACTTGGTTCCAGTCTTTGGCAAGTTATCGGTAGCTGAGGGCCTGTAGGTTGGTTGACGGTGGCGAAGGGTACGATTCTGGGGTTTGCTCGGCGATTGAGCCACTCGTTGTCCCTCCTGGAGTGACACGCAATGATCTCCTCACATGGCTTCTCCATGTCCAGCCTGGTTGCAGGAGTCTTCGCGATCTATTCCTCTGCAGTTCCAACCCAGCAATATCCGATGCTGAATTGGGTTTCGTGACCCACCCTGATGCTTTTTATATGTTTTCCTGTCTCGTCGTGACAAAATGAGGCCCATGATAAGGTAGTCGATTCCTCAAGACGCTCGGCAGCGCATTCCATGCAACCACTGGCAATGAGTTGAGGAAACAAGACGCATAGTTTCTGCGACCTATGGTATTGTATGGACAACTTATTGCTCCACATCCATCCAGGCTCGCCCAAGTGCTGGGATAGTCTCCTCTAATCCTTCGTGGATTGTGCGCTCAGAAAATACTGCGCATGAAATGAATCCAAAACTCCGTAGTATATTGGCTTTCACTCTTGAATGGCGGGCAGCAGACGGCGTAATTCTCCGAGGGAAGATTTGAGCAACAACTGGGAAGCAATTATTGGAATTCTGATAGTTGCCATGCTCGCGCAAGGTCAACCTGGATTTGAGCCGTCCTTGAAATCCGTTCAACCATGTTTGCAAGTGTTCCAACCTCAGCGTCGCTTGTTAGTGTGAGAATTAGATGGAAGGTCATTCCGAGTCGCTTTCTCGCCTTTTCGATATCATCAACCAGAGCTGATTCATTGCCGGTGTCTTTTTGCACCCTGCGGAGTGTGGTACTGGTCCATTCGGGCATAACATACTGGGTTAGGAAAGACCACCTTCGACAAGGAAACAGACATGTGGACCGGCTGCACATTCACAATCATCGCAGGAAATGGTAGAAGCTGCCGCATGTCTCCTTCTGATCCAGCGGAAAATCATGCGAAGAAGGTTTTGTCTTGTCCGCAGAGCATACACAACCATCTCATGTTGAAACGACAATTCCACGAAGTTGACACCTCGGGTGGACCGTGTGGAAATGGAACTAGAGTACCTATTCCTGGAAGGTCGTTAAGCCCGGCGTCTGGGTTATTGAAAGTGAAGGAGCCCTTAATTAGAGGGCGCAAAGGAAGCCATGATAGGAGCGAAGGAAAGGCTCTTTGGCGGTATTGTGCCACTCTCGATCAGGCGTGTAATCATTAATCCACATATGCGTATTGAAGCTCATGGTTGCAAAAGAGACCCTGAGCCCTTGAGATTGTGCGTTCATAACATCATATTGACCTTCGTATGAATCATATCTGTAGTTTGTTCGCATCACCATACTTCGGCTGCTCGACAGTAGCCCGCGATAGATTGAGCCAAAAGAAGTGCATGAGGGACTATACTCCTCGACAGTCTCTCTCTGTCTCTGAACTCAAATAATCCCAATAAGTATGGTGCTCTTGGCCGGAAGTTGCAACCAGGAATGCTGGAATGATAGTCCAACATTCCGAGTGTTTAAGTCGTAATCTTTGTCGAAGTGGGCCGTATGAGCAAGTCCAATAATGCGATCCTTCATGAGTATCTGATGCCGATTCGTGCATAGTAATTGTCTCATCGTTATCTCCATCTCGTGGAATAATCCTGTCTGTGGCACTTGCGATGTGCGGAATGGAATTGATGACGCGCTTTTGTGGAGCGTTAATGCTCTCGATCAAGACTTCCGCTGTCGCATGGGCAGTGGAGTCCGCGATGGCACCCCCGTCCTTCTAACGGACTCTATATCTCTTCTGTAACCTCCAGCCAATTTTAGAAACGACTGGCGCTAGCCACGTGGGATGCTTTGTTCGGCCTCTAGCTTGTTTCTCCAATATTGGTCTCTCTCTGATGCACTCAGGAAGGATTTGTGCTGTTTCTAGCCTGGCCACGAAATGGTCTAGTTGCAAAACGTTCTGTGGCATTTGAACCTGGTCGAGGGAGCAGGAGCCAGACACGGGGAATTGCCGTCCTTGGAAGAGTTGCGGCGGCATTGTTTTGACAGGCGTCTGTTCAGAGAGCGTGCAAGGCACATCAAGACACGTGTTTGATTACAACAAATCTATGATGGCACCGCACCAGGGATTGATCGGGTGGACTTCTTAGAGGCCATGAGCAAGCTGATTAGGGGATTGTAGAAATATGGTCGACACCCTCACACCGGGACAACAGTTCTTATGTAGCACACTCGATGCCTTCGTGACCGGTGGCATAGCTTTTTCACTACAATGAGTTTCTTTGCTTGGACATCGGCTCTGGGCTCTGGGCTCTGGTATCGTTGACTCAAGGCCGCGCAAATGGCTGGCCCTCTTTGATGGACGATGACTATGAGGCCGCTTTAATGAGCGGCTGAGGAGCTATACCTGGACTGTGTATCTAGGTAGGTATTGTGGTTTACTATGACAAAAGCGGAACATGCTCCGGCATGGATTTGGCATCTTATCATTAATTTCTGTCTTGTGGGACGCTGCTTTCATAATCTCGATTGAGTTACGGAGTATCATTCTTGCAGCCTGCTCTTCTCGGATGCTTGATACCTACCTAGGTACCTAGCTAGGTATGGAGCAAACAGATCCACCATACAAGGCTGCTTCTCATGACGTCAATTCCATCACCACCACCGAATGGCAACTGCGTCCACAGCACATCATCGGCGAAACGGTCCCCTAATAGTATCTCGTACTCGCATCGCTATTCTTCCCACTATGCTTGCGTAACGCCCTTGATCGGTACTGCCAGAACAGTGGATCAGCGCCGTATTCGCTATAAGATACCCTCGTATATCCACAGTGGACCCTTTTCCTTCCTCCCTTTCCGCCCCTCCTCCACCGCCGGAGCCACGGTGCTTTTTCACCTTCCGCACGCCGTCCCCTTCTTGCGTCCTTACTGGTACGGAGAAGACACTTGCTGTGATATCGCCGAGCCGAGTTTGGGGCGCGGGAGGCCAAAGACGAGTCCCATCCCTATTGTCAGATACGAGTGAAAATCAATCTGCCACGGCTACGAGTACACCGTTGGTTCAATTACCTCAAGATCTCGTTTCTGTTCGCTGCACATTACCATCCCTAGTGATAGAGACAGCACCCGGGAATACGAAAGTCGAGTGCGTACATCCTTCGCCTTACTGATTTCGGCTGCTATCTGGATCATGGGAAAGAAATGGGCGTTTTTGTTTTTGACACGCACGAGGTCTTTGGCAATGGGCTTGCTCAAACCCGAACCCAGCGCCGGATTTATGCGGCTCAGATCTCGCCTACCATTGTTTAACCCCTGCCGGCCAGGGTTCTCGTGTTAGAATATGCGTACCACTTGTGGTATCTCCCCTTCCGTGTATTTGGCACCTTTTTGGCTTGGCATTGGCTTGGCACTATACAACCGGGTAGGTTCAACATTTAGATGTTATTCCACAGCAGATTTCTATGTAGATTTTCATGATATCTATGGAAACAACCCCTCTTTATACAGAGATTCACGTCGCAGGCATTGCAGCCAAATTGCGTGTTCTTTGAGCGCTTGGATATAGCACTGGCGCGCGATCCGTTAGTTATCTCAGCCAAGGCTGGCCTAGGAGCGTTCTGGCGGCGACGGCGACGTTGTTGGCGATCTGTGCCAACCTCGCTGGCGCCCTGTTGGCAGTCCTCTGGGTGGCTACTGCCCCAGGCACATCGCCGCCGCCTAGGACGCCTCTCTGCTATATGCAAAGAGCCTTTCATGAGCAATAAATCGATCAATTGGCGATTGAATTCCTCGCGCAAATGGGTGCTTTTACGGCGATCTAGTGGCTGCCTAGCACGCCAGAGAACGAAGCTGTTGACTAGGCAAACGTCGAATAGCCACCAGGCAAGTGGGCGCCAGTTGCGCCTCTCAAACGGTAGGTGGGAGGTGAAGTTCGATCGGATCTGGTTGGCGTTATCGACGGCATTCATGCCATGGTTATAGGCGTCAATTGCAAGTGGTATAGGCAGTGCTTTGATCCAGCTATCGCCGAAGACTGGAAGGGCAATCCTAGCATTTGTTGAGGCATCTCCTGGCCGCCGTCGATCGCGGATAACAAAGTCGCCAACCTTGTCAAGCGAGAACGAGGTCGTGATGCCTAGGACGATGTTGTTATCCTGCCAGGCAAAGCACAGGACGTTATCCTTGACAATGGCCCTATAGCCGCCGTATATAAGCGCCTGGTTGATGTCCTTGAGCGCGATCAACTTCTCAGGTAGGCCCTTTGAGTTTTTGCGTGTTGTGCCCATCACGCCGATACCGAGGGCCAGGAGCGTTTGAGCAACGTTAAGATTGAGGAACAGGTTGTCCAGGAATGCCAGGCAATTTCTATGAGGCCAATGGTCTTTGAGTCGCTTCAGCAGTACGATTGGTACTTGGAAGGTCTCGGATAGCATAATAGGCGCTCCATTGGCATCGCGCGCAAACGAGATAGGCCTTCTGCGATTGCAGCCCTCTGCGCCTTCTATAGGGCTGTGTAAGAGCCAATCGAGATAATAGCCGCCAACACAGCCTAGGCACCACAGCTTGTAGCCCTGTTTGATAGGCTTGCCTTTCTGCTTCAAGGTGTGCTTTGAACGGCCTGAAAACGCAGCCATTGCCTCGTCGACAGAGACCCAGGAAGAAGGCACAATTGCGGCCTGGCAATTGGCACGAATGATGCTGTAGACAGGCTCAAGCCTTGAGCGTAAAAAGCCCTGAGATCTCAGCGTTATATCCTCGTTTTGCGGTAGTTGTGTGGTGTTGATATTGAAGGTCAAAAATCGATGGATTTGTTCCCACCGTTCCTGCGACATAAATCGCCGCAAGCGATCCCATTGATGGTCCCTTCTCTTGCCAGTATAATTCGCAATATAAAACAGAATCCCTAGCCAACAGAGAAGCTCTCCGGAGCTCAATTGGCGCCATGGTCGTACTCGATGTTGGTGGGGACCCATCGAATTTGCGGCCCTTGCATTCGTCGCGTTTACGATCGCCACAACGCTCGCTTGGCCGAGGAATTTCATGAATAGAGAGAATGGATCATTCTCTATCCAGCGAATAATAAAAGGCACGAATTGGACTTGAATTGGTGGAGAATAATTAGGTGTTGGTTGGTCGATTAGGTCTTTAACTTCCCGCGGTGGAGGCTGTTCTGCAGGACGCGTTGTAGGTGGATCTGGAGCCGTTTTTTTGCTTTTTTTGGCTGTAGATGTTCTTCAGGTACGTTTATATCATCGAAGAATCGTTTTGGCTGTATTTGCCTAGTAGATCGCCTTAAATCGGCCATGGTTGTATGGTAGATGCATTGAGTTGCAAAGGTAAACAAACGAGGTAAACAAGTGCCAAGCCAGTGCCAAGACAAAAGGTGCCAAATACACGGAAGGGGAGATAGCATGTCGATCCTCGCTGGGGGCGTGGCTACTGGCTGGCTGGCTGGCTTGCTGTTTGTATCCCTCTCCTCATGAGTAGAGCATGTGCGCTTTCTCTCGGTTGTATAATATCCCTCTAGATCCCCTTCCCCTTTCACATAGATATTTGATATCGTCTGGACATCTCCTGCCTCGAACCTGGGTAAAGGAACTGCAACAACTTTGCCAATCTTATCAACTTGAGGCGATATCTATATTTTTTTTCCTATCAAACAATTTTTTGAGCCCCAAAAATAAAAACGTCATTTTGCCGTCACGACCCAATCAGGGGAAACGAAACTGTTGACCCACGCCATTCGGGCGGAAGTATTTCTATTCCCTGTTGTCATTGATAAAAAGACCACGTCCAGTGGCGCGTGGGCTGGCGTAAAACCTTGGGGTGCATTTTCTTAGACACAAGGCTCTGAAGGCGAGAGAATCACTCGGCGCACCGATATGGCTGGGGACTATTCTCAACCCGGTCGCTGGGCAGCAGCAGAGGATGCACAGCAACGCAGCAGCGGCACTGATTCACACCGCGACTACAACCATCCGCTTGAACCACCGATGCAGGAAAAGGAGACTGAAACACCGACACCTGTATATGCCATTGACAATGCAAGCCCCTGGCAGAAAGAAACTGGAGCCAATGCAGATGGCGGGCTGGCGAGCAGGACAGACTCAGACTTGACCAGACACGACACCGCCGCGACCACCAGGACCGCCATCGCCCTCGAAGGCCAGCCCAGCCTGGCCAGCACCGCGTCGCGAGTACCCACAGCCACGAAACCACCGTCGTTCTCGCTGGCGCACGAGATCCTCTTCATCGCCGTCATCAGCTGCGCACAGCTCCTGACCCAGTCGGCGCTGGCGCAGTCCATCGCGCCCCTGCATGTCATCGGCCGCACCTTCAACACCACCAACCCGGGCCAACTATCGTGGCTCGCGGCCGGCTACTCGCTGACCGTGGGGACGTTCATTCTCCCCGCGGGGAGATGGGGCGACCTGTATGGACACAAGAGGCTCTTCATCGCGGGTTATTTCTGGTTCGCCCTGTGGTCCATGGTCGCGGGTTTCGCGGCCTTTTCGCACTCTCTGATCTTCTTCGCCTTCTGCCGCGGGATGCAGGGAATCGGCCCGGCCATCCTGCTCCCCAACGGCATCGCCGTGCTGGCTCGCACCTACCCGCCCGGCAAGAAGAAGAACATGGTGCTCAGCATCTTTGGGGCCACCGCTCCCGTCGGCTTCGTCGTCGGCGCCACCTTCTCGGGAATCTTTACCCAGTTCGTCTGGTGGCCCTGGGCATACTGGGTCTTGGCCATGGTGCTGGCCCTTTTGGGTTGCCTGGTCATCTTCGTCGTGCCTCCCATGCCGGTCGCGGGCCCGTCGGCGACTTTCTCCGAGCTGGACGCCACGGGCACCGTGCTCGGTGTGCTGGGTCTCATGTCCTTCAACTTTGCCTGGAATGAAGGCCCCGCTGCCGGATGGGCCAAGGTATACGTCTATGTCCTGCTGATCGTCGGCGTCGCGTTGCTCGTCACTTTCTTCTGGTTTGAGAAGAGGCGCGCTTCGTTCCCGTTGGTGCCCATGTCGTCGTTCACAATGGACACGAATCTCGTCTTTGGATGCGAAGCACTGGGCTGGAGTTCGTTTGGAGTCTGGGTATTTTATCTATGGTTAGTTTCGTTCTCTCCTTTTCCTTTTTTCCCCCGAGTAGTCTCTCCTTTGTGTCTGTGCTCTCCGCTGAACAAATTCTCTCAGGCAATTTCTCGAGCTCGAAAGAGGCCAATCCATTCTGCTCTCGGCGGCCCAGCTCGTTCCCACGGCATTGTCCGGTTGCTGTGCGGCCATAACCACAGGCGTTCTGATCGCCAAAATGCAGCCCGGGTGGATCATGCTCATCAGCATCAGTGCTTTTTTGACCGGAATGATCCTGCTTGCCACGATGCCGGTGCATCAGACATACTGTCAGTTCCTCTCCAAGCTATGTCAATTCGGGCTCGTCGCTAACAAAGAAATTCCCAGGGGCGCAAACGTTCGTCGCCACCGTCATAACCCCGTGGGGCATGGACATGTCGTTCCCGTCCGGCAACATCGTGCTGTCCGACCACATGCCGCCCGAGCACCAGGGCCTGGCGGCCTCCCTGATCAACACGGTCATCAACTATAGCATCTCCATCGGCTTGGGCATGGCAGGGACGGTCGAAGTGCATGTCAACTCGGGCGGCCGGAACCCGCTGCAGGGCTACCGTGGAGCTTGGTATTTGGCCATCGGATTCGACGGGCTGGGCATCTTGTGCGCCATATGTCTGATTCTTTCCTGGAGAGCGCGAGTCAAAGGGAAACAAAAGGGCAGCAATCAGAAGGAGATGGACTTGGCGTAATCTAGTGCTTCTTCTTTCAATTGTTTTAGATGTCAAACAGCTCCATCAAGTCCTCGGCCAGTTGCGACTTCATCCAGTTCCATCGCGCCGTCACCAGGACGGGCGTCTTTTGAAGACCTTGTCTTTTGGACATTCCGTGAGGGCAGCTGTGTCGTCGGAACCCTTGTGCTATCTCCGTATCAGGACTGTGAGTGATTGTGGTACATGCCGCCTTCACATTTGAAACGAGTGGGAGAAATGCAGATCCATTCACCCCCAATCTCCTCTGTGCTGTTTGGTGGATATGGGCGTTTCAGCGTTTCAGAAAGCACTTTGTTCTCCTATTTTCGGGGCAGACACGGACTGGAACCAGCTGGGAGGGCAAGGTGCCTGCATTGCTTTCAAGCAGGTACCGTCTTTAATCTGACGGAGTTCATTCCGAATCTGAAGGCGGCCCGGCATCTCCATCGTCCTCTTCATCAGGGTGGACATCGGAGTTCCGCAGACCTTCGTTGAGAACATATTCCTCCTGGATGAGTATACCACGAAGCTCTTCTGTTCTGGGGGTGCAGATCTCGGCAGGTTTTCTGCCATGTTTGTCTTTGACTCTGGGATCGCCTCCGGCGTCGATTAGCATCTTTGCCATTGCCTGTCCGAGTTCGACTTCTCGCTCGTTGGCGTACTTGACTGCGGAATGAATGGGAGTTTCTTGTTCCCTCCGATTCAAGGGATCGCACTCGAGGAATTCAATGTTGAGTAATTCGTCCATAACATCATCTGGAAAGAAAACAAGTGTCAACCGAGACGCCACGCATGTTGGGTCTAATTGACGTACAAGCTCCATAACTTGCGCATACGTGTAACAGGTGGTTTCCCATAGTGTCTGTGGTAGAATTGAAGAATTCTGCTATTTGTTCCTTGCTTTTGTCCTTCATGTCACTCAGCACTTCGTGAAACAGCTCGACATTGTCTCTCCGGCATGCTTCGAGGATCTGTTCTTTGGGAGATGCTCCCTGCCCAATTTGTCAATGGAGGGAGTGGAATACAGAGATAATCCGCTCACATCGATATGCTCAGCCATGATGGCTGTCTAGAAGGCTGCGCAAGTTGTTGAACACGCAGGCACACGACCAGTGTGTGCAGAACTGGGGAGGAACACCGGCGGTCTAGCCACAGGCGAATTCGACGCGGAAGGCACGGGCTGGGTCGAGGGGGAGCAGGCGTGGTGATCGCTGTGAACGGAATGAAAGGCTTGAAAGGACAGAAGGAATGGACGAGGTACAGAGGCTGAGCGAGGTCTATATGTTAAATTGCGGTGGACAAAGGAGGCATCTCAAACACTCGATCCAGGCATCCCGCCAACCCCTCGACACGAGCCGGCGCCTCGTGAAGCAAACATGCCGAGTGTTCCCCCCCGCCCTCCGCTTTCGCTTTTTGCTGTGTTTGCAAGTTTTGTCTCAAAATCGCACATGCGTTCTCAGTGCAGTGGTTTACAGATGAATTCAAGAGACGAGAAATCGCTCTTTGACCAGTAATTGGTGCCGAGTCTCCTATATAATGGCTCCCACATGTAAGTAAATACATCCGACTACTGGAGATTTTACGTTGACAAGGGCCAAAACCAGTCTGTCCATACTGCTGCAACTGCCTCACAATCGCACGGGCGCCTTCAAGCGACCTTTTCCCTCAAGGCCGCAACGCGTTGACTTGCCGGACATGCCCTTACCAATTCATGCTTGACCAGCAGTACTACGAGCGCACATACATGAAGAAGAAAGAGAAGGACGACATTCTAGGAGAGGAGCAATCTGATCTGCCAGTCAACGAAGGTATTCTACGCCTTCATTAGAAAGGAGAAAGAGAAGCATGTCACTGATATGGTTGGCCTCATTAGTTCCTGGAGGATGTCCGAACGAGAAATGCGATTCCAAAAAGGCCTACTTCTACCAGCTGCAGACTCGAAGTGCGGACGAACCGCCCACCTCTTTCTTCAAGGTATGCCGCGAGGTGGTCACAAGACTTTTGCTCGGGTACTGACGGCGTGCAGTGTATTGAGTGCGGAAAACAGTGGAGAGAATACTGATGCATCATTTCGTACATACGTGTCCCATCAGAAGCCGACTGCGTTTATCCCTCCGGCCTGCATGACAAAGTGCAGAGAAACTGATCCGACCGAATGCCCTTGGTAAAGAGGAAGAAGCAAGACATAAGGTCGAGGGCAAACTTAGGAACCTGGCCGAGAATTGCCTTGAATGAAGATTGGTTTCTTGTCAAGGTAGAGATTGCAGCAAGAACGCGAACGGCTCGCAAAACCATCAACGCCACAGCCAGTCATGGTGTGCAGTACTGAGGGCGATTTGTCGGACTGACTCCTCACGAATTCGCCGTCGTGATCAGCTGCAGCCTTGCACGACTCGCTGCAACAGCCAGCCAGACACCCATAACAGCCCGTTGTTTTGGAAGCGAAGCACCCGACACTGACCTGGCATGGAGTCGAGAGCAACCAGGCATGACTTCGAGGGGCTGTCTAAAAAGACTACGGGAAAGCGCAAATAGCAAGATGACTCAGTGCTATTGATACCGCACAGGAGTCGTCGGTGGCATGGGTACGCATAAGTTTTTGGACCCAAGTCAGATGGAGTTCATGACTCTTAACTCCGTGAGAGGGCGAACTGTCGAAGGACAAAGAACTCGGCCGTCCCACAGAGAAGAGCCTGGCATTCACAAATTTGCCGGAAGAAGATCGCTTTGAAGAGTCTTGTAAATTTGATGGCGAACTTATCTAGAACTTGGTAGCCTGGTGGATAATTGCAAACTGGTTGCCACAGATGGCAGCCTTGGGGAGAATTTTTGAACAGATTGGAGTATTCCAATTGGCTGATGGGTGGTATGAGGCGACACTGGCACCCTGCAGGATCTCCCTAGTCGCTAGCACATGCCGAAGCTTTTTGATTTCCTTCGCCAATCATGGAAGATGCAGCCAGTGGGCTGACGGAGAATGAGCCTGAGATGAGGAATGGCAGTTCGCGCAGCAATAATTAGTGGGGCTTGGGCCGCAAAAGACTGTCTGGTGCTGTGCTGAGGGTGAATAACCTGAAGGGTGAGCGACAGTCCAGCGCGGGTTGTTTGAGTCACTGCCCGTCGAGCCCGTCACTGCCACTGGTGGCATGGTTCGATGGTCCAAAACGCCAAGCTTAGTCCCTCGCCCGCCAGCCTACAAAATCTTCCGCACACTCTCGCCGACTTTGTTTCTCTCCCTTCTTCGTCGCTCAGTGAGTTCCTCACCCTGCCCCTACACTTTCCATCCCCCAGAACTAATCAGTCAACAGCACCTCTACGCAAGCCGTGGTACCTGAGCATTCAATTCGAACTCTTCTAGTATCTGCCACAGAACTACAAGACTTCATTCAAACCATCAACAAACCTCCAATCCGTCACCATGGGGTAAGCACAAACATGCCAAAATCTACCTGCGCTCGACTTGCATCGTCGAAGCAACCCTCAATTCGATATCAATGATCATCGCTGACATGTCTCTCATTTGTTCAGTAAGGAAAAGACTCATATCAACGTCGTCGTCATCGGACACGTCGACTCTGGCAAGTCCACCACCACCGGTAAGAGAAGGCCCAAATGACCGCAGTCACACAAAATACTCATATCCAAACAGGCCACTTGATCTACAAGTGCGGCGGTATCGACAAGCGTACCATCGAGAAGTTCGAGAAGGTATGTTGTCCTCATCCTTCCGCCGCCCCCTTCGTTTGCCCTCATTTTGGATCTGCCACAATCTCTATCAAAAATTTTGGTGGGGGAGGGGTACATCCTTCACCACGTGACACGCCACACAAAATCGACCGCCGAATCTGAGACTGACAGTTCATCAACAGGAAGCCGCTGAACTCGGCAAGGGTTCCTTCAAGTATGCTTGGGTGTTGGACAAGCTCAAGGCCGAACGTGAACGTGGTATCACCATCGATATCGCGCTCTGGAAGTTCGAGACCCCCAAGTACTATGTCACCGTCATTGACGCCCCCGGCCATCGTGACTTCATCAAGAACATGATCACTGGTACCTCCCAGGCCGATTGTGCCATTCTCATCATTGCCGCTGGTACTGGTGAGTTCGAAGCTGGTATCTCCAAGGATGGCCAGACTCGTGAGCACGCTCTGCTCGCCTACACCCTGGGTGTCAAGCAGCTCATCGTCGCCATCAACAAGATGGACACCACCAAGTGGTCCGAGGATCGTTACAACGAAATCATCAAGGAGACCTCCAACTTCATCAAGAAGGTCGGTTTCAACCCCAAGTCTGTCCCATTCGTGCCCATCTCCGGCTTCAATGGTGACAACATGATCGACGTCTCCACCAACTGCCCCTGGTACAAGGGCTGGGAGAAGGAGTCCAAGGCTGGCAAGGCCACCGGCAAGACTCTCCTCGAGGCCATCGATGCCATCGACCCCCCCTCTCGTCCCACCGACAAGCCTCTCCGTCTCCCTCTCCAGGATGTCTACAAGATCTCTGGTATCGGCACTGTGCCCGTCGGTCGTGTTGAGACCGGTACCATCAAGGCCGGTATGGTCGTCACCTTCGCTCCCGCCAACGTCACCACTGAGGTCAAGTCCGTCGAGATGCACCACGAACAGCTCGTTGAGGGTGTTCCCGGTGACAACGTTGGCTTCAACGTCAAGAACGTCTCCGTCAAGGAGGTTCGTCGTGGCAACGTTTGCGGTGACTCCAAGAACGACCCCCCCAAGGGTGCCGACTCCTTCAACGCCCAGGTCATCGTCCTCAACCACCCCGGTCAAGTCGGTGCTGGCTACGCTCCAGTCTTGGATTGCCACACTGCCCACATTGCCTGCAAGTTCGCCGAACTCCTCGAGAAGATCGATCGTCGTACCGGCAAGTCCATGGAGAACAACCCCAAGTTCATCAAGTCTGGTGATGCTGCTATCGTGAAGATGGTTCCTAGCAAGCCCATGTGCGTTGAGGCCTTCACCGACTACCCGCCTCTTGGTCGTTTCGCCGTCCGTGACATGCGTCAGACCGTCGCCGTCGGTGTCATCAGTAAGTCTTTGCTCTCCTCAGTACCATTTTCTGAGTTTCGTGCTGACCATCTGCAGAATCCGTTGTCAAGTCCGAGAAGGGAGGTGGCAAGGTCACCAAGGCTGCTGTCAAGGCTGGCAAGAAATAGATGTCTTGTACGGGAATTAATCCAATCCATCTCACAGTGGCATTGTTTCTTGTGGCGGAGGTTGTGGAAGATTCATCTTCAGGAGCGGGCTTCCATTCCATGGTTCCTGAATTGCGGGATTTCAAATCTACTCCTGACCCTGGAGATTTCATGGTTTCCGCACGGTTAATTCTTGTCATCATCAACGGTCTTGTCTTGCTTCAGCGATTCCTTCATACGGCACCAATATGTACTTGCTACGTTTCGGGGTACTACTGGCTTTGACGAAAAAGAGCATGGTCATTTGGACCAAATCGGGCTGTGCTTGTGAAATGATAGAATGATTTCATGTCCATCAAGGGCTATGCAGATAGCTCTACGATCAATCAAAGGATATGAATGCCCAAAATTCCCTTCCAAGTCGTCTGAGAGATCTTATCATCTTTGTGTATTCCCGCATCAATGGTCATGTTGTCTCGGTCCTGTTGTCGTTTGCCTTAACCATGCATGTGTCCATCTGAAGCCCAACATGCTGTGAGCTGGTCTATTCCATCCTACTCGCCATCCTGGATCACCAAGCAGTATAGCCGCCATCCACGATCTGGGGCCTAGATCAGCGAGGTCCTCACCCCAATCAGCAGAGCAGAAACAAAAGCAAGCTTACCACATCACTTCCGTTCAAATACTGTGGACACGAAGTTAGCATGGGTCAAGTTTTTGTCGAGCTAGAGTAGTAACAGGTATTCTCTCTTTCCGGAAAATGGGACCGCGGCATTTTCGAAGGGAAAAGAAGGTGCAAAAACTCACGCTGCTGGCTCCACTGGCCATCCAAACGATGGTGCCCCTCAACTCATGCGGCTCAGCCATTCTCCCCATTGGGATGTCCTTCTCCCAGTTGCCCACGAGCTCTTTGCCTTCGTTTTCCAGCAACCCCTTTATGAGATCCGTCTTCATGTAGCCGGGGCTAAGACTGTTGACTCTGATGCCTCGAGGCCCCCATTCCGTCGCCAGCGATTTGGAGAGCATCTGCACGGCGCCCTAGGAGGTGTTAGCATCTTGCACCCTTGGAGGGGTCAGCCTCATAAACGGCGAACCTTGGAGGTGTTGTAGGCGGCCTGCTTTTGAGGACGGACGCAAATTGTCGCCGACATTGAGGCAATCAGGATGATGGAGCCTTGGATGTTGTGCTGGAGCATGTGCTTGCCAGCCTCACGGGCGAAGAGCCATGAGCCGCTGTGAGGGGGGTTACTTCAGATCAGCTCCGCTTCCAACTTGTACCTTGTAGAATGAATGACAAGGTGGGAAAAGGGAATGAGACTTGCTCAATGTTGATGTCCAACATCTTCCGCCACCGGGCATATTCGTAGTTCTCGGCCTCGACGTTATCTACGATCCCAGCAGCCGTGACAAGAACATCGACTTTCCCAAAGTCGTCCACGATCTTGCTCCATGTTGTCTTGACGTCTGATTCGATCGTGGCATTGCACTCGTAGGCTCGAAGTTCTGGGACCGCGTTGGGGTCATTAGGGTACGCGTCTCGTACTTGAGAGGCTATCGAGGCGATGGACGATTCGCAATCCTTCAGGGACAAGTCAATGCACGCTCCTTTGGCGCCAGAGAGGGCAAAGGCTGTGAGGAACTCTTTTCCCAGTCCTCGAGCAGAGCCAGTCACAACGCATGTTTTGCCTTCGAGGGAGAAGAGCGGGAGGGTCTTGAGGGTGCGACGACGAGGGGATATGGACATGCAGGATGGAGTCTTGAGTCGTGGGGACCAGGAAAGAGAGGTAAAGAGAGGACGCAGCGTTCGTGGAGGAAACATTTTCGAAAGAATAACCTTTGTGTCTATATCTTTTTCCCGGTATCCTGAACACCTGGCTGTCGTACTTATTGTCTCTCATGTCAAGAAGCTTCCCTGGATGAGGAGAAGACTGGCGGCCTCGCAATATGCAACTCGCACAAAGCAACTCAGGCCGACTGCGGGGAGGGCTCCGTGGGGTGTTTGAGTGGTACAAGTCTTACAACAGCTTCGGGCCATCTTGCGCCGACTCGAAGGACAATATAGACCGCAGACTTTCCAAAGCTGCAGCTTGAAGTGTGGAAGTTGTCAAAGGGCAAAAGCGATCTCCAAGTTTGGTCGCTGCGTCGAACAGCAAATACAGCTGCGGGGACTCCGGGTCGACCGATCAAAGCTGAAACCTCGCAACCCACCAATTCGGCAAGATGCACAACTGGTCGGTGACTGGCGACCCATGTTGAAGCCTTACTAGCCCCCCAGTGCCCCCCTTCTTTTCGTATCTGCAAGCCTAATGCACAGCGCCCAGGTAAGTTTTGGGGGCCGTTATGACGGTCACCAGCCAATTGTGCGTTTCAAAGAGGATTGAGTGTTACGCGTGCCAGCACAGGAAGCAATGCTAATTAAAAAGGAGCCGCATGACTCGCTGGCACTTGACTTTTTAGTCACCAGTCGTTTCCTCAGCTCCAGTTCGGGCTGTCTGCGAGATCCGGAATAACTGTGCACAGGAAGCCGTTGCGAGAGCGGTCATTCAACGTCGCCCACGATGTCGTCCTCAATGCTCGATGTGAGGGATGACCGCCGATCTAGATCGAAATCTCCAAGTGGCCGCGACAGAGATCGGTCGAGATCGCGTTCACGCGACGTCCGGGACCGGGATGAGCCCGATGAGTACAGCAGCAGCAAGCGATCGAGCAGGAGATACGCTGAACCACAGGATGAGCCGGAGCAAGATCGTGGATACAAGGATAGACGGTCGAGCAAGAAATATTACGATGAGGAAGAAGAGACGGATCGCCGCAGCAGCAGTAAAAGAAGCTCGAAGAAATATGTGGACGAGAGCGACGAGGAAGATAAATATCGCTCGTATAGGTCGAGCAAGGACCCTCGAGCACAAGAAATAACACCCTCGGACGATGACAGGAGATATGAACGAAAGAAAAAGTCTGACAGTGACTCGGATCGACACAGAGAGAGACGAGAAAAATCTGGCAGGAAGAAACACGACGATTCAGAAGAGGAGAGTGACTCAGACGCTCGTCGCAGATACAGAGACAAAGATCCCAATTATCAAAATGGACATGGAGCATATGGCCATCCGCCGGGGTCATACGCTGAGATCCGGCCTGAGGCAGCTCGCCATATGAGTTATACTCCCAACGATCCTCGTTACGCTCCTCCAGGAGCCTATAATGGTGCTGGCCCTGTGCCTGCTGCACAGCGGTCGAGTTCCTACGGTGGTTCTGGCGGTCCCCAGTATGCCAATCCCGAGCAGTTCAAATATGCAGACCCAAGCGAAATCTCATCACGAAGACCCGAATACGAACGGTCTCGACCGTCAGACTACGAGCGGTCGCGCCCTAGGGATACTAGAGACAATGACAACGACTACAGGAGCAGCAAGTATGAGACACGCACGCCAACGGATAAGAAATACAATGACGACAGATATGAGACTCGAGAACCTAAAAGCAAGGACTACCACGATGACTACGACAGGCACGCGAAGAGCGACCGGAGACGTGAGAGGGACAAATATGGTTCAGAAGAGGTGACCAAGAGAATGTCAACTTTGGCGGTCGGAGGAGCAGCGCTGGGTGCTGCAACGTTAGGTGTGGCACAGTACAACTCCCATGATGGCAACAAGCCTCCTCCTTCGCCCTTACTCGAGGCATACAAGGGGACTTATCAATCCATTTCACCTATGCCCTCGGCCTTGGTTCTGGCAAACCACAAAGGCGACTCGGATTTGTCTGACCTCGAGCTTGATCAAGATGACGACGATGGGGACTCGGACGCCAAGCTGAAACGAAAGATACGCCAGCTCGAGAGGGAAAAGGAAAAGTATACCAAAGGACACGACAGGGGTGCAAGTCTCGCTGAAACGACCCAAGAAGTCCGCCCGCGTCGGCTGTCGAAGCTCGACACCAACCTGGACGTTGAAGTTCGCCAACCTGGTAGTGCCAGCCGAGACCGCTCACCATCTAGGAGCATATTGTCGCCAGGAGGGCGTAGTGGGAGAAGGAAGACCGTCTCCTTCTATGACCCTACCGAAGATGCCAAACGCATCGCCGCTGCTCTGGCAGGCACACGGTCTGCACCAGATCCACGACCGCTTGTACAGATCTTGCCACGGCTTTCAACGGACGATCTGATCGCTCTTCGGGCCGAGTACAAGAATCACGCCAAGGTGAGCGGGCAAGGTATCAACATGGCCAAGCACATCAAGATGCGCGTTCCCGGCAACCTGGGGAAAGCGTGCTACGCGACCGCCCTAGGACGATGGGAAAGCGAGGCATATTGGGCAAACTCATGGTACCAGGGCGGTGCATCTCGGCGAGAGTTGTTGATTGAGAGTCTAATGGGCCGCTCAAACAGCGACATCCGCGAGATCAAGAACTGCTTCAAGGACAAGAAGTACAGCGACGACCTCGAGAAATGTATCCGCACGGAACTCAAAGCCGACAAGTTCCGCGTTGCCATCCTGTTGGCGCTCGAGGAGAGACGAATGCCAGAGTCATCGCCTGTTGAGATCAGGCTCGTCAAGGAAGACGTGGTGCACTTGGCCGAAGCGCTCGAGTCGAAGGGCGGAGAGACGGACATGATCAAGATCATCGTCCTGCGGAGCGACGCCCATCTACGCGAGGTACTGCGGCTGTTTGAGCGGACCTACGGCGTCAATTTCGCAAGGCAGATGATCTCCAAGTCGAGGAATCTAGTCGGTGAGACATTGGCGCATATACTGAACGGAGCACTGAATCGCCCCATGCGTGACGCGCTGCTGTTACACCAGGCTATAAGTGAGACGACGCCGGGCAAAGAGCGGACCGAGCTACTGATCTCCAGACTCGTCAGGATGCACTGGGAGCCAAAACATCTCGAGAGGGTCAAGGCGGTGTATATAGAGCGATACGGGCGCAGTGTGGAGGAGGAGGTCAAGAGGGAGGTGTGGGGACAGATGAAGACGGTCGAGGGACGCTTCTGTGCCGAATTTTGTATCGAGTTGGTTCGGAGCAGTTCTTTATAGTACGACGTGGATGAGGGGGTGAATTGCAGTATGCCAGACCTTTCGTTATGCTCAATTACTATCGCCGCCAATGACGAGAAATGGCATGCCTGAAAAGCCAGACACTGATCCAAGGACATCGAGCAGATGTAAATGCGTTTTATGAACATCGATCCAAAAATCAAATCGAACCTTGTCAAACGGATCCGCAGGACTATATTAATTATATACCTACCTACCTACCTAGGTAGATCCCTCGTATATACCTGTATCCACACCTTCTCGTCCCTCCCCATGGGCTTTCCTTCCCTGCCGTTCACCCCGTCAAGCATAAGCCCGCCCTACAACCGGGTCCGTCACGTCGCTGGCCGAGAAGCCGCAATGGCCAAGCCCAACGGCAGCACCACCGGGAACCGACGAGGCATGTCGACTACCGAGGCGCCGGACACTATCGGTACCGGTGTCGCGCTGGTTGTCTCCGTTTTGCGATGAGGGGCCGGTGGGAATAGCGGTTCGATGTGCTGCACCGAACGAGGAGGAGGAAGCGGTATCATGTGCTCGTGGAGCCAGCGGATGGAGTAAATACCCGTCCTCCGTGCCGTGGGGACCTTGACTATCTTCGTCGTCGTCTTCGTCTTCATCTTCATGGTCAGGTTTATTGCCATTCCTCGAATCGACCTGCAGTCTTTGTCCACCCGTAGACGTGGCAGTGGCAGCGGCAGTCTTCTCGGTGGTTGTTGGTGTTGTTGTTGTTGTTACGCCTGCACCCACGCCAGCGACGGTCGTCGAGCAGCAGGTCTGGCTTCTTCTGGGTCCTAGGAGTGCGGCTTCCAAGTTGGTCGACTCTGAATCCGCCTCCGCGTCCGAGTCCGAATGTGAGTTTGCCTCGCTGTCCCTGTCCCTGATGCTCGAGGTGGTCGTCACAAGCGGCTCGGTGGGTGCAGAGTTTTCCTTTTCCCGACTCACATCCATCATGGACTCGGGTGTGCTTCTTCTTGACACGTTATTGTTGTCGCGGTCGCGATAGTAACCTGGTATCTCTCCCCACATGAGCGGTTGCTGAGATATGGGTAATGATGTTGACGACGTCGTCGTCGTCGTTGGCATTTTCCCTGCCCCTCCTTCGCTATCAACCGCCTCCTCTGCAGGGACACCAGTGGTGGAATGACAAGCCGCCGCAATGGCCAGGCTGCAACTGCCCGCAATGGGCATGGCTGTGTAGAATCTCGCCCCGAAACCAAACCCGAGCAGCACCCCTATCAGCAGCACGCCCAGGATGATTGTGAAAATGATGGCCACGGGCGAATACCCACATGTCACGAGATGGCCGACAGTCCCTGGAAGCGAGACGATCGGAGAACCCGTGTAATCAAACATCGAAACGTTGACGACAAAGATGCTCTGCGAAGCCAGCCAATGGAGCAACAGGCTGGCCATGGCTAAGGGGATGCTAAAGCGGTAGGGAAGTTGGAGCCTATAACCCGATCGCTGAGCTCCCTTGCATTGCGACGAGGAGATGCGTAGACCTTTCCGCCTCACGGAATACGAGTTCCATTCGCTGGCGAGGAGCATGCACGTGAACAGGCCGTTGTAGGTGAAATACAATAACGACAGAATCAATTGGGGAATGTTGGCGAGCACGACTGCGGCCATGAGCGCGGTTTTGCCCGATCCAAACACGGCGTCGTTCTGGATCAGCGTGCGTCCTGACACGGTGCCGAGACCGATCGACCATAGTGACGAGAGGGATTTCGATCCGACCATTGCTGAGATTCCGCGACCGAGAAAGGCTGCCGCAGCGGATAAGCCACCAATGTAGAGGATGAAGCATGCCGCCCATCGACGCATGCTGACGGCTTTCAACCACTTTTGTCGCATCTTTCCAGAATAAAGGACCGTCCGCTGGCTCGCTTGATCGTCCTGTAATAAGGCCTTTCCTAGCTTCTTAATCCTCGAAGCGCTGAGCAGAGACATTCCCTTGGAGACACTGTCCGGGTCCTCCAAGAAGCTGGCAACGGCGTCGCCCATGGTGAGAAGTGGGACATCGCTCCTCCCAAACGCAACCAGCGCGGTCAAAATCATCATGACCAGTTTGACAAAGTTCAAAACCACGACCAGGATCGCAATGTCCATGCTGAACCGCAGACTACACTGTTTCTGCGTCGGTTGGGCGAGGCAATACTGTACTGGCGGGCCCAACGGCGCCCAGGTGGAGTTGGATAGAGTCTGCTTGAAGATCTTGGGTTCGTCGCAAGGCAGGTCACACGGATCCTGAGGTCCGATGGCTGTCCCATCCATCGCTACCAAATTTTCATTAGTCTATGCTTGGCATTTGATGGGATCCAAGGACAGAGAAGCCCATGCGAAGTGTGTCTTTGGGATGCAAGGCCAGCAACTTACAACAAGTCCAGGCAAAGGCCTGGGTCCCTCCACACGTGAAATCCGAGACAAAGTTGGCGGGGAGAAAGCGCACCACTTCGGTGGCATTGTTGCTGTCGACGATGTCGGCATCGACATTGGAATCGGAGACAAGAAGAACGTTGCGATAGGCTGATTGGAACGTCTTGATGTATTCCGTCCTACATTGCTCTGAGGTCAAGTTGACGAGTTTATTCGAGCTGGCTTCGTCATGTAGCTGGCTGGCAAGCTCAGGGATTGTCTCAGATGGAAAGTCCGCGACTCCGGCGGGCTGGATGCCGCTACGTAGGATGTAGGACACATCGACATAGTCAAAACTGCCGGTATGGTTGGTGTCCAGGAAGGTGCGGTCGACAGAGAAGACGGCATAGTTGTTGGACGAGGTGGACACGAAGACGGCCGAGTTGTAGCTGCGGAAACATCAACCTTTTTGAGCGTGAGCACAGCGATGTAATAACATACAAGAGATGTAAAGGCAGCGAGGACAGGCCGAGCAGCAACCACAGCAAAACTCTTCTTCGCGAGATCCATCTGAGATTGTGGATGCTCAGAACGCCAATGTCGAGCCACCTTCCCGCGCTGTGTGCAGAATTGACGTCCGATCTCGTGGGCGCCGATAGAGACTGCATGCAATAATTGCTCCCGCTCAGCAAGACCGTGCTGAGCAAGTTGATCACCAAGTGCGCCCACTTGTTCAACGCCTGAATGCTGGAACATTGGTCAGAGTCGGTGCCATCACGGAGAATGACAGTCCCGTCGTCTGACACTCCTCGGGGTTTGGAGGTTGCCGCCCATATCAAGACGCCGAGATTGACGGCCAAGACGACGGCACAATAGATGCTGAAGAGCAGTGCGCTTCCTTTCCAACCGGCTGGCAACATCTTTTCCTCAAGGGGACGACGGGTATGAAAGGAGGCGACGGTCCGAGGCTTGGAGCGGGACGATCCAGTGCGAACATCTGGACATGATCGAGTCTGAGGAGAACCGCACACCCACCGAACGGTGTCAACGACGGTATAACGGTCCAAGTAGGCCTCTTCGCTTTGAGTTCAGTTCAGGTATGAGGCTGAAATTTATCTCTTCTTCCATCGTGTCAAGACACTCCCTTGTGCCAGTCCATTTTCCAAGAGCGCCCGTCGAGCACTAGCCGAGCGCCACCGTTCTAGACCGGCCTCTTGAAAAACGAACGGGTTGGACTCTGTCAAACTTTGCACCAGTCGCTCAGCCGCAGTATGTAGTCGAGGATCTGGGTCATGCTCAGTTCGTCTGCTTTCTCCGCCAACTGCGAGTGGGTAGTAATGGGATCGAATCCATGGCCCAGATGGCCGGATCGGTCGAGACCCCTGCAAAGGTGACGTCCTCGACCAAGCTGTATGGAGGCTCTCAACCGAAGTTTTTTAGCTGCAGGCCCTTGCTCATAAAATCTGAGACCTTGCTGCGAGGGGAATAGAATACCCAGGACGGACAGAGAGTTGTGCTGGCACTGGTGGGTAAATGACGGCTGACTGAAGTTTGTTCCAGGATGCAACTACCTAGTAACGAGGCTGAAATCTCGTCCTCGCCCAAAATTTCGCCGAACAAACGAGGCCGGGTGCCGCATGGTCTATACTTCATTCCCACCGCCCTCGAGCACGGATTACACATATCAGTCATGGTCGAATGGTTCATCGGCTGAGGGGACTTCTTTCTATCCTTTGCCTATATAGCCATACCTTCTGCCCAACCCAACCCGAAAAACCAGGTATCAGAACATAAAACAGCCCCGAGAATGCACGTCAGCCTTCAAAAACACTGTGGTTCATCTCAATGCCATAGTCCTTCGCCATGCCCCTCATCATTTGATCCACATCGTCGTCCATGCCCTTTCCCCTCCCCAAAGCCTGCTTGAGCTTCGCATACCAAAAGAATGCATCCGATGCCAACAGGACCAATTTGAACATCAGATGACTCCCGAAATACTTGCATCTCTCCGCAAAAGTCAGCTGTTGATCCTCGGCCAACGCCCTCGACGCCCAGTTGCCTGTGATTTTGATTCGGTTGACGGGGCTGCCCAGGAACTGGTTGTTGCCTTGAACAATGCGCATATTTCGACCAATGAAGATCAGTTCACGAGGCCATTTGGTTTCATCCCCTAGAATCTCCTTGATGCCCTTGCGCATGGCTTGTTGCAGCTCGTACTGGCGCTTTTTCTTCTCGTGTTCCGATATCCCCTTCAGCCGAGTCGACACCGAGCGATCCCCTCCTTCGTAGGGACGCATAAGTGCGGCTGACGCGAAGATCTCGGCGTTGTTGATGCCCCACTGGCTGACGACTTCCTTGAGGGTCTTATTGTCGAATATCATCAAAGATTTCCAAAAGAGGGAATACTGATGCCGGAACGAGGGAGACATGTTGATGTAGAGGCCATGGTCGATCAGAACAAGTTCAGAATGGCCGTTGGGCAGGCGTCGAACAAAGATATTCCCTGGATGAGGATCACAGTGAACCTTGCCCCAGAGAAACATCTGTGCAGAGAAGAGGTCTACCATGGTGGTCATGACTTCTTTGAGATCCAGACCGAGACCACCTTTGCCGTCCTGCCCTTTCCACCATGTCCTATCCGGCTTGAGTTCTTCGTTGTACGACCGGGATTTTTCCTGCAGAGTGGTGATGGGAGTTTGAGGCGGATCAAGCGGAGTGCCGTGACAGCCTGGACTGCCGGTCCGCCAGCCTCCCTTCCACGGTCGAGTAATGGCCTCTTTGTCCCACAATCGCACGCCCTCAACCCATTCAGCCGTCATGACCCGCTTGGTGGTAAGATCGTCGTATATCTTGGGGATGTAGACTCTATCCCGCAACCGGGGTTCGCCCTTGACGAGTTTTGCCATCTCCTTGGAATTATTCGCCTCGCTCTGGAAATCACATTCCAGTAGTAGTCTTTCCGTGATATACGGAACAAGCGAGTAGAGGGGCAGGTCGAACCACCACGTATATATCCGACTCACCACCTTGAATGCCCACAGGTCCCACCCGACCTGCTGAGCAATCTCCCTCTTCTGTATTTTGATGGCTACTTCCCGACCGTCTTTCAGCCTTGCCCAGTGTACCTGTGCCACGCTCGCGCTGGCCCGGGCTTTTCGCTCCATAACCCCGGCATCAGGATCACCGTCGAAAGAGATGCCAAACACCTCCTCGGGCGTCCGGCCGCCAAAGTCCTCCATTATAACCCGTCGCACGTCCTCCCAGCCATTCTGCGGTGCGTCGTCAAACATCTTGGAGAACATCTTCTGAAATTCTGGAGGCAAGATGGCCGTCTGCATGGCAATGGCCTGACCGATCTTGAGGTACAGCCCGCCATTTGTCCGCAAGAGATGAAACAATCTCGTCGCATTGCGTGCGTGGACTTCGGTAATGTCATTGTCAAACCATGGGTCCTCTCGAAAGTTGATCTTGTAGTCCAGGGCAGCAATCAAACCGGTGGAAAAAGTGCGGAAACTTCTGGTGAGACTGGATGCGTAGTATCTCTTGTCCACCACGTATACGACAGTCCCGCCCAGGAATAAGTATGCGAATCTGCGCGCCCATTTTCTTGTTCTCTTGTATTGCCTAGCAGGCACGGCTTGACCCAGCGATGCAGGCGTCGGGGGTGCGAATGCGCCGCGAAGACTTGACTGCGAAAACGTCCGTAGAGACTCGTGTGGAGAAATCCGCCATGAGGGCAGACGACGGGCACCGGATCGAGGATGAGAGAAGTGATTGAAGCATTGGGCGCAGATGCGCCTTGCTGCTATTGTCATGAGGAGACGACAGGCCTGGTGATGACCATGACGAAGAGATGAGGGAGTCAAGGGTATGCGAGGAAAAGAGATCTGCCTGGAAGCCGCCTAAAATTTTGTGGTGCTTCGGGAGTACAATATCGATGACGAGCATGCGGCACATTGCCAGATCGATCTTCGGGTCCGGATCTTGAGATACGCCGAGCACCTGCGCCGAGATCTACAAGTTTCGTTGGTACGCCCTGGTTTCTTGACAAGAGATTCTTCATTCTGTCCATGCTGATCCTGTTGTGTTCAATGTCTCCATATATTTCTTGATTCCGGTAACATTGATTGATACGATATGTATGTAGCTAAGTACAATACATAGTAGCAAAGGCTGCTGAGACTAGCTATCCGCGAGCAGCCACAGCAGCACGAGATGTCCCGCTCCAAATGAATTTGTCTTCTTCTCGAAGTGCCAACACAACATACGTACTTGACAAGAAATATTCCATAAAAGCAGCAGCTGCCATATATTCTGGGTATAGGATGTTGGTTCATCAAGCGACCAAGATAACAACGAGGAGCACAGCACCCAACGCCGCGAAACCGATTCATTAATCTGAAGCCTTGGCCATCGATGTTTGTCAAGTGTCCAGTGGGAAGTTCCAACGCCCTACATAGCTTCAAGCCAAGCAAAGTTACAAAAAACGCACAGGGTCGCTTTCTTTGGACAATCGCTTCCGAGGTATACAAAATGAATTGGCGCGCATGTACCGAGTTCGCGAGAACAAGCAAGCCAGCGACAATCCGGAAACAGGTGAAGGAAGACCAAGTTTACATCATCATCATCATTCTGGTCGCTCGCTTGCTGCTGAAGCTAGGCCGAGGGGAGCTCTCGCCGCCAGCCCAGGGTTTGTGTAGGAAAGGTTGACCGTCGATGTTATCCCAGTGAGCCGTCTGTGTCGTGGCGGTGCTGCTTCGGTTTGGGTTGAAGTGGGCTTTAGGGATGGGCATTAAGTCGATGGTGCTGCCGCGGTACAGTGGTCCCATGAGTCGGTCTTTCACAGATTTGTTTCGTCGAGGCATTGCCGACTTCTCGGGCGGGTTGGGGGCGAATTTATCGGGCTTGTCGGAGCCATCTTGGTTCTTCTCGCCCGCGAGGATGGCGCGTTCTTTGTTGACCGCGGCTAGATGTCGAGAGCGGCGGAAGTGGATGATGAAGAAGGCAACCAGCCCTAGAAAGAGAATGGCGGCGACCGCGAGACCGACACCGAGACCAGCTTTGGCACCAGTGCCCATGTCGCGTCTATAAAGGTGTGATATAGGTGAAGCCAAAGTTGTGGAGGGAAAGGCAGCCAAGAATAGGGCGAGAAGAGCCGCAGTATATTGAGAACGAGCCATGGCTAGCGACATGGCGTCGGGTATAATAATGAGAGGTTATGACAACTCGTACGACGTCTTCGACCAGCGATAACAGTAATCGAAGGGAAAAAGCGAGTGAAGTGTTGGGAGGGAGTCGAGAGAGGATGCGAAATGGTCTTGTGAGGGCGAGGCGTAGGGAGTAATAAGCACAAAAGGGGACCAAGGCGAACCAGAGCCTGTTGAAAAGTTGGGCAGAAGGATGTGACGGAGGTCTGAAGGATGTCAGTTCGGTGTGTAAGTAAGCACTTAAGGAAAGAATAAGTAACAAGTCACGGACAAGTGGTGAAGATGCAAGAGGGAGAGACGCGGGATTGAAGCTCGAGTTGGCAGTATTTGATCATTGACCTTGTCGAGCTTGTCTCTTTTCTGGTCACCCAGGGCTGAAGTGGCACCGACGACTCGACCAGCGACGCAGCATTATTTGAGCCACCAAGCATCCATCCGCGCTCAGCAGCATCGGCGACACGGACAAGGAGAACACGAAAAGGAGATGCGGCTAGCCGGAAGGAGGTCAAAGGTGGTTCCTGTAGCTGGCCCCAGCTTCTTTCTGAAACGTTGGACAGGGCCGTTGACGGGCGGCTGATTGGTGAAGACGCGCGCGAATGGATCCGGCCAGAGTCTGTCAGGCTCGAGAATAGAAAAACAGCTGGACAAAATGGCACAAAATGGCTGACTGGGTTCCGTGATTGGATGCAGGGGGTCATGCACCGATCAGCCAGGGCTATCCTGGGCCATCCTTGACCTTGGCTTTGGTCTGGGGAAATTCAGGTTCGGATGGACACGAATGGTCAACGAAGGCCGTGATCTGCCTGGCTTGGGCCCGTCGGGTTTCTTGGAATTTCTTGTCAGTGAGGAAGAGGAGCTCTCTATCGGAGGATACGTGTGGATCGAATTGCGGTGTGTGTGAGTGAGTCGGGCATTATGTCGAGAGAAGACCAAGAAGAGCAAGAGAAAAGAGGGCAGGGCGCAGCTGCGCAGGCAAATCAAAGACGTGTTTCAGGCCCTGCGCCTCTCCGCCTCTCAACCTCTCAAGCTTCCAAGCTTCCACCTTCATTCAACCTTTAACCATCAACCTTTCAGCCATCACGCGTCATGACCAGGGCACAACCTTGAAACCCAGCTCCCCAGCTCCCCAGCTCACCAGCTCACGACCTCACCGGGCTCAGCAAACTCGTAACTAGGATTACGTACTGCATGCATTTCCAGCTCAGGTCAGCCAGCTGCCAGCGTGCCACCAGCCACTACCAAACGGGCGCAATTCCACAATCCCCATCTGCCCTCTCCATCGGCCTTTTCCTGTTCCTGATGCATCCAGGAACGCGCTACGGACTTTTCCCCCACCAAGTCTGTCCGACTGGCTGCACCGCATCGCGCGCGCACCGAGTGCCGGCCCTAAACCTTGACTCCTCGCACTTCAACGCTAAGTCTATCACTGGTCAACACCTTACTGGGAACTTCATTTCCCATGTGACACGTGATGGGAAATGGAAAATGAGGGAACATACTGCTAAGAGATCGCGGGGCATTTAGTCGGCATGACAGTCGTTGCATACGTAGGTACTCACACTTGTACGACTGGGAAGGATCGGAACTGGAACATTGTACTTCACAACAGTGATCTGGGTGATCTGTGTGATAATACGAGACACCACGCGTGTCACGTCTGGCGTTGCACGTTGCACAAACACCAGGCCCCAGGGGGATCTGCCCCCGAATCCCTCCGAATGTGGTTCAAGTGGGCAAGACAGGAAGCACACAGCCTCGTGGGCTGATGATTTCAATAGTCGCAAGAGCAGAGTTCGAGACATCCAGAGATGTTGGTCATCCTTCTGCTGACAACGAGGCTGTGCCCATGAGAAGGTGGGGGAGTCAAATACTCCTTTAAGAATACTCCTTACCCCTTTATACAGTGTCACCGAATGCTCCCTTGAACTCCCTTTCTATGTCAACAATTCCTTCTAGATATCCCCGAGCAAAAAGCTCAATAGACTCCCCACGGTAAGCCCACCAACAAGCATCAATCCCATGAAACCCCCTGCTGCCTCCCTCTCTTCTGGTGGCACCCATTGTCCTGATCCCATCATGCACTCGCTGCCCAAGTACCCGTTTGTCAAGCCAAATAGGAGCTGCACAATAATCAAATAGAAGAAATCACTTCTCACCACACCGCCCTTGTTTTTGATGTTGCAGAGGAAATACAACGGGATAAACAGCAGTCGTGCCATCGCGATGCAGAACAGGGCAAAAGGATAGTGTGTGAGGGAGATTCTCGGCCACAGCGTAACCAGTCGACCTGCTAGATCGCCAATGTTCCATAACAGGAAGGCTAATGGGATGAATATTGCCGAGTCGATATTGTTGACCGACTCGATCGACGCCGTGAAGATTGGGAAAACCATAGTGACGGCGAAACAGATAAAGACTGCGGCCGCAAGGAAGGGCATCCTGAAGAAGAGCGTGCTCAGCGGTACCGAAGGCCGTTCCTTGTTGGGCTCGTCCAACCCTTCATCTGTCGCTGCCGCCGCCACACTGCCCGTTGTCAGGGCGTCTCCTTCAGAGGCCTCATCGGCTGTGGATTTCGCCGCCGATTGGAGGGCTCGGTTTCTCGCCTCTCTCTTCAGAAGATAAAAGAAAGCCAAGAGAGCAATGACTGAGATAGCAGTGGCCGTCAAGAAATAGACCAATGCTGAAGTAGGAGATTCATCCGCCGTGTCTGCACCACTGCCGTCCTTCTTGACTGGGACCACCAAAACCGAGATAATCTGCGCCAGGGGCGGTAGCACCCCGGCGATCGCCTGGCCGGTCATAATTCCCTGTGTATACTCACTTCTGCCAAACCCTGATGCGAATGAGAACAAGCCGTTCTGTATGAGGCCAGTAGAGAAGCTGGCCGCGCAGATGGCCACGAGGAGGAAGCCGAAGTACACGCCTGCGGACGTGGAAACGAGCGTTGACAGAGCCAGCACAGCAAACACCGCAGTGTTGATCACAAGGGATGATATGATGCGCTTCGGATATGATGCCCCCTTTTGCAGTTTCGTCAAGGTCACCATCGACCCAAGGTTCGTGACCGTCGAGACCGACACCTCAGCGGCTTGGAAGTGGTTTAGGATCCATTGATTTCCCCGGAAACGGTGCTGGAAGTAGGGTGCTGCGGCGAGAAACATGTTCCTAGGGTTTCCCTTGTCAGTGAGGATGAACCTACCCCAGTGCCAGAGAGCCGCAGGGGTATCACGTACCAGGCCCATAGCATTGCTATACCAAGCAGGACGAAGATGGCGTATTCGAGCCACGAGAAGGGCGTCTCAGGCACGACTGTGTCCTCCTCCGGCCCATCTTGTATACTCTCATCGTCTCTTTCTGCATCGCCCCGTATAGGCTGGTATTCCTGCTGGCGTGAACGAAACAAGCCCATGTTGGACAGTTGAGGAAGCTCGAAGGATGCTGGTTCTCCGGTGGCAGTCGTGGACATATAGGAGGACGGGCACGGCCGTCAAAAGTCAAGTCGTCTATCTCTTCATCTCACTTCAGTCTTTTGTCGCGTGGACTGCTCCGAGTCATGCGTTGCCGGTGGCAGTGAGAATGAATGCCAGTCGTGTGATGGACCGCCCTAACGGAGGACAAGGCGTGTCAATGACGCATTCCTTGGTGCAAAGGGGGCTAAATTGGGTATTGGCCATCCCCATATTACTTCCGCCCAAGGCAAACACAACCGATCCTTCTTATCTGTTCGACATCGTTGTCCAGAGACAGACCGTCATGTGCAAAGAAACGACTACACGATGAGGAAGGAGTTCAGATGTTCAGTATTCTCATTCCTCATGACACATGATATTTCGTCTTGCGGCGACATCCCGCGCCAGCGCCTCGCTATGCATTTGAAACAAAAACTCGCCCTCTATTCTTCCATCTGGGCTTTGTAGGCCGCCATGTCAGCTGGCGCCAGCCATCCCTTCTCCATCGCCTGCGCGATGAGGCCGTCGGCCCCTTCCGGCAACAACGTCGACGTCTCTTGATTGAGCCAGGCCGACACCTCAATCAACTTCGCCCACAGGCCCACCTGCAGGTTCTTTGCTGCCGTGCTACTGCCTGGCAGGATGGCGCCCCTGCCACTTGGTCTTTTGGCCAGCATGTCCGCCAGCAGGTATCCGAGCCAGAACAAGTTGGACTTTGGTGTGAACCTCTCGTACTTGTTCTTTGCCTCGTATTTAAGTCCTTCAAGTTTGGCCTTTTCCTCCGCCTCGGCCTCAACAACCCTCGCATATTCTCGGACGCGGCGGTACGTATACCATTGTCGCTTCTCTGCGTCGGTCTGCGGATTGTATGTCTCTATTTCCCAGAATAGCATTGGGTCAAAGACGATGCTGCCGTTTTCAGTCCCGTCATTGATTTTGGCGCGTGACAGGGTATAGTCGATGATGGTGACTTGCAGATTTGACATTCCGAGGACAACTTCTGGCTTCTCGTTCATCTCTTCAATGACCTTCTGTGACGCGTCGAGTCGGCCGTCTTTGGTCAGAGGTTTAACGCAGATGTTGCCATTATGCATGTCGCGGTGTTCGAATTCGATTTGTTTCTCTGCAAGAGCGAGGCTCATCGCAGTCTTCCAGAAGATGTCATACACCTGAAAAGCTGACAAGTGTCGGAGGTGATAGATGGGCTTTCCGGCATTGTTCATCTCCATAATGGCAAAGAGCTGGTGTGGAGAAAATTCCTTCAACGGGCTGGTATGGTGTGCTGAAACTGGTCGTGTTGCTTTGAATGCGTCGAATGCTTCAAGGAGGACGTCCGGATACTTGCCGCTGACTATGTGGATACCGCGACAGCGAACAAATCCGTGCAGAGCATCGACTGATTGCATCAGTAAGACTTCTCGGATGACTGAGTCCAGGTCGGTGAAATCGCTTTTGCCCTCTTTGGTCATTTTGAAAGGAATGATCTTGATGATGAGACCGCCTCGTTGCTCCAGATCCTCGACATCTGCGATATCTTTTGCCTCAAGCTTGAAGACGTCGGCATATGATCCTTCACCAAGCTTTGTGCATAGGTACTTCTTGCCGATGCTGCGACCGAACTCCTGGAAGTCTTTGACTCCTTTCTGTTCCACGAGTGAGAGCAGTGGTTCGAGTTCCTGAAGTTCTAGCCACGTGAGGTTCTGTTAAGTGGGTCGTCAGTTTTCTGAGTGAGAGTTGGTTAATAGAGCTGTAGGAACACATACTGCCATTTTCTTGGACGAAGCGCCTTTTCCACGTCCCCGAGGCCGGTGGTGATGTACCTCAACTGGTCTGTGCTCGAGAAGGGGAGTTGGTTCAGGTAAAGGCTGCTGCACAGGTGCCTTCTCTCTAACAACATCGTGGTAAAGTGTCAGTTTCTCCATCTTGTCAACCATGTCGTCGTTCTCATTTTCATTCCTGCCTCCGCCGCCAAAGAGATCGAAATGCATCGCACGTCTCTCCGCCGACGGGGCCTTTTTCTTGCTGTAGGTCTTGTCATTATTGCGACGGACTGGCTGTCGCTGGTTCTTGAGCTCACTCAAGACATTCAGGTCCGCCATTTCTTTGTGAAATCTCATGAATTTGTCAGAGGGAAAAAATGAGACCGCTTACCAGCTGAGTTGTTTGAGTGTGAATGGTATGGGATCTGTACACTAATCCAAAAGGCGTTAGCGTCGTCGTTGCTCTAAGATACAAAAGCGGCGCAAATATTTAGATGTGCGGTGAAGAAAAGGGGAAGATGGATGTCGCCGCTTTTGAGTTGAGTTTGAACCGAGACATGGACAGGGTCTGGTAGAATCATTGAAAGGCATTCAACAATTCACATTGTTCAATCCTGCTATTCACTTTCTATAGTCCTCCCAAGACGCATTAAAGAGATCTCTGTACACAACAATGTCCTCTTGCCTATTATTGTTCTGGCCACCATTCCCAACCGGTAGTGTTCCTCGCTGGTCCAACCCTCGTTCGGCCCTCCTCCTCGACCAATGACTCAACAAACGCCTCCTCTTGAGCGGACTCAACTTGCGATGATAGAGGCTGACTGCGTTCCTGTCATCATAATTGACTCGACCACCAGCTGGCTTCATATCCCACATCTGGTCGTACAGAGCCCAGTACCTCGTGAGCGAGGTCCGGTTTCTGGCCCGCATCCACGCGTTGGGTGCCTTGAGACGCATCCCCGTAGCGAAAAGCCGTCGTAGGCGGTAAATAAACTCCCAACGGATGACGTACTCTTTGACCTCCACGCCGTAGACGTCCCGGAGTTGTTTAAGCACTCGGGTCCATCTGAGGCAACGTTCGGGAGAAACAGCAGCCATCCCCTTGCGAGGTCTGAAACACCATGACATGAGCGACTTTTGAAACTTGTCGTCGAAAAGGACGTTCAGATTGGTGCCCGAGCCCGACATGGGCACTTGAAGGACTTGACCGTTGAGGCCTCCGCTTCGGTACCACTCTGCTATCCAGTAGACGAGGGACTCAAGCTCCTTGAGACGTCCTTGCCGACCGAGTGCCTTTATCGGTGCCCGCCAGAGCTTGATCTTGAAGTTTGTTCCCGAAGCGAGGATGTTCTGCATCAACCCTATCAGAAATCCAATCTTGTCCACATCTCCACGACCTTGACCACCGGAGAGTTGTTTGGTGGTTCGAAATAGAGAGATGACGAACTCAGGAAAGGATGTTGAGATATGTCGACCGTGCTCTTGTAGAGTCGCCACACAGCTTAGGACACTCTTCCAGTCGCCTACTTCCATCATTGCTCTCAACAAGAAGTTGGCGGATCGGCTGCGTGAGTAGTTGTCGAATTGTCCGTCATTGAGAACCACGAGCGTACGATTCAGCTGTCTCCAGTCTTTGGTGCGATAGTATTCCGTCAAGAGCCGCTTCTGTAGCTCGATGTCCTCAAACACCTCATGATGTAAATCGTTGTCCACAAGCGCTTGGACCATTTCCCAATGTCCCGAATCACAGACGTCTCTAACTATCCGGACAAACACAGAAGATCCAGTGTCAATCTCGAGGTCGCGAAGTTTTTGAAACCGGGCTTGCAATATAGCTAGATCTGGTGCAGCCAATGCCATTTGACGGACCGCCAGAGGTCCAGCCTCAATCAGCCCGATCATTCTCAGACTGTTCACCGCAAAATCGAAGGAGAAGGCCCGAGTGGCAAAAGCGCGTGCGACAAACTGATCGCTGAGTTTTGTTGGAGCTGAACCCATAGTCTTGCTTGCCACGATATTGAGTGAATCTGCAGGTACACCCGTGATTCTGCTTCTGCCGATTGACCATAGTCGTCGCGCCTGGGCCTCGAAGGAAGCACCAGCCTGGTTTAGCGGCAAGAGAAATCTCTCGAGGTTTTCGTTGTGGAGGGCCAAGTAGTTGATGTAGGGTTCAAGAAGCTCAAACTGAGGTGGCAGATCTCTCTTTGCGATCAAAAAAGAGTGCATCATGAAGGCATCAGACGACCGGTCTTGACTCCACAGATGAGATGTCACCTCCGCATAGATGCGACTCTTGGGAACCACATCATAGACACTGCAAAAGCCTCTGAGAGCATTGGCTTCGCTCGAGCGGCAGGCGGCGTAGAACGCGGCCAGGAGATCATCACGCCCCTTGTAGTGCTTCTGGCCGATGAAAGATGCGAATTGATATGCATCCAGGGGGCGCGAGCCCTCCAATGCCGCTCCAACAATCTCTGCGAATAGTTTTGGGCGTTTGTACTTCAAGTGTTTGGCTTCCTTGCAGATTGACCAGAGAAATTGATGGTCGTCGGAACCAGCAGAGAGGAAGGTCTTCCACAGAGCTTCAACACGGGGATCATCTCCTTCGAACCGGAAGGCTTCCCCTCGGAATTTCATCCCTCTCCATATTGCTTTGATCCCCTCGTGGCCATTTTGGAGAGCTTGAGCGATCAACAGGATCTCCCAAAGCTCTATTTCGTGACGATGGGAAGGCTTATCGACTAGACGACAGCCAATGAACGATGTATGGCCCACATCTGCCTCGAAGCGCAGCTGATCTCGGGTTTTGATACCGTATGCTAGTCCACGATCCAGGAGGCTCTCCCATTGTGCGTCATCTGAATGAGGTTGTTCTGAGACAGCGGCGGAGAAATAGGCATCCCCAGGCTCGCCTGGGCCATTGCGCAATGCTGGTTTTGAGGTTGTCGTCAATGCCCGATTAGGTGATGAGTACCATCGTCGTGGTAAAGCTGTACTTGCAGCAATGTCCAACTTCGCACGAGGTATTTGGCCCAATGATCGGCTGCACAGTAAGAGACATCGCGTCTGGGAGCATCTCTCAAGACGACCCCATAATAATCTCATGTAGCGACATACACGTGACCTCTATCGAACACATCTAGATTTTCATGGACACCATGGGAAGAGCCTTGATCAAGAAGGGTAAGAAGTGCCAATGAGGAAGAGACAGTAGGCGAAAACGGCAGACGTGAAAAGTCAGGAGATTCTGGCTTTGAAGATACAGATTAGTCACGTGCGGTATCGAAGGCTTGGCAATGAGCTCCTGGGCTGCCATGGCGTGAGCCTGCGACCTCCGAACCTCAATCGAACTTCAGGTCTATTACTTTGAAGCTCTTCATTCCTCCTTCCCCACCGATATTCAAAGTGATTTGCCCTCCTGAACCGACAAGATGGTCGCTCCCACAGCTCTCCGAATGATGCAGGCCACCCGGGCCCGCATGTTCAGACCTGTTCAAGCTCAAGCTCAGCAGAAAACCGGGTATGTCGAGGAAGAGGACAACCACTACCATTTGTGGTCTCTACCTTGAGCACCAGGGTGCTCCGTACTAGAATTTAGCTAACAGGCTTTCTGCACAGGGTCTTCGTGTACCGAGAGAACCGGGTACCCTACTACCAGCGTCTGTTTCAGAAACACGATGGAAAACGACAATGGTGGAAGGTCAGTAAACTCTACCTTCCCAGATCAGACCTTCACCTTGCCCTTGCGAACCCCCGGAGCCCACAAATCAGACGGAAAGAAGAGACATTATCTATGGCCGAAGAAGAGCAAGAGTTGCATCAGGCGCATCCATCGTCGAGGATTAGCTACATGGCGCCCTGGCTTCCACGACAACTTGCCTTGGGCTCGGAAATGACGGAATGCCCGCGGCGGTGTCACAGTGCATGTTCAACTTTTAGTTTTGGACTTTATACACGGTGTGCTGTGTTCTGGACTCGACTATGATAGCACTAGGCCTATCGGCGCATGTTCCGACCCAGTCTCCCTCGCATACGAATGGCAACTTTGGCTGTTTCGGGGATCTCTCAGCAGCAAGATACAGTCTCCGTCCTGCAAGTCGAGGTCAACGGGCTTCCTCGAGTCCTGGGCAGACATGGAGCCTTTCCATGGCATAAGCCCTTCGACGTCCTGAAGCTCAATCCAATTGCTGGTCTCCACCTAATAATTGCACACACTTTATCATCCTGCTTGATACTGCGACCACTGAGCAGCTTTGCTAACACAAAATTCCTACAGACTCACCGAAGCCCATACCTCCTCTATCCCTACTACACGGTCCTTTTGGGCAGCTTCACGTTCTCCGTATACGGCATGGTCCGCATGCTTTTCGGTCACAAGACACTGTGGTAGAGGTAGCCCAAGGTGGAGGCAGGAGTCGAAGTGCACAAGGCCTCTCTAGGACCTAAATGCAACCGTTGTACATATTGCATCACAGAATCACAGAATCGGGATCGAGGCGCATTATCCCAAGTGGTCGTCCTCAATATTATCGAGACTACGAACGAAACCTTTCTTGTCCTACAACCGCCAATGTCGGCCTGCACGGGCCTTGAGTTCAACCTTGTTCACTCAGTCATCTGTTTGCTTGCGCATGGGGGTCACTTGTGAAGCAGCTCCAGCTTTATCTTACCGCCAACCGGTCCATCACGTGTCTCCCATGCCAAGGGATCCCTGGTTGGGCCATGGATTTCGAGTGTCCAGGTCAGACTATCAAACAAAAGAATCTCCGCATGACTTTTCCTAGATCTACCAGGGACACAAGACCCAGGGACAGTCGAAAGGTCGCATCTCAAACATTGTTCTACCTGCGAATCGGTGCGTGTTTGAAATGCACGTTTATTTAAGCCTTGAGATGCATCCCTGCTTGTCTTGGTCTCCCTCCCATGACTTGGACGTTTGTGCAACATGATTGGCGTATGTGTCGGAGATTGGCCCCATGCCCGTCATCTAACTTCCCCCTCGATACTTTCGCTTACAAGGATGCAAGGACTTCCTGACACGGCTCTATACTTGCTTATTCGTGGTCATCTCCCCAAATATGGACGGACATGACATTGCGCCACGCGCCCGCCTGTACCTGGATGTCAATCACTTTTCCTTTCACGCAGAATCTCGTCCACTGGTAGCCTCGTCGTGCGCTGCAGACCTTCCGGTCTAATATGCAGATGATCTCTGAAGGTAACCATAACCCACAGTTGTGAATAACAGCAAAAGCGGACGTGCTGCCAGGCCAAGCTGTCTTAAATATCTAGGATTTCCTCGAGGCAACTTGGAAAGGCCTAATGCCACAGGTAGACATTTCACAATGTTTTCTTTCTACATCTCTCTTGTGTTGGCTTTGATCGGAGCATCGATCTCGTCGCCGCTGAAACATCTTGACAAACGTGACCTGCCCGCTTTCGTCACCCAATATGGTATACCTCATTCTCTCAATCCTCTCTTAACGGACGGAACTCTATATGGGAGCTGACACAAAGCCTACCCCAGCACCGGTTGCGTACCTTGATTCCACAGAGATCTACTTCCCCAGCTCCATTGCCGGTCAGTTAACCCACACCCATCCCGAAGATGGCTCGGGGAACAACATCACCGGCGCTCCATCACCCTTGACGCTCGACAACCTCAACAGTCTCAACAATTTCGCGTCGGGTGGTACGGACGTGTACCTCACATCGGACGAAGGCATCGAGGCTCTCCCGTCGTGGTTCCGCGGCGTCGAGCCAGATTCTACCGGCTCGACAGGCCCCACGATCGCGAGCCTGATCATCACCGTCTCCAAGCCCAACAACACCCTCGACGCGTTCTACTTTTACTTCTACGCCTACAACCAGGGGAACTGGGTCTTGAACCTGCCCTCGCTCGAGTTCGGCGACCACGTGGGTGATTGGGAGCACACGATGGTCCGCTTCGTCAACGGCGCCCCCCAGGCGATGTGGTTCAGCCAACACACGTCGGGCGAGGCATTCACCTACTCGGCCGTCCAGAAATACAACAACGGCGACCGACCCGTCGTGTACATCGCCAACGGCACACACGCCAACTACGCCATCCCCGGCACGCACGACCACACCATCCCGGGCCTCAACTCCCCCATCGGACCGCTGGAGGACCACACCGACGCCGGCGTCTTCTGGGACCCCTTCGTCGCGAGCATCCCCTACACTTACAGCTATGACAACTCGACCGGCGTCTTCACCGCGTACAACGGCCAGGACCCCACGGGCTACCTAGACTTCGCGGGCCAGTGGGGAGACAACCAACTCCCGGACAGCACGCCGGGCCAGGTCGACGTCTTTGGAGAGCGCAAGTACGTCGCCGGTCCCACGGGGCCCAGGGACAAGGATCTGGGCCGAACCAATGTCTGTCCCGACGGCCAGAGCTGTGATGTCTTGAGCATTCTGCTGCCTTGAAGGAGTTAGTTTGTTGGGTTGGGGTGGGAGTTGCAAATCCCGCCTGAGTTGGACCGCAATTGGTCAACCAGGCCTGCCTTTTCTTTTTTCCCTATTTGGTTCTCTGGTTTAATTTGGGTTTACATGATGGAAAAAGACTTTTCTTGCTCGTTCTCTTTGACGTTTACCTAACTCCCGTCAGCCAAGGCGACTCGGGATTTCTTGCGAGCCAGTTTTGTAGACAGACGTTGTTGGCGTCATACAGTAGAGTGAAAGACAGAGATATACGGAAATGCGATAATAAAGCTATATCCACCGAACATAGAATTAAAAAGGGTCTATATATATCTGGGGTCAAAGGAACAATAGCGATGCGGCAATACCCAGCGGGCGGCATGCTCCGACCTCGTCCTATCTAACTACCTAGGTATCCTGCATAGATTTCCCCCACGTACAGGGGGACATGAAGAAAGGAAAAGGGACACAATGGATATATATATATATATATATATATACATACATACATATATATATATATATATATACATACATACATATATATAGAGACATCCGCCGCCGCCGATGCCAGTTTCCCGGGTCCTCTCGCTTAGTACATTTCCGCATGCAACACAGGCACACATCTTGATTCCTCGCTGAGCTGTGATGCCAGAAGCAAAGATCCATACCGCCGAAATACACATCTTCAAGAGTAGGAAAGGACATATAAGAAGGAAAATAGTTGGCCCCGCTAAGACATCCGTTCCACTCCCGCCTATCGACCAGGTTGAAAGTACCTTTCTTTGACCGTTCCAGTAAATAATGAGTTTCGAAAATAACACACCCCAACCCCGAGGAAGAGCCAGCTCCCCTATGTGTATCCCATTTGTTTATTTTTCATCTTCGCAGGTGTAAAGTGTAAGGTCATCGTGATAAAAGGTAGTCGTGGGTCTCATGACTGGTGCACTTTCGCGATGCTTTTTTCTTTTTTGGTTTTTCCGTTGTAAGCGATAATTTCGTTCGCGGCCTTATCTGGATCCTTCCGCGCCTCATATGTGCATTGGAATTGTACAGAACAGTCCCGCGGCGGAGAGATGGACCTTTGTGGCAACTCGATACGGGCGGAAAAGCTGGAAAAACGGTATCAACCAAACTCCAAATACTCATGTCAGATCAAACTGATCTCTAGGACATGGGGTGGCTTGCGCGGTTCATGTATATGGAAAGCAAATGTTCCGACTTTTTTCTGGTTCCGGCTCGCTTGAAGAGCAGAGGACAAGCCGAAAAGACGCGGCAGTCCCGAAGGGGGGTTGCATTCAACCCTCGAAATAACAAAACGGTCGTGCTTGCGCACTTTGTGTTTAAACAAAATTCTTTGCCGTCACCAGCGGGCCTGGCTTCAGGGTGAGTGTTGCCGGCCGACTGAAGTTCGTCCAGCCTTCCGAGGGCTTGGTGAGCTCGTGTCTCTCTTCATGTGCGGTTCCCAGCCTGGGCGTCTGCATACCAGGCCCTCCGGCTGGGGGACCAGACCTGTTGGCGGAGGTCTTGTCTGGCAATAGATTCTTGAAAAGTGGCTTCAGGCAGGGTATACATGCACAGACGATACCCGTGCCAACCTCAACCACCGACCACTTCATTGTGGATACTGATCCCATGGTGACATCTAAGCTGTTGACACTCTTGAGGACGCTGATGCGTAGAGCCGATGCCACGGTTGCGAACAAGCCGACAGCAAACAGTAGAGACACAATATACTTTTGCCTCGCCGGAAGTCTGAGCCTGAAAAAGACGGGCAACGGGAGGGTACACAGCAGGAAGTCGGTAAAGATTGAAAAAGCGGTGGTGAAGTAATAGGCCGAGACGATCTCCAAGCAGTCTCTAGGGAGAGTAAAGTCCCAGGCACCGCGGACCGGATGGCATTGGAAGATTGTGACGAGGATACTGCAGATCCAGACCGCAATAATGGCCACACCGAGAGCATACATTATTCTCCGAAAGACGGTAGTCGGGAAAACCCGAATGTACGATGTCACGATGGATATCTTGACCAGCATCAAGGCTGTGACGTACATGATTTGACATGTCCACAACGTCTGCTGCTTGTTAGTCCATTCCCTAGAACAGAAGGAGGCATGTAATGACCTGAATCACGTTCTTCGTGTTGTCAACAAATCTGGAGTCCTGTGGAAGGTCATAGATATGTCTCCCCAGGCCATATCGTATCCCTTTTGCTGTTGTCAGACGAATGAACTCTCCACTCAGGCTCTAGCCGCCGACTTACCAACTATCGCCATGGCGGAAAAGGCATCGGCGAAGAGGCCAGCCGCCACCATAAGGTAATCGTCAACGGCCACATGTCCAACGACGAAGCCTCTGACAATCAAGCGAATGATGATGATTACGGAATTGACGCAGATGAAGGAGATGTTGATGCGATAGATCTCTCCCACGTAGGAATCGTGAGGTAGAAGAGCTGTTGGTACTTGTTGGCTCATGGTGAGTAGATTCCGGCTTGGTCGGCCGTTGGGATCCAATAGCAGAGCGCGCGCGGCGTCCAATTGCTGCAAACGATGGTGATGCCTGGTGGATGGCCAAAGGCAAAAAAGGCACAAAAAGGATTAGAGATCAATATCACATTGACTGAAAGGCAAATATTGCATGATGAGGCTCTTTTTCGAAGGATCGAGAGGAAAAGCAAGCGCTATAAGGTCCAACGGCTTGTTTCTCCTGCAGCTCGAGCTCTTTCTGTTCCTGGTTTCCTCCCTCCCCATGGGCGCTCCGAGTCAAACATGCATTGATGCATAACGAGACTTGCCGGGCTGGCTGTTGTTGGGAGGAGACTTTCCATTCTGGGGGGGGTCAGCCAATATCCAACCTGGTCAGGACTCAGTCTTTGCCCCCGACGCGTGCCCTTGCAGAGGGGTCCTTTGAGTAGAAAAGCGTGATCAACGACCTGTATGGTGTGAAGGCGGCAGGGAGGACTGACCAAGGACACGCGAGAAGAGGCATGCGGTGCGATTAGCGCGAGGAACAGGGCCGTTGTGGGCCGTGGAGAGGCTGTTGGTGCTGTCGAAGTGCGATGGGAAATTCCCAAAACGGCTCCCACTGGCTCCTTGGCAGCGGCCCCTGAAAAGGCCTTTCTGCGCAAAATGCCCTTCTTACAACCTCATTCGCCGCGCACCCAACAATTAGTTTGGCAAATCCGCTCAAAATTCCCATACAATGTGTGTGGAGATCTCTTTCCAGGCAGCCAGACACCCATGATCCTAGCCGCTCTCCACGAGGAAGAACCCAAGTCTGTGGACTTTCGTCAGGCAAGTCTCGGACGAAAAGACGCCACATCGAGCCCGCGTGGGCACTCGTGGGATGCATGGATTCGGACTGAGAAAACAGTGGCATGGTTTGACACGGGGACACAAGCTCTGGGTTCTGGTCTCTCGATCATTCAGCAATGGCGAAAGGGTAGCGCTGTCAATCATAGCTGACGGCTGCAATGAAGGACAGAGTATCACCATTTGCACACCTCAATGAAATGATAACCATAAACGAAAGCCTGCGATCTACTGGCCAACTGACCTCGTGGTGCCACCAAGACTCTTTTGTCTGACGGTTCCATTTAGTCTCATTTCCGCGAGGACGGGATATATGCCTCGCAGACACACACACGCACACGCACCCGTACATGCAGCGGCAGAAACGCCTCCGCCGCCCCTGAAGCGTCTCGTCATGGTGGCTGCCGCATTCCCCCTCCTGTTCATGCACCGAAGACGTTGACAGAAGGAGCCAATGTGCATGAGAAACCTGGTCTGCAGGAGCCTCTTCTGAGGAATCACCGTTTGAGAACAAGTGATCAACAGGATTCCTCGGAGATTTTCTGTGATCGTGGAAAAAGATTAGGAGCTATCGCTGTTGAAATTCGGACGACCCAATTCTCAGTCAGCAGCCACAAAGCCTCCTGGCACCGAGTGGGGGATGCCTTCCATGTCCAAGTCGGATGCTTCTGTCCAAAGACGCATCTGCCCAGCCTCCCCCAGGAAGCCACAGAAGGGAGGACCCAATATTCATTTGATACTGTCGAACACGCTCATGCATCCTAAAAGGGGTGTCGCAGCGCGAAGAGATGTTTTCTTGCCTGACATCACGGACTGGCCTAGAACAATACCCTACATGCGCTTCACTTTATGTTCCACGCGCTCATCCCAACGGGCTCGTGTAACTTGCAGCAAGGGCTCCCGCGAATCTGAACTCAAATATCAATCAGGGAAAGCCATTGCCATACTCTCTGACGACCACTAACAAGCTTGCTGCCATTATCAACCCGTGAGAAATATCTGCATCAAAGCTTGTTGTGCTGGAGCTTAGCAATCGAATGACAATAGCCAACCTCGAATGTCCTCTTCTTCCTCGAATTAGGAGATTGGAGGGAAAGACCCACTACCTTGACAGAACTTGAGTCGCGAAGAAATCGCGATAAATCTCTCGGTGTACGTCCACATCATTGAGGATGATTGGTGGCAAATTCCTCCATGGGAAAAAGAGCTATAAATCTTCCCCTTAAAAGATCAGCACAAACCAACCCCTTGTCGTTCCCTCACTCAGCCTGAGCCGACAGACTCAGCACGCACAGCTTCCTCTGTACCTCTACCTGGTGTGGTTCGTTGTGATTTTAGTAGTCCAGAAGCCGAGCTTTGTCTGGGTTCGACTCCTTTGTCCGGCAGTTCTGAGGGTTGGGCGTGGATGTCGGGTGAGTCGGGTAACTGATCGACATCTCCAGTCCACATTGTGCTGTAGACAGCGGCCTCAAATTGGGCCCGTTTCTTGCCTGCGCTGATATGCAAGGGTACCACAGCCCCGGCATCAGCGACCCTCGATGGTATTGGCCCTCGACTATCCACACCGCTGCGGCTTGGAGACCTTGATATGATGCATTCCAACAACCAATCAAGCTTTGACTGTGGCAATAAGTCCATGGCTCCTCGATTTCTGAAAAGAAGGAGAACATGAGCCGCTCCCCCGAGGCAAATGAAGAGAGCAAGGATGCTAAAGACCGCAATAAATCCGTTGGACAGTTGTACGGCAACAACTTTGACGCTTATCTTGCGTTGTACTGGGCGCTTGAGTTGAGTGTCCTTTGTGACCATGTATGTCGGATAGAATCGTTGCAAATCTCTTGGGCTAATGACGGAAATCTCGTCGCCCGCCATTGACTCCTGCTTAAAGCGTGTGAAATAGTTGCCTACCATTGAAGAATGGATGTTAAAAACATCTCCAATGTCGGGAAATGCAATCCATGCTGGATCCTGAATGCGATTGTTGGTGAGTCTGAGAGCACAATCGACACGAGTGTAGAAAGCAGAGCCCACAGCCCCTTGACCAAATCGACACGGGGCGTAATCATCAGAGTCATTCTTCGGTGCATTGTGAAGATGCAAACTTGCCATCGACATATTCACCGTGCGGTATGTACCGAAGGGGCCACTGGCCTCATCCCAGTCTGAGTAGTTTGCCGCATACATACAAATGAGCAGGTCCTTGATCAACGTTGCATTGGTATAGAAGTCTGCGCTGTCGTAATTGCCGTGGTCACTGCGCAGAAATGCCGGAAAGATCTCAGTTTCTATCGCACCGCCAAACTTCCCCGTGAAAGTGTCACATTCCGACGTGAGATACAGGCTCACAGGTCATACTCCAACTGTTGTTCCATTCGTCAAGGCGGTCGACCCACAATTTCGAAGTGTCTGGGAGATAGTCCAGGAGCTCGTCGATGGGGAAGTTTGCGTGATCGAGACTCATTTGAGTCAGGTTCCACGCCACTTGAGAGTCCGGAATGCTGTTATCTGTTCTCCCAGCGAGAAGCCCATTGACCTCGGTCTGGACCACGACGTGGGTCAGTCTTGTCGAGTATTTCGCAATTGGACCGGACAGTATGGTCGTGATTGAGAGAGAAATGACAATTAGACTTTGAGAAACAATATTCCAATGTTGGATGACATGAGATTTTAATAGCAAGAGAACATCGATGGCCTCTCCAGGTGTGTTCAAGGTGAGGAGGAACGATACTGGCACAACTTTTCCTTGAGCAGCTACTCGTGCGCTGAGAGACCAGTAGCAGCGAGTCAACACAAATATGGCGATGCCGCTGATGGCTGTGACTATGATGTTTAAGACTGCTTGAACATCCTCCAACTTCCACGACCAGGGTAACGTAGTCCAGCTGCTCATAGTGAATAGAAGAGTGAATGGTAGAAGCTAAGGCACTCTCTCTACCAGAGCAGAAAGACAAGCATCGCGAAGCCTCAGGGAAGAGTAAATAATGAATCTGGAGCAGAGCAGGCTGCGACATCGGGCATCGGGGGCTGTCCTTGAATGCAGTGATAGGTAGAGCCATCATTCGGAGGTAGGGCTCGCGCAGACTCTTGAGCCTGGTAGAGGCTGCCTCGAAAACGTCTCAAACCATATTCTCGATGATGAATTCGGAGGCTTCAGGCGAGCAGCTTTCCATAGTCATGCGATGCGGCTCTCTTGGCACATAACAGTCCCATGTCTCTTTCGGATTGCCAAGGTTGCCGGAGTTGGTCACCGTGCGCTTTAGCCCAACATTGGTGAGTTGAGAAAGCCGCAGATTGGATCATTGAATTGGCAGCTTCATTCGGCCGGTCTGGGCAGCTGAAAGACCTTGCTGTACTCAGTCACCCTTCGAGACGTCTCTCGTATTCGTCCCTTCCGAGTATCCCGCATGAAGGGACCAGGACTTTCAATCTGGCGATGACTGATAAAGTGGACCGCCATATGATCAGACGAAAGGGGGAAAGGGGTGAAGTTGATACAGCTGCTAGGGAGTCTCAGACATACCGGAGGATCAGTCGGACTGAGGCTGCAGAATGGCCTCAGTCTAGAGTTGAGGACCCTGACAGTACTTACCTGGTGGATATAGAGAGGATGATGATAAAATGGATTTACCAGAGGCTCTTCGGTAACTCCCTGGATTGAAGACGTCTCAGCAGGTGGCTGTCAAATTCAGTCCTGGTGGTGAGGTCGTGGGGAAGAAAGGCTCTGGGCCGCACACCTGCTCGGCGCACTTTCCTCTCTGACCAAAATGAAGCTGATGAACCTAATGAACCTCCTGCGTGTCTGTCCACGCGATCCAGACACCATCAAGGTGAATTTCGCTTCAAGCAACCTTTGCTGTTCATAAAGGACTGCGCCATATTCTGTCACCTCTAATTCATCAAATCTCATCTATAACTCCACTACTGCCGCCGAATGCTTTCGTAACCTGCTCCACGCCTCTCTCTGCCTCACTCTTGAAAATGGACACTTCCAAAGACACGCCTTTCCCTCCAGCGGGCGATCTCCCCCTTCATCGCAACGCACCCCTTGCGCCCACACAAGAACTTGCCTATCGGAAGAAATGTATACAACTCAAACGACGTCTTGCTGAGATCGAGACCAACAACGATGCTACCCGAAAGAGAATCATCCAGGAAACAGAACATGTCCAGAAAATGCGCCTGTTGCGTGCCATCCTTCTCAACCATCTGCAGGACATTATGTCTGCCCCAGCAAAGAAGCTGACTCCCGAACAACTTGACAAGATTGGAGTCCTGGCGAACGGCAGCGGGAACCTGGCGGAGTTGGCTGGCAGTGGCGTGGCGCCCGAGTTACAACGCAGGCGACCTGAAGGGGAAGGATTACTGGACGACAGCTCCGAAGCGAGCGAAGAAGATGAACCCGAGGTTAGGAAGCCCTTTGCTGTCCGTGGCAGACGCTTACCCGACACAGCCCGTCGAGCGACCTGAGCGGCGGAGAAGGACAAACAACACTTACCGCGAAACCATCATGAACACCGTTCCAGCAGAGACAGTGCCGAATATGTATCAACAAACCACACTACCCAATCTTGCTCCCGCAAGCTCTTTCTCTCCGGTCCCTCCTCACGATCCAGCAGCGCTCACCTCCTCTTTCCGGGTCAAGTCCACTACTCCATCAGCACCTGCAAACCCCGGCACACAGCACCAATTTCCGGACGCGACATATCCGCAATCATCTCCCATGCCAGTCAACCAGCACCTGGGTGTGCCTTATCAATCGCCGAGTCAACCACGACCGCCGAGCATAGCTTCTGCACATGATGGCGGCGCGAATGGTCTCGCGCGCTCTCCCGGCGCACCCGTACGCCCAGAACGACCAGAGGCACCTTATGTGCAATTTACAATGCACATGAGACCACAATTGGAAGCCGATGACTACCCTCCCGAGCAGATCCCTGCTCGTATCCAGGCCGAGTGGGATGGCCTTAGCGCAGATAACAGGAAGCTATGGGACGACAGATATGAAGACCAGATGAAAGAATATACGGTCGCGATGGATGCTTGGAAGCGTGCTACCAGAAGAGAGCCATCAGGCAGTGGATTTTCTACCATCAACTCCTAGCCTGGGTCGAACAGAACACCCTATGGCAACAATCAATGGGATTCGTGGTCGAGCCCATCAGTCCCTTTTGCGATACCATCAATAGTCCGAACCACACGAAGAAGTGCCGAAGTGTTCAAGCGACGAACGAGGAATAAATTACATTAGCAACAGGCGTCAGAGCATTTACATCAGCGCTGGCCAAGTCAGGGTCTCCGTGCACTTTTCACGCCTGAGTTCCTAATTGCGTTTATACAAACATCACGTTTTGCCCTTATAACGAGCTCCATCACTGAAGATCAGATCTTCTGCAAGCGATGACAGTCACTCTGGAGACAGCGCTGAAAGGACTTAACACACGAAAGGCTGGACGGCGGCTCATCGCATCACCGTCTTAAGGGCTCCTCACTTCCGAGTTTCACTGACGTGGGGTTTTCATGTTCGTACACCAGCGCAGTCATCGATGGGCTTACTCCTGCAAAAATCAACAGACAACCTATAAATGTTCTTCGTCAATGTCCTACTTGGACGGGAGGGAGCGAGCCATCTTTCCGAGACCACTGAGCAACATGCCAACAGCTGTGCATAGAAGCTCAGATCCCGTGTTCAGTTCTGAGCGCTCAGCGGCATATTTGCGAAGTTCAACATCCAATCTCAGCATCACTAAGTTGGATTGTTGCGGGAGCTTTAATTTCGATTCTCAGCAATCAATCAATGCTGTGCACAAGGTTGGAAAAGTGTCCAAGAATGAGAAAATGCCGGAGGATGCCAGTGCTCTGGTTCAGCGATGAACTCTAATCACAGTGTGGTTGATTGGCACCTAGAAAAAGAGTCTTGACGGAAAAGCCATCCAGATTGTCCGTTCGATATCTTCTGGATGACCTTGACCATGCTATGTAGTCCATATCATAGGCGGCAAGATGCCTGTCTCCCCTTGACATCACAGCCGAAAGAACTTCGCAATATGAATGGAGGCAACGGGGTCAAATCAACAATGTATCATAGGCGAATCCAGAAACGATATCACTTCACGAGGCGGGCGAACTACAGTCTGCACTATTTATGATTTGCCTTGTTCATTTTGTTTTTTTGTCTCTAGTAGCAACAGTACCTGAGCCTGACTTCGAGTACCACCATCTGCAAGTGGTCTCTCCATACTAAACTCGGCCCATCCGAACGGAATGTCCACCAGGCATTCTCCATGCATAGGTATACAAACGTGCTCTCTGGAGATGGCGTCTTTCTGCTCTCGCCCCGTCTGTCGAGCATCCGGGTATCCAGGGGGGTTCTGTCACAGTTTCACCAGGGGGGTGCTCAGGCGCGCTTGGTCGGTGCTTGTCAAGACCTGTGCAGACACGTCAAGGGTACGAGCAGGCTGGCTTTTGTTGATCGTTGATCATACCATGGTCAACGTCGTTCGTGCCATTGGCAGGCAGGTGCACTTCCTCATTTTTCGAGTGGTTGCTCGAGGGTTGTATCGACCTGAGACGTGGATACATGCATGCCATGGATATCGCAGCTCGTTGGCGTACCTAGCACACATGCATGCGATTCGTGATCCTATCTTCTCGACGCTCGTTCATGGCATGGATTTCGTTTCTTCTTTTTTCTTCTCTTCGCGTTCTTTCATTCACTCTCCTCAAAAAGATCATTCGTTCCCCCCCTTTCTTTTGCTGCTGGTTCTGTCATCCCTCAATCCTCGTCCCAGTTCGGGTTCGGCCCCGGTGGCTTCGGCCCTCCAGCTTGCCTCGCGACAATGATCTGATCAACACTCAGGACCGTCCTCGCCGCCTCCGTGGCCAGCCGAATGGCCCAGGACTTGGTCACCATCAGGTCCAGGATGCCTTCTTCTAGAGCATCCAGCACGCCGGACGCGTCACTGACTTCCAGGTCGATACCCGTGGTCCAGTACGGCTCTTCAGATTCGTCGGATTCTCCAGAGTCGTCGTCGTCATCGTCGTCCTCGTCCTCGTCGTCGCTTTCGTCTTGTTGTTCGCCGTTTGCTTGTTTTCGGCGTTTCACTTCCTCGCTGGAACCTACCCGGCGTTGATGCGCCGTGTACAGCCTTGCTACCACTTCCGTGGCGTCCAACCCGGCGCTCTCTGCCAAGGTTCTTGGGATCACCTCGAATGCCTCTGCATATTTTCTAATGGCATACTGCGGCAAGCCAGGCGTCTTGTCTGCGAAATGACTGATTCTCTCCACAAGTTGCATTTCCGTCGCGCCCGCACCCGGGACAAGCCGTGGGTCTTTTGTGACCGCTTTTATGACGTTGACGCCGTCATCAATTGCGCGCTCGACATCGTCGAGATGGTTCTGGGTTGCGCCTCTCAACACGATGGTCGCCGTGCGTGTTGTTGCGGTGTCGGACTCTTGGCGGAAGACGGTCACTCTGTCACCGCCGATTTCGGTCGTTTCAACGACGTCAATGCTACCCATCTCGTCCGGCATGGGCGCGCCGAGGCGGGCTAGAGGAGTGGCGTTACACACGCTGCACAGGCGCCGGAGTTCGAATTTCGACATGATTTTGACCACAAGGATACCCATCCGGTTGAGGTAGTGCATGGCTAGTTCTCCCACGGTTGCGCCTGCGACGCATACGCGGACACCCGTGTCGTAGATTTCCCGAATGGCGTTTTCGAGCTGTTGTTCCTCGCCTTTGGAGAAGGCCATCATCTCTTTTGCATTTTTCAGGAGAACAGTTCCCTTTGTTTCAGTCTGGGAAATATCGATCGGGCATGAGAAAACAGCGACTTTTGCCTTTTTCGCGCGCTTCACCAACCCCTCGGGTTCGCGACCAAAGACCATGCCCTTGACGACTTGGGAGGAAGAGAGATCTCCGCCCATGATTTTCACCACACGGATGTTGTCAACGTTGAAATTTGCCGGGTTTTTGGGTAGAACTGCCAGCACAGCCTGAGCTATCAACTGCGAAATGAGGTCCTCGGAGCCAGATTGTTTGGACGCAACCACAGTGCGGAGCGCTTTGCTAAGTTGGGCGGCGGAGCGAACATCGGAGACAGTGTCAACTTCCAAGTCTATGGACTCGTTAGTTAGTGATATTTTCTTTTGAGATTGCAACGGATAGCTCCACGGTACCTTCTAAAGATTTGAGCGCATAAGCCTGTGCCTTCTCATACCCAGATACAATATCGCTCGTTTTGAGACCCATTCGTATTAATTCCTCAGCTTTCTTGAGCAACTCTCCAGCCAGTATAATGACCATGTTTGTGCCATCTCCCATCTCCGCCTCTTGCTGTTGACTGGCCATGACCAGTAACTTTGCGGCGGGGTGCACCACCTCCAGTTCACGGAGGATTGTAGCCGCGTCGGAAGTGAGTATCATCTTGGCCAGATGGTTAATGACAATTTTGTTACGGCCATACGGACCGAGGGAGGTTTGAACGGTCTGGGCAATCGTCCTGCATGCATCGATCTGTACACACGAATCAGAAAATGAGTGTCTGAGGGGTGGGAAGGCAGCATACATTTCGAATCACGGCACCATCCTCGGCGTCATAGCTGCTGTAGCCAGGCTTGAATAGCCCCGACTGGGAGGCCTGGGGTATTGCTAAAGACATTGCAGTGACCGGTGAGCGGAAGGTCAAGAAAACTGTGCGGAGGCAGGTTGAGGATGAAATCCGAGTGCAGCGTGACAAAAATTATTGACGTTGCCCCAAGGCTGAATATCTCAGCCTTGCCAAGCTCTGGGTGAGTGGGACATTCGTTCACAACTTGAACTACTTAGATAGTACCTAGGTACCTAATAGGTAGGGAGCGCAACATGTGGCCATTCTGATCCATCAGAAACAGTACAACTGGCAAAGAACAAAGTATGAAAAGTACCGCGACTGTTCAATATGAATGCCACCTCGTTATGCATCTGGATCAGTCGGCTGCCACGCCCCCAAGCCCGACAAGTGGTAGTTTGGCTCCAGCATTCAGACATGGTACACGTTTACCAGCCTTGTTATCACCTTAGTGCATACTAGGTATCGTCTTCGTTTGTCTCGAAACAGATCTAGCCTATGCACTTCATGTGGATGTTTTTGAGCCACGCAAATCCCCGACTCACGGTGCCGTTACCGTTACTACCAGTTGTAACACGGATTAGCCCGCTAAGGGCCAGTTCCCTATCGGCCACCACCCTCCCTTTTGATCTCTAGGGCCTTTTCTACCTGCCTTGCCCTTACAGAGATAACCATGTTCTATACTCATCAAAAGTCCACTTGAAAGTGGTCGGCAGCCCGAGGGTTGTGACAGCATCAGGTACTTCAAAATGCCATCCGCCACGCAGCCCTTTGTGCTGTCCCAGGCGACGCAAGAAGTGCTTAACGACTACGATGAACATGTTGCTGGTGGTTTCGCACCCCTTCCCGTAGGACACAATCTGCTCATTGATACGAAGCAAGCACACTCATATGCCGGCAGGTGGCGGTTGCCAAAGCCAACAATGCTACCGTCTGGGATGTCGATGGAAAACAATACCTGGACTTTGTATGAGGCGCCAGCTGTGTGATCTATAAATGGGAAGGTGATCACTGACTATTCCGCAAGTTGAGCATGTTTTCAGTGGTGAACATGGGACATGGACATCCACGCATTGTCTCGGCCGCCATAAACGCCATGAAAGATGCAGCATGTGTCAACATTGCATTCCTCAACCCACTATATGGCCGATTGGCCAAACGACTTTACGAGGTGAGAAAATCGTTGCCACCCAGTCTCACCTCCTCAGGCTGACTAACATGCCATATACAGGTATTTGGCTACGACAAATTTGTAGGCATGACCAGCGGGTCCGAGGCGGTGGACGCGGCAGTGAAGGTTGCCAGGAAATGGGCCTATTGTGTCAAAGGAATTCGAGATGGGAGCTGTCACATCCTCACAGCAACGGCGTGCTATCATGGCGTATCAATGTCGACGGTGTCTTTAGCCAGCAAGAAAGCTGACCGTAAGTGACCGCCTGGCCCTGACAACCTAGCGATTCTTGACTTACTATACAGATTCAGACTTCAGCCAATACCTCCCCAATGTCGGATCAACAGCACCGAGTGGAAGGTTAGTGCGCTATGGAGTGATTGAGGATGTCCGGAAAGCCCTGACTGAAGATGGCGCGAAGATTGGTGCGTTTATGATCGAGCCTATACAGGGCTCAGCAGGGTGAGTGTGTGTCCTCGACACAGCACAATATAGTCTGGTTTATCATGAGGTTGACGGCGCATAACAGTATCATTGTCCCACCAAAGGGCTATATTGCCGAAGTCGCAGCACTATGCAGAGAACACAATGTACTGTTCATCGCGGATGAGATCCAGACTGGCTTTGGCAGAACTGGGTTCAACTTGTGCCACCAGCGAGATGGTGTCAAAGCAGATCTGGTGGTGTTAGGGAAAGCCTTGTCCGGTGGTCTCTATCCTATGTCTGGCGTTATGGGGTCTTCGCGCATAATGAATATTATCTCACCTTACGAGTAAGTCTTGTCCTGTTCTTTGTCGGCTCAGGCTAGTTCTATCTGGCTCACGTGAACAATAGAATTGGCACGACAATGGCAAACAACCCTCCCGGGTGCGCCGCAGCTTTAGCTGCGCTGGACATTCTTGAGGAAGAGAAACTCTCGGACCGGGCAAATGACTTGGGCGAGCTCCTACTGGAGAAGCTACGATCATTCAATCTTCCTCATGTGATTGAGTTTTCGGGCAGCGGCTTGTTCATTGCTGTGGCCATTGAGCAGAAGCCGCCCAAGGTTACGGGACGGAGGATCACAGCTTTACTGGCGCACAGAGGCGTCCTCGCCAGCGCTACTGGCATGGGTGACCGGATCAGGTTCTGCCCGCCATTGACGATCAGTGAAGAGGACCTTTTAAGGGGTGCGGATATCATTGCCACGGCGTTTGCAGACGTCGAAGATGTTGGCAAAATACCCGGCGAGATAGTTCTCTAGCTACATATCTGCTCGTAATTGATTTCTCCAGTCACTACAGTAAGACGTGGCCACAGCATTGGACGCGAGTAAAGTTCATATTGGACTATACCATAATACTAGTATGTCCACATTTTTGTGATGGAAATCGTTACGGTAACGATGCCCTTACACTTTAATTTTATCAGCCGACATTTCCCCCTCCCTGTGATAAAAATACAAAGTCTTCGTGGCCAGAGTACCCAGATCGTCTGCGAGTCCCCGGAAAGAAAGATTCAGAAGAGTCACTAGTGGAGGATCTACCAATCTATACGCATATAGCACTTCTTGGATAGAACAGGTCTTCGCCTACTAGCCTACAAGTTGTCGTCCACTTACTTGCTCAAGGTCTTTTATCTTACCACGAGGGTCACTACTAGATACTGCCCGAAGGGTGCTCGATACTTCCGTCCTTCGCTATCCGGGACTAAATCGCCTCGACAGGTAGGGTAAGATGGAAATCATGCGCACTGATGCAGCGGCCGACCCTGGGCTTCCTCGAAACCCGTGACAAACTTACCTACGCCGCAGAAAGATGGGAAGCAGTTCTGCGCAGTATCGACCAAGTTTTGGTTCCACCGGCGACTCCGTCAAGAGCTCTGATGGGTATTCCGTGCTTGTGTACTTGGAGTACACAACTGATGGGCAGTGTTTGCAGATGACCGGATCGTATGTCATTCATTTCATGGTTAGGAGTGTTATCGTTAAAATTACCGTCTACGATCTGTGCAGCGGCTTGGGACTCTACGTCCAACTGGATCGGGAGACTGTTGTCTTTCTTCATCACGCCATTCACCAATGGATCACTGCTAATGATGTTTACCCTCATAACAGCCAACTTCACCGGCCACACCAAGAGATCCGTAGCCACCTCGCTCATATTCGTCGGTTACTGTATCGGATTCATCATCGAGCCTAGTTCTTCCTCACCTCGGAAGCTCCAGAGTACCTCACTGGTTTCACGACTATAGCCGTCATTTTGTCGTTTCATCCTTGGCTCTGCTCGTTTACTTCACTTATGCGAGGTATCTGAACAGGCAGAAGACGGTCTTTTGGAAGAGAGCAGCGAAGTGAACGTCCACACTGAGAACGGGAAGTTCCTGCATTTTGCTGACAAGCAACGATTGCACTTCTTTACGCGATGTAGACGGGATTAGCGAGAGAGTGGTAGTCAGGTTTATTTGTAGGGTCAAGGAAGCTGTTGGACCTGGTGAAGCCAGGCTGAGCATCTTATTGTCAAAGGTTGGTTGTGACCTGGCCCTCGAGAACAGGGGCTCGTTCCTGCAGTTCACAGAGACCCGTATCATAACCCAATTCGTCCTCGACGCAGGCTGGAAGCTTATGAGGGAGACATAGTTACAGATCTCTCTGGATTCATGTTAGAATGGATATACGCTGATAGGGGACGGCACCGATGATCGGTAGTTGAAGGAGGCTGGCGTTAGAATAGTAATTCTTCTAGACCTCTTAAGTCTGCTATCCTTGTCCTTCTGCTGCAGTCTCGAGCCGCCGCACGAGCTCAGAGCGCGTCCGCCGTCCAAGGCCATGAGCAAGCCGTTCCCCGAAGGCGAACAGATGGGTTAGCATCGCGCTGTGAACCGAGGTCGTCCAACGAATAGATTCGACAACGGCGAGAACCAGGAAAGGTCTAGCGGAAACACTGAAGAGAAGTTGAAGAGAAGTAGAAGAGTGTTCGTAACAAGTGTCCACATCAGGGAGTGCTGGGAGGGAAGCCGATGTCATTCGTTGAGGAGGCTCTTCGTGAAGTGGCAGGTATAATGGAAAGAGAAGGGCAGCGGCAGCCCACTTTCAAGACACCGGAAAAAAGAAATCTACTCGATCATCGACGCAGGATTCACACCTAGCGCAAGATCAGAGACCCGTTTTCGAAGTGAAGCAGAGCGGACTACCTACCTAGGTAGCTACGCGAGGAAAGTGAAGGTGAGTGTAGGTGAGTGCAAACTGTGAGAGGGGAAGAGCAGGTGAGCCGCATTTAAAAGCGGCGCGGGGCGCGACGCGGTTCAGGGTCGTTGTACCATAATTAATATTTTGCTTGACAGGCACAAGGGCATGCGCATCCCGTCATCCGAGAAGCCGCTGTCCTCGAACTTGTCAATGTTGATGCTTGTGGTGATTGCGACGGTATTGTCATGACAATGAATACTCGTACAACTGTGGGACAGTCTCCGAAAGTTCGCAATCATGGCCGGACCACGCTCCGACGACAGCAAAGAATGTGACCTTGATTTGATCGCTGCGGAGGAGACGGGTGATATCTCTTCAAGGTAATGGTCGCGACTTGAGGTGCCTGGCTTTGCTAACATCTGAACCGTAGACCGCCCAATTTGCTGGGCTCAGGCACAGCAGCTCGTCCTATAAGCCCTTTCCCTCATCCGCTGTCGCAGGTGAACAAGACTCCCTCGCCCTTAACATCCTCACGTCTCCCTGCCAATGGGGACGCAGGCGAGACCAGTGCCACCGTTGAGAGGGTTGACTTTTACAACTCCGAAAACGTCGGCCAGAAGGATGACAGCCCACTGGACTGGTATGTCGAGGGGCCGGGTAGGCGAGTGGGCTACGACGACCTCACTGCTATCGATTGGATTTATGAGTATACAAAAGAGCGACAACGACTGAGAAAGTTTCTGGCACATCATACGGGCCTCGTTGGAAATCTCAGGCTGTTACTCGACGCCAGTCACGTTTGGTTCGTGCTCGTTGCGAGCGGAATCTCCGTGGGGTGCGTAGCAGCTTTCATCAACATCGCCTCAGACTGGCTGGGCGATATCAAGACAGGCTATTGCAAGAAAGGAGTCGGCGGTGGAGACTTCTACCTGAACAAGCAGTTCTGTTGCTGGGGTCACGATGAATTTGCTCAATGTCAAGATTGGACCCCGTGGCCTGCGGCCTTGGGTATCAGAGCCAGGGCCGGTCAGTTCGTGATGGGCTATATCTTCTTCATTGTCTTTTCTATACTGTTTGCGTTTTCAGCGGCGACACTCGTTAAACATTACTCGATATATGCTCAACACAGCGGTATAGCCGAAATCAAGACCCTCCTGGGTGGGTTCGTCATCAGAAGATTTCTCGGCACATGGACTCTGATCACGAAGTCTTTTGGCTTAGTGAGTTCCTTCCTAGATTTGCCCGGAGCTGAGCTGACTTGGACAGATCCTCGCCGTCTCTTCGGGCATGTGGCTTGGTAAAGAAGGCCCCTTCGTCCATCTGGCTTGCTGCTGTGCCAATATCATCATGAAGCCATTCGAATCATTGAGCCAGAACGAAGCTCGAAAGCGAGAAGTGCTATCCGCCGCAGCTGCGTCTGGTATCTCAGTTGCCTTTGGTGCACCAATTGGTGGTGTCCTGTTCTCGCTCGAGCAATTGGCCTACTACTTCCCGGACAAGACTATGTGGCAATCGTTTGTTTGTGCGATGGTGGCAGCAGTGACACTACAAGCTTTGAATCCTTTCCATACTGGGAAAATTGTCCTCTACCAAGTCACCTACACGACGGGGTGGCACAGCTTTGAACTTGCGCCGTTCATTCTCCTTGGCATTATCGGCGGAATATATGGTGGAATGTTCATCAAACTGAACATGTTGGTGGCACGAGTGCGTAGGTCTGCAAGCTATCCGTTTCGCAACAGGCCACTGCTGGAAATCCTGGTTGTTTCCGCCATCTCTGCAGTCATCAACTATCCGAACCTCTTCATGCGGGCCCAATTGTCTGAGTTGGTGTATTATCTGTTTGCAGAGTGTGCCACCATTGGGAACAACGACATCTTTGGCCTCTGTCGTGCCACAACTGCCGGAGCTCTGTCCATGGCATGGCTTTTGGTTGCTGCTTCATTGCTGGGTTTCTTGCTGGCGAGCATTACCTTTGGCCTGCAAATTCCGGCCGGGATCATCCTCCCTTCTCTGGCAATTGGCGCACTCTATGGCAGAACACTTGGTGTGGTTGTTGAGCTGATACATAAACATTTCTCAACATCCTTGTTGTTCGCTGCTTGCGAACCTGATGTGCCCTGTGTTACTCCGGGCACGTACGCTATCGTTGGCGCTGCTTCAGCACTGGCTGGGGTTACAAGAATGACCGTGTCCATCGTCGTTATCATGTTTGAACTAACCGGCGCCCTGACTTACGTCTTGCCAATCATGATTGCGGTCATGCTTGCAAAATGGATAGGAGATGTCTTCTCCACGCGAGGCATCTATGAGTCTTGGATTCAATTCAACGAATACCCATATCTCGAAAACAAGGACGACGCAACCATGCCTCATGTCCTCGTTTCCAGTCTCATGACCAGGGTGGAGGAAATGAGGTGCCTAGATGCCAACAGGTCTTATACAGTCGAAAACTTACAAAACATCCTGCGAACAACATCTTATCGCGGTTTCCCGGTGGTCGCGTTCAGGAAGCCAGTAGGCGATGTCGCTGAAACAGGTTCAAACCGGCAATATCCGCGCGAGAACACTCTTCTAGGGTACATCTCTCGCGTTGAACTGGCGTTCGCGCTGGAGCGGTTGACACATCCTAGCAGTCACCAGTCCAGACCTGGAGCTGAAACGATTGTTGATTCAAGAACGCCCTGTTATTTCACCTACCATCCCGACATTGCATCAGGTTCTGGAATCGACCTGCGGCCATGGATGGATCAGACACCCATCACGCTAAACGCGAACAGCTCACTTCAACTAGCGGTGCACATGTTCCAGAAACTTGGGCTTCGATACCTCCTTTTCGTTGAGCGTGGCGCTTTCAGAGGCATGCTCACCAAAAAGGACGTTTGGTGGATCTTGTCCGCATCGGCAGACGGACGCAAGACTGGAGGGTTTGTTGCCGATGCAGAAACCGTTCGAGACTCTGCTCTGGAGGACGAGGAAGAGTCCGAGGAAGCGAGAGGCCTTCTCCAGGCCAGCTCAGGGGATCCAGATCAAAGAAGGCCAACTTAATCAAAATTTCGTCTGCCAGAGTGGAACCTCCACTTTTGCCTTTTTCACAGGACGCACGAGAAACCATCGAAGTCAACGGTTGACCTAAATTCGAGGTTCGGACGCCTTGCAGACTGAAATGCCGGGATCACCGGGAAAAGTCGTCCGGCAGAAGCTATAGTCGAACGCGTGATCCTTGTTGGATGTTGCCCGTACCAGCTACCAGCTACGAGCCCAAAACGGGGCATGTCTTCTCAGGAGTCTGGCCCAAAGCATCTATCTGACAGTAATTAGGATGGAGCCACGGTGCAACTTTCTCCTTGCACAATCTCCTGAAACAGTCAAACGCGGCCTCTCTTGTATGCACAAAGTTGCCGCTTTGGGAGGCTTGTCAGTAGACTGCAATAGTCCGCAGAGGACCCTGCGGAAACGGCCAGAAGCCCAGCTGATCACCCGCTCCCTAGAAAGTCTGGAATATCGCTTAGAAAGACAATTGCCCACGCTACATCTGGCGTGCCTCTAGCAACTCCTCTAGGTTGTGTTTTGGCGAGCTTTAAAGCTCTGACAACAAGACTACCACGAGGCGAAGACGCAATATATTATCGTCTTCGGCCGCAAAAAAAAGGGGCAGTCCATAATTGGCCGTTTTCCACGGACTGGGTCTCCTTACCTACGGGAAAATCAGGGCGGGCATGAGAAAACTGGGTACGACTATGCGCTTGCGATGAGCCGAGCCTCGCGCTCTACCTACATAGGTACCCAGGTACCAATGCTCCTCCTGACGGGCCCCTTTCCCGCAACCGAAATGATCAGCAGCAACGTGTCAGTTCACATGTGTTCAAGAAGCGAAACATGCCGGATTGGCATTTCAATGCGCGTTGAAGCGATAACGGCAAACTAATGCTCACGCAGTAAACTTCTCACACGCTCCATGACTAACGACATACTTATTCCCCTAAAGTCTGCAATTGATAAATTAGTCTGCTCTGGCCCCAAACTCAGGTCCCTTGAAGACTGACTCGGAGCTGCCGGGTCGAGTAAAAGCATGGTAAAGATTTCGAATCTTCTGCAAGGCGGCCGACCCAGAACGGGCCATGATCGTCGCGCGCCACGAGGTTCTAAGCGAACATCCACTTGTGCACTGGTGGAAAAGGGCACGACACGGCGAGGACGGGGCACTGTTGAACCTCGATGGTACCAAAAGAAAACTCCTACTGGTGCCACCACTGCTCTTTGTAGTAATCGCTAACCGGCGGCTAAGAGCGTGCGGACTCGTGCCTACTGAATCTGTCTCGACTTGCTGGTTCCTCGAGTCGTAAAGATGACAAGGGCCTTGATTCTTTATCCAACCTGATGGAATTTCCAACCGATACAACGGAACTCGTTCGCTCTGTCGCCGTCAGATCTTCTATTGCACGGCTGCCGGAGCCTCTGATCAAGGTGCTTATCCACCTCGTTCCTTGCACAAGACTGTGTTCTGGCCGGTAGACTCGAAGACTCAGTGTCCAAAGAAACTCAGATGGCTTCAGGGGCAGAGTTATGACTTCACTGCAGCAGTGCTGAGCTCTCTATCGGCCAATTTGGTGACGATGTCCTGGCTCCAGTTTCATGCTTCGATCTTTCGATCGAGTTGTTCCCTTGGGACCAGTCACCGTTATAGAAGCCAGTCTTGGCCGAGATGGGAAACCACCGTTTCTTGTTACATCACTTCAGCAGTGGAGAGCCATCTCTTCCTGCCGGTGTCGATCTCTGTGGTTTGACGTACAATGGTATAGATGACGAGGGCGATCGGACAACCGTGTTGCAAGTTATTGGTGCGTAGAAGGAGAAACTCTCAGTCGGTAGGATCCACGGGCCCTCCACTCCAGCACGTTGCTGCAGCTGCACACGTTTTTTTTTGGTTATTAGTAGGCAGTCAGGATGTCGGCAGGGCCAGGACAAGAAACTTCTAATCGTTGGTTCCAAAGCTGCGGAGCTCAAGTCGAAGTAAAATGCCCACTTTTCATGCAGGAAGAACGGGGGTTTTCCTCTGAGGCCGACGAAATTCAAGCAGAAATCACCGTGGCGTTGCTCTGCAGGGACATTCGGATTGGTCACCAATCCCTTGGTGTTTGGGTCCCTGCGGCCACTCCAGCAAGCAGCAAATCCGAAATGTGAGAGCTGAACAAAGCGCTGATCGTTGCCGCGAACGAACCCCAAGCTCTGAACCTCTGCGATGCGTCGCCTTCCACAATCAACAGGTCTGATACGAGCCCAAACGCCACATCCCACCCTGCCTTCTCAGAGCCTGCGAGCATCCGAAATAGCCCTTGTGGAAGCTGCGTACTCTTACTACTGTGCCTCCTCACACAGTTGAGTGATTCAGGGGTTAAAACTGTACGTCGTACCGAGAACAACTTCTCGCAAAAGTCATGCCACCTATCTCGCTTACAGGTACAGAGTGCAAGTTGTACGAGTATGTGCAATCTGAAACGAACTGCTCAGGTACTATAGTTCTATCTAACCATGCCGGCAGTTTGAGGGGATCAAACCCTTTACCCTAGTCTCTCGCTTGGGCGTTTGGATTGGGGAAGGTGATGAAAAGCTATCTTGGATGCTAGTCAGCTTCCCCGGGCGACCTAACCCTGGAGTGCGCGGCGGCACCAATAGTGAGGGAAGTTTAGGACCCAAAGCCATGGAAGGGAGCCGAATGCACCAGTGCTCTCCCTGGACGGAGCACCTACGAGTACCGAGTACGTTTCTTGCCCTTCAAGTCTCACTCACTGGTGAGTGGTACGTAATTTGCTGACAGTGGCAACAGTCGCTCGCACACTTGAAAGCTGCTGGCCCGGGCTACTATCGTCCGCGTAGGTATGTACTTGTTTGAAAGAAGGCAAGTACGCACACAACAGTTCAAGAGACGATGCCAGACCGTTGAATCCTTCTGCGCCTTGAAGAGGACCGTAAAAGTCCTTCGCATCGGCTGTCTGCGCCACATGACGAGGTTCTCTGGGTACAATGATGGGCAAATCAGCCGAGCTTCAGTACGAATGCCATTGGCATGACATGGCTCGCATCAACAATCCGTTTTGAATGGACACACAACCAGCGACGACATGGCAAATAAGTTGGTACCTGAACCAGCCGGATACTTTAGGAAAAGATCCCCGGGGCAGGGTATGCGATAGTGTGGTCGCAGTCGTCGGGTCCTTATGTATAACTCTCTGGTTGTCGTGGGGCCAATATGGCAGTGGTCATTGATGGCTTTGAAGCCATGCAGGTCCCCCTGGCAGTGACACCTTATCAACATGGGCTCCCCTGTTTCGCCTATGATGATGATTGACCCGAGTGCCTCCTGAAGTCGTCTGCGGTTGAATGTTGAGGACACAAGCCACCCTTTCTTGGGCTGCTTGCAGCGACCCCCAGCCGCTTGGTTGTCCTCGCGGATGACGGCATGATGACACAGGACTATCGAGATGGCTAGTGTTTATACCGCGCAGATTCACCCTCCTAAGAACAGGATAGGACCGTGGCGGCGGACATAACATTGCAGAATACCCAAAGTTCCTGGCTGGCTCTAGGCAACTTTCCCAGATATTGTTACCTAGAAATCCGACCAAGCCATCGCCCTGGCTTTATCTAGTTCGGGGATTTCATGTGACGGATCAACGAGATTTTTGTCTTTGCAGGAGACAAGATTGAAGTGTCGACCATGAGGGCACAGATTTCCTTCAAGGCTTCCTTTCGGCCTTCAATTCAGCAGGAAGGTGGAAGAGATGTACATACTGCGTACACACGAGCCATCGCTTAATCCTCTGCAAGTCAAGATCTAGCTCTGTCGATCAGTCGTTCCAAGAGGTACAGGTAGGTGCGAAGGAACGTGGTTTGAGATCATATTAGCTTTTCGTCACGACACGGGAAATTTCGATAAAACTGGAAAGGATGATGCCGATGCCCAAGGGACTCTTTTTCCTTCGCCGTGCTCCACCCACCCAAAAGGCGTCTGCTATTGTTGTTGGCCAGCATGGTCGACCGTTGGGCGATGGGCGTGGTACCTTACATCTGGCGAGTCCATTGTTCCTAGATCCTGGCGGCATGGTGCAAGGTTTCCGTTATGTTTCTACCAATTGGCCCCCGTTGACAATGCCTGCGTCGCCAGAGCCACAAATGGGTTGTTCCATGTACTCTATACCTACATATATCGAGTCTGTTCCTTGTGGGCACAACTTTCCGAGCCCTGCTTGATCTGTCACGGGGGTTGTCCGTGACATGAGTTCCTGCGGCCGCGGGGCCTCTTTGACAGGAGCCACAGCCCACAGGGTGTCAAATCCCGAGGCTATCCAGGCTTGGGTTCCGACGCGTTGTTTCTGGGGAGGTCTTGGAGGGCTCGAAGGTGAAGGGCAGGCCCGGATATGCGAGCTTGGGACTTCAGGTAACGTTGCTGGACATTTCCCCTTGGTGCTTTACCTAGCAAGGAAACCCTTGACGCAGATCACTGCTGCAGCACGACGCCCCCAGAGACAGCCCTCGAATGGCCGGCAGCTGCTTGGTAGAGACGTGCGTCGCCCCGCCAGGGACGGGATACCATGCGGCATTAGCACCTTTGGCATCCTCCGATGGCCCCTCTTGATGGCTTCCTAAGGGGTTGCCTGGGTCTGTCTGTTTTCTGGGTCTAGGTACCTAGGCAAAAGCGCCTAATGCCGGCTCCACGGCGCCGGCTTGGAGTCTTTCCTACAGCGGCATGGCTCGAAGCGCTCGGTGCAACACCATCTCCATGCCCGGGGCTTGTACGGAGTAGGGAGCAGGCGCAAGGGCTCTAGATGGTCTCGCTCGACCATGGGCGTTGAGATTCTCCACCGGCGCACGGTTACAAGGCCCCAGCCTGGCAAACTTGTCTTTACATGACATCCGCCGTCAAAAAGCAAGGCTCCACACAGCGTTGCGCCATGGGATTCCCCCACCGCGCCGGTCCAAATGGCCAGAATCGATCGTGCCTCACGGTCTCAAATGCTAAGGCGCTCGTGGTACACTGATGACAGTGCCCCCACAGAGCCAGTTTGACCTTGTCGGAGAGAAAGAAGCAGCATCCACCAATTTGCAGTTGGCCAAATGTTACTTCCCTCCAGGTCCCCCAAGCAGCAATCCAAGTGCAATACTATACTCTAGCCATTGTAACCTGCTTCCATTCTCATATCCCCGTCTCCCGAGTGCCCACTGAGGAAACAAATTTGAAAGGCCTCCACGTGGTAACCGATCTCCCCTAGTTCTCTCAGGATCTTCCCTCTTGATGAAATTGGTCTTACGCTAGAGGGAGAGCACTGCCAGTCGGGCATCTCTTTTCCATGACCAAACACGATCGCTCCTACTCCAGCGCCGAGGTGTCCAGAGAGACCACCGAGAACCTCTACGAGTTGGGACTTCTCAATCGTCCTCGATCAAGGTCTCGGACAAGCACAAACGATCCGAAACCGGCCCACTGTAAGAGTTCCAGCAATATTCCTTCTTTTGCGGCCGCTGCGACTCCCTTCTCCAGTCTTGTCTTCCACAGACGTTTCTGTTCCAGCGTAACAAGGCGAGGAAACGATAGAACTGACTCATGGTTTTGTACTTCCCAGACCAGGTCTCGCGAGCCCGACACGACGGGTACCCTCCTCGCGCGGCTTCATCCCTGGGCGGTGCCTCCCATACTGCTGCGACCTTCAAACAATCTAGTATTTCTTCTGGCACATTGGGTAGACCGCATACCCCGAACGAGCATCGTCCGCGTACGAGGGACCAGCGACCTCCTCCTTCCCCCACGACAAGCGTCCCAGGAGCCGGGCATCCCATGGCCGGCATGCTCGACTCGGACCGCTCACGTTCACGACGAGAAAGGACGTTTGTTGGAGGGGAATGCGCCGCTTGTGAAGAGCCTCTGGAGCATACACTGAGGGGGGAGAGGGTCTTGCAATTTTCCTGTGGCCACGTCGCCCACGAGGCTTGCTTCTACGAATACATTCGCGACTCGGATTCCCAATATTGCCCAACATGCGACGCTCCCTTGAGTCTGGATTCCTTCCGGGGAGGCAGCATCCTGGATTTGTGTAGGTGCCTCCTTTCCGGTCTATTAGATCACTCCTGACCGCGTTCACAGCCAAGTTGAGTAATATGGTCCGAGCCGTCGCTTCCAAAGATGTATCTTCACCAAGGAGCTCGCAAAACACACCCATGCCGTGGGAGGCCGCCGGCAGGCAAGTTGTCCAGGATGACTCCTACAGCTCACAGGCCATGAGCGAGAGACTCAGCCGCGAGAACCCTAACCGTGACAGTCGAGACAGCCAAAGAATGCGCATCGAACGCCTCGGCATCGGCCATAATGGCTTCCACGGATCTCAGACCCATTCACGCAATGACAGCGGCAATGCCTCGTCAACCGACTACGCCAATGACCATGCCGGTCACCCACGAAAGCATGATTATGATCTCCACGCCATGGAAACGAGTGTCCCAGGAACTCAGACCAAAGATATGAAGCAACCCATCCCAGTTCCCATTGTTACAGTTCGCAGTGAGTATCCGACCTTGACTCGGTCACGTCAGCAGCAGACCGTGACGTGTCTCGTTACTATTGAAGTCCCCGAGGGGAAATTCCATAGTCAACTGGAGGAAATACAGCATACGCCACCAGTACCTCCCCTTCCCAGCGACTCTGGCGTCGGTATTCCATCTATGCACAAGCGTCAAGAAATTCAGCAGCCACCTCTCGTGTACGAATCGTCAGAGATCCTTGACGAAATCACCGAAGAACTTAGGATGCGTGTGGATAACTGGCATGGGCTTGAGTTTCAGAGATTTGGAAAACTACGCCTGCACAGTGTCATCAGAGTTGGCAAGGACCGTCACTCATGGCAGGAGCTTGAGTGCTACCTGTTCGGGGAGATGCTCATCTGTGTGAAGGAGAAGAAGAACGCTCAGCCTCCATTGGTCACGGAATCTGGCCGCAAACTGACGAGATGTACCTTGAAAGGCTCTATTCTGATCAAGAAACACTTGCGGCAGGTACATGCGTCTCCAGACGAGTGTATCTTGACGTTGAATCTGTCTGTGGCAGAGCTGCCAACCTTCCATCTTTTGTTCCAGGACCGAGACAAGCTGGAAATCTGGCAACGAGCCTTGCGAGACCTACATGCCACCGAACCCTCTCCCCGTTTCAACCAAGACTACGAGCCAGATACCTCGGGCACGGATGAGGAAGAATACGGCCGGCAGAACCAAAAGGTCCGACGCGTACCCTCTGTTGCGTCGTCCTACGGAGGACCAAGGTCAGCCACCACTGCAGCGACGGAATATTCTACCTCAAAGAACGGGTTCGACAAGCGAATTTCTCCGTCACTGCACGTCCCAATCGACATTGTCGTTGTCATTCCAGTTTCGTCCTCGATGCAAGGTCTAAAAATTACCTTATTGAGGGATACACTACGCTTCCTTGTACACAACTTGGGCGACCGAGACCGGATGGGTCTCGTCACCTTTGGTTCTAGCGGCGGAGGAGTCCCGGTCGTGGGAATGACCACCAAGACATGGGGTGGATGGAACAAAGTGCTTAATTCGATCCGGCCAGTTGGACAGAAGAGTTTGCGGGCGGACGTGGTTGATGGTGCCAATGTGGCAATGGATCTCTTGATGCAGCGCAAGGCCGCAAATCCGATCTCGACGATCCTCCTGATCAGCGATTCCTCAACTTCGGAGATGGAAGGCGTGGATTTCGTTGTTCAGAGAGCCGAAGCTGCAAAGTATGTCCTCTGCCGTCCCTTGTTCCTACATCTACTAACTGCCACAGGGTCGGTATTTACTCCTTTGGCCTTGGGCTTACCCATAAGCCAGAAAGTATGCTCGAGCTGTCGAATCGGACAAAAGCATCGTATCTCTACGTGAAAGACTGGATGATGCTTCGGGAATGTGCCGGCGGCGTCCTGGGCGCCCTTCAATCGATATCTCACCAGAACGTAAAGCTCAAGCTCAGGTTGCCTGAAGGATCCCCGGCTAAATTTGTCAAAATCAATGGTGCTCTCCAGACGACTAAGAGAGCGACCGGTCGGGATGCTGAAGCAAGCTTGGGAGATCTCCATTTTGGCGACAAACGCGATGTACTTGTGCAGCTGGTGATCGACCCAGACACTTCGACGTCGGAGCCTGCGCCTCAGGATGCTTGGGAATCGATAGTGTCTGGTCTCGAAGCTCTGGGGGGCTCCCTTGATAATGATGACCAGAGGGTTCAAAGCGTGGAGGAATTACCACTGCTCCAGGCGGATCTCTCGTTTGGCGATCTGCACCGAGAAGGCTCCATCGTCCAATTACCCCGGCCATCACTGCTTACCATCACCATGTTACCCTCGAATCGCCGCTCGCGTCAGAACGGAAGGCCACCAACACCTCCCATTCCTCCCCATCCCTCCATCGTTCAAAGGCGCATGGAGTTGTTAACGTCCGACATGCTGAGTCGCGCCCTTACTCTTGTCCAGCGTGGCCAACACGAACGCGCACATCATCTGCTAAATGAAACAAGGACCATTCTCAAAGGGTTGGGGAAAGGTGGTCTCCCACCACTACCGCCGGGTGCCGCCCACCCCGTCAATAAACGCCACAGCCCGCAGTCCAAGGCAGGGAGTCCAAGAGCTGCCACGCCGGACCACGCGCGCGATCACAGCCCCCATTCAGACGCCAGCACTCCTATTCCCCGCTCGACCAATGTCGATCACACCATCATGAATGCACTCGACGCCGATATCGAAGCCAGCCTTGAGTGGATCAACCACCCTGCCGTCTTCTCACGGGACTCTCGCAAAGCAGTCCTCCAGGCAATGGGAGTGATCTCATCACAACGGGCCTATACATTTAGAACTGCATCCGAATCCTTGTGGGCGGAACGAGTTGCCGGGGTCAAGAGGCTTACGGAGCAGTCGAGGGAATGGAGAGAGACAGGCGACGACGCTCTGACTGAAGAGTAATGAAGCCTCACGATATGATTCTATGTACAAATTCGTCCCATATGTGCATGTATATTTTCTTGATTATGTTGCTTGTTCTAAGATCAGCGAAGAAAGAACCCTCTGTGTGCAGCTAAAGGGCTTGCTACAGCACTCGAAAAGTTGAGCGGTTCGATGTGTTTTTGAGATATTATACCCTACTGTAACAGAAGCGGCTTGATGATAGCAGTCGATGTGAACATTCCATAGATTACGCCCTGTTCAGTGAATAGAACTGCAACTGTCAGATCCTTTGCCTTGGTACATAGGTATCGAATTGAAATCTGATAGACATGCTCGATGGATAGATCTGGTGCTCTTTGCGTGCTGATTGGTCGATGCAGGTGCCAGCCTTGTCCAGCCTCGCGCCACCCGAAATTTTTGCTGGCCACTCGCTGCCTCGCCAAGAAACAGGGCTTGAGAATTCCCTTCCATCGACAACCATCCTCTGTTGCATTTGCCCTCCTTGGATCTTTGTGATAGGAAGCAGGGGGAGATACTATTGCAGCATCCGGCTTCACCATGGAAGACATAGCAGTATACTGCTCATGGGCCGATGTGCAACTGGGCGCAAACCACTCTTTTCTCACAGAACTTCCGACGGAAATCCGATCACTCATTATCAGGTCAACAGCGTCTCAGTATCTACAGTCCCTTGCCGATGTCGTTCGAGATGCTCGATACACAGACGCCCTCTTCCCGCTTTACAAACCTCTCTTGCCCGAGCTGCTCGCCAGGTGGTCGAGTCCCACTCGCACCACTGATCTGAAGGACACTATCACCACCATTTCATGTCTGGCTCGGATTCTGCCCCTTGCTACGTATCTGCGGCCTCATGCCACGGAACTTCTTCGATTGGGCCGCTTAAGGCATCTTCTGACGGATCTAGCAAGCGCTTCCTCTGAGCTCCAAGATGATGTCCAACATTCACTTCTGCTCGCTGTTTTCCGCCTCCTCTCCCTTGACCGACGCATGCTCGCCAGTATCGTTACTCCTGTCTTTTTGTCGTCCTTTTTGCGTCATCGCGCATTGCCGGTCAGATACTTGGCTGTCCAGTGTCTATGTATAATCATGCACTTTGCCGATGCGTTCTCCGAGACAATGGTCAAGACATATGTGGGTAACGATGCCATATGGGGCGAGTGGGAGGGTCGGAGGATTGATTATCGACTGCTGAAGCTTTGGGAAGAGAGGCGCTGGAAGAATCTGGTCCGCGCACTGGCAAGCGTTGAGAAGTCCTGGCAATCGTCCCCGCTGTCGCCAACGAAACCTCGCAACCTGCTTACTGAAAGTTTCTCACCGCGTGTCGTCGATATTGGTGGCGTTCTTCACTTGCCCTTGGACGACCACACTCCAAGTTCCTCTGCTTCCACTTTCGTTCTGACAGCCACGGCGAAGCACAATTTACGGCGGCTCGGCGAGTGTCTGTTAGATTCGAGACCAATCCTCATCTCGGGCCAGGCTAGTTCCGGAAAGACCTCCTTGGTTCACGAGGCGGCCAGGCTTCTAAATCAGTCTTCATCGATGATTACATTACACCTCAACGAACAATCTGACGCTAAGAGTCTATTGGGAATCCACACATCTTCCGCCGATGGCAAATCTTTCACCTGGCAGCCCGGTGTTTTGACAAAGGCTATGCAACAGGGACGATGGGTTCTGATTGAAGATATTGATCGGGTACCTGGCGAGGTAATGGGAGTGCTGCGTCCGATCCTTGAGAATGGCGACCTCTTCCTGCCTAGTCGTAATGAAAAAATATGCCCGAAGGATGGTTTTCGCATGTTGGCAACTGTTGAATCAACCGGGCAGACTTCTCTCATTACAAATTCTCGCCAGTCGTGGTTACTCAATCCTCGACCCTGGAGCACTGTCGAAGCGGCCAACTATCCGCCTGAAGAGATTGAAGCGTTACTTTATTCTCGATATCCTAAGGCTAGTGTTTTCATTCCAACAATTCTGCAGGTTCACAGAAATCTTCTTCGACTCCAACAGGAACACCATGCACTAAAAAGACTACAGACACGCATGCCCTCCCTCAGAGACCTACTCAATTTGCTGAGGAGGATAGTTCGCAGATTGGGACGTCACGGCGCCCTTTCAAAATCGGACGCTTTCCCTGAACAGACAAAATTCCACATATTCAAGGATGCTGTCGATTGCTATGCAGGACACTTCGACAAGGAGGAACTCCATGGACTGATAGCCGAGAGTATTGCTTCCGACATGAACATATCGCCCCAGCAGATGCGGTATTGTCTCAATGAAACTTTCGCAACGATCTCTGAAGACAAAGATATGGTGCAGGTTGGGCGAAGCGCTCTTCCAAAAATTACCATTCGCCGTCGACAGGCTAGGAGAGCTCCCTTTGCATTCACCATTTCGGCTGCCAGAACGCTTGACCGTATCGCCGCGTGCGCAGATTGCTCAGAACCGTGCCTTTTGGTTGGTGAAACCGGCGTTGGAAAGACAACTCTGGTGCAACACGTTGCCAACCTCGTAGGCCAGACACTGACTGTTATCAACCTTTCACAACAGAGCGAAGCTGGCGACCTTGTTGGGGGCCTAAAGCCTGTTACCATTCGATCTCTGATTCTGCCAATAGTCGAAAAGTTTAACACCTTGTTCGACGACACCTTCTCTGTGAAAAGGAATGAGAAGTTCCAGATAGCCCTTACTAAGGCATTTGCCAAACAGAACTGGTCGAGACTAATTATTCTGTGGAATGAAGCTATCCAAATGGCGGCGGCCTCTCTTAATTCCACAGGAAATCCTCAGACAAACGGATCTGTCCATGCAAACAAGAAGCGCAAGCTAGACACACCAAGATACGAAGCCCTGCGCACGAGGTGGGCTGATTTCTCTGAAAGTTCGATGCATATTCGTGCTCTTGTGGATCACGGTGGCAAGACGCACACCTTCACTTTCGTTGAAGGCAGGCTGGTGCAAGCAGTCCGAGAGGGCGGATGGGTACTCTTTGATGAAATCAATCTAGCTCCTTCAGACACTCTCGATCATATCGTCAGCCTACTACACAATGGAGATGAACAGAAGCCGTCATTACTTCTTACTGAAGCGGGCAACATTGAGACCATCGTTGCTCATCCGAACTTTCGAGTCTTCGCTGCTATGAACCCGGCCACGGATGCAGGGAAGAAAGACCTCCCGCCTGCCTTGCGATCACGATTTACCGAGCTATATGTTCCCTCTGGTGATAGTGATCTGGAGGATTTGACCAAAATCATTCGAACATATCTTGGATCCCTCCTTGATAATGACAAACGAGCTGCCCTGGATCTTGCGAACTCCTATCTCGAGCTGAAGAAACTCAATCAAGCACACCAGCTTACGGATGGGGCAGGTGAAACGCCGCACTTCAGCATTCGCTCCCTTGTTCGATGTCTGTTATATGTCTCACAACACAGTGCCAGCCATGGCCTGAGACGTGCCATGTACGAGGGGTTTGCAATGAGCTTCTTTACGGTATTGAGCAGAGCAGCAGAAAATTCAGCTTTACCCTTGCTTGAAAAGCACCTGCTCTCAAGTATTAAGAATCGGAAGGCATTCTTCAGCCAGCAACCCAAAGTGCCGCATAACGGAGAGGACTACATTGCTTTTAGACATCACATTGTCAAGAAAGGTCCAGTGATTCCTGACCTCCAACCGCACTATATCAGAACACCCTCTGTTGAACGCAATCTGCTCAACTTGGCTCGCGCTGCCTCCATGCAGCGTTTTCCAATTCTGCTACAAGGTCCGACGTCAGCTGGAAAGACCAGCATGGTGGAATATCTTGCAAAATTGTCAGGCAACAAGTTTGTCAGGATCAACAATCATGAGCACACAGACCTCCAGGAATATCTGGGCAGCTATATGTCAGATACCGATGGCAAACTCGTGTTCCGCGAAGGAGTCTTGGTGGATGCGCTACGTCTTGGGCATTGGATCGTGCTCGACGAATTAAATCTGGCTCCGAGTGATGTGCTCGAAGCCCTAAATCGCTTGCTCGACGATAATAGAGAGCTCCTCATTCCGGAGTCTCAGGAAATCGTGCGACCACATCCCGACTTCATGCTCTTCGCCACGCAGAATCCGGCTGGCCTATATGGGGGCCGGAAGCGGTTGTCTCGAGCTTTCAGAAATCGCTTTCTCGAAATCCACTTTGATGATATTCCTGAAGATGAGCTGGAAATAATACTACGAGAACGGACCCAGATCGCTCCTTCGTTCTGCACCAAAATTGTCGCCGTTTACCAGAAGCTGTCTCTTCTCAGGCAGTCTTCCCGATTGTTCGAACAGCGTAACAGCTTTGCCACACTACGAGATTTGTTTCGATGGGCCTCAAGACCTGTGGATGACTGGCAGCAGTTGGCGCGTCACGGCTTCATGCTCTTGGCTGAGCGAGTAAGAGAACCCGGAGAGCGTGCTGTGGTCAAGAGAATTATTGAGGAGACTCTGAAGGTAGTCATTGATGAAAGTGTTCTGTATGGCATGTCGAAGATCCCGAACACTATCCAGCACCAAGGTTCGATTGTCTGGACTCCTGCAATGAGACGAGTTTTTGTTCTTGTGGCTGAAGCACTAAAGAATAACGAACCGGTTCTCTTGGTCGGCGAAACGGGGTGTGGAAAGACTCAAATCTGCCAGGTGATTGCCGAAGCAACAGGCACTCCAATCGATATCTACAACGCGCATACAAATACCGAGACTGGTGACCTTATTGGATCTCAGCGACCAATTCGTAACCGATCCGAGCTTGTCAACAAAGTACAAGCAAGCTGGCAAGCCTTGATTCACTCCAGGGCTAGCAGTATCTTGACTGAAGATCTGGATGTTGACGGGATTGTGGAGGCTTTCAAAACTTTGGATCGATCGGGTTATGATCCAACACTGGTGGAGCATCTCCGATCTAGCATTGGGGCATATGAGGCTCTGTTTAGTTGGAACGATGGCAGCCTCGTCCGAGCCATGAAAAGGGGCGAGTATTTCTTGTTCGATGAGATTTCTCTGGCCGAAGATTCTGTCCTTGAGCGTCTGAACAGCGTCCTGGAGCCGGCTCGGACAATTCTACTTGCGGAAAAGGGCTCTGTCGACAATCTCGTCGTCGCGCACCCAAGATTTCAATTCCTAGCCACGATGAATCCAGGAGGGGACTACGGGAAGAGGGAGCTGTCGGCAGCACTACGAAATCGGCTGACTGAGATTTGGGTGCCCCCCTTGTCAGAAGAAGCAGATCTCTTGCCCATTGTCCAGCATAAGCTAAGAACAAGGAAGAGTGATCTGGCCAAGAAGATGCTCCGGTTTGCTGCCTGGTTCCGCACGGAGTTCCACAATGCGGCATCGAAGAGCATTGCATTGAGAGATCTGTTGGCCTGGGCAGAGTTTGTCAATCGTGCTGCGTCACTGGGTGAGGAGTCTGCTTTCGTGCACGGGGCGTTCATGGTTTACATCGACGCCATCGGTGCAAACCCAGCCGGAATGACTTCCATGGGCGTAAGAGACTTGAATTGGTCAAGGCAAAAGTGTCTTCATCAGTTACAAGACCTGGTGAGTCTCGATATTTTAGAGAGCTACCAAAGAACTCCCGAGCTCTCGTCTTCCGATGAGCGCCTCCTTGTTGGTCCCTTCTCTCTCCCTCGAATCGAGAGTTTGGTGCCGCAGACGACTGATCTGGTTTTCAACGCTCCAACTACCGCAAAAAATACAATGAGGATCGTTCGCGCTCTGCAAATGACAAGGCCCATCCTGTTAGAGGGCAGCCCTGGTGTAGGCAAGACGGCAATAGTGACTGCGCTTGCCCAAGCTTGTGGGAGAAAGTTCACTCGAATCAATCTGTCTGACCAAACCGACCTTATGGATTTGTTTGGGGCGGATGCTCCCTCCGAAAACGAGGGAGTAGGGAAGTTTTCATGGCAAGACGGACCTTTGCTGAAAGCCATGCAATCCGGCGGATGGGTCCTGCTCGACGAAATGAACCTGGCATCTCAATCTGTTTTAGAAGGGCTGAATGCTTGCTTGGATCACCGTCGGGAAGTGTATATTGCAGAGCTGGATAAGTCTTTCCCCTGTCACCCAGATTTCACCCTTTTTGCTGCCCAAAATCCTCATCATCAAGGCGGAGGACGGAAAGGGCTGCCGGCTTCCTTCGTCAATCGATTCACAGTCGTCTACGCGGACTCTTTCCAGCGCGTTGACTTGGTTCGCATTTGCGAGTCCAGGTTCCCAGAGGTTGATGGCGACCAAATCGAGAACGTGATTAATGCGGCTACGCGCCTGGAACATGTTGTCGCTGAAAGCACAGCTTTTGCGCATGGTGGACCTTGGGAATTGAATCTCCGCGATGTCAACCGATGGCTGCAATTGTGCAAAGAGCAGCCAACTCTTCCCTCACCTTACCATCTCCGTACTATCGTGACGGAGCGTTTTCGCACCCCCATTCAGAGAGACCAGATCCTCAAGGCAGCCGAATCGAGCTCCACTTCCACAGCGCCCGAAAGCTTTTACAACAACTTAAATGAAACCCTTCTTCAGGTTGGCAACGCGTTTTTAATCAGGGATTCCGTTTTGCAAAACACCGAGGCGCCGCACACAACTCCCTCTGTGCGACAACTTCCCGCCTCAAATTCTATCATTACAGCTGTCAAACAGAACTGGCCTGTGATACTGGCTGGTCCTTCAGGTTCCGGAAAGACAACTCTCATTCGATATCTTGCGGCAGCAGCAGGAGTGGAGCTCGTCGAGTTTTCAATGAATTCCGACGTGGATACAATAGACCTCTTGGGGGGTTTCGACCAATACGATGTCCGTCGCGACGTCAGCAAGGTCCGGATCAAAGCACGAGAAGTTCTTCGAGAACAAATAGCAGCGTCTTTGGGAACTATAGCCAGTGAAACACGCCAGATTCAACTGCTGAGGCTATGGCAATCGTTCGAAGACGATGGGGTAGAAATATCTGATCTTCGGGTAGCGATCTCAGGTCTACTTTCTGTTTTCCCGGAATTCCGAAGGAAATTCGAAATGATTGCAACGATACTTGATCCAAGTGACCAGCAAAGCTTCCGGTTCGTCTGGAATGATGGCATTCTCGTCGATGCTGTGGAGAAGGGTTCGTGGTTGTTGCTCGAAAACGCCAATTTGTGCAATCCATCTGTCTTGGACAGGCTGAATTCATTGCTCGAACCAGGTGGATCACTTGTCATCAGCGAGCAACATAGCGGGAGCACCGGGACGAGAATAATCGAGCCGCATCCGAATTTCAGGATATTCCTGACGATGGACCCGCGCTACGGAGAGCTCTCCAGGGCCATGAGGAATCGATCACTCGAGATCTTTATTTCTGACATTCACGGAAGCGCTGATACGGCTCCTATCCAGTATCCGATTGCTTCTGGCCTCCATCGCTTGCGAGTTTTGACTGAGACTGTTGGCCAAATTCAACAGGCTCACAGTATTGAAGCTGCCGTCGACAACCTCAATCTTGCGGACATGACATTGATCTCACAGGCAGATGTCACCTTACTTGGTACTGAAACTAATGATTTGCTGCAAAAGGAGATCAACCACAGAAATCTATTCGAGGTGGAAAATGTGTACCAAACCTTTCGTTCCTTGGAACATTTTGCAGACCACCGCGTTCCACAAATGATTGTCCTCAACGAGCCACTGATCTTGCTTGGAGCAGGTTACAAGAATGCGTTCCTAAACTCTTCGTTTTCAGGACTATTTACCAGGTATTGGTACATAACACGACGATTGGCAGAAATCAGTTCAATCATGAAGAACGCGTCAACTCGAGCCAAATCACTTGCCATCAAGGACCAAACAATCCTGGAGCGATCAATTTCTGCTTCAAAGAGAGAGGCTCTTGGTACAGCACCAAACATTGCAGCTTTTGGCAAGCTTATGATTTCCTCAATGACCGAAGTCGTCCAAACAGAGCTCAGAGCAACGAGGAATTTGAATTTACCGGAGGGAATAGAACGAATCCTCAGTTTTACTCAGGAGCTACTCCTCCTCTGCGCCACGAAAACGACCGACATGGCTTCTTCTCAGGCATATCTGCAAGTTGGAGCCGACTTGATCCATCTTGTTCAGCGAAATTTTCCTGAGATTGCCTCTCAGTTCTCGACGTGTCTGGAGGCATTGGGGGCTTACAAATCTGGACTAAAGACAGGATTCGGGCTGCAACTCATGTGGCCAACTTTCCGCCCCAAGACAGCACACACATTGTCACAACTCAACTGTCAGCTTGCATTGGAGGATCTCATCGGTACATTTGATCTTGCTTGTCGCTGCTTACCGCAGCCCCGAACCTCACTCTCAAGCCTGAGGCTTAGATTACAAAATGCATATGCGTCGGTTGTCGAGTCAGAGCAGCCTGAGATCCTGATAATGGATCTTCAGGCCGCCGTGTCTAGACTACAGGAGCAATCGACGGAGGGCTTTTCCTTTGAAGGAAAGTTTGAAAACGTGATTCGATTCATATACCGGGCTCTCAGGTCGCAGAAGCGTACAACGAACGAATCAGACCTGGGGAATCTGGCGATGTTTATGGCCGCGTCTGAAAGACGACCACTTGCTTTTGGATATGAAAACTCTGTGCCCGGCTCACTGGCCCGCCTTGCATCCCTGGATGCTGATATTTTGGTGGACGATGGCTCCATTGGGCTGGAACTGAGTGGTCAGCTTGCTTCGTTCCAACAGCAGCCTCTCGGCACCCTGAACCACGCGAAAGAAGAACTACGAGAACTTACGAAAGTGTTGGCATCACACACTTCCTCATTGGGAAACCTCATCTCTCCGCTGACCGAGGATCTTCTCTCTATCCTAGAAGGCTTTATGTCTTCCTTCTGTACTTTTTTGACGCCGGAGGCAAGAGCATGCTTTCCTGAAGGAGGTTCACCAGATCTATCTCGGCTATCTACCATGCCAAGCAATGATGTCTTTCTGAAAGGGCGCAGCGGCGAACCCTTTAGCGAAGTGTACATCAGACTGATCCACCCTGTTCTACTGCAATTGCAAGCTGGGGGTAGATTTGGTCCTCAGCAGCTCAAGCCATGCCTTGCTGACCTGTCCCTTGCTGGCCTGGTTCTCATGGTGCCAGATAGGCCTATGGACCCCGCAACATACCCAATGATTGTGTACCATCTTCATGAAAGCCGGCGAGGGGAGCTGGCTTCCAGAATCGAGGGGCAGAAGCAATTTCACAGACACCTGATGGGAACGGAAACAGCTCTCGTTATCCGTATTCTGCAACAAGAGCTCCTCGAATTGGGTACTATGCCTCAACCTCCGGCAGTGGTAAGACCAGGCAAAGAGGAACTCTACAAGCTCCAAGAGATCTTCACAAGAATTGTTAATGCCATGCCTAAGTACCATGCCTCTCAAACGCTTCAAGGAGAAACTCCCAGCAGTGTCGAGTGGATCGAGCAATGGTCCAGCGAACAGGGATTGTCAAATCTCAGGACCATCACTGAGCGACTGGAAAGCTCCCACCGAGCGTTCGACGACTTTGTGAAGCCGATTCTATGGTTTTTGAAATGCCTATATCTTGCCTTGGAGCTTGAAATTGGCGAGAAGAGGCGAAGCAGTCCACCTGCCACTCTTCGCGAGCTTATCCTAGGCACTCCTCTACTGGCCGATGACCCTGCCGGGGTTCAATACTGGAAACCTCTTCATTCCTCATCCCCGATGGTCAAATTTCACTGGCTGGACTACATTGGACTGAGAACTGCTCTGACAGGAAAGCGGAATTCGCCGCTCATCGAGGACTTCCTTGGAGTTATTGACCGTTTTTACGGCGAATGGAAAACTCGCTTGACCCAAGACCAGGCCGATGCCGCAACGAGATCTCGCTACTACACTTACCGTGGGGACACGCTTCAAGACGAAGAAGGAGAAAGTCGCGAAATGAGAGAGCTGTTTCCATGGTTCGAAGATGAAGACGTGGGAACCGACGTGCAACAACAAGAATTCGATGCTCGTGCCAATGCAGCACGACTCAGTATGCTGCATCAAAAGATCTACACTAAAAGAGATCCGCAGGAGGCCATGAAGGCTTTCATTCTGTCCACGTTGGAGTTATTACCCAAGGCTGCCGGTGTTGGCAGAGGCACCGACAGTTCATTTATTTACCTTTTACCCGGCATCTTCCTGCAGATGGAAGCTAAAATGAACGACTTCAGCACCGATAAAACTGCCTTCCCCTTCAACATATACACCGACTGGGACACTAAGCAGTGCCAGAAGCTGTTGGACTTGGTGCACGATATTCAGTCGAGGTTCTTCATCATTCAAGAGAAGTGGCCCGAACATGCTGTACCCGTAGAGGTCCTGTCATTCTGCAGAGAAGTCCTCCATTTGAGCTTCGGGGATCCCATCGCCAAGCTTCTGACCAAGACAGAGAAGCTGTTTGACATTGTGTCACAATGGCAGAACATTGCCAGTAGGGAGTGGTCAGTCGGCCCCCTTGTTGAGCAGCTGTCGTCATTGATCATTAGCTGGAGGCGTCTGGAGCTCTTGTCTTGGTCAAGGCTGCTGGATGAAGAGAAGCGGAGGCACGAAGAGGACGCACAAGCCTGGTATTTCATTGCATATGAGGCTATCGTCCACAACTCCAGGAACCTAGACACCAGTGACGGAGGCAGTCTTTCATATCAACGGCATTTGGTTGAAATATTGCAGGAATTTCTCAAGTCAGCCACATTAGGTCAATACTCGGCCCGATTGCGACTGCTCGATACGCTCAAAAAGACCATGCAGGGCCTGGCGGATACCCATCAGAACCTCAAGACAATTGCTGTCTGCGTCCAGGACGTCATTGATCATTATCGCCGGTATGAGGGTGGTGTTGAGGCTGCGTTGCATAGCGGTCGTGTTGGACTCGAGAAGGCTTTGAGCGAGCAGATCAAACTCGCAAGCTGGAAGGATACGAATGTCGCGGCACTCCGTGAAAGCGCACGCCGATCGCACCACAACTTGTTCAAAATCGTTCGCAAGTATCGTGAGCTCCTCAACCAGACTGTTGTATGCACTGCGCCTGAAGAGTCAGAGCAGGGTCACCCGGCAAGCAATGTGGAAGCCCTTTCCGCACCTCGCTACAACGATGAACGAATAGCAGCCGCACTACGACGATGCCACCTGCTGATCGAAGATTGGAGCACACGGCCTGAGCGTCTTACTCAACCCCTAGGAGCAATTAGAAGCATGCAACATGTGTACAGGGTAAAAGACCCCGACTTTCATGCTCATGTGGAGATGGCCTCCTTCCGAGAAGACCTGCTTGAAGCATCAAAGCAATTGAGGACCCAGACTCCATCAGCACTGACTGAAGATAATGCTTCATTTGTCCGCCACCTGCAAGAGAGAAAAAGAAGACTGCTCGCCCATACACTGAAGGCAGTAACATACATGGGAGTCAGAAGAAACCTCCCAACCTCTGAGCTTGAGAGGCAATCATCTTGTGCCGCTGTTCTAGCATTGGTGGCGGACTCACCCGTGAGCCACCGCACACCCGCCGAGTCTGCTGCCAACAGCGTCTTCCACGAACTGCTTGATGTCATGCCCCAAGTCCGCGCAGCTCGGTCCGATCATTCTGACGACCTCACCGAAGGCGAAATCAACCGCTCTGTTGGGCTGTTGGAAGGCTTGCTGTTCCTGACAATCCGTCAACGTCAAGCAAGCCCGCAGCAAGCATTCGATATGAAGGGATTGAGCTCTCAATTGTCAGTGCTCAGGTCCGTCGTGTCTTCTTCATCGGGCCAGATTATGCAATCCACTGTCGCCGCTCATACCATCGATGTTATGCAAGAGCGCCTCGCATGGCTAGCAGAGATCTTGAAAATTGCCTGTCGCATCTTAAAGTTCCAAGCCGACCATGGAGGATTCGACATCAAAGGGTGCTTGGACTCACTGCACTCTTACGCAAGGCACATCACAGACTTGAGACTCAATCTCCTTGACCTGCCTGATGCACCTTTGGGAATGACATGGGAGACCTCACTGGCTCTGACGCAGAGAATTTCCGAACTCCTTTCTCAACTCAGGTCTTCACTGGTGGATTGGCAGTCCAAGGAGCCTCGAATTGAGTATCTCATGCGGCAAATCATTCCCTGGACCGAAACGATCCCACCCCTAATGGGCAGAACGCAAAGTCCCGAGTCGAGCTTCACTCTCCGAGAACTGGACCAGAATCTCAAAAAGGTGGTAGATCAAGTTTTTGTGATAATGCAACGACTACCTTCGCTCCAGCTAGAGATGCCCACTTCAGACGAAGACCAAGGCTGGCTTTCGAAATCGGACAAGCACATCGTCGAGGCACTGCGTTCGCTAAGGATGAGCACTATTACCAGCCAACTGGAAATGTCGGTGACACAAAAGCTTCAATACCTGACTCCCGAGGACTTGGAAGCCGCCAAGGACTTGTTACTTGTGGCGATGCCAGTTCTCGATCAGTATTACTACATATGCGAGCATCTCCATAAGCGGCACGTCGCCCTGTACTTTGAGACGTCCCGACTCGCCTTGCAATTAGCCAAATCTTTCACTATCATTGCAAAACAGGGTTTCTGTCGTCCCTCAGAGCCTGCAGAGGGCGAGGAGCAGACAGGCAAATTAGAGTCAGGAACCGGGCTGGGTGAAGGAGAGGGCGCGGAGGATATCAGTAAGGATGTTCAAGATGATGAAGACTTATCTGAGCTTGCGCGCGAAGGACAGAAGGAAGAGAGAGACGGGGAGATGGAGAATACCGAAGATGCGGTTGATATGGACCATGAGGATCTTGAAGGCGAAATGGGTGACGCTGACGAAAGACTCTCAGACCAAGGCGACGATAAAGACCAGTCTGGAGACGAAGAGCAGAACGCTATCGACGAAGAGACAGGCACTGTTGACGACCTTGACCCTAATGCTGTGGATGAGAAACTTTGGGATGACATCAAGAATGAGTCGGAGAAAGACAGGGAGATGAAGAATGACCAGGCAAAGGGAAAGAAATCTGACGAGCAGACCGCAGCGGACGGGAACCGGGACGAAGGCGATGATCTGGGAGATATGGAAGAGCCAGCAGAGGAAATGAATGAAGACGGCGAAGAGCGAGACGAAGGAGGAGAGCGGCCTGAAGGCGAACAGATGGACGAGCATGTGGAGGAAGAGAAGGCTCTAGATCTTCCGGATGAACTGCAGTTGGCTGGCGAGGATGAGATCAAGGACGACGATATCTCAGACGATGGCATGGATGAGTTGTCGGATATGGACAATCCGAGGGAGGAAGTCGAAGGGGATGGTTTTGAGGAGACCAGGGAGGCCGGAGAGCAGGAGAAGCCGTTTGATGAAAGTGCCAGTGAGGATGAGATTGACACAGAAGAGGAGCAGGCTGAGAATGGGACTGCCCAAGACAACGAGGTCATGGAGGACCAACCCATCGAAGCAGGCGACGACAAGGAAGAAGATCATGCTACCCGAGAAGACGAAACAGTTCAAGATTTGGAAGAAACTGCCGGTGGAGAATCTGGAGCCGCGAACGAGGTCCAGGAGAATGTCGACGCCGAACAGGGTGTCGAGGGCATGAACCAGACTGACAACGAACCGAACCCCCAACAATCTCAACCTGGCAAGGCTTCCGAAGAACAAGACCAGGGAAAGACTGGCACTGGGACCTTTGAACGCGGCACTGGACGAGCAGAAAGCCTCGAAGACCAACAGAATCAATCTCTGAAGCAGTTGTCAGATGTCCTTGATCGATGGCATCAACGTCGCGAGATCCTGCCAGCATCTGGAGAGCAAGATGCAGCGAACGAGCAGGGAGATGTTGACATGGCCGACGTCGACTTCGAGCATGTCCAAGATGAATATGACGGAGGAGATGCTCAGGCACTTGGCGCTGCATCAGCCGACCAGGCTCAAAATCTTGACCCGAGCAAAGCCATAGAAGATGAAGATGCGCCAATGGACGAGGACACGGCATATCCTGACGTCCTGGAGCCGGAGGTGCAGGAAGATATCACGGAGAGATTCAGCCGCCTCAAAGCGCAGGCAGCGCCAACGGGGGCCAGAGATGCAGGGGCTTTTGTCCCCGATCATCAGTCCCAACAGAGGGAATCCGACGGTCAGCAAGATTCTGGCGACACAACGTCCGATGACTTGGCGCCTGATATCGAACAGCTCGAGCTCAGCGGCGGCGACCAAGCACAACCGGCAGCTGCCCATCCGACGAGCAGCGCCAACGCCGCTCAGCTTTGGCAGCAATGCTCAGCCAGCACCCATCAATTTTCTCTTGTGCTGACGGAACAACTCCGGCTGATTCTGTCGCCCACGACCGCCACAAAGCTCCGCGGCGACTACCGCACAGGCAAACGGCTCAATATCCGACGCATCATCCCATACATCGCGTCGAATTACAAACGGGACAAGATCTGGATGCGGCGCTCGGTGCCCAGCAAGCGCAACTACCAGATCATGATCGCGGTGGACGACAGCAAATCTATGAGCGAGTCGGGCGCGGACGTGCTCGCTTTCGAGACGCTGGCCCTCCTCACAAAGTCCCTGGCCATGCTCGAGGTGGGAGAGATCTGTGTCGTGGGGTTCGGAGATTCTCCCACCATCACGGTCGCCCATCCCTTTGACCAGCCCTTCTCACCCGCCGAGTCCGGCCCACATGTTTTTCGGAGCTTCAGCTTCGAGCAGCGCGGCACCGACGTCAAGAGCTTGCTCAAGCAGAGCATCGCTCTGTTCCGTGACGCCAAGAGGAACAGCCGGCCCCAGCAAAGCCGCGGGGAAGAGCAGTGGCAGCTCCAACTGATCGTCAGTGACGGGCACTGCTCAGACCACGAGGGGATTGCGCGATTGGTCAGGCAGGCACACGACGAGGAGCGCATCGTGATTGTCTTTGTCATTGTCGACGCCGGGGACGAGAGTATCCTCGATCTCAAGGAGGCTGTCTTCGAGCCCGACCCCAATCCTGCCGCGAGCCAAAGTCATCACGCAGGGGCTGGAACGGGAACAGGAACAGGGGAAATGCGCGTCCGCACAAAGAGATACCTCGACGGCTTCCCCTTTCCTTACTACCTCGTCGTCCGCGACGTCAGGGATCTGCCCGGCGTCCTGGCCACCGCGTTGAAGGGCTGGTTTGGGAGCGTCGTTGACGTCCAGGGTTGATTATATACATACTCATTCAAGCGCCTGATAGATTTGAATAATTAATCATTACAACCACAGTTCCCGCATGTTAGGAATTGACTCATGGCTTTTCCTTCTCTCTCTTTTCCTTTTTGCCCCGTCGCAATTGCGGACACAAGTTGATGGTTTTCGCGCAGATGGATAGATGGATAGATAGACAGATAGATGCATTTGATTTCCCCTCCCCACGTGGTTAACATATTTAATTTAATGATCCTCCCTGACAAGTTTAGGATCGGGGACTTCTTGGGCCATCATTAGGTCTTTTGAAATGTCTTGTCCGTGGATGGGCGTCGAGATCTCAGTCGAGTGCTCGGGACGTAGGTACATGTTTAGCTATGTAGATAGATACATAGGTTAGCTGGGTGCCTACAATAAAGTATATAAAGCCGTACTTGTACATCCAGGTACCTTTTGAGAAATTATCTTCTTGAGCAGGCGAGGCAAGGATCCGCACTTTGAGACTCTGGTCCTCACTATGCCATGCAGAGAGAAACCACAATGTTGGAGAAACAGGTGGTATTCCTCTCAACGACCGGTCCGTCAGCCACTTCACGCACGCACGCACTCACTCACTCATGTGATTGCGATGGCGGTGAATACACGGATGAGGGTAGAGTGAAGTGAACAAGGCACTGGACAGTAATCCAAGGGGCGTGGGTGGTCATGGCTGGGCGCTTCAACAGGAAAGAGAACAACGTCAAACTGCAGCTGGCTCTCTTGATCGATCCTCGCGGAGGGTGAGGCATTTCTGAACACACGCGCACACACGAAAACCACAGCTCTTGCGCTCCTGCTTTGCAGCCTAGAAAACTCTCTCCCTCACTAGCTAGTGAGTTCGACAAGATGGATACATCTGCATCAGACGACAATGCTTCTCCTCGTGATGCTTCGCAAGTTCCTGATACTGGCGGCACACGATCTGGATCGAACAACTCCGGACAACAAGGCCGGTCACAAAGTCACCATTCAAGCACACAGCTTGCGAATCTGCCCGAGAGCACAGACCATCAACGTCTTGTCCAGTATGCCCGAGAAGCTCTTCGTGTCATGGGTTGCGAATGGGGGGAGTCTCAGGTACGTATATGACCTTGCCTTCTAACTGCTCTGTTTCCTGTTAGCAAGTTTGGAAATCTGACACAGTTTGACAAAATGCAGCCCCAGTCCATTCCTGAGGCTGTTGAGGCATCAACACAATACTCGGCTCGCCACCGCTCAGAAAATCCTTCTGGAAACGAGGGAGATGAAGAGCAGGATGAAAATGACAATGGGGTAGATACCAATGGTGTCAGTGTGGACGGGAACAACCCAGATGGCGGCGGTAGACGTGGGCGCGGCAGACCAACGGGGACCAAAGGACAGACTGGCCACCGCTGTGAGCGCTGCATCCTCCAGCATAAGAGATGTGACGCTGTAAAGCCTGTCTGTGGCAACTGCGCGAAGAGAAAGCGCAATCCGGATTGTCACTGGCCCGGGGCCATGACACGGAGCCAACTGCAGACGGTGAGACACGAGAACACAACATCTTCTGCTGCTGCTCCTTCACTGCCTCCAAAGAGACTTGCCTGAAATGCCGTGGCAGGACGCGAAGTCAACGCGATGGCCTGGACAGCAACAGTCACTGTCACTGCCTCACTTTCTGCCTCCCCCACTGCCTCGAGTAACCACGGTTACAGTTGTCAGTGCACAACTGCCCTCGATTGCTTTGCACACCTCATTTCAACCACTTCCTCACCAGCTTTTCCTAACTGAACAACTCATCCGCAGCCGGAAAACATTGCAACAGATTTCGCGCGCCTGAGAAGACATTGCATCCCCGCTTGCCGAAATGCAAACTCACGACGGATTTGACACCTCCATGACACAGTTGAACCAAAATCAAAGTCAAGGCCAGAGTAACAACCATGGTCCATTGCTTGCCCAGTCTCAACCGAGACGCTGCCGTCGTCGCGGTGGTCTTCCAGGCATGCCGCCAATTGAGCCAATTTGGGAAGACACTTTGGACAGAAGAGACAATGTAGTTACGAACCAAAACACCACGTCCGTGAGCGCACCTCCTCACCACCCACTTTGGAGCCAACAGCAGCAAGCAGTTGTCAGGGCTCTAGGCCAGTATCGACAGGTTTCAGTAAGACCAAGTCAACCCGGGCAGCCCAATGCTGCAAATGATGTCGGAGGGGCGCAGGGTGAAGCCAATAGAGCAGAACCGGGCGACATTCCAGCAACAGGCACAATTCGGCACGATCCGCATCGAACGTTCAGTGTTCCACATTCTCAAAATGGTGCTGGCAATAACCAGAATCAATACAATTCCAATCAAGGTGGAGCTTTGGATAAGGCTGCTGAGGGGCAGCAAGGTACTGGTATCAACTACGGTAATATTGGCACGGAACTGGATGATAGCTTTATGGATGAGTTTGTGAAGTGGGAACCGTATGTCGACCATGGAACGGGGACTGTTCCTTCCGACGTCGACCATGCATATGAACAGCTTGCGCGAGCGATGGCTTTGTGGTGAGGCGGCGAAGAAGCAGTAGGAGACCACCGGGGCGAACATCGAGGAGAGGATGTCCTTATTGTTATCACTCGGGACAGATTGTTGGATATCTCATTTCCTTGTCAAAACAAGTCTCGAATGGAGCTGCTCAGGCGTCGACCGTGTAGAGCCAATGATCTCACCAACCATACTTGCTTCCAGCTTCCTTTTTATTCCTTCTGCCTGTTGCAAAGCTCTCTTCAAGTGCCTCTTTCTGCCCAGTGGCGGCATTCACAAGCTGTTTCAGGCTGTGTTTGCCTGGGGCAATGGCGCGGACTGGATTGTGTTGCACTTGCTCGCCGTTTGCGCGCAGCACTTCGTTGGCCGCATATTCTTGATCCGTGTTGAAGTTGACCACGTTGATGGCAGTACCGCTTGGTTGGCCGCGGCGCCCGAACAGCTGTCGCCGGTCTGCTTTTGAGAGATTCAGATCGGCAGCGATGGAATCAAGGGATTGAGGTTGAGAAGTGGCCGATCCGTTGACGAGGCCTTCTGTTTGCGCTGGAGTTATGGCCTCATCAAGCGGTTCGTCCAGGAACTCGACGATTTCGTCCTCGTCTTGCTGAGGCTGAGGTTGTTGCACCGTTGCTGTCTCTCCGCCCATGGAGAAAAGGCTGACTTTCTTTGGCGGAGGAACAGGCTCAGCTGAAAGGGATGTCGCAGATGCATCCCTTGACACAGGAGTTGTGACCGCGTCCTGCCCCAGCGTGATGGTCGATTTCGTTCCATCCACTTTCCGTTTCGACTTCTTATTATTTCGTGCCACCGAGAGGGGTTTGAACATGAAGGGATTTCCTTGCATTGATTGTTCCTTCGGCGCATTTGTTGCAGGGTCTGCACGTTTGGGGATTGAAGGCATTGTCTCATCCGTATCAGTGTTTGTGGTATGCCTTTGCTGCTCTTGTTCTGCAAATAGATTGCGCAACTCTTCATCCGCCTCCCTGCTGAAACCAGGCTCGGCACCGGTCTTCAAGCTGAAGACTTTTCTCGTGGCAGGCTTTGGAGGGGCTTTGGCGTCGGCGTCGCGCTTGGGGGCAGGAAGCATTGCGTTGAAACCACTGAATGTTCCTGCACCAGCGCCGATTCGAGGTCGCTTCAGAGGAGGCTCTCCATCCGTATTGCCGTTGATGGGCGCATCTTGTAGCTTGACTTGAATCTTTCTGGGGTTGGCTTTGTCGACAGTAAAGGTTGTGTTTGTGTTGCTCGCAGTCTTCGTCGCAGGCTTCTCGGCCTTTGCTTGCGGGATGACCTTCTCGTCCTCTGAACCCTCAGAGTCTGAGTACGCGACTAACGCCATTATTGTATCTGGGAATGGCTCAGAGGCATCAAAACAGGTGCTGGTTAAAGAAGGCAGGAAGAGGTTGAGATTGGTGCGGAGCTCACATGACGAACGTCACCGGCTTCCCGCGTCATTTCAACTTCTGCCTCGTCCGCCTTTTGCCATCGCCTGGAAGATGGTCCCGAATCCTATGTTATTATGTGAGCTTTGGAGCCCGACGAGATTCATGTTTTGCCAGTCTCTGGCGCCCTAGGCCATTCATCTCGCACGTCCGCTACTCATCTATCAAGTCTGGTATCTGTAGGCTTCTGGGGACACTGTGAGACCCCTTTACTCTTCCATGTTCACCTTCCGGGTATTCCAGCGAGCTGCCAGTCAAGCAGCTCGCCCACGTTTCCAACCCCCTTCCAGTACTATTCTCAGGTTGGGACAAGCTTCACGCTTTCAACCACGACGGTCAGCGTCTTGGGGCTCGAATCCGCGTTATAAGCGATTTGGGGAAGGGACTGGAAATGGGCAGGGACAGGGCCAGGGGCAGCGATGGAGCAACTTTGGTCCCGTCTATCGCATGCAGTACATTTGGCGGAATTACCAGAGGCCGCTGACTGTGGTCGGGGTGGGCGGCGGAGTGTTCTATGTCTACAACCTCGAAGAGGTCCCTGTCACTCACCGACGACGCTTCAATCTGATGTCTCCGGCGGCAGAGAAGGAACTGTTCGGTGGATCTGACATGTACAAATCTGTCCTGCAAGAATTCCAAGGCAAAGTCCTTCCGTCCGACCACCCTCAAACCATGCAAGTCGCCAAAGTTATTGAAAAGTTGCTTCCAACCACTCGCGGTCTGGCAGGCGACGACTGGCGGGTCCATGTCATCAATGACCCTGGCCAGAAGAACGCGTTTGTCATGCCTGGCGGAAAAGTCTTTGTCTTCTCGGGAATTCTGCCCATTTGCGAGAGCGAGACTGGCCTTGCTGCCGTCTTAGGTCACGAAATCGCCCACAACGTCGCCCATCACGCCGCGGAGAGAGCCTCAAGGTCAAGCATCGTCCTCGTTGCTGCTTTGGCCGTTTCTCTCGTCTTTGATATCAGCGGCCAATCCGGACGTGCCATCGCTGAGTTGTTGCTGTCTCTTCCGAATTCGAGAACGCAGGAAGCCGAAGCCGACCGGATAGGCCTCCTCATGATGGCCGAGGCTTGCTACGACCCCCGAGGAGCCTTGGACTTTTGGCAACGCATGAGCAAAGCATCAGAATTTGAACCTCCGCAGTTCTTGTCCACCCATCCGAGCAACTACAACCGTGCCGAGCAGATCAAGAAGTGGCTCCCAGATGCCGAGAGAGTATATGCTGATACAGGGTGCGGCACTGCAAGCGGTTATGCGGATGCCTTCAAGCAAGCTCTGACAATGCAACAGCCCGGACGGGAGGGCCATGTCAGACAGCAACGACCCATAATGGTGGGACGGAATGACGACGACGACGATTTCTTTTGAGGGCGAAAGAGTTCCCTTTCCAAGGAGATCACTACGGCCCATCTCAAACGCTATAACTGGTCAACTCATCCGTCTATTTCCCTGTCCACCAGAGTCGGATCAAACGTATACGAGGTACGGGCGTATCGGACTCGAGAGAACCTCACATTGCTATTGCACGTGACACCCCGCTCCTTCGCTGTACTTTGTACTTTTATGTACAAGCTCCACCACTCCAACCGCTCTAGCTGCCGCCATACTGACGTGGCAAGCGCGATATAGCGGGGAGACGTCTCCAGCAAGAGCTACATATCTCCTCTCAGCAAATTGATCGACTCTCATTTCATCCAAGATCTCCCACAACGACGAGGGTGTCGCTTTCATCTTCAGACCAACTGCAATGATGGGTAAAACAGAACTCCCGGGGGTGGCACTCATTTCTGGCTCGGGCTCGGGCATCGGGCGAGCAACGGCTCTAGCATTTGCGGAAGCAGGCTGCACACGCTTCGCGCTCCTTGACTTGAACGAAGAAGGGCTCTCGACTACCAAAAAGCTCATCGAGGAGGCGGCAGTTGGAAGCAACAGCTCTCTGAAAATCCACACCTACAAGTGTGATGTTTCCAACCCAGACAGTATCACGCGGGCCTACGCCGACGCCAAGGAGACATTCTCCCGTCTCGACTATGCCGTGCATTGTGCAGGGATCATTCTCTTTGGCCGTTCCACCGACTATTCCGTCGAGGATTTCGACAGGCAGAACAGCGTGAATTACCGCGGCCTGTGGCTGTGTTCCCGCGAAGCTCTGCGCACCATGAGCACTCAATCTCTGGATTGCGACGCTTATCCCGAAGCTCAGATTCCGCCCACTCGCGCCCAGCGCGGTAGCATTGTCAACATCTCCTCCGGTCTCGCACTAGTGTCGCAGTCCAACTGTCCTGCATACTGCGGTGCCAAAGCCGGCGTGTTGGCGGTCACCCGCTCCGATGGAATCGACTATGCCTCTGAACGGATCCGGGTAAATGCTGTCCTGCCAGGGATCGTGGATTCTCCAATGACGAACCCGGACCCTGGAACCAGGAAGTGGCTCGAGGACAACGCGGTCAAGAACACGCCGATGAGGAGATTCGGACTGCCCGAAGAAATCGCCGATGTTTGTGTCTTTTTGGCGAGCAATAAGGCAAGCTTTGTTACTGGGGCGGGCTGGTGTGCTGACGGCGGGTTCGTTGCTGGGATGGCATATTGAAGAAGACATCCATCAAAGAAGGGAGATTTTGCTTGTCTTTATCGATCTGATCTGCCTGAACACCGGCAGCTAGGTCCTGAGCAGCTTTCGCCTACTTCTATAAGCATATTTCTCGGTGACGCTGATAGTTTTCAAGGTTATTGATTTCTCTTCCCGGACAGTCCGGATATATCTATTTGAAAGGGGACGGCGGGTCTCTAGAATTTCCCGATGCCACGCGACCTTCGTAAAGAGTAGCGTCGCCCGAAGAAGTATTCGGACTATTGACAATATTATACCTAGTAAGGTACTGCATAAAGTTGGTGGGATCCTCTCCTTCGAGAAGGTGGACAATGGTATCAGAGTCAAGCTTGTCATATCTGTGCTGGATACCTTCGAGAGCCAGGACGTTGCGAGGATAACTCTAGTTAGATAGTTAGTGAATCAGCCACATTCTCTTTCGCTTCTCGCATGTCCATCATATGGTGCCATTGCAACCGTACAAGCACGTGCAGATGGATGTATATGTATTCCGTTCGATAGAGGTGGAGGGTGGAGTGCATAGCGGCTTTACGTCGACAGGCTTTCAGCACCGTCACCCCACTTTCTATCTATATTTTAACTTGGCTCGTTCCTGACTCTCACTCTAAGTTTCAAGTAACCTAGATCAGCTGCGGCGCCAGCGCCGGTTGAGGCGGGCTCGCAGCGGGAGGACTCCTCTCGGCCTCGATCTTCGTCCTTAGCATCTTGACGTAGGTGCTTTGACTGTTCGGACTCGCACTGAGCAGGTCAAAGAGACACCTCAACTCCTCGCTGTCAGACCAATTGGTGTTTGCGATGGTCAGCGCGTCCATCAGCGTATATGCGACCTCGAACAGTTTCTCAAATATTCCCAATCCGTGTACGAGGACGGCACTGGGCGTCAAGTCGTTGATCGCAACGCACAGGTCTTTCGCGATGGCGATCGGGTACGTCGAGGAGAAGATGGGGTCGGAGGCGCTGTAGCTGATCAAGCCCTGGCGCATGGAGGCTTGCCAGAAGATCAATCTCAACCATTGATGCGTGATCAGGACGTCGGCCTTTTGAATGTCCGTCATGGGAAAATGGTCGAATGACATTTCGCTCAACGAGTGTTGGATCGCCGCCACGTTGTCGTAGGGCTCATACGAGCCCGAGGATGTGGTTTCCATAGGCGTGGTACTCCAGAGTTGGATGAACTTCTCGTCAAGGATGGAAAATAAATTGACCAGGGCAGAGAAGCCGGCCAGAATGATTCCGTCCTGCTCGTCGAAATACTCGCTGGACAGAATTGGCAACCGGGGGATTTGGGCGGGTTTGTTCCGGAGGATGGCCAGGCCACGTTCTGTTATGAAGAGTAAGGCGAACGTTCGTCTCGAACAGATGGCTTGGATGTCATCCATGCCGAAATAGGTCGATTCAAGGTGCAGGCCTTGTTCAAAGGCCATAGAAATAGCCTCGCGGAGATACAAATAATGGGCCCGAGGCTTTTTGAGTTCAAACATCGCAACGCAAATATGGTAACTGGCTTGTATTGACAGAAGTGTAGCCGACTCCGCCCAATCATATTGACATCGTAAAAGAAAACACAGCTCGACAAACTGCTTTCCAAGTTGCATTTTCTTATCCAGTGACAGATCTGACTGGGGTGCTGCGTGAAGAACGGTGTTGGCGCAAATTGATAATATTAGGATCTTTTCTTCATTTGATAATTCAACCGAGCTATTGAGGCGTTGAAGAAATGAACTCTCGTGAATTGTAGGCCGTATCGGGTAGAGATGTCTAAAATATTGACTAAGGCATTGACTCATGAGCCGCGCCGACAAATCGAATTCTGCTGCGAGTGCTTGTATCTGAAGTGGGCTGTGGAGATCTCCGGAGTCACTTCGATATAGAAATTTTGGTCCATGGAGTGGCATAGGCGAGCTGGTAGCGGTTAGGGTTGGAGAGGGAGCGCTGGTGGGACCAAGATTCAACACAGCATCGAGGGAAGTGGGCTTGGTAAGAGGTGTTGAAGCTCTTGACGGGGTTTGCGCATTGGACCTTGGAGGAATTGCACGCGGAACAGGAGGGTATGTCTCTTGGAATATTTCCTGAGCTAGATCCCTGATCGACATGTAACCATTAGGCGAATGAGGGGCTTGGAATTGAAGAAGTTCCGAAGTTTGCATCTGCCATGATGCTGGAAATTGAATGCCTGCTTGGGCAAATTCTGTATGTGACGTCGGGTCGAATTCAGTGCCATTCTGAACGATGGGTACAGACCTAGGGACTGTGGACGGTCCTGGGGCTGGACCATACGTGTCGCCAAAATACGAACTTGTGGGAGAGCTTAGCGATGACGAAAACGGGCTTTCGTTTGTCACCGTTTTGCTGAAATGTGGCATCTGTAGTTGCAACTGAGACAAGTCAAGTGGCGGGAATGTTTGTTCGGTTGGCGAAGTCGCCTGACTTTCGTCTCGCAATCTTGCGAGAACAGAACCTGATCCTTTCTTTGGCCCTCTCTTCTTTCGCGCAATCTCTCTTGTACACCTCAGGCCTGCCGATATGCACCGCTCGCAGATTTCTTCTTTTGAGCACTTCACTTTCCTCCTTCGGCATGCGTCACAAGGTAGGAGCGTTTGGTGCGATTCAGAGGTAGTTGGCGCGCCAGCACCAACAGGTTCTTCGAGAGCGTCTGCCATGTGCGTGAGGGTCTCCATAAGGTTCGTTTAGCTGTGACGAGAGTATTTGCGAATGAAGGATACCAGACGCCAAATGCTTCTGGCTTTCGATTCAAGGCCTGATCTTCGGCGGTGGGCTCATTGAAGTGAAGTGTTGGGACTGACCTAGCCTGACTCCATTTCCACGAAACGTAGTTGAAAGCTGCGAAAGTTGAGAAGAGGAGGCCTGATGGAATGGATGCACGAGACCTGATCACGACATAGAACGCGGTGGGCGCAGGAGAGGAAAGAATGATGTCGACTGGCGGTGCCGAGAACATGTGCGTCGTGTGATTTGAAGCTCATGGCGAGGCATCCCAACACCCCTCATCCCCCGGAAAAGTAATGCGTTTGAGTTTGGCGTGGGGGTTTGCCTAAGAGTGCCTAAGGAGATGAGTTGGTTCGCCAACAAGCTGGATCGATGGAGGGGTAAAAGCTGGGGAGAGCTACCCAGCGAGACAGTTGTCTACTACCTAGGTAGGCACCCAAGCTATTGCCCTGGGGGAGGATGGAGACCACCGCCAATACTTACCTGCCTGAGTAGTAGCCATAGGTAAGCTTAACTGTCGCCGGCGGCCCGGCGGACGAGAGCCCCAGCACCTTGTCAGCTCTTTGGCTCTTTGTAAGATGCTCCAGCTCTTTCCTTTACCTAGCGAGCTAGGTACCTAAATGATGACCAGTCTCTTCCCCGCTCGCCTCTTCCTCCTCCTGCATGCTAACCTAGACTTTCCGCATCCACGTTTTTTCCCAGCAGATCGATCGTCACTGCAACTGGCAAGCAAAGGCACTTACCACGACCTTTCTCGACCTATCTTTCGATCATGGCATCTGCTGTGCCCATGGCCACTCCGCCTCCTTTCACCCTCGATGCTGGCAGCGCCGTCTCCCTCGCCATCGCCTTCGCACTGATGCCATCAGCTCAAATACTAGCTGCCTTTGCTCTGCCCAAGTCCACACCTCGAAAGCTTTATTACCTCTTCCTGTGGCACGCCTATGATTTCCTCACTCACTCCATCATTGAGGCCAGCTTCCTCTACCACTGCTTCTTCTCATACGAGCAACTGCCGCCGCAAACCGCCGATGTCTCACATCCCGCGTCTTGGGGTGGTGAGCCGCAAGCCTACCTGTACAATCGCCCTGACCGTCGCTATGGTCCCCTATACTCTCAAGGTCCCATGGCCAGACTATGGCAAGAATATGCGAAGGCTGATCGAAGATGGGGAGGTGCAGACCTGAACGTCATATCGCTGGAGATCCTCACTGTTGGCCTGGCTGGTCCGGCTGCTTTGTATATCTGTTATCTGATCTCCAAGGTTGCGAACACCACGGATGAAGGTATGAAAAATCGATATCAATCCCGACTCTGGTTCACAGCAATCATGCTCGCAACCGGAGAGCTATATGGGGGTTTTATGACGTTCGCACCTGAGTGGTTAAGCGGCAACACCGCCCTAGCCGGCGACGACCCCGTCTATCTCTGGCTTTATTTGGTCTTTTTCAATGTATTGTGGGTCTTCATACCTTTCTGGATTCTATATTCAGGCTTTCAAGAGATCTCCACAGCCTTTGCGATGAAAAGCTCATCCGTTAGGAAGACAAAATGAGTCCGTCACCTGGGAACAAGCAAGAGTGAAAACTTGAGATTGGGATCAATGAACTTCACTACTGGTAGTTTTTCAGGAATGTTTCGAGTCGATTACCTCGCTAGGCCAGTGGTTGAATATACTCCTAATGATTCTGCCTCGATTCATGCCTTCATATTCTTCTACGCGAGACTTTGTGCCAACACTTCCCAATTCGAAAGAAGTGCCATAGCTGACCTAATACCTTTCGAGTGGTATGTGACAGGGGTTCAGGTCCTATCGGGTTGGTGGGCGGGGCCTTTCCCCTCCTCCAGATGAAATGCGGTCGCTGTTGCCAAAAGGTAGCAGAGGGTCTCCGCATATCAATTCAAGAATTGCATCTCGCTGGGCTTGTCCTCACTCCTCTAGGAGTAAGCAAACAATTCGTGGATGAGAGACAAAAGTTGAGGAGGAGGGGAAAAGTGGCACCATGAGCTCCGGTGGGATTTGAACTTGTTTGGATCCTGATTCATATCAATGGAGGAGGAGGGAGTATGGTTCAAATCTGTAGCAAGACATCTATTATTTACTATTTTATTCAAGGACTTGTACTAACTTCCGGTTGACTGATGTTGTAGGTGGATGTGGGGAGTCTAAAATCAGGGGAGCCAGAATAAACCATGTCTTCCAATCTATATTATGTGTGAATGGTCTTACCCTCCAACAGCGCCTCTTGCGTTCGGAATCTCGCTCACTGTCGTTGCCTTGTAGGGACCCTCAACATGGCCACCACAGGAGCCACCGTCAGATCCTCATCAGGGACGTCGACGTCGATGGTCAACACGGCTTTCCAGCCGTTACGCTCATACAGCCTGATCCCGGCCGGTCGCGCAAACAACCATGCAACGATGTTTTCCCTGTCGGCAACTTCAATGCCCCAGTCGAGTAGCTTCTGTCCAATGCCCTGCCGTTGGTATGATGGATGGATTGATAACCAATGTAGATCTACAGGCAGTGTCAGCGTATCAGTGGTCAGCGACGGTGTAAATGAGTTTCATAGAAGGGGGCATGCATCTTTCAAGGTGGAGGACTGGGACTGAGTGTCATGACCTACACAAATGTCTCTTCCCTCTGATGGCGCCGATGTACGCATTGCCCAGTTTCCGAGCCACCTCGGCGTCCGGGTTTGCATAAAATGGTTTTGGTTTGGTTGCTGGACCAGTCGCGCCGTCGCCGCTGATCTGAGTAGTCGGTATGGTTTGGATGTCGACGGCGCTTTCAGCATTGACGCCCTCTGTGATTGGCACGTTGATGGTACTTGTATCTGTGGTTGCGCTCTCCGTTGTCTCTTTCTTTGGAGCAAACGGGTCCATCTTAGGAACCTCGACGTATCCCTTGCGCCACAGCGTGAAGCCGACAATGGTTTCCTCTTGAGCTTCTGTGTTCGCTGTCTGGGCAGTACGAGCGGGTGACACAACGGCCTTGAATAGAAAGAACCGGCCCCGATCGTCTCGTAGCGCGTCGGTCAACTTCTCGACGGTGTTATCGTAAACATTCTTGCTGTACCGTCTCCGAAACTCGTGAAGGCCATCCGCTTTCAATGCTGCGTCGGCAACAGTTGCGCAGGCGGGGATGTCGGCCTCGGACGTTATCGGCTTGATCGTTATTGTGGTCGTCAGACCCTGTAAGGAAGACGACGGCATCTTTATGAACAAAGGAAAACCTGTACGGCTGCATATGCTGGGTAGAATCGAGATGCTCCTTGAGTCGTGCTCGGCCCCGTCAAGGTTATAAACAACTAAGTCCCAAACAACGATATTTCACTCAACCACAGCAAACACAGAAATTCCAGGTAACACATGCTCCAGGACACGGTGTTTGGATGCCTAGGTATCCAGGCGTTCTCGAGGCATCAATACAACTTTTGGGGGAAGTCATGATCAAACTGGTGGCTAGGAATTATGACTCCTCGTGGTCAATTGCTGGCCAATCATATTCGTTCCGCAGTCGACTTCGACTAGCTAATCTCTGCTGCCATGTCTGAAGGTTTACCTTCCCCAAGGAAAGTCGTATATTAAAAAGAAGCAAAGATGGTCCGAGGCAAGATAAAGAGCCTTTGGATCCTCACTGGAGCAAGTGTGTCAAGCAGCTGAAACTTATTCTTGTCACAGAGTGGCGGATGGTATCGATCAGCCTCGCATACCCAAGAACATATCACCGTGCTTCTTTTAAAGCAGAGGTTAGAAAGAAGTATGCCTTCGAATTGTGCTGGCACGGAAGCACATCACCTTCGAGTACATTATAGATGACAGACCCGGTAGGAGCACTGGTGGCAAGTTTGAAATGTAGTGAAGGGATATAGGTCTAGCTGGCAAGGCTGGATACAAAGAATCACGTTGCGACTTGAGGGTTTCAGCTTTGTGGACCCTAATGGTTGAACTGCAACCCATTTCCACTCTTTGTGGGCCTGTCGAGCACTCAATGTGGGTTATACTGGTGGTCCACCGAAACACCAGAGGACTTGAAGGTGATGAGGCTGCGTGATCAGCAACTGAATGCCGACACGTGTCGACGATCCGGCAAGAGGTCAATAGGTTCATTTCGGACGTGGAGATGAATTAGGATACACAGGCCGCCGCGAGGTTCACGCTTGAGTCATGGATACTGGATACACGGCACGCGCCCTGTTGCCCTGGACTAATATCGGATATGTGGTGCCGCGAGAGCCAGTTTTCCTGACCCTCGCTGGGAGATATACCGAGTCCAACCGAGTGTCTCGATGTCGAGCATCATATAGATTGGTGCGCTTCTATGATTCCACGTTTGGCGAGGTTGCATCGATCAACATTCGAGTAAGAGTGAGGGGGAAACTGGTGTTACCATCAGTAAATGAGAGGAGAGATGATCGACGGTCTGTTGCATTTGAGGCCCCCACGAGGTTGGGCTCTGCTGTGCCTTCATAGCCGTGGTGGAACAGTGCTAGAAGTTTTCACAAGACGATCTCCACCGTTGCCTTCAGTCCCCGGGACCAAATGCGGTCAGTGGCGCAGGTGACGTACAAGGGTCTTCTGCTGGAAAGTGTCATTTAGCTTCGTTGATCTTGAAGCTAAAGCGCACCAAGACATAATAGAAAGAGTTAAGACGAAGATAGTCCTTTGGATTGGTCCGAGCGACGGGATGGCGTCTGCAGAACTGGGAGAGAGCATCAGACGCTGATTCGACCAGCAGCCTCGAGCACAAGTGATCCACGACATCATCCCTCTCTCTGTGCCTGGCACCTTGTAGACGTCTGCTTCTCCAGCTTTCTCTCCCCGTCTCCCCACAGCCCGTTGACTGGACTGCACCAGGGGGTGTCAAACCACGAGAAGCAGGGCAAGATGCTGGCGCCATGTAACACTTCTCCGCAAGAGGTCACCGGGAAACCCTTGACGCGTCCTCTGCCGCACAGCAAATTCTTGCCCGATACCTCGAGTTGCTCCGACCCATTCCCTTCCCATGTGGAAATACAAGTATACCCCTTCCGCCGTATACCATCAACCGTTCCTCTTCCCACTTCTGGTGAACTCCTCGAGACACCAAATCCGTGCCCTGACCACGTCCACGGCAGCCGGTCGCCATCATGTATCAGATTGGTAACATCTATTTCATCACAGCCATCGCCGTGATTGGCGGTGGTCTGTTTGGGTTCGATATCTCATCGATGTCTGCCATGTGAGTAAAGATCAAACATCCAACAAATGGCCCTTACTGATTTTCTCTCAGTATCGGCACAGAGCAATATAAGTGGTACGAACACGCACGCGATCATTCTCTCGTGTGAAATACGGAGACTGACTACTGCTACCAGCTACTTCAACCAAGGCCCTGATGGGCCTCCTCAGTGCTCCGGCCCGAGATCTGACGTCCAGGGCGGCATTACTGCTTCTATGCCAGGAGGCTCATTCGTTGGCGCTTTGGTATCTGGATTTGTAGGTCGCAGGTGCAAACGGTTGTGATTTATACTGACATTGTGTAGCTGTCCGATATCTTTGGTCGAAAGACCTCCATCCAGGTCGGCGCTGTTATTTGGTGCATTGGTTCCATCCTTGTTTGCGCTTCTCAGAACATCGGCATGCTCGTTGTGGGCCGTTTCATCAATGGACTCAGTGTCGGCATTTGTTCAGCCCAAGGTACTTCTATTGGCTTGTCTCTACCTCCAGGATCTGTATCTGACAGTCGATCTAGTTCCTGTTTATGTGTCCGAATTGGCACCCCCCAGCAAGCGAGGAAGAGTTGTGGGAGCTCAACAATGGGCCATCACCTGGGGTATTCTGATCATGTTCTACATCAGCTACGGTTGCAGCTTTGTCTCTGGAGCGGCGGCGTTCCGCATCCCGTGGGGTTTGCAAATGATCCCTGCCATATTTCTCTTCTTCGCGTTGTTCCTTCTTCCAGAAAGTCCCAGGTACAACTAGCATTCCAGGTCGTCGTGTACCAAGGCTAACAACTTTGAAGATGGCTTGCGAAGAAAGATCGGTGGGAAGATTGCCACAATGTTCTGGCTCTTGTGCATGCAAAGGGCAATCGCGAGGCTCCATTCGTGCTCCTCGAACTGAATGAGATTCGAGAGATGTGTGAATTTGAACGAAGGAACGCCGATGTCAGCTACCTTGAGCTTTTCAAGCCAAAGATGATCAACCGAACACACATCGGTGTTTTCACTCAGATCTGGTCCCAACTTACCGGAATGAATGTCATGATGGTAGGTTCTCCTCCTATCGGAATGATTGCCTCTTGCCGAAGAAGTCTCTTCGTTTATTGCACCATCAATGGAATGAGCACATGCTGACAGATATTCCAGTACTACATCACCTACGTCTTTGGTAAGAAGCATCCATTGGCACCCTTGCGAATCACTGACGTGGATCATAGGTATGGCTGGTCTCTCCGGCAACACCAACCTCGTGGCCTCATCTATCCAATATGTCATCAACGTCTTCATGACCATTTTCGCACTCATATTCATTGACCGATGGGGACGTCGATGGCCACTGCTCATTGGCTCTACTTTCATGGCGATTTGGATGTACGCCAATGCTGGTCTGATGGCCTCTTACGGGAAACCCGCACCCCCTGGAGGAGTCGATCACGTGCCAGAGGAGTCCTGGCAGATCCACGGTGGTGCAGCTAAAGGAGTAATTGCTTGCACATATTTGTTCGTGGCTTCCTTTGCCCCTTCGTGGGGGCCGGTTTCATGGATCTATCCGCCGGAGCTGTATCCTCTTCGTCTGCGAGGCAAGGCGGTAGCGTTGTCAACTTCTGCCAACTGGATTTTCAACTTTGCATTGTCGTACTTTGTCCCCCCAGCCTTTGTCAACATTCAGTGGAAGGTCTACATCATTTTTGGCATCTTCTGCACGGTCATGACAATCCACGTCTTCTTCTTGTTCCCTGAAACGGCCGGCAAGACCCTCGAAGAGGTCGAGGAGATATTTATGAGCAACGTCAAACCGTGGAACACCCACGTCGACTATCAAAACATCAAGAGAGAGGAGAGAGGTGAAGTCGATCCCGAAAAGCGACTAAGCTATGCTATTCACCGTGAGCGCGAGGACAGTGGCCATACTGAGATCGGTCATGAGACTCAGGAGGCTACGAAAAACGAGGCTGCATGATTTGATTGCACTCATGCAATACCAACCCTTGGGGCGAGCCCATCTCCAGTCACTTCCTCCAGTGTGAGGATGCCCGACTCGGACTATCTTGAAACGGAGAGATGCGTCTTGATGTGAAGAAGAAGCACATCGTATGCTAGGAGCAAAAGAGGACAACGGGAAGCGAGGTTAGCAGATCTTAGCACAGCCTGTGCGGAACGAGTCGCAACTGAAATAGCTCACGAGACAAATGATGATATATCCTTCTTTTTGCTTACTTACTTTGGAGAGGTGCATCGAAAGCCAAAGTGTACAGAGGTAGCGTTGCAGCCCTATCAAAAATCGAGCCCAAGGATGCGAGGCCTTCAGCCACTACGGGCGCATCCAGGGCCCCGATTTAGCTAGCGAACCGAGACACCAGAGGCACCTGCGAGCTGCTCCAGTTAAAACCTCGGAATCCCGCAACCCGGAAAGTAAAAATATCCGCCTTGGTGTGAGGCAGGCGTGGGCAGGCAAAGGGCAAAAGTTCGCCTGTCGTAGAGTCTGGACTGGGCGTCCGTACAAGTGCCTCGCCAACTGGCTCAACTCAGCTCACTTTCTATTGCCTTAATTTTCAACTCGCGGGCGCCTTTTCGCTCTTTTCATTCTCTCTCACCTTCGCTCCTGTCACACCTCGTCCTAGATGGAATATTAAGGATGATGCCGCCAGGAGCGCATTTTTCCCGTGGCTGAATCCTCAACTATAGTCCGGAAAAAGCAAGACTGAGGGTTATATCATGACCTCGACTCTATAGCCATGGCTGCCATTACCGAAGCCCCTGCCACAGGCCTTCTCAACCTTGAGAACGAGCTCGTCTGTTTTATTTGCACCGAGGTTCTCTATCAGCCTCTGACCCTGCTCGACTGCCTGCACACCTTCTGCGGCTCTTGTCTGAAAGAATGGTTCTCCCACCAATACCGCAAAGCAACCCACTCGCGTGCCCCTTCCTCCACGAACCCATACACCTGCCCAACATGTCGCGCTCCTGTCAAAAATGCCCGGCCCTATGCGAAGATAAATACCTTGCTGGAGATGTTCTTGATCGCAAACCCGGGCAGAGACAGGACGCCGCAAGAGAAGGCTGAGATGTCGCAGGCGTATAAGCCGGGCGAAGAAATTCTACCAAAGGTCGAGAACCACCGGAGGAGGGAGAGAAGAAGGCGTGAAGAGGAGGAGTCGGGCCTGGGAGATTCAAGGAATGCAGATGGCAGTCATGGCGAGAGAAGCAGACACGACCAACACCTGGACCCCGCTTCCGCTGACCGTAGACGAGCCACCAGCGGGAATAGTAGGAGTCGAGAACGAAGGGAGACAACAGAAAGGCAAAGGGACACTGACCGCCGCCAGAGACGTGACCAACAGCACACTTCAGATACGGAGCTCTCTCGTCCGCGAACAGCAAGCTCTTCCAACTCCGCAGATCTTTCGTCCCTATCTCCCCCACCCAGCTCACCCAGGCATCCCGAGGCTGTTGAAGCACGTCAAAGGGGTGTCCGGACAGTTGCCCATCAAGCAAGTCTAATATCCCTGGTCAGCGCTTCGGAAAGCGGCACTGGCACTGGTGACAGTTTAGACGAGGCAAGAATCATGCAAGAGATTCTGACCGAAGGCCTCTTGGATGGCATCAATATTGATGAGCTGACGGAGCAAGAACAAGATGCGCTCAGCGAGGCTATCGCCGAACGCATCAGACAATTGCACGCGGAGAGGCATCGACGACCAGGCTCAGATGATAGTGGGCCTGGCACCCAAGGGAACACGCCGAGGCCGCCGGAATCACATGCCGAAGAAATTGAGCGCCATGCCCGTCAGGCGTCAAGGAGCAGCAATCGTGAACGGACGCAGCCAAGCCCCAGATCGAGCCATAATGTGGTTATTGGAGGCAACAGCACCCGACCTCACACCACTTCGTCTCAATCCGCAAACGACCAGTTGTTGACACTGCCGCAGACTGCGGCTCACCGACGACGAGCCTCCGATGAGAGTCGAAGAGGCGAAAATTCTGCGACGAGAACAGACCGGACGCCTCATCCTGCGGTAAGATCAGCCACAGATCTCTCCAACAGACCTCAATCGAATGCAGGTGGCGCGGATCGCCTCCAGCAACTCCAGCAGGGGCCACATGCGCACAGATCCAATACGGAGCCCCGAACCCCCCCGAGAGCCTCTGAAGTGTGGCAGGCTGCTGGTGGACGCCACATGTCAAGCCCGCCGCAAGTCGCTTCGCCAGCTCAACAGTCGCCCAGGCCTGATTCTGTGCAGCCTGTCATGTCGAGCGTGGCAACTGGCCCCGTCCCAACCTCCATTCCAACTTTGGAATCAGAAGCTTCTGTTCCTGAAGCCACAGAATTACCTGCTACGAGCGTCTCAACCAGGTCGGATGAACCATCCGTTGTGTGCTCGCGGTGTTCTCGTCCGAACATTCAGTATGAAGTTCACAAACACTGTGCGGCTTGTAAGGTTGACATCTGTCTGCGGTGCTATAGAGCTGGGCGGGGTTGCAATCATTGGTTTGGTTTCTATCGCTCTGCCATGCTCAAATTCCACGCATCTCAGCCGCCAAATCGCAACAATCAGTCTATGGGACTACCACACTTGCCAACTAGCCGACAATATGAGAGACCCTCAGCATCCACTGCACAGTCAGGGCGGCTTGCTACGGCTGCCGATGCAATCTTGCGCCTGAGAGAGGGGAACTTTTGCGATCGATGTGGCCGTTTTGCCAACGATTACTTCTGGTCGTGTGACTATTGCAATGAGGGCGAGTGGGGCTTTTGCAACGACTGTGTAGGTAGCAACCACTGCTGCGATCATCCCCTGTTGCCGGTGGCCTACAAATCATCGGACTCGATCTCTGCAAGCTCTAGATTGGGAGGAGGGCCGGGTGCTGCGACACTGAGCCCCTACAGTTCTGGTGGGCGCGACCTATCCCCAGCTCAGAGCGCAGCTTCGAGCGTCACATCCGGAACCGGGCCTTATCCGGGTCTCCGCCCAGACTTTGTGCCGTTATCTGTTACTACCAATTGTGACATTTGCGCTCGCTCAATCACACTACAAGAAACCCGATACCATTGCCCGACGCATCCGACACCCTCTCCGGAAAACCCTGGCCAGAAAGGTGACTACGATATTTGCAGTACTTGCTACCATGGACTCGTTGAGTCGGGGCGGATGACCCGCGACAATGGGCCGGAAGGCTGGCGTCTCTGTCCCGATGGACATCGAATGATTGCCGTGGCCTTTGAAGGGGACGAGGAGGGCAACGAGCGCAGAATCATCACTCGCGGCATTGTGGGTGGTGTACAAATGACGGATGCAGATGTGGCAGCGTGGAAACTTGCGATGAAAAATCTACACCGCGTTGATAGAGCAAATCTTTCCGCTGTACGAGGCGATTGGAGCTGGCGAGAAGACGAAGCTGGTACACGGCGAAAAACACGAGCCAGGACTTCCACTCTGCCACGCTCAGGAATGCAATTGCCTCCGGATGGTGGCTGGGGCAAGGCCTACGTCGCCAGATGGGGTTATTACCCTTCCGAAAATGATGGCAAGGCTAAGGACGAGCTCATGTTCCCCAAGCATGCCAATATACGAGAGGTGGAGGAAATCAACGACGAGTGGTGGTTCGGCGTATATGCAGGCGATGCAGGCGTGTTTCCCGCGGTGTTTGTGAACAGGGCTTGAACGTGGCGGACGTATGAGGATGAATCATGCGGTCACGCAATCGAGCTCTGGGGTCAGCAAGGATTATTACGAAAGTTATTTAGGGGAGCGTGATGTTGCTCATGGACTTTTATGTGGAATGTGCTATGACTTGGACACTAGCGAGGAGGACTAATATTGGCAAGTTATCAGCAGAGATACCTAGCTTTGAGCCTGGAGGCCAAAGCAATGGATGTGATATATACACTCGCGCCGACATTCCCTCTTAAAATTGTCGTTTACTTGTTTGAAACCGCGATGTAGAGAGGTTAAGACAGCAAGACTTGAGCGGCATAAGGCGGCATCTTCCTGTTGCCTAATAAGGGCGAGGCTCCGCATGGATTAAGCTGACCTCGGCCAGGCTGGCATATTGGAATTTTCCCCAGTCATCGCAATTCGACCTTCTACCACCCCACGGCCTCAACAGTGGCTTCGCTCCAGCATGAACCAACAACGCTCTGCCTGTGATCGCTGCAGGGGTCAGAAGCTGCGCTGTCCACGGAACGAACAATCCAAGAGTGAGCCATGTACTAGATGCTTGAAAATCGGGGTCCAATGCGTTACCAGCAGTGCCCGACCGCTGGGACGCCCTCGAAGAACAGAAGTGGCCGGGCGAAACACCAAATTCACAAAGACAAGAGGTACACCATCTGGTACACTGGACACTGGATCCACTTCTCCAGGTCTGTCGTCGACGACGGAGGGTCTGTATGACCTGTGGATGCCTGGGAGGTTGGATGCGAATCCGGTCTATCTTCAAGACCCGTCCTACGTGACCAGTTACAATTCCGAAAATACACTACCAAGCTCGACATTCGAGGCAAATGCAGGATATTCCTTCGATGCGGATTTGGGGGCTCACGATGACCTTTTCGCCATCGGACCAACCATGCACCTTTCCCAACGCGCACAGTACAACTTTGGTCTCCCGGCTATTGCAGAAAGTCATATCCCCGGGCCATCACTGGAGCTGCTCCAGCCCCCAGACACTCTCACCGCCCTTGCGAGATTGAATGGGGATATCGCTAAACAGATATCTAACGTCGACGTATATTTCTGGGGACCCGTAAATACAGGGCAGCATTGTATCGACAAGCTTCACCAAACTGAGGGAAACCCTGTCGCCGAGATGCTAAAGAGCACCTCTCGCTTGGTCGATATTCTCGAAAAGCTAGCTCCGTTGTCACCACCGCCAAAAGAATTGATCGCCGGGTCTGTAGCGCTCGGATCCACTACCTCAGACTCTGGCAACTCCAGTTCGGCCTCCGGGCGAAAGCAGACGTCGCCGCGTGCGCCGCGTTCGCCAGCTCATTCATCCTCGACAAGTCTAAGTTTGTTGAGTACCCCCGTGGTGCTAATGCTTTTGTCAAGCTATATCCTCCTGTTGGAACTTTACAGCGCAATTTTTAGCCGCGTAAATGGTGCTCTGTCGCAGATCGGAGACATATCCAACTTCTTGCAGGGGTTACCTGAGGTTCAAGTGGCTGGCCTGCCGCCAGTGAAGGCACAACTGTACGCGAAGATCATTATTCAAATCATCGACCATAATTTCGACCAGCTCGAGCGCCTGTTGGGCCTCCCCGAGGAATTTGGCCTCTCTGAACGGACGCCGGACTCGAAGGGTTTACTAAGTACTACGGACCTATCTCAACTTCTACATACAGCCATGACACAGGTGACAGGAAATCATGGCACCTCAGGCAGTTCAACGCTGAGATCGTTCAGAGCTAATCTGAGAGGTCTCCGAGGCATGCTACTCAGATAGAGATGCGCCACCTATCCTGGATGATCTTGAATAATACTGTCAGATAAACATCGCTTGACACAGTCAAACCTTGCGAGAAAGTGCATCAAAGAGGACGCAAGGCGATCAAGCTACATCTTCCCCTTCATCCTAGACTTTCTCATCCTCCCTATAGAAGAAATCTTGGAACTCGACTGCTACCTTGCCGTTACTTGAGCCCTGCGAAGATCCGTGGGAGCCACACATCAAGCCGGTGACCTCAACCGTTGCCCTACGGTCAGACTACTTTTCAACACCCTCTTCCTTCGAAGCCATGATTTTGTTCTCCTGATTTTCCATGCCAAATTCGGTTTCAAGCTCCTGACGGAGCGGAATCTCTTTCTCCAAAAACGAAAGCAAAAACCCTAGTCCTGCGAATCCGATTCCAACTTGCCATGTTCGGCGGAGACTTTCATTCAAGACTGTGATAACTTGTTCCCTAGTGGGAGCAGATAGGGTGTTGAGGAAAGCAGCTGTGGCATGGCCGTAGGCTTGGCCATTGATGAGTTGCCCCCTAACGACTGAATCTGTGATGCCTGTCGTTGCAAGAGCGTCGAAGCGATTATTAAATATCGCAGCAGGAATTGCGGTACCCCAAGTCAGTCCAAAAGCGCGCAAGAACGCCCAAGTTGATGTTGCAAGTGCTGTGTCGCTTTCCGAGAGCGGCGCCATCACGGCAGGCAGCAACGTTGAGAGAATCAGGCCTGTTCCAGCAGAACCACCTATTTGATATCCAACCCACGCGCCTGTGGAAGAATTTTGGTCGAGAAGGTCGAAGAGACCGAAGCCTAGCACCATCATGGCAAAGCCTGCGCTATGTAGGGGTCGATAGCGGCCAAACTTGGACATAGCCACTCCTCCCATCGCACCAAAAGGGATCAGGGCCAGTATGCTGGGCAGAAGTTGGACTCCCGAGTAGGCGGGCGATGAGCCGAGGACGCCTTGGAAGTATACCGGAAGAAAATAAATCCACCATATGCTGACTATGCTGTGCAATAGTGTGAGGATATATGCAGTACCCGATGTGCGGTTCGACATCAGATGCAGCGGCATGGTTGGCTGAGAAGCAAATCGCGAGCCTTCAAATACAAGGAATCCTGCTAGGCCCACCAAGCCTACCACCAGTGGAATAAGAACATGGTATGATGACCAGGGATACACGGCACCGGCCCAAGATAGTGCGATGAGGACAGCGCAGATGGCGGCGATAAAGATGACATTGCCAGCCCAGTCAATCGAGGTCAGCTTGGTGGCAAACTTGACGTCCCTGTTCCATCTCACCTTCAAGAAGGCAAAGAGCAGTGCGACCGCGACGCCGCCAACGGGAAGATTGAGGTAAAAGACCCATCGCCAGGTGGAATAGTCGACAATGAGGCCCCCGAAGAATGGTCCAAGAGCCGTGCCGAGAGCAATGAGGCCAAAAAGTATGGCAAAGTAGTTGCCTCGTTGTCGCAAAGGGACCAAATCGCAGATAATGATCTCAATGAGGACGCTGGTGCCACCCGCCCCGGCTCCCTGGATCACGCGGCCGGCAATGAGCATCGACATGTTTCTGGCTCCTCCACAAACACCGCTACCCAAGACAAAAGCCGCTGTTGCAGCGATAGCTGGCCATCGACGTCCGAAAACGTTCGCCAGCTGTCCGTAAAGGGGCTGCAATGCCGTCCTGTCGTGAAAATAGGTCAACACCGAGGAGATGCGCCGACGAAAGAGGCTAATTGCAACACGAAGACATCGGACTTACATGGTCAAGAAGTACCCATTGACGGCCCATATATACAAGTCACCGCCACCTAGATCGGCGATGATAGACGGCAAGGCTGTGGATGTGATGGTTGCGTCAAGCGCTGTCAGCATACCTGTGAAGCTGAGTGCCACCAAGATCATCCAGAACCGCAACCCTTTCTTCGATCGGCCGGTTATTGGCTTGGTCGAGAGCTGAGCATCTTGTGAAGCAGTAATCTCCGCCTTCTCGCTTGCTGTCTCGTTGTCTATGTTGGCATTGGAATTGAGCCCGGTCTTGTCATGGCAGAGGTCCATTTCCGTACGCGGACTTGACTCGATGCGTGAACTCTCTTCTTCCAATTTATCCATTCTCTTCTAATTCAGGGCTTTGTGCTGACAGTCATCGACGACGGATGGACGAACGGAGAAACGAAGGAACGGAGCGTTTTGACGGACCAAGGGCGGTTTATACGGATCTGAGATGCCGATCTTCAGGAGGGTGTTGCGCGAACTCAAACCTCAATCTATAGCAAAAGGATGCAAGGAAGGTTAAAGATGCCAAAATGTCACACTGGTCAAAGGAGCATCAAGAAGTCTTATAGATGCTGCTGCCACTACGGACAACAGTCAGATTGATATTTACGGGGGCTTTCCTGATCGGAGGCTTTCATGCTTTTCGATTCGGAGGCCTTTCGACTGTTTCGGAGACTTTTAAAGGAGAAAGCAGGCAGGCTTATATCTCGCGAAATCGATTCAGGCTACAACCTTCCCCTGCTGTCATATTCGGATATCTTTAACCTTGTCGATAAGGGGACAACTGACTGCCATCGTAGATGAGATATGCTGCGCAGTCTCCATTTAGGGCGGCATCAGTTACGCACTGATCCGGATAAGGATGCGAGTTCTACTGATCTTGGCAAAGAGACTCTCCCCTCCCAGGCCTAAATGCTTCTGCTTCTTACACACCAGCAGATGCTGCCACAGTACCACTACTTAACTCGACTAGATCACCGGAAGCTATTTTAATAAGCATAAGGAAGCGAACCGCATCCCGCAGCAGCGGACCAACATCTTTCGCTGAGCTTGTGAACAAGCTGTGTGGACGAGGCTTGGTCTAGTTCTATTGGAACGCGAAGAATGCATATCCAACGGGTGAGTTTCATTCGCCGTCTATACCTTCCTCTTTCTGGGAAGCTCTAGTATAAGGCATTTTCTGCATTGCCTTAGCTTGCTTTTACAGACGCTGATCATTGATTGCTGTTTATGTTTCCACAGCTCTTCATATACCCAGTCAAGTCCCTCCTCCCAATCGAGGTCACCGAAGCAGAAATCACATCGACGGGGCTGAAATACGATCGGTCGTTCATTCTCATCAAGGATACGGATGTCGTGGACATTGAGGGCAGCAGTTCACTGGTACAGGAACATTTGACCATCAAAACACTGTCAAAGTTGTGCTTGTTCCAGCCGTCAATCCGGTCCCATGGAGAATCATCTTCACCTCAAGTGCTGAGCATCAAACACACACTCAGTGGCGAGGAGATCGACTTCCCACTCGTACCTGCACCAAGTTCTTTGGGTAAGGCCAAGGCATATACCGTCGAGCTCTTCGGCACGCGAGCTGTGGGAGAAGATATGGGCGATGAGATCGCGGCGTGGTTTACAAAGCACCTAGGAGATAGAGCAAGGCTGCTGTATATGGCTGGCGGTCGCGCAGGGTCACGAGACTGTCCTGCTCCAGCACTCATTCCACGCAAACCAAGACCGCGGACCGGATTGTTGTCCTGGGTCAAAGCTCTGGACGAAGAGCTTCATGCCCAGAAGATCCAGTTTGCTGATGCTGCGCCTTTGTTGATCACGACAGTGAGCTCCGAAACGGATGCGAAGGGGCGGCTACCCAAGAATGCAGCAGGAGATGAGGGTGAAGAAGACGATGTCATTCTGCGTTTCCGTTCGAATGTACACATTGACAACGTCGCCGCTGGCGGAGAGCACAATCCCATGAGCGACGATGAGGATGGCAAAAACGCATCAGCGCCCTACGCGGAAGACAACTGGAAGACTCTGAATATTATCGCTGCAAGCCCCAGTGATGACACTGCTGCCTCAAACACCCCAGTTCACCTTGACCTGGTCTTCAACACGGTCCGCTGCATGTCCTTGAATGTGGACTTCCGCACCGGTGGCACCGTGCCGCCCGAGCGTCAGCTCTATAAACTCCTGACCAAGGACAGGAGAGTCAATCCGACGTTTCCCTATAAGCCGTGTTTTGGACGATATGCTTTTGCGGAGCCTTTTGGGACAGTAATAAGGGTCGGAGATCGGGTGGAGGTCGAGGAATGGTGTTGAAAATGTTAGGTTCTTTCTTGAAAGCCACGCGAATCCTCGTTTGTTTTGTTTTGTTTAGATGCCTGGGACTGCTGACTTTGAAGCTGGGAAGGGCAGCGGCGAAAGGCTGCCCATACTAGACACGGAGAGTTGTGTTGGTGTTAGTGGGATGTTCACGAAGGAGTTTTGATTATGATTTTTTTCGGTTTCTCTTTTTGCTACTACGCGGGGAAGTTGGTTGAAGTGATACTGTATGAGGTATCACGATCAGACCTTGAATGAGCTGGATGCTCATCAAGGTTCTCACCCAGCAATCTTGGTGGGACTGTCTCCGAGATCGCGCGCTCGGTAGACAACCTGGAATGCCATGTTCGTGATACACGTACGGAGACGCTCCAGGTAGTCAGAGTTACACTGAATGCGAATTTGGTCCGACTTGCGTTCCTAAAACAGAACCAAATCTCACACTTAACAAGGAGACATCCCCTTTCCCAGCATACCATATTTTGTTTCTTCGTCCGTAGCAAGGCTTGCCTGTCGGTAAAGACGGACTCCACATCGAAAGATCCGACCAGATGGGACTCTGATCTGTGAGACCAATTCTGTCCTACTAGCGACAACGGAGCACAAACTGGTCTCCAACTACTGCATATGTGCCAATTTGAGGGGAAGGGGAATGATAATCGGAGAGAAACAGTCCGGATCATCGACTGCCACGCAGAAACTTGGCAGTGAGATCAACGTGCGGGGAGTTAGGGGTATATACGAGGTACAGTACATACCATCAAAGAAAAACACGCTTGAGATACGGATACATAGCCCGGTTCGGCGGCGTCGGGGTCTTGGTTGATAGATATACAACCATTCCAGGATAGCCGGTGCATAGCTTTTTCTCCGTCGTCGTCGAGGGTCGTCGTATCCCTTTGCTGTTAAATTGTCACCCTTTCGAGCCCACTGGTTTCTCTTTGTCTGGCCCGACAATATTCTACAACCCCCCTTTTCCCAAAGAATGGCTACCGGCTCCAGCTGGAAGATGGCGAGGGAGGAGCTTGTCAAGATCTCCATCGCGGACGCCACGGAGCGCGCCAGCCGCGCTCTCCGCGCAGTGGGATACAGCGAGGACGACGCGGCCACGATCTGCGCGCACATCATGGACGCGCAACTGCGCGGATACGGCCCGACGGGGGTTGCCAGGATCCTCACGATCGCGAACCTGCTCAAGCAGCAGAGATCCAATAAGCTGGTGGGAAGTGACGACATGGTGGTGACGCGCGAGAGGCCCGCGTCGGCGCAGCTCGACGCCAAGGGCGCAATCGGGTACCTGGCGGCGCACCGGGCGACGGCGCTTGCGATCGCCAAGGCCAAAGCGACGGGGGGAGTGGGCGTCGTCGGGGTCAGCGACACCTTCTACGCGGGCATGTTGTCGTACTACGCCGAGATGTGCACGCGGCAGGACCTGGTGGCGCTGATCATCGCCAGCGCGGGACCCTGGGTCGCTCCCGAGGGCAGCTCGACGCCGCGCTTCGGCACGAATCCCATGTGCATTGCGTTCCCGTCGGGGACTCGCAGACCCGTCATCTGGGACATCGGCACGTCCAAGATCACCCACGCCCAGGTCAAGCTGGCGCAGCTGATGGGCGAGGACCTGCCCGAGGGCACGGCCTTCGACAAGGACGGCAACCCCTCGCGCGACCCCTTCAAGGCCCTCCCCGAGGACGGCGGCGCCATGGCCGTCTGGGGCGGGCACAAGGGCAGCGGCCTCGCCATCGCCATACAGCTGCTGGGTGCATTGGCCGGAGCCCCAGCACACACGGCCAACGATCACGGTTGGGGGCTGCTGGTCATCGCCATGGACCCGGAGATGTTCAGACCCATCGACGACTTCAAGCGCGAGGTTGACACCTACTCCGACACCATCCGCGCCAGCCAGCCGCTCAAGGGCAACGGGCCCATCAGGATGCCCTTTGATCGGAGCTGGGAGACCCGTGAGCGCACGCGAGAAGGCGGGTTTGTCGAGGTGGAGAGATCAGTGCTGGAGGGTTTGCAGAAGCTGATAGATGGGGCAAAATGAGAGAAGAAAAAAAAATGGACACTTTTCCTTCGATACCAAATCTCAACAGAAAAGACTGAATTTAGAACTTTGCGTGCCAAATGGCCCTTCTGTTGCTAGCTCATCCCAAGCCGTTTCCACCTAGAGCCTTTCGTCTACTTGGTGGATCACTCAGTCTACAGGAGCCAGAGATCGATAGATACAAGTGGCGATTACAGGTCCATGTATCCCATTGTGTATCAAGATAATAGTAATCTAATCCTCAAAGACCCTGCACCAACTTTCCCAAAAGCTTGTCCAGCATCACTTCTCCTCCTCCGTCTCCTTTTGTGGGAACTTGTCCAGCCACTCCTCATCGCCACCAATGTACCTATAAATGACCTTGGAGTCCATGCCAGCACAGCGCGGGTCCTTGCCGGCCTCGACGTACGTGTTCCACGTGGTGGGGCCGACGCAGAGCTTTGCCCCGACGCGCTCGCACGCCGCGATGGCCAGGCCAATGTCCTTCTTGACATACTCGATCTTGAAGCCGGGCTTGTAGCCGCGGGACGAGGGCGCGTCGGGGCTCAGGCCCGGCACAGGGTTGGCCCACTGGGCGTTGCGGTTGCAGCCCGTGGTGGTCTGGAGGATCTCCTGCAGCGTGCGCGGGTCCATGCCGGACTTGATGGCGAAGTTGAACATCTCGGCGTTGAGCAGCGTGATGGACGAGCTGAGGTAGTTGTTGCAGAACTTCGCCGTCAACCCCAACGACGGGCCGCCGCACGTGTAGATGTTGTGGCCCATCAGCGACATCAGCGTCTTGAGCAACGGCAGCAACGGGTCCGACTTGGCACAGCCGATCATGAATGTGATGGAGCCTTTCTTCGCGCCGGCCGTGCCTCCGGACACGGGGGCGTCGAAGAAATGCGCTCTCGGGTGCTGCTTCCGTGTCTCCTCGCCCACCTCGAGCGATGTCGCCGTGTCAATGGTGCTGCTGTCGAGCAGGATCTTGCCGCTGAGATCTTTGGCCGCTAGCACGCCGTTCTCGGGATCCAAATAGACCGCGCGCACATGTTTGCCCTCGGGGACCATTGACATGAACATATCCTATAACAGAAGCGACCCTTGATCAGTTAACTTGGCCGACGGAACTTGTCGAAAAAGGAAGGGGCCATGGATCATGGAAATGAGGATGTAATACACTCTTCTCAGCGACCTCTCGCGAACTGCTGCAGGGATCCAGCTTGGCCACCGCGCCAGACTCTTTCAACCCCCTTTCCATTGACTCCGGGTTCACATCGTAGAAGTGTACCGTCGAGGTCTCGGGCAGTTTGCTGACCAGGTTGCAAAACATGGGGAAGCCCATATTCCCAAGTCCAACGAAGCCAATGTTGGCGGGCAACTGAGGTTCCGCCGAATACGAGCCCATTGTTTGGATTGCTGCTGGCTGCTTGTGGTTGCTGTTGGTCTGTCGATTTGTCGGTTTGTCGTACTGATAAACCAAAGCCAAAATCCGGGAACGGCTACCACCAACTCACTAAATAGTGACAACGGTGATGGTCACTTTCTCTGATCTTTCAAGTCCATTAGCCGACTAAGCGGCCCCCGCGTCGTCCCTTGGTCGGCAAGGAGTTTGGTTAGTGCAACGACTCCGTGTACTCTCGAACGGAGATCGACTGGCCCCGAAAGACGCGACATTGCTCGTCAAGTGAGGGGATGGTCGAGGCGAGAGGCTAGTCCGGAGGATGAGTCTCCGAACATTGGATTTTGAACAGGTATGCTTGCTCGGCTAGTGAGGCTGGGGACTTGATCTCCATTTACCCCGGGCCCCGCGGGTGGACCCCGACTATTACATATCCCGTGCAATGGCCCAGTGGATGTGGCGATCCACGGTAGAACCGTTCGGGGCGCCTCCATTGTGGATTGCCTTGGGGAAGGGACCACAGCCGACTCGAGACTCTCCTGCCCCGGGCACGAGTTGAAAGTCTGTCGGGAATGACTAGTGGGGACGACATCTCCATCATTCACTCCAGCACCGCCAGGCTGGCGGCGACTCCAAGGAAGACTTCGACCGAGGACGCGGGAATATGAACGTTTCTTTGGCCGATTTGACAAACCCACTCGCACAAGTAAGTGGGATTCGGTCATTGTGAGCACACCCCTCAGTCCTTGCTCTGATATATGCCTTCGCCGACGAGCAGAGCCGCTCAGTAAGATCCAAAGAACAGAGAACCTCTCTCATAGCGACAACCATGGGAGATATCACGCACCCACCTGGCGACGACGACGCTCTGCGTCTACCCGTCCCGGCGCCAAACCAGGTATACGTGAAAGTATCCGCGCTCAACGGGGGTTTCTTGACCCTTCCGGAGCGCAACTTTGTGACGGACCCGGATCCAGAGAAAGGGACAACGGTGCCATCGATGTGCTTTCTGATCGAGCACCGGGAGCCGAGCACTTCCAAACTCACCCGGGTCGTGTTTGACCTGGGCATCAAGCGCGACTTGACGCGGTACGCCCAGCCCGCGACGCAGCACCACATCACCACCCGACAACCGGTATATTCGTCGGCGGACGCGCGGTCGAGCCTGATGAGCGGCGGGCTGGACCCGGCCAGGGACATCGACTACGTGATCCTCAGCCACATCCACTGGGACCACATCGGCCTGCCGTCCGACTACCCCAACTCGACCTTCGTCGTGGGCTCGGGCACGCTGTACATCCTCGAGAACGGCGCGCCGCACTACCCGCTCGAGCGCATCGAGAAGGGCGCCCTGCCAGCGTCGCAGACCACGGAGCTTCCGCCCGTGCCCGATTCGGACAGGAAACACATGGCGGCCACCACCTCGCAGACAAAGCATACGTGGACGTCCATCTCGACGCTGCCCCACGCGGTCGACTTCTTCGGCGACGGCAGTCTGTGGATCATCGACGCCCCGGGCCACATCCACGGCCACGTGAATGCTCTGCTCCGCGTTGGGCCCGAGAAATGGGTCTATCTGGGCGGCGACTGCTGCCACGACCGCCGCATCATGACGGGTGAGAAGCAGATTCTAGAGTACGACAACGGGCAGGGCAAGTTGAAGAGTGCGCACGCCGAGTTGCACAAGGCCCGGAAGACGATCCAGAACGTGCAGAGGCTGATAGAGGTCAACGGCGAAGCCGTTGAGTGGATCGTCGCGCACGACTGGAAGTGGGCTTCGGAGAACCAGAACCGGTTCTTCCCAAGGTGGATGTACTGAGAGCGTATTGTTCTCTATCCTTTCTATAGCAAGCGGACATGTCCAACGTGTCCTGCTTTCCTGCACAGAACAGAATTTTGCATCAAGCTACACTGCTCTCCCATACCCCTTACACCTTCTCCTTCAACTGTCTCTGGTGTTCTCCACTTTCGATCATTTCGTTGATTGACGTCTCGGCCACTTTCAAGGCTTGCACACCAGCAGGTACGCCACAGTACACCATAGACTGCATAATGACCTCTCTGATCTCGACCTCCGTCACCCCATTGCGGATGGCTCCTTTGGTGTGAATGGCCAATTCATGCCAGCTGTGCAAGGCAATCATGAACCCCAAGTCTAAATTGGTCAGAAAAGTGCCGGATGAAAGCGTCATCGTTGTGTAAGAGAGAGGAAGACCATTCCAGTTGTGTCGAGAAAGCAAAGTGTTTTTGCGCTGGAAAAGATGCGCGAAAGGGAAGGACGCTTTGGACGTACTGACAAGGCTTCTCGACCTGCGATCGAGTTCCGGGCGAGCCCAGACTTTCCCCCAACAGAACTCGGTAGTGAAGTCCTGCAGCGGTTTTGCAAACTCGCTTTGTCGCGCTGCAAGGGATCTCTGGACATGTGCCTCTCCCAGCACGGCGATGCGGACTTCTTTGCCCTTGTCGTATAAAGAACTTTCGCCGCTCATCCTGATTAGCTATTTTGCGGTTGTCGACTCTCGCTTCTTTCCGAATTGACGGACTACAGCTCCCTGGGTGTGCCATAACATCGGCATAATATAAGAGACTCGCCATCTCGGACTAGTGGCAGCAACAGAGCGACTCAGGCATTCACGAATTGGAGTCCTGCTGCTAGCCTGTACCCCAAAGCAGGGGGATAAGTGGACCAATTTCGCTGGACGTCCGCTGCGGAGAGTCATGCTCCAAAGCCCGGAGCATCATCGTCCGGGGCCAATACAGCTCCTTTAGCCTCACGTGTTTGTCAGTCTTCGTGGAGCGGACACGGCATCGAAGCTTCTGTCTCCCAGCTCTACCACAGAAGACTGCTCGCTCCAAATGCATGCATCTTGCTCTTAAAATGCTCTAGTGCCATTGAAGAAGTTGTCAGACATATCCGTGTAAGGCAACATGGGCTCGTCCATGAGTCCGAAGAGCGGATCATCAGGAATGTCAGAGTCAAAGATTACTTCACCCGAGTACTGTACGTTTGAGCTCGTTACAGTTCTCGGGGGGAACATGCTGAAGATCGTGTCCAAGTCAAACGATGACGGCGAGTAGCTGGGATATATAGTTTCCTCTGTGCAGGGAGTCAGCGAAGAAGATCATAGAGATCCGAGTCATATTTACCTGGCTGCAACACAATCTTGCTGGCCTCCATCAATCTTTGTATGATCTTCATTGGCTTAGAAACGCCTGGGTTGGCAAGACACAGCTGTTCAAGACAGGACAAACTTGCCGCAAGCAGGGAGGTATGCTCTCTGTTGTTGCCGCTTGATGCATCGGCTGCGGCGTTGCGAACGTGGATCGTGCAAGCAACGTATATGGCATAGCTCAACAAGTACGGTGCGCCTCTCAGACTGTATGCAGTTTTCCAGGCCAGTGCAATGCTCGTGATGCTTCGTGCAGCCGACGTGCAGCGACCCCAAGACAGCGACGGAGTGGCGGTGGAGCGCAAATGTCCATCCGATATGAACGGTCGGTGTAGGAGAATGAGCAAGGAATGATAGAGTGCGTGCACATTCATTAGATTTGGAGGAGGATACGATGTCGGATCGGACTGCAAGAGCCGCGGCTGGAAATCCAGATTTGTCGGCAAGTTCTCCCTCCACGCTTGTAACGCATTATCGACAAGCTGCAGACTGGCCTGAGCGTTACGAGGTGTCGCTCCAACCACGTAGAACGTGTTGATGATCTTCGTCATGATTTTTGATAGCAGACAAAGCTGTTGGAAGGTCGAGACCGAGTAAATAGGAAGGCCAAGAAATGGCGAAGTAGTCTGAGGGCTTGGGTACTTGGGATCTTTGTACGGCACGTATAGCTCCTGCTCTTCAAGAGTGTCCATGAAGTCTCGCGAGACATGCGAGTCACGAAGATTGATGGCCGCGGGACGTCCAAGATAGAGACTTTGCAGCTTGTCGGAGACAAAGGCTCCCCAGAAGACCCTCCGACGTATCTCCACCTGCTCTGGAGAGTCGCTGGTCTCTTTCGGGTCGAGATGGAGACCAAGGTCATAGACCATGCGCAGGGCATAGCCCGTGTACAACCAGCCTTTTGAGGTCTCGCCTTTGGCATTGTAGCTCGATCCTAGTAGCAGAAGTCCAACCACCGTAGGCAACTTGGGGTATATTAGAAGGGAATCTTCTGCAAGGAGCTCATCACAACGCCGGAAGAACCGCCGACCTGCTGTTGAAGGATCTGAAGGATCATCTCGGACCTCTACTCTGGCAGAAAACTTGCTTGTACACGCAAATATCGCATGAAGCAGGAACCTCGAACAATGAGGTCCGTTTCGCAGAAGATCTCTTATAATGGCAGGTCGGTAGGTCAGTAATAAAGTGTGATGTTGGCGGCTCCAGTGTAATTCAAGTAAATGGATGGCCAACTCTGTGGGCACCCCGTGGACGTCGGGCAGCAAAGCCAAGTGGCGCTCGTTCTGTCGCTGAAGGGCAGCTTCAGCAATCAAGCAGTTCCTGATATGATCTCTCGCCAGAGAGGCAGCTGATTGCAAAGAGGTGCTACCGGATCTTGGATGATAGTGGAGAGCGGACGAAGGTCCAAAACTGCTGGGCTTCCCCGCCTCATCAACAGAAAGGAAAGGGCCGATATCGAATTCTTCGTCGGATGAATCTTCCAGACTCCCCAGGCTGCTGCGGCGCCGCAGCCTGTGTGAAATGTTAGGCGCAGCATCCTGGTTTGCTGACGGTACAGCCAGTTGAGGTTGAGGTGAAAATCGAGTTTCAGTGGTGCGCTCTTCGCTGCTGTCATCCGGTAACCGAACATGCCCGTCGCACATGGTCACCGACGTCAACAATCTCTCTCGTTTTGTGGGTGACGCAGATTTGAGCTTGGAGATGAAAGCATCAAGCACCGAGTTTTGCTTCTGCAGCTCGTGAATGCGTGCTAATGTCGGTCTGGATGTTCCACAGCACGTCAATGATGAAGCTCCGAGGGAATTTTGTGGCTACGATGAACGCACCTCCTCTGTGGCGTCTCTTGCTTGTAGACGCAGTCCTTCCCCTGCATGGCGCACGAAGTACAACGGGGTCGTGCCGTGTCACAGCGGGTTTTTCGAGCTCGACAGGACAGACATGCTCGTGCAAGTGACCTAGGGCCCTCTTGGAGTGACTTTTCCGCCATTCTTTCATTCTTCTGTCCCGGCTGTGTGCGCGGTGTCGTCGGGGTGGTTACCATGGCGAGGACCGCGCAAGGATCAAGCCGCGAGAGGGAGACTCAATTGACGGAGTAGCATACCTAGGTATGTACATAAGGACCAGGTATGGGTAGAAGGCCAATTGAAAGAGTACTATAAGTTGCTGTGTTTTTGGAGTTGTTTAAAGAATATCAATTGACTAGAACTCCCCCACACTGTGACCCTGTGACCCTGCGGAGACCCTACAGACCTTCTCGTAAAATAGTATTCCCTTCCCCGAACGCCGTGGAAGCCCAATTCTTTTGTGATGGCGGGACAGCCTCGAAACCAATAACTTAGAACCGTCTCGATAGGAGCATATCTCTGGTTGGCCGGTGATATTGTCAACTGCATTCCAGATAGATTGCCAAAAAGGGGAGTGCGGCATAGTATATTGTTCGGTCGTTGATTCATACTTGGGCCTTGAAGAGCCAGAATCGTTTCGACCAAGCTGATATCCTATAGGACTCGTCTACAGTGGAGCATCACTCCATCAAGATCGTCTTCTTCGATTGCAGGCAGCTAACCCAACGTCCTCTAAGGATCATATTTGCCAGGAAAACCTGAAACTTGAAACCTGGTGGTCTCTCGACAGATAGACAGTCTTTCCTCCCTCTCAGTAACTCCCGTCGGTTAGTAGGTGTATCGAAAACCAAGCTGGCCCTCGATAACGATCTCACCACGGTCGGCCCGCCTGTTCTGGACGTAGAAGATGACAAAGTTCTTCAACACAAGCACAAAGTAGAGCATCTAGACAGGACGTCAGAAGATTCGTCTGGTGGTCGAGCCACGTTGTTTTGGAGAGAGTGTTTCTTCTTCTTACCTGAAACCCAATGCAGATCCACAGACCAGATCTGTAGCCCGGCGCATCCTGGGACTCGAACACGTTGCCCGCGATGATACCGCCGAAGGCGCCCCCCATGACCATCAGCGCCATGGTGAGACCCTTCTTGTTCTGCCCGACCATGTTGTTGTGGGCATAAGCCCACTGCGTAGGGATATTTGCAATGATGCCCATCACACCCAAGAACACCCCGGCATAGCGGGCGTGCACTTCCGAGGCAAACCCCGTTAGAGACACCCCGACAATGTACATCGACGCGTTGAAGATCATGATGGGGCCACGGACTTTGAAATGATCGCCTGTGAACGCACAGATCATGATCCACGCCGCTCCTGCCGCGTAGGGAGGGAAAGTCAGCAATTGGGCTCGGCCGGTCGAGTAGCCGAAGCCGTCCTTCAAGATCACTGGCAGAAAGTATGAGAACGCGTAGACGCCCGTGTTGTTGAGCAAGAGGTACAGGGTAAACTCCCACAGCTTCCAGTCCTGGAAATGCTTCATAGCGATCTTGAGTGTGATTTTGTCCTCGACGGCATCGCCACGATCGCGCTCTACGCGAGCGAGAACAATGGCGGCTTCCTCAGGCGTCAAGAACCCGGGCAGGCCAAGCGAGTTTTTGACTGTGGCCTTTTCTGGGAAGTCAACCATGACAACGTACGAGGCGAGGCCAACGATTGTGCTGACAATGCCCTCCTGTTTATCCGAACCTGTCAGCATATAGCCATACCTTATGGCACAGTAATCGAGAGGGTTGTGGCTTACTATGATAAAGATCCAGGACCAGCCATTCAAGCCTGAATCTCCGGCCATCTGCTCGATGCCGTAGGCAAGCAGCCCGGCTAGGCCGCTGGACGCATTGCCAATAACGTAGAATCCAGCAATGCGAGCCTGGATCTCGTAGCGTGTGTACCAGTTATACAGCAGAAACATGGCTGCGGGGACAAGACCACCTTCAAGGAAGCCAAGGAGGACACGGCATAGGGCGAGTTCGCCCCAGGTCTTGACGAAGCCTTGACAGAGCGTCACGACACCCCATATGGTTGTGATGGTCCCGATCCACAGCGCCGGGCCAATCTTTCGGACAAGGAATGTAGCGGGGATGTCGACGAGACAGTACCCAACGAAGAAGATCATGGCCAAGACAGAGTAGCGGTTGCCGATGTTGGTCTTGAGATCTTCGCTCATGCCGGCAATGTTGGCCTGCGATGTGGTCAGTCGTTGCCTCAGGGATAAACTGCGGGTTGATATTCAGAGGGTTCTCACATTTCCCAAGTTGGCCCTGTCGATGAACGCCCACATGTAAAGCAGCGAGAGCATGGGCACAAGACGCAAGTCGACTTTCCGCATGACCTTACGGACAGTCTTGGGATCCTCCTCGAGATGAGATTCCAACACCGCCTTCAACGGGATGTGGTACTTCTGCTCGAGCTCGTCGGCATCGTGCTGTTCCTGCTCCGAGATGAGGTCCTTGATGTGACCCTGCTTCTCTGCATCTTCGACATGATGCATGGCAGTGTTCTTGACGCCAATTGTATTCGTCATGATGATGACTGAAGAACAAGGAGACACGGCGGGATGTGCTGGAAGATGTACAGACCGCGGGCAGCTGAGCACACAGGAGACTTGCGACGGGGGAGAACGAGATAGAGACGACGGCCCTACCCTAAGTATCATGAATCACCGCCTGGCACCTCATGGAGCAATGGTCCCCGAGGACAACGGCCAACACCATTCCCATTTGCGCTTGGCGGTGCGAGGCTGGACCAGCACATGGTAGTTTCGACCAACATGGACGGCAGGAAAAGGGTATCACTCTGGGGCATGCCCTTCCCCGCAGCATGTACTCCAGATTCTTGCTAGTGGCACGGAGGGGATGGCAAGTGCCAGTTAATATCGGGTATCGCGGCTTAGGCCCTGCAGGGATTGCGGAGCTTGATCCTGCTATCAACCCGTGTTGGCGGAGGGAGAGTCTCCGAAGCTGGGGGTTGGCCCGCGAGAAGGCGGTCGCTGTCTTGCCGTGTATCAAACTTGGATCATGAGAGGTCTGTCTCACCACCAATGACATCGAGTAGAATGAAAATTCAGAAAACCACGGTAACCTGATCACAGCCTTGTTCACTCGTGCTAAAGAGGGCATTTAATTTCTGCATTCGCCAACATATACTGCTGAAGCCGCCGAGGTCTGGACCGTTCTGTTCCACCTGTCGGACCTCTGAACCAACAGACTTTTCATTTCTGTAAGAGGAAGCTGCGACACCACGATGAGTTTGCCCACAGAGTGTGATGTGCTTGTCGTTGGCAGCGGCAATGCTGGCTTCGCTGCAGCTCTTTCAGCCTCTCAATCAGGAGCAAAGAGGATCTTACTGATCGACAAGTGTCCCAAATCATGGGCGGGCGGGAATTCCTACTTTACTGCTGGAGCATACCGAACCGTTCACCATGGCTTAAACGACCTCTTGCCTATTGTAAACAATGTGGACACCAAGTTAGCAGGGAAGATCGATCTTGACCCCTACACGGAGAAGGACTTTTCTGATGATATGTATCGTATCTGTGGAGGGAGATCGGATCCCGAACTTTCCAGAGCTTTGATTAAAGATTCCAACTCAGCCGTTAAGTGGCTAGCTCAGAATGGGATCCGGCTCCAGCTCTCCTTCAATCGACAAGCATATGAGGTCAACGGCCGCTTCAAGTTCTGGGGGGGTCTCCATCTCAAAACCCAGGACGGAGGTAAAGGTCTGATCGAAGACTACCTCAAGATTGCACAAAGACAAAAGATTGCGCTCGCCTTCAACACAGCACTTACTGGTTTATCGCCAGACGCCAGTGGCCAGGTCAACGTAACCGTTCACCGGAACCGGAAGGAGCACACCATCAAGGCTGGGGCTGTGATTCTCGCTGCGGGAGGCTTCGAAGCGAGCCCACGCCTACGGTGCCAGTACCTGGGTCCTGGCTGGGATATGGCCCTCGTGCGTGGAACGCCTTTCAACACTGGCGACTGTCTGGAAATAGCCATGCGAGACGTCTCTGCGCTTGCAGCTGGAAACTGGAGCGGGTGCCACTCGGTCGCCTGGGATGCGAATGCGGACCCCAACAGTGGGGACCGACTGGCATCAAATGAGTATACCAAGTCTGGATATCCTCTAGGTGTCATGATTAACGCGCAAGGGAAGCGTTTTGTGGACGAAGGAGTCGATCTCCGGAACTATACTTACGCTATATTCGGGCGTGCAATTCTCGCCCAGCCCGAGAGTGTGGCGTTCCAAGTATGGGACTCTCGCACAAGTCCTTGGTTGAGAACGGAGGAATACCGAGAGGAGCGCGTCGAGAGAATTACCGCCGATACCATCGAGGAGCTAGCCAGTAAATGTGTTCAACGAGGACTCCGCAACCGCGAGAACTTCATCAGCACCTTGCGCGAGTACAACGACGCTGTCTATGCTCATCGGAAAGAGCATCCTGGAGCCACCTGGAACCCGGCCATCAAGGACGGGCTATCAACACAGTCTTCCACCAAAAAACTGTCGCTGGCTAAGTCGAATTGGGCGCTCCCAATTGACCAGGGTCCATTCCTTGCTGTCAAGGTCTCATGTGGAGTGACCTTTACGTTCGGCGGGCTATCTGTGGACCCGGAGACGGCGCAATTGAAGAGTGCAGTGACGCGTGAGGGCATACCGGGAGTGTATTGCATTGGAGAAATGCTTGGAGGGCTGTTCTACTCGAACTACCCCGGTGGCAGTGGCCTCACCTCAGGTGCAGTGTTTGGCCGCCGAGCAGGCAAAGCAGCTGCTCAATGGGCTACAAGATCGTATCAACAGAATGGACAGTTGGCAAAGCTGTGAACGGGCTACACGGAGTGTCGCTGCTGCTGCTGAACGGTTCTATTACTTCCCTCAGCCAAGCATTCGGCGAAATTGTGAGAAATTTTCAAAAACCCTCGGTAGAAATGACAAGATCTCCTGTTGTACCTAGGTATTCTCCAGAGTCTTCGTACAAGTGTATATAGTCAGGCTTTTTACCTGGACTGAAAGGTTCCTGGCCTGCTCTACCCGTCGAGTATCCATGAGAGTTGAACGAGCAACAACTTCCTGCCACATTGTTTAACGAAAACAACAAAAGCAACTAGTTTGTCAAACGGAGACTCATTCTCCGAAGCGCTAATTACCGAGTAGAAACGCCGACCTTGATGATCACTTTTCTCGGCAAGCGCCCTCCCCGCAACCCATCAACATTTGGGGTTACCAGGGACTTTTGAGCCTGACAATGCCTGGATGGAGCGTCGGAGAGCATCAGTGGGTTGGGCTGGAGCAGCGCAATGCGGATAAATTGGACAAGGCTTTCGAAATTCGACGGGGTTCGATCCTCGCCATACCGTCCTCTGTGTCCATCTTCAAGACGTCCTTCGTCATCAGCTGTCTTTGCCTCCTCGGTGAGATCCCCGTGTTGCAACTTTTACACCACAATGTCCAAGTCGTCGCCGTTCAAAAAGTCGATACCGTATGAGGTGAGAGGGGCACCCCAAATTTGAAAGAGTGATTGGCATAATCTATCTGACCTTGTCTGTGCCAAACATCAGTTCCAAGACCTGACTCTCATTGACACCAGATCGTTGATTGGAGGTCAATGGGTCGGTGCCGCGTCGGGCAAGACTTTCAAACTTTCAGGTAAAGAGCGCTGGTAGCGTGACCCTTAAGAGCCCAGGCCAAAGAAGACAAGTCCTCTTCTCTAATTCATGCGAAAATTGCTAGACCCGGAGGACAATGCTGAGATCTGCGACATTGCCGACCTGAGCGGCGAGGACACGCGCGCTGCCATCGACGCCGCGAGTAAAGCCTTCGAGACCTACCGGCTCACACCTCACCGGGAGCGGCGGTGGCTGATGCGGCGCTGGGCGGACCTGATCAAGGCCAACAAGGCAGACCTTGCCGCATTGTGTACCCTCGAGCTCGGCAAGCCGTACACCGAGTCCCTCGGCACCGTACAGTACGCCGTCGACTTTATCGATTGGTTCGAGGGCGGCATCGAGCGCACGTTTGGCGAAACCATCCCCGCGGCACGCGGAAACAATAGGGTCCTCACGATCAGAGAGCCGCAGGGCGTAGTCGCGTGTATCACGCCCTGGAACTCCCCCGTGGCGATGGTCACCCGGAAAGTGGGTGCGGCGATCGCAGCCGGCAACACCGTTGTGTGCAAGCCAGCGCCGGAGACGCCGCTCTGTGCGATTGCGCTTGCGAAGTTGTTTGAACGAGCGGGCGGCCCGCCTGGCGTGTTCAACGTCGTTACCGCCGGGGTTGAAAATACCCCGGCGATAGGCGAGGAACTGTGTAGTCACCCGGCAGTTAAGCACTTGAGTTTCACGGGGTCTACTGCTGTGGGCCGCCTACTCAATACGCTCTGCGCCAAAACTATCAAAAAGACGAGTCTTGAGTTGGGCGGGAATGCACCGTTTATTGTGTTTGAAGATGCCGATCTCGACAAAGCCGTGGCAGGTAAGCATTCTCTTTCTTTTTCTACGGGCTCCAATATCGGCAAGCAGACATTCATTGCAAAATTCTTTCCATCGTGGAATAGTCCCAAATTCTGACGCCGTTCTAAGGTCTTATCACATCCAAGTTTCGCTCATCTGGGCAAACGTGCGTGTGCGCAAACCGCATCTTCGTCCACGCGTCCATTCTCGACAAGTTTGCTGATGCGTTGACGGAAGGGCTAAAGCGCACTTTTACCTACGGGTCCGTGTGGGATAGGAAGGTCAACTTTGGACCCTTATACGCGGGCAAGGGTATCGCAAAGGTGGAAGATCATTTGGACGACGCTCTGAGCAAGGGCGCCCGCGTCCATGCGGGCGGCAAAGACACAACCCGCGGACCCAACTTCTTCCCTGCCACGGTCGTGAAGGGGGGCAAGGCTGGGATGAAGTTCATGACCGAAGAGACCTTTGGACCCTTGGCGTTTCTCGTGCCCTTCCAGACCGAGCAGGAGGTCATCAAGATGGCCAACACGTCCGACGTCGGCTTGGCAGGGTACTTCTACACCGAGGACATTTCGCGGCTTTGGAGAGTCGCGGAAGCGCTAAAGGTGGGAATGGTGGGCGTGAGAGTCGGGCTGGTGAGCGCCGCAGAGGCGCCTTTTGGTGGTGTCTTGGAGAGCGGATTGGGCAGGGAAGGAGGCATTGCGGCGCTGGAAGAGTACCTGGATATCAAATCCATAACTATCGGTATCTGAGCTACAGTGTGCTGAGTTATGGGGTGCTGTGAGGAGCTGTCAGATTTGCAAATGATTGACGTCGCGGCATTCCAGGCATACAGGGGCTAGTACGAGGCTCGCGCTGTGGGTGTTTAGAAAGCTCCCAGGGGCTACGGGTTAGCTGGCAAGACTACACTTCAATTCGATAGACGTGGCCTTGAATGAGCCCAACTAGAGACTTCGACCTACATTTCAGCCATATACAAACCGTGATCATCATGAGAAACTGTACCTTTTATCGCCCATTATCGGCGTTTTCCCCGGTGATTCCCATGCTCCTTCCGGAGGTTGTTTCCCCGCAGAGCGATTTGCCGAGGAGAGCTCTCCAACGACGCATGGAGTAGGAATCCATCAATGGGGGAGAAGCCATGTCATCGCTGAATGGGCCAAGTGATTCATTGATGTCCTGAAAGTGGCAGCGTTATCCAGAGTGCAGAAATCTGTGTGATCAAAGAACTCTTTTTTTTTTTGCTGTCACCAAATTTGTAATTGCACGACCTCGTATCTGGCAAAAAGGGGCCACAGCCTTGGCTACTAGGTACCCATCGACCGACTAAAACCGCCACTATGGGTTCCGTCGAAACGATGAAGGCACTTATTTTCCACGGCCCATATGATGTGAGATTAGAAGACCGACCAAGTTCGTTTGGATCCAAGCCACCTTTTTGTCTCTTGCACACACTGGCTGACGAGACCTCCAGTCCCTCGCGTGATAGACCCGACGGACGTGGTGATTAAGACAACCTCTGCCGCCCTATGTGGAAGGTAATGTGCCTGTGGCCATCTCTCCCAGTCCGCTCACCCATCCACGCGCAATTGCTGACTTCAGGGGGGATGTGGTGAAGTGAACTGCACCGCTACCGGGGCCACTCGAAAATCAACATGCAGCCCGGGTACATCTGCGGGCATGAAGGGATGGGCATTGTGCATGAGGTGGGCAGCGAGGTGAGAAACTTCAAAACGGGGGACAGAGTGATTGCCCCGTTCACGATCAGCTGGTCAGTATCCAGTAGTTTCTGGTTTCTGGGTTTCGAGGGCTGAACATGTGCAAAGTGGCGAATGTTTCCATTGCAAGAGAGGCATTACCGGGCGCTGCGTGAAATGCAAGTCGTTTGGATCGGTCGCGCTGGACGGGTCACAGGCTCAGTATTTCAGAGTGCCGTTGGCGGATACCACCCTGTTCCACACCCCACAGGAAGGTGATCTCGGGGAGCTTCTGATCTTGATGACTGATATCTTTCCTACTGGGTAAGGAGTAACAATTTTCCCCCAGTGGCACCGGTTGTTTTTGTCAAAAGGACGATCCGGCTAATGCCGCCCGCACGCCAGATTCAACGGGGCGAGAAATGCCTTCCGCGAAACTCCTAGCGACCAGTGGAAGGATATGACCGTGGTCGTGATTGGGTGCGGACCGGTAGCGCTGTGTGCGATCATCTGCGCGCTGGAATACAAACCTGCCCGAATTGTCGCCATAGACTCGGTCCCCGATCGCCTGCAACGTGCCAAGGACCTGGGCTGCATTCCCCTCAACTTCAAGACGGTCGATGCTGTCAAGGAGGTAATGAGCCTTACGGACGGCAACGGCGCTCATGCAGTCATTGAAGTGGTCGGGCTGAGTCCCGCGCTGAAAACGGCGTACGACGTGATTTGTCCCGGCGGCAAGATCAGCTCAGTAGGTACGTTGGATGACACTCGCAGTGCCCCACCTCTGTTTTGAGGGTTTATGTTCATGTTTATGCTTATGATACCCGCAATAGGAGTCCACAATGGCGAGCTCCCCTTCACGGCCGCAGACTGTTACAACAAGAACGTCCACATTCAGTTTGGCCGGTGTCCCGCGCGGTACGTATTCAATGAGGCCCTGCAGGCTCTGATCCGGAACAAAAGCACGATCGAGAAGATGGGGTTCATCGATCTCGTCCTGCCGGGCTTGGACGAATCGTGTGCGGATGCTTTGCGGCGCTTCGAACGGGCAGAGGTCAACAAAGTGGTTTTCAAGCCGAATGGGACGGACGCCTAGTCGGCTTTGGAAAGCGCTTAGCTTCGAGGAAAGGACAGCAGCTCCATGACAGCTCAGTGGCAAGACAGCGGCATTCGATAAAGGGCTGATGGACTTGCTTCCGATGATTCCATTTGCGGCACCCCAAAATTATCAACAATGTCACATAAAAGCGGGTCTGGTTGAGTGCAATGGACATGGATGATACATAGTGCAGCAGGACATAGATTACGCTGTAAATGCTCCAAGTGAGTTTCATGGCTTACTGCGGCTCGCCTTCAGCAGTGCCTGTGAATGTTGTATCTTGCCTGTTGGACTGTCCGCGTAGCCAATACAAATGGTCCAACAGTCTATAAGCAGAGTGCTCCACTGGGAAGATAGTATTACAGGGGCAACTAGCCAACTTTGGAAGCCCTTGGCGGAGCATTGAGCCCAATGGACCCAACTGGAACCAGTCTCACTTAGGTTCCAAGCGAAGGGGGGAGATTGAATGGAGGAAGAGTCTGGGTAAGGAAATAGAAGCAAACATGGAAATATTCATACAGGCTATGAGGTATTTTGCCGGCGCTCAAATTGAAAAAAGTCCAATGAGAATCATAAACCAAGTGCAATCCGTCTATATCTGCGCAGATCTTTCAGATTCTCCCATGAAAAAAGCTCAAGAAATGACCCGATATCTACTTTCCAGGGGTTTCTGTTCCTTTGCAGCGGGCCTCTTGCCTTCTGGCTTTCCGACGACCATTTGAGCAATCAACTTCCACTTCGCATCAATTGACCACGTCTTCTTCACCTCATCGTCGATGAGCGGGTTATAGTGCTGCACATTGACGCCCAGGCCGGCGGCTTCTAGTGCGGTCCAGAGCACCAATTGGTTCATGCCACTGCCTTGTTCTCGCCAGGCTTCGAATTTGTCGGCGTACGTCACGAACGACGACAGCGGGTCGTACGTGGACGGATCTTCGAAGAACAGGATCGAGGCATACGCGGATTGGAAGGAGTTCAGCTTCGCCTCGGTGGCGGCGGCACGCTCAGCGTTGCCGGCTACGTGCGGCGCCAGGGCAGCCTTAACGATATCCCACAGCTTCTTGTGCTGCTCGCCCAGGAGGACGATGATGCGGGCGCTCTGCGTGTTGAATGCTGACGGCGTCACCAGCAGGGTCTTCTTGACCAGTTCCTCGAGCTTGGCGTCCGAGATGGTCGACTCGCCCGTCAGGTTGTAAATGGTGCGCCGGTTGGCGGCGAGGTCGAGGTAGGTATCTGCGTCAGACATGGTGTAGTGGGATTAAGATCGGTGTAAGTTTGGCTCGATTGCAGACAACTCTGGTAATGCCAATGTTTCTTTTCTTGATCTCTCTTCTCTCTTGGTTGTTGTGCTGGTGCTCTGGCTGGTTGGTTCAAAGTCGTCGAGGAGCTCCATTCCTCGTCCTTTTATGTTCCATCCCCAGTCCCATCCCGCTTTTCTCCCCTTCCACCCGAGGATCGCACATTTGATGGTAGGCATTCCATAATGATAAGTAAGGTCTTAGGAAGCAGGTAATGCTGAAAGAGGCGGTAGGGGTGTTGTCTTAGCTAAGTTCCTATCAAGCAGCTGGTGTCAGTGGTAGCGGAGGATGTTTGGTGCAGATGCTAGAGGGCGGAAACAGTCCGGTGCGGTGCTGCAATATGACGCAAAGGCGCAGGCTACACAGCTTTTCCTTGGGGCTGCAGGGCTGCCTTGGCTGCACCCCCAACTTTGCTTGCTGATAACGGCGCATTACGAAAATGCCTCAACGTGTTTCTTTCCATGAGGTCTGATCCGATGGTCGCTCATATCGGCCACATCGCGGCACTGCTTGCAAATCACAAGAGACTGGTGTTGGTCACGATGCTCCCGCGTGATTATTATTCCGGTGCCCGCACACGGTGCGACAGCCACGAATTCAATGGAATTCGATGATATTCGCACTAGAACATGCGCAGTCTATTCGGGGAGTTCACCTTTCCTTCAACTCTGAGTGCGAAAATGCTCGGCGCTGGGCATAAGGCCATGATGAGATAAGGGGTACGATAGTGGTGCTTGCAAAGAGACGAGCGCCACACAGTGTCCCTACTATGTTCGTTGTATAACAAGCCGACAACTTCTGTGCTGAGCGCTGTACTCGGTAGAGCCTACCTAGGTAGTACTTCCTAGGTAGTTAATCAGCCCTTATTACAGAGGCATCTCCACATACACCGTTCCAACAACAACCAACGAACAAAGACATGATAGCAAGACTCATGGCTATGCTCACGCTACACAGGGAACGCCTCAGGCCTCGCACAAGCCGAGCTCAGGATTGCACAGCCACAGCTCAAAATGGCTTTCTAAAGGCTCAGGTCAAATGGCGGAACGCTCAAGTCTGAAAACGGAGATGGACTTCAGCGAGGTCAAAGATCGCCGCTGAGTATAGTGGTATACCGACATGGCCAACGGAGTTTTGGATATAGGCCACAATACGATAAATCCTATTTGGATGATTGATCGAGTGTCTGTGACCCGGTGAAGTGCATCCATCTGGCCTGCGTGTCAGATAGTTGTGGCCCAGTTTTGTTGGAACCAGAGACCGAACTTTGATAGGGTCAAAATTTGGGCTTCGAGTGCTCGGTACTATGTATGGTATCTATGCACAGACTGTGGGCTTATGCTTATTAACGAGGCGGTCAGGCCATATATCTCCGGTTTTTCTCGTGGCCGAAGCTGATCAGCGCTCTCTCTCGTAGACATATATTTGATGCCCCACGCCGGGCAAAATCACCTTTCTTCGCTCTCTAACACCACTGGCTTTGGAAAACCGCCCCAGCTCTATTTTGTGCCTGCCGGCAAAGCTGCCGCCATCTACAAAGCTGGACCTCCGACCTATAGCGCATACCTGAACTCGGGGTTCTGCTTATCCGTCAAATCCATAAACTCCCTGTCCGGAACGTGCACGTATCCCTCGGCCGCCGCCACCTGGTCTCGACGCCTGTTCTCCCACACGTACCAGAACCGGAGCACCAAGGCGGTGACGATCGCCAGGGACAGACAGGCCATGATGGCGACTTTGGCGGGAATGTACTCGGGCGCTGTGTAGCCGGTGAATGTCAGGGGCCCGATGATGTTGGAGGCACCGTAGGCGAAGAGGATGATGGCGTTGATGCTGATTTTCTTTGTGTGGCCGGCGTAGTTGGCTGCGGCCCAGGAGTACATCATTGACAGATCTGTGTTTTGGAGTGGTAAGTATATGCTTCGCAGAGGATATGATGAGGAAGAAGGAAGGGGATTTTTGCATACTTGGTCCAAAAATCTGCGTCAGGTAAATACCCGCCAGTTTTCCTGCTTTGTCGCTCTTGGGGAGAAATGCCATTAGGCCGCCGCCCAGCACACCAGGTAGTAGAAGAGCGACGATGCCATAACCGCGGTTGTTGAATCTGCCCGCATACCACGACGCGGAGAGCACCGCAATCATGGAAATCGCACCGCTGGGGATGTTGAGCAGCGCGGATTGCTTGGACGTGTACCCGAAGCCCTTGATCAGTGTCGACGAGTATGTCCCGCACGCGCCAGTGGGCACGTTTCCGGCAATGATGATGACGGCGATGAGCCAAGTTCGCGGATCAAAGATGGTTTCCATGAATTGCGGCGTCTTGAATTTCTTGTTTTCGATACCCGTCATGTTCTCGCGCAGTCGTTCAATGGCGAAGACTTTCTCCTCGTGCGTAAAGGGCGAGGTCATGGGGGAGTCGGGCAGGACTAGGAAGACGACGATGCCCCAGGCGACAGTGACAATGCCGAAGACCAGGAACATGATCTATTATGGACTTGTCAGTTTCTAAAAAGACTCCAGGCTGGTGGTGCAGTGCGGATAGATGATTGCTGACCTGCCACGATTTGAATGCGTCTGCATGGTAGTATTGAAAGCCAAATGAGGCGAGAGCACCAACGATGGTGCCCCCACCAACGCCCAGATACCAGATGGCCACTCTTAAAGGCTGTTCTGCGCGCTACAGAAAATCAGCCTTTCGTCACGAGGTAGATAGTTACGCAATATCACTGTGGCCGATCACATACCTTGTACCACATGCCGGTAATCAGAATCAGGCACGGAGCGCTGGCTGATTCGAACATGCCCAAAAGCAACCGAGAGACGATGAGGCCACCAAAGTTGTGGCACGCGCTGTGAACTATCCGAGAGTAACAAGTGTCAGCGCACGAGATATATTTTCCTTCCATAATTCCGTCGTTGTCCGCAACATACCAGCAAGGATAACACCCCACAAAACAACGTTCACAGCGAGGTACTTGGCCGTCGGGAACTTCTGCATCAAGTAGGCATGCACAGGCTGGAAGACGGCAAAGGTGACGTAGAAGAAAGTGGCCAAGTAGGAGAAGTCGGCAGCACTCATGTGCGTGTCTTTGCTCAATCCCATGACGTTGGCATAATTGACTGTATAGTACCACACATTAGCAGCAGCCTCGATGCACTGAGAGATGAAACGCGAATGCGCAATCTGACAGCAGCCAACGTACTCAAACTCTTGTCGATGTACTGAAGAATGTAGACACCAAACAGCATCGGCATAACGAGCCAGTCAATCCGGCGGAGGAGTTTCTTCTCATCGATCTCGGCAACGGATGCGTCGGCTTCATTGCGGAGGAAGGCGAGAGCACCGTCGACCTGGTCAAGGGCGAGCTTCTCCTTGGCGTCGAACACTGGCTCCTCGACGATGGGATTGACATGGCCGATTTTCTCAACGTCCGTGGCCATGGCTGGCTGGTTCTTCCTCTTGTTTTTGTCGAATAGCAATGAGTATGGATGCGTCGACGGGCGATATTCGACTGAATGCCTGTCCGCCGTGAGTTCAAGAGAGAGTTGAGTCTCTTGCTCTCAGACGTTTTCGTGAGGCCAGGGTTATATAGCCAGGTGGATCAACAGCCTGGGTTGGGGCTGGGCTGGACTGGACTACCAGGGTCGATTCAACCGCTTGTTTAGTTTCCTAGCATCATCATTTGGTGGCAAACAGACTGGTATATAGCCGGTACGAGTATTGGGTCCTCACAAACCCAAAAAGAGCTAGCTTCGAAAGCCTGGTAGGCCATTCTCCGCCCTCGGTGACTGGCCAGATCAGCAGAGATACAGTCCCGACGCTAATGCAGGGCAAGAGATACAGTCCCGGCTCTTACCTCGCGGTTAGTGGCGTTGAAAGATACAGTCCCGGTTGCCCATCAATCAGGCGAGATACAGTCCCGCCATGGCTGGGCAACGAGTAGAACGATATCTGGTTCAGGCGTTGTCGGATTAAAGACGTGCGGTAAGGTCTTGAATATACCACTTGAGACTAGGGCATGCTTGTTTTCCAAGAGTCGTACCACGTGGCTTTCCACTTTTTGTAACACCTGTAGATTCCAAGGGTGTACATCCCCGGGATGCTGTGACAAGAATGCAAGGTGTAATAGCGGCAAAAATCATGGCGTTTGTGAGATTTTCTGCAACTACCTGGAGGGTCAGTCTGCGTGGCTCCGACTTTCACAGTGGAGTTTATCCACACAAACACAGATGAAGAGGAGGATGTGCTGGTATACATATAGTATAGATATTGCGATCCTCCTAGGCTATGAAAAGGTCGACTTCAAAAAGCCTCTTCCGGTTTTCTTTTGATCTTTTGTGATATCTTTCAAAGCCAACTGCTTCCAGAACTGGCCACACAATGCTCAGCAGTCGAAGAACGAGGGCACTTGGCTTGCTTTCATCCAGAATCGAATCCACCTCGTATTTCCCGGTGTCCAGGTATGTTGCCTGCGGCCGAAAGTACAGGCGCACGCTCAGCAGCACGACGCAGACCACCATTCCCTCATACACTGTGAACAAGGACCGGCTGTGGAAGACGATCCACGAAACTGCGCAATGGGGTGCTACCCCAGATGGAGGTATCCGTCGCCTGGCACTGACTGACACGGACAAAGCCGTACGCGAGTGGTTCGTCTCCACGACCCAGTCGCTAGGATGCGCCGTCAAAGTCGACGAAATGGGCAGCTTGTTTGCTACGCGCGCGGGCATCTCCACTTCCCTTGCCCCCATCGGAATTGGGAGCCACCTCGATACCCAACCGGCCGGTGGCCGCTACGATGGGATTCTGGGCGTTCAGGCTGGCATAGAGATCCTACGGGTCCTCGAGGAAAACGGGCATCAGACATACGCGCCACTGGCGGTCATAGACTGGACAAATGAAGAAGGTGCTCGGTTTAACACCGGCATGGTTTCTTCTGGCGTCTGGTCTGGACGTTACACCTTGGATTACGCTCACGCGCTTCCGGCTGCCGAGGACAAATCCAAGACGGCGACCCTGAAGAGTGAGTTGGAGCGGATTGGGTTCTTGGGAAGCGTACCGGCGTCATACAAGGCAAACCCTTTGAGCGCGCATTTCGAGCTGCACATCGAACAAGGCCCAGTCCTCGAGGATGAGGGTAAGAAGGTAGGCGTCGTGACCGGTGTGCAGAGTATGGGGTGGCTTATCATCACGGTCCACGGGAAAAACCAGCACTCGGGCACCTGCCCAATGGATCGGCGCGCTTGTGCTCTGACATCCGCTGCCCGCATGATATCGCGTGTGGAGGAAATCGCTCTTGCTGCAAATGGCCTCTCGACTGTCGGAGTCATCAACTCGTGGCCCCAATCGCCGGCTACCGTGCCTCATAAAGTTGTGTTCAGCGTCGACTTGAGTCACCATTCGACCGAGGTGCGGGAACGTATGATTGCCGACACGTGTGCAGAGTTCGCCCGTATCGCACAGGCAAACAAATGCACAGTTGAGATCGAAGACATCTGGAACAGTCCCGCCGTGCAGTTCCATCAGGATTGCATCAGCTGTGTACGCGAGGCAGCCCGGAACGCAGCCGGAGAGGAGAATGTCAAAGAAATGATGGCAGGTGCTGGCCACGACAGCGTGCACACAAGCGACAGGTGCCCAACAAGCATGGTGTTTGTGCCCTCCAAAGGGGGAATCTCGCATCATCCAGACGAGTATTCTTCTCCAGAGCAATGGTATGTTTCGTCTGATTGCCAGAATTTACCACTCACGAGATCTTTCAAGCTGACAATCTTATATCCAGTGCCATTGGCGCACAAGTCTTGCTTGAAAGTGTGCTGCGATATGACGATCAACTGCGGAAGGCTGCACTTTGACAATTCTTCACAAATTGAGTCGACGTTTGGCTGTGGAGAGGCGTTATGAATTTTGAAACGACGTATTGCCCAGAGGAAAGTAATTAACTTGTTGCTCCGATCTTCTGCCGGTGAGAACCGAAATCTAGACAACATTTCCCTGCATAAGATTTCTCGTCTCATGTTCATCCCGAATATTGTTGTCGAGCAGTTGAGTCCCATGTCGTATACATCGCAGGAAATAGGTGATCATTTTCCATAAATGGGGGCATAGATGGCCAACTTGATATGTCCGCTGCAAGTACTTCTGGAGAGAAATGAATGTTGTTTTGGTGCTCCAGATTGACCGGCGGTGGCACCTCCAGATTGAAGAAACTGTCGTTCGCTGTGGCCTCTGTCATACTGAGAGAAGTCTGTGGCGGAAGGATTGTTGGGATATATTGCCAGGAATTTTCAAGTGCCGGACCAGAGTGCGCTGAAGGCCCTGGATATGATGCTGTAGAGCTGTGGAGAGGGTTGACAAGAGCAGGAACTGCTTGTGGCGGCTGGGACATCGCAGATACCTGACACGGCCAGGGCGACGGAGCAGCAGCAGGGTCAATGTAGGTTAATGGTTGCGATGTGGAAGCCCATGAAATGTTAGATCCATCCGCCTGTTGGCATGATTCTGGTGGTGTCCCAGTTTTGACATGGCCTGCGAATTCAGTGATCAGAACCAGAAACTGCTGCTGTACCAGCCAAATTGTACATACCAATTAACCTCTGCACACGTAAAATATTTTCTGGGGTCCCGTCTTCTCCCAATACATCTAGAGCTTCCATGACCTCCACTTTAACTACCACGCATGGGTAGCCCAGACGCACGCAGTTGGCACATCTGCGTAAGGGGTCTCCAACGGCAGGCCTGCACCTGGCCTTTCGTTTTCGGCAATGGTCTACCAAATGAGCCTGTGTCCACATTGTCAACCGGATTGTCTGCCCTAGTACTTACCGCACGCGACAGATGCCCGGTAGTAGCCCAACTTGTCCCCCTTCGACCGCGCCCTCGAGAAGTAGCCGCAATGAGACATGATGTCTTCCTGCACTGAATGGATAGTTGGTGCTTGGCCTAGGGTTGTGTGTACAAACGCTTCAACAACCTGTAAATTCCCGGAGTTGCAGTTGATCAGAGAGGTTCTCTCGACGCACGAGTGAAAACGAGGTTTTCCAGGCCCTTATCACTGAGAAACCCCGCAAGCTTGACGCAGATGCCTAATTCGGATAAGCTGTATTATGGAATCCCCAAATGAAACCCACAGGTGAGCCTTGTAAATTACGCGAAAGGTTGGCTAAACGTTAGGCTTCGTCTCCTTCTTTGTCGAGGGAGGCCAGATAGTGCTTGATAATTACCGAGAAGCTTCGCAGAGCGCCAGTCGAATCTTCCCGGCCAAATGCCGTTTCTCCACATCGACAGGATATCCGGATACTTTACCGCCAAGTTGTTTGCCATACAGCAGGGTGTGTTCCAGGGTTACCATGCCCGTTCTCCTCCTCTCCTCGTGCGCTGCATCCAGACTTATTGAGCCGAATGTCTGTTCTGACAGGAGATACAAATTATTACGTCGGCGTCGTTGGCCGAGGCTGCGATGAGGCTACTTTGTAGGGGAGCATCGCCCTCCCAATTCGGCAAGCCATTACACCAATCGCAGGTCTTCAATGCGGGTCCAGACAAGTCGTTGGACCATACCAGAAGCAGCATGGCGCCAGATGAAGCCGATATACCTCTATCTCTTGTATAGCTATAAAGGAGAGGGCAAGTCCTGGATATTTGAGCCATAGTAGGCGTTTGGAAATGGTGTGGCGTTGAATTTTCCATTTTCCGCTGCAGGGTGGAGCAAACTTCTTACAAGTTTGAAGCAGAAACGTCAACACCGTGCAGCATTTTCTCTCCGGGGTGAATTGACGACACGGCAATCGCGCTAGGCTGTGTCCCATTGCTTGGGCAGCGTTCAAATTCGAAGGTTTGGGTAGGGTTTTCTTCCACAACCCGCTTAGGAGACACGCCATACTAGCAGTCAGGGGGGAAAGAGCATTCATTAGTCAGCTCAGCAACAGAATGCTAGAAAGTCGTAGTGTAAATGAAGAAGGTCGGGTTTCGTTTGATAGACCGCGACGCGGCTGAGTGAATGAGGAAAGGAGATTTGTTGTATGCAGAGGCAAATCTTGGTCGAGATGAACATGTAGCCCACGTACCTCGAAGCCGCGTCGTGAACTGCCTCTAGTATCCGTACCCCGGCAATCGTCCTGTTTCTCATATCCTAGAGCGAAGTGAGAGATTTGGTGCCTATCTCATATGACGTGTAGGGAGCTTGCGAGATACCTAGCGATAGAATGAGAGAAGACCGACGCGGGCATATCGGCCCCAGGAGAGCAAGCGATGCAAAGAATGAATCGCGAGGAGAAGCACATCAAGCTGGATACTTGCTCTGGATAGAGTATAGTGTGTTCCGTGAAGACCTTGCCTGGCTTTAGAGGCTGATCCAATTCATTGATGGAAGAGCATCGCATACCTACCTACCTAGGTAACTTTATCAGAGAAGCCTTGTGGTTGATGAGCTGTTAAACGGCCGACTCCGTAATGGTTCGCCGTAGTACCAAACGGGGTTAGCGTGCATATTTCTCCGGCCCGCCAATGGAGGGGACCGGCACCAGGATGCCTGCGGTTGCGGTCAGCTCCCAATGCCTCCCAAAGTGCTTCAGTTTTGTTCCAGCCTGGCAAGTTTGAGAGCCCACCAAGACTGCAGGCTCAGTCTGTTGAATTGCTCTTCCAGCATCTGTCATTCTCAAGCATCTTCCCTGTCAAAACTATGGCTGGCCGTTTCGTACGCTCCTCCAAATATCGGCACGTGTTCGGCCGCCCGACTCGCAAGGTGCGGCTTCACTCACTCTCAACTGGGAGGGTTCAAAGCTAAGAGCTGCAAAGGAACAATGCTATGACAACGTGAGGGTGTCGAAGAATGCTTGGGATACAAACTTGATCAAGGTATATACCACCTGCAAGCTGCAACTTCCCCCGAGGCTCACAGTTGCAGGCCAATCCCGAATACCTCGCCCTCAATTGGGATAGCAGTGGTGGTGGTGCGTTTGCCGTCATCCCTACGAAAGAGAAAGGTCGCCTACCCGAACGTATACCGCTCTTCCGTGGACATACTGCTGTGGTCCTGGACACAGACTGGTGGGTGATTGGTCAAAGAGAAGCAAAACAAGAGCACGGGACTGACGAGTGAAGGAACCCTTTCAATGATTCGTTGATCGCGTCCGGGTCGGATGATGGCAAGGTAGCGATATGCACTCTTTTTGGCGATCAGGAGATGCTGATTTGTGCAGGTTTTCCTGTGGAGAGTTCCGGACGACTTCACACTGCATCTCGACATTCCCGCAGATGAGATCCAAGATATTGCCCCTGTGGGCAAACTAAGTGGTCACCCGAAGTATGCAATTGGTACACTATCTTTGGGACCATGACTGATTCTGTTCAGGAAAGTCGGACACGTGCTCTTCAATCCCGCCGCTGAGAATATCCTGGCATCAGCAGCTGGAGATTTCACGATCAAGATATGGGATATCGAGTCCGGCTCTTCCAAGCTGTCGCTTAAGGTCGGCGAGGTGATCCAGTCTTTGTCATGGAGTGCGAATGGTTCGCTTTTGGTCACGACATCTCGAGACAAGAAATTGAGGATATGGGACACAAGACAAGAAAAACCCGTTCACGAAGGCCCAGGCCATGCAGGCGCCAAAAACAGTCGCGCCGTGTGGATGGGTGAACACGACCGCATCGCGACGACCGGCTTTTCCAGAATGAGTGACCGTCAGCTTGCGCTTTGGGACGTCCGAAACGCACAGGAACCCATCGATGGGTTCCAAATGCTGGACTCGATATCAGGCGTATGCATGCCCTTCTGGGACGAAGGCACCCAGTGTCTATTCCTCGCAGGCAGGGGTGACGGCAACATCCGTTATTACGAATATGAGCATGACAAGTTCGAATACCTGTCCGAGTACAAATCGTCCGATCCTCAACGGGGAGTGGCCTTCATTCCCAAAAGGGGAGTTAATCTGCATGAGAACGAGGTCGCTCGAGCGTACAAGACGGTGAATGACAACTACATTGAGCCTATTTCCTTTATTGTGCCTCGGAGAGCAGAGACTTTTCAGGAGGACATCTATCCCCCTACTGTTGGTCTGAAGCCAGCCATGAGCGGCAAAGAATGGCTTGATGGTGCAGAGGGACTGCCGCCAAAGATTTCCATGGAAAGCTTGTATGAGGGTACCGGTGTGAAAGAAGTCGCAGCGGATGAGGCAAAGCCGGCCAAAAAGGCACCCGAACCTGTCAAGGCTGTCGAATCGAAGAAAGAAGTTCCCGAGCCAACACCAGAACCGATCCCGGCGACAATTCGATCTCCTCCACCATCCATGAAGGAACAAGGTGCCACAATGATGAGTGCTGCCGACAAATTCAAAGATACCGAACTTGCAGAAGGAGGGGACGACGACGAGTCAGATTTCGAGGAAGTCCAGAAGCCCGTGGAACGGACAAGCGCGACCAAACCGGCGGCCGTCTCAGAGGAGGAAAAGGAGCCATCTCCTACGCCCGCTGCGACCAAAGTATGGGAAGACGCCGAGGAACCCGAGCCCGCTCCTAAACACAAGGTCAGACTAGATGTCATGTCATATGCGTATTGTTGAGCTAACATGAGAAAAAACAGATGACGGAATCGGAAATGCCAGACGAACAGACCGTCGAAGAGGGAGAAGCTTCCAACGTCGCTGCTGAGCCGACCCCTCCGTCGTCAGATTCCATGGAGCGTGAAATGAAGAATATGAAGGCCTTAATTGCCCAGCAGTCACGGCAGCTGAGCAGCCTGACCAAGACGGTAACAGAACTTGTTGCGGAAGTGAAGGCTTTAAAAGGATCATAGATGAAGCCGGGTTGGATACATCGTTACAAATTGAAATTTAGCGAGCCGAGTCAAAAAATGTCAGCCTCCCCCAAGGCCTACTTTTCGCCCCCTTTCCAAATTTTGGTCCTTGCTTCGATCGTGGTGACTGCACTAGTCGTGGCTCGATGGCACCGAGAGGATATAAAGAAAGGAGACTAACTAGCATGCAGTATGCTGAGAAAAGCCATATTTGACCAGACCGCGCCTTTATTGGTCCAGTCCTTCTTCCAGTCGTGCTCTTCACTCTATTTAGTCATAATGAGTTGTTGAAATCACCCAAGAAAACCATGATTGCTTCGCCTGTAGCCCCGTCTTCGGTTAATGAAGGACCTTGCCTGGTGGAAGAAATGGGAAAGGGAAAGGTAAGGCAGTGGAAGGTATGATCGTGAGGCTCGAATTGGTAAACTGCACGCTTTTCTACCTTTACTCTCCAAGCGTGAGCTCCATTTGTCGCCGCAGCGAGGTAGTCCAGAATTGGTGTACCGAGATAAAAAACCAGGGGAAAGCCTTGACAGAAAGGCATGAGAGCGGTTTGGCGAAACAGATCGTTTCCCCCAGCATTGGCTTTCACACGTGAGGCATGAAGTTGGGCCAGTTCACGTCTTGGTAGACGGAAGCGGGCAGTGCTCGGAGGCTGGCGAGTGACTCGGCCAGCACGATGGCTCTCGCAGCCATGTACGCGATGACGAAGGGGGCGTGCAACAGAATTTTCAACCAGGGCGGCAACATATTCGCGAGCTCGGGGATGCTGGTGGCTTCACGGTTGAAAAAGTACCGGCCCAGCTCACGGGTGTTGTAAGCACCGATCGGTGCTAAGAGGCAGTAGAGCAGGATCAGGCCGAACTCGGTGCCACCGGACACGAGCCAGAGGTAGAATTCGGTGCGCGAGGGGAACGCCGCTAGCCATGCGAAGCCGATGTGTAGCCCGTGATACATGAGCTGGAACAATACCGTGTAGATCGTCACGCCCGTGGTGAGGCCGCCGGGCGGGAGGGTGATGCTGTTCGGCATTGTCTGTGCGGGCTTTTGTTTGGCCTTTGGGCCATAGAAGAAGACGACCGAAAAACCATACCAGAACGGGATCGTCAGACTCTTCGGGTCGGGCGCAGGCTTGACAAAGTCGAGTGGTGTCCGGGAGTAAGGCTCAACGCAAGGAGAAGGCGATGTGGGAGCAGCGGGTGTGCTGGCTATGCCGGTGGTGCTTGTGGTGTTGATGGTGACAGTGACGGCAGGAGCAGCCTTCGAACTAGTATCACAGACCGGTCGCTCGCAGAGTTGATTAATGTTGGAGTCAATGGGCACAACGCGTTGGACTTGCGGGTCCAAAGGCTTGTAGTACCAGAAGGAGAAGGTGTGTAGCGTGCAAATGATGAATGCTAGCGTGGTGACTTCGAGTGTCGAGTATCCCAGGCCGGTTGCACCACGGGCTATGAAAGAGATGCAGAACCAGGTCATCTGGATGAGTGTCACCAAGCGTGCTAGCCCATCTGCTTTGTTCAGAGCCTGGATTTCCAGCGTGGGAATCTCTGGCAAGATCAAACTCTTGTGTTCGATGAGGTAGGCAAGTTGTTGGCTGTCAACGGGAAATGCAGGATAGTCCCTCGGGGCGACCAGGATACCGCCCATATCTGCATAGAATCCATGGCGTGTCGTCCATTCGGGGTGTCCCAACCTGTGGAAGACCCTGACCGATTGATGTGCGGACAGCCACTGCTCCATAGCCACAGCCACCAGGACTTCGGGAAAGAACAGGGTGAAGAGCTGCCACCGGAATTTGTAGAGAAGCGATCGCCATCCTCGGCGACTCTCTTGGGTAGGTATGTGCAGACAGAGGCATGTCCATGTGCAAAGCCATGTCGTGGCGAGGCTGCCGTACAATATGTCACTTGTGCCTCGCACATTGGGCGGTGATACCCAGCCGCGAATGAGATCTTTGGCTGGAGGTGGCAGCATTCGGCATTTTTGGTTCAAAGTAAAAGCTCAACCTGGGCAATGTTGGCCCCAACGTGGGATCGATGGCAGTATTTGTGGCGGTCTGGCAACAACAGCAGCAGCACAGCCTTGTAGTTTCGTTGTGGACAAAGGCCAGGGGCCGGGCCGCGGTCTGACCAATTCTTCCGTGCCAGCGAGATGTTTTGCAGCGTTGATGCGGATCTTTGAAGCACTGAATACCACGGCCAGATGGGCTGGTCGGATTCAGTGGCGCCTTGGATTTGTGTGCATCAGAAATATGACCACAGCCAACATCTGAATGAAGTTTTGTAGTCTGCTGTCTCTCTGGAGGGGGTCTCACTGGCATATTCGCTGCGAGCGACGCAAATCCCGAGAGAACCCTTGACATGGATCTGAGGTTAGATGTAACGCGAGCCAGATCCAAAAAGCCATGACCAAGTGGTGTGTATCTTAATTGGATGTCTATGCTCTTGGCCCCCTTCTTCCATGCTCCAAGCAAGAGGTATGTCTTGCTGTGGCCCCCGGGGGTTCGGCGGATGGACGCAGCCATGACTAACGCAAGCTGAGAGCCACTCTGCTTTGGCATTACCATAGGATCACGCGTAGCACGTAACAAGTATCTCAACAAGTGGGCTTGAGCCTTGCCGAGACAGGAAGCTCAGATACAGAATGAAGGGGGGCCGACATACTCACCGGGGATATGTCTTGCGCGGCGCGAATGACTAAGACTGCACGTAAGCTAGAGCGTCAGCCAGGCCGCCAGCGGATCGGCCCTTGAGAGATGTGGAGGACGGGGTCATAGACGACATTTATGTAGCCGGCACCAAGTAGTTGAGTCGGTCAGGACCGCGGAGGTGCAACGGGGAGTCACCGCAAGGCTAGCGTGCCAAGGCTTCAAGGCTCTGAACTTGTCCTTTCCAGCCTTGTCTTCCAGCCTTCTCCTGCCTTCTCTTGTATGAACTCAATGCTGCTTTTTCGAAGCTTGTCAACCCTCGGATATGAGCTTCTTCATATGAAGGCCTTAACTTATTCAAGGCTACCCTTAGGTTCTCAAAGACACTGGGTATTGCGACGGATCTCCAATTGCAGCTGGTCCCATCCCGTCGCTTCGTCCGTCGCTCTAGGATCGTTCCCTGCCATTCACAAGACTGTCAATGCTGCAAAACAGCAGATGAAAAGCCTTCACAACGATTGCGTTGACGGCAGCACCTTCTCTAATACTCGCGGCTTCGTAATGGCTGACCAACCCAGAAGTGAGATTCCATACACGGCGAAGACAGAGAAATTCAGTGGTTCGCGGGACTTATGAACTGCGCTTGAGAAGAAAACCGACCATGGCTTCAAGAGTGCGCCTCGTCGTGACCACTAAGAAGAACCATCGAAATCTGGCATTCTATCCGGGAACAAAAATGGTTTGATTTAAAGGAAGCCAAGCGCGACATACTGGAAAGTGCGCCTGTCGAAGTGAGTGTGGACTGGATTGCGCAGGATGACCACCAATATAGTCGACCGCACCCTCGGGGGAAGTTTAGGCAAGCATCTGGTGTACAGCGTGGCAGAGAGCCTTGGTATCCTTCACCGTGAACTAACATGTCCTCGAACAGCAGCAGGATCGGCAGAGGCTTGGCACGCCTCAAAGTAACGCGTCAGATCTCGGATATGAAGCTGAGAGTGAATCTACCACAGCGCATGCCTTTCGTCCAAGCGAACCTGGTATGGACCCCCATGCAGTTCGGGTACACAACACGTAGCAGTTCCCAGACGCTAGCCACGTGCACTTTCGGTCCCATCGAGAACGTCGATAGCCAGTCTCATTCGCCAAATGGTCGGTGCAACTGAGAAGTGAGGAGAAGTCCAAGATAAACAGCCGGATTCGGTCATCTCCAACATGGATTGCGTGATCAAACTGAACCACGGATCGATCGTTGCTCCTGTTATCTACTATCCTCGATTTCTATTTTTTCTTTTCGGTGCGTCGATATCTTCAACCTTGTACTAACAGCACGTTTCGTCTGCATGTTGAGTACCAAAGCACAGATCACTCCGTGTCTATAACCATCGCCGCCACAGATAGTAAGATCGTGCTCGAAACCATGGGCTCCATTGGCGAGAATTATTCAAATGGTCATTCGGCCACTTCCAGCGAAGGCCAGGGCCCCCGAAAGCCACTCAAACAGAGCGGACTGCTGAATGAGAAATTCGAATCCGAAGATCTTACGCCAATTATCGGTCGGGAGTTCCCCCAAGTCAACATTGTTGATGACTTGATGAAGTCCGATGATGCAGATGCACTCTTGAGAGATCTCGCCATCACGAGTATGTATTCTGCCCTCCAATCCCCATTCCTATCCGAAGCCTCGCACTCGGTGTAGGGGAGTACCAGGCTAAGTATTTGCCTTCTTCGAAAATGGTTAGTCAGCGAGCGCGGCGTCGTCTTCTTCCGCAAACAGGACAACTTGACGGACGATTTGCAGAAGAAGTTCATCCAGCGCCTTGGGGAGCTAACGGGCAAGCCGCCCTCATCGACGCTCCATATCCATCCGATCCTCAATGGGTCCAGCGAATTCGGGCACGATTTGGAGATTAGCAACATCTCGTCTGTGTCCCGCAAAAAGCTTTTCGATGCCAGTGGCGAAATCAAGAATAAGCGCAAATACGACGCCGCGCAGTGGCACAGCGATATCCAGTTTGAGCCAGCGCCGGCGGATTACACGAGCTTGAGACTAACCCAGCTGCCCAAGACGGGAGGAGATACCCTCTGGGCAAGCGGTTATGAGATATACGATCGCATGAGCCGACCGTGGCAGAAATTCCTCGAAGGGTTGACGGCGACTTTCATCGGAGACGGGTTCATCAGAGCCGAACAGCAAGGGAGGGCGACGCTGTACGATCAACCCAGAGGATCACCGTTGAATGTGGGCAAGCATTTGAGCGCTGTGCATCCTGTGGTGAGGACAAATCCCGTCACCGGGTGGAAGTCCGTGTATGCGATCGGAACATTTCCCAAAGCGTTCAACGAGTTAAATGCTGAGGAGACTGAAGAGCTGTCTAAGAAACTGCGCGGTATGATCGTGGACAACCACGATTTGCAGGTGAGGCTTAAATGGAGGAATGAGAATGATATTGGTGAGTACCTGCATTCTACCCTGAAGCTCTCCCTGAAGGGCGCTAAGATGCTGATTCGTTTTCTGTGGCAATAGCAATCTGGGATAACCGATCCGTCTTCCACTGTGCCACGTTTGATTACGATGGTTTGGGCGAGCGGTTTGGACATCGCGCGGTCGGTATTGGCGAGGCTCCGTACCTGGATCCGAATAGTCAGTCGCGGGCAGAAGCTCTTGCTTCATCATAGAAGAAGGTGCTGAAGGCGAAGTGCTGCTCGGCTGGAACAGCCTTTGACAAGAAAACAGATAGATCGCCTCCAAAGGCCAAAGATGAACAGATGCGTATCATCACCATGAAATGTGGAACGAAGCACATGTGTGATGTCAGGTCAGCACTATGTTTCTTTCAAGCGTTTACCTGGTTCCCATACATCAGGTAATTGAGTAACAGTAACATGCACTGACTTCTAGCGACTGCGAGAACATCTTTGATCCGTTTGTCCTCGGCCACAGTGGCATAGATTCACCTTTTGAGACAGTCGCAACAGTTTTGATTTCGTTCTCACAGCAAGCCTTGTCCCAAAGTCCATAGTAGCACTGAACATGGCGGGGATTGCGGGGTGGCCACGTTCTTATCGTCAAGTTGACACACCGTCTCTGGTCAGGTTATGCGATGCAGGGCTGAATCCGATTTCAAATGGGGATCCAATTCACGTAGAGGTGTTTTAGCCGAGAGCAAGGCCCAATGCATTTTCACACGCCTCCACAACATGATCTCGGAGAGCACCATGACAATTTCCAACTTTTACATAGATAGCACACGTAGTCGGCCGGGATAGTCAGGCATTGCTTTTGGCGTTAAGTGCGAGGCCAAAGCCATCTACGAATCAGTTAGCTGATGTCTATCTATCATGCTTACTGGTGTGCAGGCCTCAACTCGTTCTTAGATGAGCACCAGCGCCCTCTAGCTGTATTGAAGCAGTACCCTTTTCTCTATCGAGGAGCGGTCTTCGGCAGAGGCTGCTCGTCCGGGTACCGGCAGCTAAGCCGTAAACAGCTAGCCTAGACCCATAATTCCGGTATGCTTCCTTCCTATTCGGTGCAGTCGAAAGCTTGACCTTCACGTCATCACAGAAAATCACAGGTCGAATTTTTGCTCCGAGGTTGCAGCCACCGCACCATTGTGTTCCGACGCGTGCCGCTATCAGTGGTGCACATTCGATTTCTGCTTCCATCACTGGTCCATCCAGCTTCGTGGAACTCGCATCGTTCGCCATCTCCATCGATAACCATGGCTACAACCAAGCGAAAGCATCGGCTCCCTCATCAGGCCTTGCTGAGGCGATCCCTGCCCAGACGCACCCACCGCCACGTCACTGGCTACTTTCAAGCCTTGCGATAAGCACTCCCAAGGTTCGAGCTCGATCCTGATGTGTGTGGCCATTACATCGCCCGTCCCGGGCTCCACATATCCACTTGTGCGATTTTCATATTTCACCAACATCCTCCCCTCATTGAGGATGTTTTCGCTCCGTCAATCCTTCTCGTCGTCACCCTCACGACGTCCATTTACCCGCCTTCTGGGGAACTGAAGTCTTCTCCCGCAGACGGTGTGTTTCTGGCTCCCTCGAACCTGTTATTCGAGCCTTACGCACAGCGTCTTCACCATGACGGGCACAACGACCGCTCCGCCGGGGCAGTCGCCCGACAAGCTCGAAAAGAAGGAAAGCATGCGGCAAAACACCGACCTTGAGGCGACCGTCGACCGAGATGATCCCCTTGCTCTGCTCTCGAAAATCGAAACCAATTCGGACGCGCATCCGATTCGATGGCCGCTCTGGAAAAAGTGGATTATCGTCTTCATTTACTGCCTTCTCCAGGTCTTCGTTACCCTAACATCGACGACGTACGTCTCGGTTGAATTCTTGATCATGGAGAAGTGGACCAGCTCCACGCAGGTTGCCACGCTCGGCCAGAGTATGTTCATCGTCGGTACAGCCGTCGGGCCTGCATTCCTTGGGCCTCTCTCCGACATTGGGGGCAGGAAATGGGTGTACGTGGGCTCGATCCTCCTCTATGCGATCCTTAACATCGGCACCGCTCTGGCCGACAACTTCCCAATGCTGGTCATCTTCTGCTTCCTGATTGGATGCGCGGGTTCGGTCGCCTTGTGTAACGTCGCCGGGACTATCGCTGATCTATTTGGTGATCACGACGGCGCGGCGCAGCCCATGGCTCTTTTCGTCCTCTCGGCCAATTTTGGACCTAGTCTGGGCTCTCCGATTGGAGAGTGGATTGCGGAAAACGAGAGCTTGGGATGGCGCTGGATCTTCTACATCAATATCATCATTGGCGGCGCTTTCGCCTTTGGCCTATGTTTCATGCCGGAGACCCTGCCCCGGCTCGTCATTGCTAGGGCAGTCCAGAGACGGGGTAGCGTCGATCAGAACGCCCTGGATATCGCGCTGGGATCAAGCAAACTGTCCGCTATACGGGAGATGAAGTTTGTTGCGACGATGGCGCTGAGGATCATGTTCACCGAGCCCATCGTCATCTCGCTCGGCCTGTGGGTGATTTGTTCGTTTTGGAGATAAATTGACTGACTTGTGGGCTCAGATACAACGGGTTTGCCTATGGCCTGCTATTCCTCTACCTCGATGGCGTCTTCGACGTGTTTGTCTTCGACAACGGTCTCAGTTATATTGGGGCTTCGTTGACCTATCTTAATTTCTGTGTTGGTACGTCTTTGCCCCTGAGAATTTTGGGTATTATTTCTAAGCGCAAAATAGGTGTCACTGTGACGTTCATTTTCGTGCCCGTCCAGACCTACCTCTTCCGAAGAGACAGGTTGAAGCACGGCCGCCACAGGCCCGAAGCTCGATTCCTCACATCTTTGGTGTGTGTTTGGCTGTTCCCAGTCAGCCTGTTCTGGTTTGCTTGGACGTGTGATGGTGAGTTTATCGAAGCCCTTGAAACCCTTTTCTTTTTGCCACGATTGTCTCAGCAGCCCTAACAAGTCCGTGGTTTTTAGGCTCTGTATCATACTGGTCTCCAATCGTGGCGGGCGCCGTGCTCGGCTTCTGTGACCCGCTTCTTTGGTTGGCCATGCTCAACTACATTACGGATTCGTACCCGAACGTGGCCGCCAGCGCCATTGCGGCTTTCCTGATCCCGAGTTTTTTGATCGCTGCAGGTTGCGCACACGCCGGTGTTGCCATGTTTGCAAACATGAACATCAGGTGGGCGTTCTCGACGCTGGGGTTCATCTCCTTTGGGTTGGTGGCGTTGGTGTATGTTCTCTTCTTCTTTGGGCCGACGTTGAGAAAGTGGAGTCCATTGGCCAAAACGTTTTGAAGGGAATTCGGGGCCCCAAGGCAAATTCGCTCAGATAGACAGCAAGCGGGAGGAATGACATAGGGGGACTGGTCAAAGTTGCACTAGAAAGCGCGCAAATACTGTACACAGTCTTGTCTTGTCTTGTCTCGTCGGTATTTTGTGATTTCAACCTATCGCAGTTAAACTTTGTAACCAAACCTGACCACCAGAATGGGCTCTGTCGCAGAGACAAAAAATTGACAAGTTCGTTACGACTAAAATAGCAAAAAGCTCCAGATACATCACGAGCCTTGAAGGTGTACCTAGCTAGCGGGAACAAGGCCGAGGCCAACTATCACCAGATGCTCTTTACACCAAACAACAACAAACTTATGACACTGAGTTTTATGTGATATAGTCAGATGGGGGCCCAATAGGGGGCCGCCGATGAAGATCTGATATTGGGATTGCTAGCGTGATCCCATCCATTAACTTTTTTTTTCCCCCCCTTTGTGGTTCCCTGGCAATGGGTCTCGGGAAATCTTGATGCGGGCATGGGGCATATGGCATCTGGGTAGCAGGAGATCGGACGGGATCCGATGGTCGGTGCTCTAGAATAATGGAAAAGCCAGCTGAGCTGGCCGAGCTGCGTCCAAGCAAGAGAAGCAACAGAGCAAACAAAGGAAAGGAAAAAAGAATGTGTCGTAGGCATTGGTCAAAAGCTCCATCCCAACGCCCAGCCGTTTATCAGTGGTGGTCGGTCGGCTCCGAGCCAATCAGAGCGCGTCGATAACGCGGCACCCCGGCCTCACAGGCGTGCCCCGACGCAGTCCAGCGACTGTGGGTGCCCGGTGGTCGGAGAAAGTTCTTCTTGGCTCGTTGGCCAATGCCCTCCAATGCGAGGAAACCTGAGAGATGGCCCTACAATGACCAACTTCAATGCCGAGGGGGCGAGGCTATTGATTGTGATTGCTCGTCGCCGCTGCCCGCAGTGCTGAGTCCCACTCATTTTCAGAACTTTCGCCCTGATCCGGCGCTATGGCTCTCTACAGACCCCATCTGGCCCAACGCCATACTGACCAGCGCCTGATCAACGAGACCGTGATTTTGCAAGCTCTTCGGCGGAACTGGCCATGGCCCGCCGAGTCAGAATCTGCGCTCCAGCTCGAGCACGCATCGGTATAAAGTGAGAGCTGGGGCTTCGCTTCGACGGTGTTGAAATGTGTCCATACGACTTGACCTCACTCACCTGAGCACGCGACCATAGCAGCTCCCCTCCCCTCCACCACCGATCATATACCCCGTTCCTTAGTGAACTCATCTTCAAGTCGAATTACTCGCGATGGGTGAAGCAGATCGCATCGGGCCAGACATGAGCCCCAAAAAGACCCTCGCCGACCGTGCGAACAGCATCCGCAAGACCTTCTTCACCAAGCACGGTCTGATTGGCGACTATGACTATGCCTTTCTTTTCCGACCGAACATCCCTTTTCTCAGGAAGCCTCGTCGTGCAGCGCCCTTTTTCGGCCTGCATGACTCCATGCCCGTTGTTCTGGCGCTCCTGCTCGGCTTCCAGCATGCTCTGGCCATGTTGGCCGGTATCATGACGCCGCCCATCATCCTCGCCGGCCAAGGAGGCGTCAATCTGCCCGCCGACTATCAACAATACCTTGTCAGCACCTCTCTGATAGTATGCGGCATCCTGTCCTCGATTCAGATCACGCGCTTCCACATTTGGAAAACTCCGTACTTTATTGGCACCGGATTGATTTCGGTCGTCGGAACATCCTTCGCAATTATCCCCGTTGCCACCGGCGCCTTCACGCAGATGTATGCCAACGGCAAGTGCCAACTCGATGCCGACGGGAACCGTTTGCCCTGCCCTGATGCTTACGGCGCTCTCATCGGCACGTGTGCACTTTGTGCTCTGGTCGAAATTGCACTCTCTTTCTTGCCACCCAGGGCCCTGCGCAAGATCTTCCCGCCCATTGTCACGGGTCCGACTGTGATCCTCATCGGTGTGTCTCTGATCGAGTCAGGCTTTCAGGACTGGGCTGGCGGATCAGGCCTTTGCGCTTCGCGTCCAGACAGCGGGCCATACACCGTTTGCCCTCAAGTCGGTGCTCCCCATGCTCTTCCTTGGGGAAGCGCCGAGTTCATCGGTCTTGGCTTCCTGGTGTTCGTGACCATCTTGATCTGTGAGCGGTTTGGCTCTCCGATCATGAAATCTACCAGCGTAATCATCGGTCTGTTGATGGGCTGCATTGTGGCTGCGGCCTGTGGATACTTTGATGATTCCGGGATCAACGCTGCTCCAGTCGGCTCCTTCATTTGGGTCAAGACATTCAAGCTCTCGCTCTACGGGCCCATTGTCTTGCCTATTATGGTCGTCTTCATCATCTGCGCCTGCGAAGCCATCGGCGACATCACGGCCACTTGCGATGTCTCGCGACTCGAAGTCGAAGGCCGACAATTCGAGTCTCGGATCCAGGGAGGCGTTTTGGCTGATGGTCTGAACGGATGCCTGGCTGCCTTGATGACTATCACCCCCATGTCGACATTCGCGCAGAACAATGGTGTCATTGCCCTGACCCGCTGTGCAAACCGCAAGGCAGGATACTTCTGCTGCTGTGAGTACAAGCTCCCAGTTAGAATCACGACAAGTAACTGACCAGCTATGCAGTCTTCCTTATCGTGGCCGGTGTGTTCGCCAAATTCTCTGCAGCACTTGTTGCCATCCCCGCGCCGGTTCTCGGAGGCATGACAACATTCCTGTTCTGCGCAGTGTGAGTAATGTCCCTCTCCTGGCAAAAATTTCTCCGGCAACTGACATTGAAATGATAGGGCCGTATCTGGAATGGCAATTGTGAACCGCGTCCCTTTCAACCGCCGCACACGATTCATCCTCACTGCATCGCTGGCCCTCGGCTACGGAGCCACTTTGGTTCCCACCTGGTTCAGCTACGTGTTCACCTACGACGGAGACAACCATGCGCTCCGCGGCTTCTATGATGCCATTGTCCTGATCTGCGAGACAGGCTTCGCCATCACCGCCCTGGTCTCCATGATCCTGAACCTGACTCTGCCCGAAGAAATCGAAGATCTTCCTGCTGAGGAGGCTCCCAAGGAGGTGGAGGATGAAAGTCGATCCGAGGCTGCTGCCTCGGTTTCGGAGACCACCCACAAGAAGATCAATGTGGAGGTGCCTAGCAAGGAGACCGTGTAACATTAATGTGGTTTGTGCAAAAAGCCAATAAATATTCCCAGGGGTAAACTAGACTTGTTTGAATGAAAAGTGATTAATAAGTTTCCACGCCTGTTCGAGAGAAATCATTGCCCTTAAAATCTGCCTGTCTGCAAAGTGCCTGCTCGAGACCGTATAGTAGATAGCATTCTTCATCCTCGATAGCACAACTTAGCTTGACAATCAACTCATTGACCACGCTTTCGCCTGCCATCGAACTCGGACGAGCTGGCCTTGTATGATGCCCGCATGCATTGAGGTGATTTAGCAGATTCAAACAAGGCGAGCCAAGGAAGCATTGAAATCGCCACTATCTCGGTGCCAATTTGTGGCCTGACCACCCTGGGGTCGCCGTCTCGCGATATTTCATGCTAGTCGAGCTGGATTGATGGCCCTGGAGGCTTTATCCGCATCCTTCCGCAGTCGCGTACGAGAGTATGGCAGGTATGGACCGGGCTGTCGCGAATTGCACAATTCAAGCATGGAAGGGACTTGATGCACCTTGAAAAGGAGCGAAGGGTTCCCCAATAGCTAATGTCTTGCGCCTGGCCGTACTAGCCGTATATTATGTCTACAACCTCTTTCTCACTACTCGCCGTGCCTTGCCTGGGCTGGTTCCTGAAGGGAATACCAGTAATCCCTGTCACGGACTTGGGACACACCACCAGTCATCAAGATTGCTTCTGGACTTTGTCTATGTTGTGGTACATTCTTGGTTCGGTTCAATTCTGGAGAACTCTTGGGCGTTTTCGTGTCAGAGACTCACCTCGAAGGATCTTTAACACCTCCTAGTTCAAATGTGGTATTGCTCGCCCATCATTAACCACACTGCCACACCATCGTTTGGACTCTTGTGTAAACACCCGGGGGAGGCCCAACACTATGCTGACAGTGCATATATTGCAGCATGGAGGAGCATTTTGAATAGCTTTGGCCAGACCTCAATGGATTGACAGAGCTGGCAGTATTCACACTCCGAATCCATCGGGTATGAAGGCATGGGAAGCCTGCAATGTGTGAGTACTGCCAGTGTGGTCCTTGGCGCAAGGTCTAGTTGTTGCACAGCCTGGTTGAACTGGGGAGGCCGCCAGCAACAATCATAGACTAGGGCACAACGACCACCCACATCCCCACACAGAAGAGAACAAATATCAAAACTCCAAATAGTCCAAAGACGCAAAAAACTTTTTCCACCAGCCCCCTTCGAAGGGGGTGGTGGGAAGTTAAACCCGCCGTGGCAGGTTTTTCCGTAGTCGAGATGTGTTGCCTGCTAGCCCGGTGCTAGTTTGTCCTGACACATCTGGGGAATCGTTCGGAGGGTCGCCTACTAGAACCGTTTTTCCTTGCGCCGTGTTGGCTTCGTTAAGCCTCTTTCTGTCCCATTTTGGTTTTGTTGACTCTGTTGTAGTCTCTTTCCTAAGTAGGGGTCTTTGCGATTGTTGAAGGTATTTCTGACAATGCAGGTTATATGTTCAACTTTTTCCAGATGCCTATATGATCTCTCCTTTTCTTTTTGAGCTTGTGTGATGAGTTGTCGAGGAGTGGGCTTGGGTCTGGCAGAATCGCTTTTCAAGGGCCCGACTCTCTTGGGTTTTGTGTGTTTCTGTATGGATACCTCTACAGAGGGGTGTAAGCTGGGACAGTTTCGACCTCAAGCGCCTATCAAAGAAATGTTGCCCACACTACAAAGGTGATAAAGTGTCTCTACTAGGTACGGAGGGTGATACTGACAAGGCTGAGCTCCCTGAGCATGTCACTTACGTGGAGTGACAGAGTGACAGAGCGACGGATTGATGTCATTCTGCAGAAGCCGGAAAGGGCAACTCTGGCGAGATCCTCGCCTACTTTTTCCGAAAATCAGGTGATTCGAGGCATCGAGGCAGCGACACACGGCCAGACGGAAATGCAACGTGAACGCCAAAGAATTCTTGGTCTTAATCTCGGTACTTGGTTCTGGTGGTCCAGCAGCCAGGATTGCCAGGATACATCAACAACCCCGACCGAACACAACCTCCTTGCGTTGCAAACATCTTCATTGCTATTCCTCTCAGTCTATCTGTTTTTTTACACATTTAGCGACCGGTAAGGCGTACGCACACTCTGCAAAGCCGCCGATCGCATCACCGGACCACATCAGTTGGCCCTCCCACCTCCGGCTACGCGCATGTGCTCTGTCTGAGTGAGCAATCCAGGCACCCAGGTCGGAATATAGATGCACAAAATATAAACAATGCCAGCCAGACGCGAGCATCCCTCCCCATAACGCTGCAACATACTCCAAAGGTGCTTGTCAACCATGGCCTTCAACTTCAACTGGTCTCCCTTGTCCACGGACGCCGGCTTCCTCCCGCGCGCCCAAGAACTCCTCACCAATGCTCTCAATCGAGCCGACCCCAAACCTGCGATCATTGTTGACGACATCATCGTCAATGAACTCAACCTGGGGGATGTTCCTCCTGAGCTGGAGATCTTGGAGATTGGGGACCTGGCAGAGGATAGATTCCGCGGCACGTTCAAGATGATGTACAATGGGAACGCATATCTCACCCTCAAGACAAAAGTACAAGCAAATCCATTGAACACATACCTGCGCACTCGGTCAGCATTTGCCACGCCACGACCCTTGGCTGCCGACACTGGCTTGACTATACCACTTCAAATCACCTTGTCCGAGTTCCGCCTGTCGGGATTCATCATTCTTGTCTTCTCGAGACAAAAAGGGTTGACGCTGGTCTTTCGAAACGACCCTCTTGAGTCTCTGCGGGTGTCCTCGACTTTTGACTCAATCCCTTTTGTTGCAAACTTCCTTCAAAAGGAGATTGAAACTCAGCTGCGAGGGCTTTTGATGGACGAGCTGCCTGCAATTATTCATCGACTTTCACTGCAGCTGTTGGTGCCAGAGGATAAAGCACGAGAAGAACGTCAACTCGGGGCCACACAGATATTGAAAGACGAAGTTGTGGTCGATCCGCTAGCCAGCCCACCACAAGACCCGGTTGACTCCACCGGCGCGGTGTTGACCCCGGCAGAAGTCGCATCGTTATCGTTGGATTCGTCGGTCGAGACGCAGTCTCTGTTCTCACGAAAGAATCTCCTCCGGCTGGCTACCTTGACCGATTCACACCGTACTTTGTCTTTATTCACGCCATCCATTCGAGATGCTGTCTTCCGAGCCTGGACCGGTCCATTGGAAAGAGGCGAAATGACGGGGCTCCTGACCAGGACAACAACCCCAGCCCTATCTCGCAGCCACTCGTATGCTGGAAGTCTCAGTACGTCGACGGCATATACCTTTGATAGCGGCTTGTCTCGGCCAACTCTGTCGAGCTTCGCTTCTTCAAGTCATGGCCTGAGCATGAGCAGTGGAAGACATGGCCAAGCACACAGAGCGCGCCGAAGGAAGAAGCGTGTGGTCGACCTGCGGCCTCACCCGGAAACTGGGGAACCTGAAATGGTTCTAGAAGATGGTTCAACAGCAGACTCCGCCAGTGTGTCGGAAAGCACATCGACCGCGCCGTCCGTGTTCTCGGCACCGGCCGCTACCACTATGTCTTCTGGTCCAATTCAAGGTCTCAATCCCGTCACCCCGCCCAGGAGTCCTGTTGCCATTAAGCGTTCAGCAACTTTCGAACCAGTGCGCCAGGGAGGGATGCGCAGTGTCAGTGAAGGTACTCATGCCCAGGAGTCGATGGATCAAGTTGAGGAACCTTCGTTGGATATCCACCAAACCCCGCGAGCTAAGGATCCCGACGCGACCATTCGAATTCGAACTCGAAGAACGCTCCCTACATCTTACGATGACGACGAGACACCTCGGGCTTCGATGTATCTGCTCGACCAGAAACAGCCATCTGTGTCTCAACAATCGGTCGAGCCCAAGGTTGTTGTCAATGAAAAAGCCGAGCTGCACTCCATTGCAGGCCCGTCGCGGCCTGCCCTCCCGAGTTTCCTTCAGTTTGTTGCCGACCCATCTAACGCGGGCAGCATCGCAGAGCGTGCCTGGATGATGAAAATGGCGAATGAGATGGCGCAACGGTATGAAGAGGAAAGACTTAAAGGCAGCTTTGGACCGATGTCCCGCGAGGAAGAAGCGAACCCTCCTCCAGCCTACGCGCGATGATGCTTCTGGAAGTCGTGCTGGTTATCCTTTAGCGATGTTTTGACACAAAAGTTTGCGTTTGTTTTGGCTGTGTACTACCAACTAATGGCATGATGAGGCTACGACGTTGATGTAGATAGAAATCACACTCCTCCAAGGCTTTGGATGTTCTTGTGGATCCAGGAAGATGGATTATTACTATTTCTATACACCGTTGTCTTGTATGCGATATCGACTATGGCATCGTATTTCTGCGCCTTGGGACTGTTTGCAAGCTCGGGACTTCGTGACAAGTTCGTCCGAGAAATACGAGGTCGTAGGGTTTGCGCAGCCAGTGGATGCCACAAGCCACGCGGAGTGCATTTTGAAGAAATTGTGGGGAGCTGGAGCAACTCGGTCTTCAGACTCTTTCCACTCCCCGGTTTTTCTCCCTCCTTCCCTCCCTCTTTGGTGAAAGTAGAACAGCGCAGTCCTTATCTGCGCAAGGACAACTGTCAGGGTCATTGAGTTGATCTAGACCAATACTGTACTTGTCCATCATGGACTTCCTTCAATCTCTTCTCGGCCCCAAGCCTTCGCAGGCGCCCGTGGTTGCCGATGATGCAGGTGAATAAACAGCACTCCCCAACACCACGCTCAAACTCACTCACGCCTCCTCTCTAGATTTCGCAGACTTCGCCGCTGCCCCTGCGCCCTCGCCGGCCTCGATCCCTGTCTCTCCCGCCGATGCGCAAGCAGCTGCTGCAACGGGAGCTCCTGTTGAAGGTCGTCCAGTTGTTTACACGAAATGGTATCGCGTGTGGGAACGCACCCAGCTGTCCGACTTCATGATGGAGGGTGTCCTCATCCCTTTTATCCTTTTGGCTCTCCTGGTACATTTTTGGGGCACGAGGACAAACCGGCGTAAAGCGAAGAAGTGGATGGCTGTGCATGCCCCTCTCCTGGAGCGAGAGTTTGCGGTCGTTGGATACAGCGCTGTGCCAAATGCTGAATCGACCGCAGAAGGTGGAGTTTCCTCTGGGGATGCGAGCTTGTTCAAGGAGATTGTGCAGAACAAGGGGGATAACGTGTCGGATGATCTCTTGAAGGAGAAGGCCGCATGGGAGTTTGAGTCCTATGCAACGGGACGACAAAATGTTGCGTTTATGGATATCAAAATTTACCTGAAGAGGCGAATGAATCCCATGATGATGCTGGCGGAGGAGCTCACGGGAATGTTCATCGAGTCGATCAAACCCAAACCCGAGAGGATGGAAGCCGCCATCTACACCTTTGACGGCAAAGAGAAGGAATTCGTCCCACCAGCAGTCCCCGGATCCGAGGAAGCAGGCAAGACCAAATCGGTGGGCAACTCGACTTATGACCCATTCGTCTTTGCCGTGGTCAACAAGTTGGCGATGCGCAAACTCCGCGAGGAACGATACGACTTATCTCTCACATTCACCAAAGACCACGCCAAACTTCCCAACTGGGCTACATGTATGAGCGAGTCGGCGGAAATTAGTGACTGGATGCTCAGCAAAGAACTCGTCGATGCAATCAACGAAGCTGGCCCAGACTACTTCCAGTACCTCATCGTCACGGACCAACCTCACGACAAACCGACCAACTTGCAGGAAACAGCTCCGAAGAAGCGCCTCCACATTTCCCTTCGCCTGCCCTCCGACGGCAACTACCTGCCCACCCTGCCTCTGTTCGCTGTCTTCCTCCGCTTACCCGATTTCCTCGTCTCGCAGTCACACCTCCGGCCCGAAGTGCTCAGAAAGGTCAACACGATCCGCGAGCAAGAAAAGAGCAAGCTAAAGAAGATTTCGGACAAGGAGGCGGAAGAGGAGAGATTGAGACAGCTGGATAAGATGAAGAAGGAAGAAAGAGAACGGAAGATGAAGGGCATGAGCGCGGAGGAGCAGAGGAAGTTTTTGGAGAGAGAGAACGAGAAGCAGCGGAAGAAGCAGGAGAAGAAGATGACAAGGAGAGGCTGATTCTGCACAATCTGTAGAGAGTGTGGAAGTACCGAGTACAGAGGAGTTATGGCGGATGTGACAAGATGAGTGAAGGATGTTTCTCTCGCCCTTGATCTTGTCACATTTGACACTATATTCTTGAGCACATAATTCCCCCGAAAAAGATGCTCTTTGTTCAAGATAGAGATGCACATACGGTTCATCCTGGATGTGTAGGTATCTAAAGAGACCCTTCACACGTCAATGGCTGCCTTCGGTCAGCATCTTATCGACATTTGAGCATGTACCCCAGATCGGACTTTTCCTCAAATGAACCAAAATTAGGAGGCCTCAACTGGCCTGAAAAAGTGTGGATTGGTGGGCTGTGTTCGGAGCTGAAACAACATCCGCCCTCCAACTCCAGCTACTCCACCAAACATTTTCATGTCCGCCGACGTGTTCGCCTCGATTGGACACGTTACTCTCCGGTTCAAGCTTGATTCATCCCGCCCAGTCTGAGACTTGCTCGCTTGATTGATCGGCTTGCCGGATCTGGGGGCGAGGCTAGACTCTGCCACCGCCAAATGTATCCGTACGCGCGGCTGAGTGGCTCTAGGTTTCATGCACAAGGCTTCTGGCTTCTGGCTGCTGGCTGCTGTCCAAGCCTCAGTCGATGCGAGGCCGTGCCCGTGATGCTGTATCAAGGTTAGAAGCAGGTCTTCGGACCTTTCCATCTCTTTCATTTTGCATTGTTCTTTTCTTCCATCCCTTGGCTCCTGTACCACTCGTTTTTTGTGGCCGATTCTTGGACAACTTGACTGCTACACAGGTTGAGTAGAGATACTCGGTACATCACCACGAACGAGAAACACTGTTACAGCCGAGTGTACCGAGTAGTATCGCGAAGATGCACCTGCAGTCCCTGCTTTCTTTCGTCTCCCTCCTCAGCCTGAGCGTTGCAGCTTCGGTGAATAAACGTCAATCGACCGCATGCAACAACTCCCCCTCCCTCTGCTCGAAACCCTACAACAGCATCGTCCATCTAGGTGCCCACGACTCACCGTTTGTCCGAGATGCCTCCACCGACTATTCAACGTCGGGCGACCAATACTACAACTCGACAGTCCAGCTCTCGGCTGGCGTGCGTCTGCTTTCTGCGCAGGTCCACAAGTCCAACGGGGAATACCACTTGTGCCACTCTTCCTGCGATCTGTTGGATGCCGGGGTCCTATCGAACTGGCTAGAAGAGATCAAGACATGGCTGGATAATAATCCGAATGAGGTTGTCACTGTTCTCCTCGTCAACTCGGACAATGCCACCCCGGAGGACTTGGGTGCACATTTCACAACTGCACAGATCACGAACTACGCCTACGTTCCTCCTTCAACGAGCACGCCTCCTGCATCGGGCACCTGGCCGACCTTGCAAGAGCTGATCAATGCCAATAAAAGACTTTTGGTGTTCGTGGCATCCATTTCGGACCCTTCATCCATCCCGAGCCAGTATGCTTACCTGATGGACGAGTTCACATTTATATTCGAAAACCCCTACGACAACACCTCGCCCAGCAACTTCACCTGCCTCCCGGACCGGCCCACCGCCGTACAAGGAAACACCGAAGCGGCGATTGCCTCCAATCGAATGGCATTTACCAACCACTTCCTCTACGAAGAGGGCCTGTTCGACATCGAGACTCCTAACGTGGCAGACATCAACGTCACCAACTCGCCGGGCAACAGCGTTGGAAATTTGGGGTATAGCCTGTCCCAATGTAACTCGATGTACGGCAAACCGTCGACCTTTGTGCTGGTCGACTTCTTCGACCAAGGCCCCGCCATCGCCGCCGTGGATGCCATGAACGGTGTCACCAACCCTGTGGGCCGCACCGCAGTGCCTCCGAGAGATAGCAAATCGAGTTCTGATAGTCGGAGCCAGTCGAGTTTCCAGGGCGTGGTCAACCTCGTGAATGAAGTCAAAGAAGGGCAAAAGCCAAAATTGGGAGCCTGGATTTGGGCTGCAGGGCAGTGGACATTCGGCGGCATCAATCTGAGTGGCGGCAACGTCTTTCAGAAGTAAGAGCAGCAGATATGGGACCGAATTCGAAGTGAAAAAAGGCGGATAACAGCTGATCCAACAGCACCGTCTCACCTCGTCTCGCCTTCTGCATGGCACACAAATGCTGGCTGAGACTTTACGCTGGCTTTATGGCGGACATGAGCCTGGCTACAACGCATCATCACCGCCATCATCATCCCACCACGACCAATGACGTCTGACGTGATCTCAGACACGGAACTGGAAACAACTTGAAAAAGCAAAGGAATCTCGAAACCAAATCGCTGGTAACGGATGCTCTATCTACTAGGTATTTGAATCGAAGCGAAAAACTTTCACGACGATATGACACGACAAGACACACGGCCGCGCCGGCATGGGATCTATTGGACATTTGTTTATGTGAGATATTGCATAGCATAGCGACCGGCGTCTCTTCTCTTTTCTTTCCCTTTTTTTATTCGCATCTTCGAGTCGGAATTGGATTACATATCCACTTTCCTGAATCTCAAAAATGTGAGATTTAAGATTTTCATCTGGTCCCATTCTCATCACCAATTTTTTCATCATACGATATCACCAAAAAAGGCGAGCAAATCTACTATCGAGTTCTGGTGTGTCAAGCGTCGCTTGGAAAGGGGGATTGGAAAAACTAAGTCGGCACTGCAGATGTCGCGGATCTGGGATCGGCACTGAGACTGTGACTGAGACCCTGCAGGTGGATTTCAGAAATGGGATCCATACCTACCTACGTAGATACCGAGTATATTATAAGTATTTACGAGGTACAATTACCGACATGTATACTCTCTGGATTTACGTAGGTGTGTTTCCTGGGTACAAACCAAGACTACGTGTGTTTTTGGGACATGAAATCAAAGTGGTTCGTGTTTCTTGCTTCACGGTTCACGGTTCAGGAAGTAGCTATGTATCTAGCTACCTAGGTAGGTAGGTATGTAGCAAGCTGAATAGTCAAATAGGCTACTATACCTTGAAAACCGACCAGCCAACCCACCGCAGCAACATGTCCATCTAACCAAGTACACAGGTAGCCCACATACACCAATCCCTCCGAACCGTCCCCGTGAAAAACCAACAGTACCCATTTTTCATCCGTCTCGCTCTTCTTTTATCACAATACACTGTTTCGCCATCACAAGCTGCTAAACACCCTCCTGAGCACCTCCCGTCCCTTATACAGATTCTCCACCCTCATGCGCTCGTTGTCCAAGTGCGCATTGTCGCTCGCCTGGCCCATCGGGAACATGGCCGCGGGGGCCTGGAATTCATGCTCCAAGAACGATATCGCGGGGATGGAACCGCCTTCACGGATGAACAGCGGTTCGCGGGGAAGAGTGGATGGCGGGAAGGAGCCGGTCGTGGCGAGTGAAGAGGCGCGGCGGTGGGATGTGCGGTGTGAGGCTGCGGCTGTGGCTGTGGATGGGGTGGGATCGGGGACTACGGCTATTGACGATGAGGAGGGGGAGGCCTTAGGGTTGGGCGTGGGTTTGGATGGTGTTTCGGTGGATATCTTGAATGTTCGCTGCTGGTGCGCAGCCATGTCAGGATTCCACACGTCAACAATGGCGTCTTTGAGAGTCGTGTAAATCTCGCTTTTGACATCCGCGAGCCACGGGTCCGCTTTTGACGTGATGGTAACCTCCAAAGCATTCGAGCTCTGTAACTTCCCAAACTCGGCATGCAGGTATTCTGTCAACGACTGGGCAATCTGCTCTGCCGTCTGTGACGGGACGATTCGAATGGAGAGTGTCGCCTTCGCAGAGCCAGAGATGGTGACGGCAGTTTTTGCCTCGGGCACCTCGATACGATGCACAGTCAGGTTGGGATACCGCCACCGTTGCATGAGCGAGAGGGCGAAGGCCTTCTCATTCTTGATCTCTGGGTGGCCGGGAAGGAGAGATGAAGTAATGGCGGCATAGGCTTTGACTTCTGATTCAGACAGCTCATCAACCGTGTCGTAGAAGTTCGGGATCGTGACCTTTGTGGCAGAAGAGCCGATAAGGGCAGCGAGTAAAACTGTTAGATCCTTGAGTGGCTCGTGCTGGACGGACTTGCCATCCATTCCCGAATGCAGGTCCGGTCGATTCGAAGTGACGCTGACACAGGCATGAATGACTCCACGCATGCCAAATGTAAGACAGGGGATGTGATCATCGAGCCAGTAACTGTTGGATAGCAGAATATAGTCCACTGGCCCAACAGCGTCGTGGGCAGATTGAACTGTCTGACGAAACCCTCGTGAGCCGGCTTCTTCGTCGCCTTCAAGTAGAAATGTCACATTGCAAGACAAGGAACCGTGTTGGACCAAGTCGGCGACAGCGTAGATGGCCGCTAGGATGGGACCTTTGTTGTCGGTCACGCCACGGCCGTAAAGGTACGCGTCTAATGGTTGTAGGGCGAATGGATCCCCATTCCAGGATGGATTTGAGCTGTTGGGGTCAAGTTCTGCGTCAACGACGTCATAATGGCCATAAAAAAGGATCGATCTCGTTGATTTGGTAGGTTTGGATGCTGGAAATCTTGCGAGTAGTATCGGGTTGACACCTTCTTGTGGCGACAGGAGGCGGGTAGTCGCACCAAAGGCATTACATTTCTTACGAAGAAATGTGACCGCTTCATGACAATCTCGGACATACGTTGGATTCAGAGCCACCGTGCGATACGCCACAAACTCTCGAAGAGCGTTGACGAGTTCGTCTAGCTATTGTTTAGCGCGAGATGCAGGGTCTGCCTGGATAGAAGGCTTACCATTGCTTCTTGCAGAAGCAGCTACGGAGTTCTGGGAGCCGGGCTTGCCGCTCCAGAAAGATACGACACTGTCGTTTCCACCCGTCACCAGCATGTCGTGATCAGGGGTTGTTGTCAAGCCCATTGCTAGAATCTTTCCGGCAGCAGCCTGCCATGATTCAAGCTCTGCGAAATGGTCGTCGTACCGCTGACAAGCCGTTAATATCCGGTCTGGCATTAGGTCGTTGATTTACCTTGATCCATCCTTGGCTGGTTCCGCACAAGATGCTCTCTGTGCTCACCAGGATCTGACTGACGTCGCCATGGTCAACCTGTAGCTTCTGCACGAGTTGATTTGAGGCGAGGTTATAAATGTGAGCGCGGCCGTCCGACAAACCAGCATAAAGGAAGGAGCCACGGTATGAGAGACTCAACACATTGGAATCTGCGTTTTTGAATTTTGTGATCTGTTTTGGCCCAGATTCCGCGAGATCGTCAACCGACCAGAGCTTGATGGTTCCATCACCTCCACCAGTGATGAGAACTTCCTCATCTCTGCCACGAGTAAAGAGACCTTTCACCAGTAGCATGCTGTAAATATAGCTTTTGTGGGCGTATGGAAGATAGTTGCGGCTTGGAGCGGTCAAAGCTCGACCACCCTGGTTGCTAGCTCCGTTGACTGCACCCTCATCTGCAATGACATTGGCTATCCCCCCAGGGCCCAAAGAGTCGAAGAAGCGGTGTTTGCGAGAGCCAGGCGCAAGGTTTGACGCGGGAGATTTGACAGCAGTATCGGTGTTGAGCTTGTACCACTGAATGCTAGCATTCTGGGCGCCCCAAAACAGAGTCTGGGATCTGGCAGAGTGGACCACGCAGAAGACATCGCCAATTTCAAAGGGCGAATATAGAGAATAGAGTCTTTGTAGAGACTCGGTAGACCAGACATTGACAATAGCATCGGCACCAGTGGAGAACAGGAGCGTCTTGTCATCTGAGAGGGTGAGACTGAGGACACTCTCTTTGTGAGCAGGGACCGTAGCCAGGAGCTCGTATGTCTCAAGAGACCAAACGACAATGTTTCCCCCTTGAGTGCCGGCAAATATCACATCATCGTCGACAGCAAGCGCTTGGACACTACCCGGAGCCTTGATCTGATGGAGAGCATGCTTCACCAGAGCTGGTCGACATCTCAGTGAAGTCAAGGCAGGCTCCTCGGACGCATGGGAAATGCCCTCATCGGAGGGTTCAGTGCCGTCGGGCTCGCTTGAGGCGGTAGAATGTGATTTGTGAGGTGACCCGTTCTGCTCGACCGAATCAGCTGGGGCCATGGAAGAGAAGAAGAGAATATCAGATGATTTGGAAGTGGAGAGAACAAAGGCACCAAGGAACCTAAATACCGAGTATGTACCTCGTAGTACGGAGGAGTGATGGTCTGGTCGGGAGCGGGAAATCGTACCTCCGAAGCCGCTTCCCAGGGCGACGGACTTGGGCGCAGCTGCGGCTCAGAGTCACTAGAGTCACTAGAGTCGCCCATTTGGCACATGATTCTCTTAACAACTGATCGCTTTTCCCTCAGGTGACTGCACTATATATTCATCCTGCTCCTGCTTCGAGGCATCCTTGCGTCCAGCTAAAGCAAAAAGACCCAAAAGAGTCAGTACTTCATCCAACAGAAAATCTGAAAGCCCCCCGACTTTCGCCCCCTTCGCCCGTCGATGGCGTGATCTCGCATCAGCTCGCCAACTCGCCCACAGCCTCGCCGATACCTGTCAAAATGACCTTCAAGCAGCCCTCAGCACTCGGCCCTTTCAAGCCGACACTCATCCTTCATGGGGGTGCAGGCTCCCTCTCCCGTGCAAATCTGCCTCCCGACCTCTATGCACGTTATCGTGCCTCCCTAACCAAATACCTAACAGTCACCCGTGAGCTACTCAACTCGGGGACATCGGCCCTTGACGCCGCATGTCATGCAGTTGCTTTGTTGGAGGATGACCCCTTATTTAACTGCGGTCGCGGGTCTGTCTTCACCGAGTCAGGAACCATTGAGATGGAAGCCAGTGTAATGGTATCTTCTGTCGACCCTGCTGGACCTCCTGCTGGTGGAATCAAACGTGCCGCTGCTGTCAGTCTCGTCAAGAACACGAGGCATCCGATTCTTCTTGCCAAGGAGGTGCTTTTGGAAGCAGATGAAGATGGTGGCCTGGGCGGCACGAGTACGATGCACTGCCAACTGAGCGGGAGAGCGCTAGAGGAATGGGGTTGGAGGGACCGAGGTCTCGAGAAGAAACCTGACCGTTGGTTCTGGACCAAAAAGCGCTGGGAGGAGCATAGAAGAGGGCTCCACCCCGACGACTCCTACTCATTCAACAATCTCGTCGCCTCGATCGATCCATATACGGAGTCACCTTTCGAAGACGACGACGACTCCGAAGTGGATGACATCCCCAGTCAAGGCACGGTCGGAGCCGTATGTCTGGATTCTTGGGGCAACCTCGCCGTGGCAACGTCAACCGGCGGACTCACAAACAAGAAAGCCGGGAGGATTGGAGACACACCCACCATTGGCGCTGGGTTCTGGGCAGAGGCCTGGGAAGAAGATTCTCCAACCCTGCCCCCACCCCAGGTCCGACAGAAGCCGTCGTCGTCGCGTAGGTCTTCGGGACTCGGAAAACTGCCCGTCCTAGACCAGATCCTGTCACGCGCAAATGATTCTCTGGGATCTTGCCTCAATCCATCCGACGAACCAGAACATCTCTACGAACCACTGAACACATCTCCTCCGGCCTATACTCCATCAGCAACTACCTCATTATACCAACCCTACCCGTCCCCTCATGCCCGACACCCCTCTTCGTGTATACCAAAACGCCGTCGCGCAGTAGCGATGAGCGGAACCGGCAACGGCGATTCCTTCCTGCGTCTCAACGCCGTGCGCACTGTCGCCGCGCACTGTCGTCTCTCAGGTCCTCCCGGATCCGTATCTCTAGCTGAAGCCGTCAAACTCGTCACCGGTCCAGGCGGCGAACTGCAACGCTCGGCTGGTGATCGGTGGGGAAGGACGGGCGAAGGTCAAGGCGGCATCATCGGGATCGAAGTCATTGATGAGCAAGACGAGGAAGCGCCACTTGAAGCGTGGACGGATTCCTTGGAGAAGCAAGCAGTTTCGAAGAAGAAGAGGGGTCGAGTAGTGTCTGATTTCAACTGTGGCGGTCTGTTTAGAGCGTATTATGAGCTTGACGAAGATTCCGGCGTGGAGATGCCCAAGGTCATGGTCTTTCATGAGGAGTATTGATTGAAACCCCCTACGGGTGGGTACCTGCAATATACAGTGGTTAGATGATAGATGCTTAGATTTAGAAGCCTAATATTAATCATGATCTAGATTTAGGGAGATATATATAATAAATTGTGATGGAATGATCCGAGCTGTGGTACGAGCATGATGGACGGATGTTATAAACTGCAGTGTCTTTCAGCCGAGACTGACCTCGGGATCCGTCCCTACGACAGATGCACCCTATTCTTTGTCCACCGCGACACCCAGGTGGGAGACGGTGTTGTCCAAGTGAATGAATGCTCCGTATCATTCATTGCCATGACCAGTCTCCCATGGACGACCACAGACTCGGAGCTGAGACTACAGCTGCTTCATCCTCTCTGTGCTCCCTCTTCATCTCGATATCTTGCAATCCAGAAACCATCGGTTTAGGGCATTGGTATCAGCCCCGCTTTGATGTGGACCTCCAGACGGCGTTTCCTCCCATCATGGATACTTGCAGGTGGCCTGGATGGCACTACCGTGGCCGTTGCAAAACGTGCGGAGAGCGCCTCGGCCGCATTCGCGCATGGGTTGCGATACTTCAACGAAGGTCTCCTGCTCGTGATGATCCGGTCATAAGTTATGGTTTATCCCGGGCTTTACCAGGACGGGTAGACAGTGGAGACTGGTAAAACCGGTGCCAGATCCCTCGTTGACCTTGGTATCTGTGCATGAAACGCGAACGGTCTTTTGCCGGGGACGACAGCCAAGTTGATGGCACTCACAAGCACCTTTCTTTGAGTCATACAGTTTATCGGACTGTGTCACGGTAACGATGGACAAGGCGACACTGTTGGACATCGGCTCCAGTTCAATATTCCAGTGTTCGTTTGATTGTGTCATATATTCCTATAGTTCAGTTAGTCCCTGCAAACCGAGGCCCTCGTATTCTGTCACCGGATGGACCTGACTTACTCGTAATATCCGGAATATTGAATTTCTCAAAGATTAGCCCTGGATGCGTGCTCCAGCCCGTGACCCTGGCCACAGGAGCCTCCAGTCGAAGGAACGCCCCTTCTTGGATACTTGCGGCGACTTCGGCTCCCACACCTGCGTTGTACATGCTCTCATGCACCACAACTGCTCGCCCGGTCCTGTTCACGCTATCCATAATAGTGGCTCGATCCCAGGGATATATGGCCCTCAGATCAATGAGTTCGATACTCAGACCTTTGATTTCCTTCTCCAAGGCTTCAATAGCGGCGGAGCAAAGGTACAGCGGCTGGCCGTAGGAGATGACTGTCAGATCTTTGCCTTGCTTCAGTATTTCTGCCTTGTCCAGTGGTAGCGTGTATGGGTCTCTGGGCACAAATTCCTCGGCAGCCCGGTAGAGCACTTTTGGTTCCATGAAGATGACCGGGTCGTGGGAGTGAAGAATGGACGCCGTGAGCAGTCCCTTTGCTTGGCTGGGTGATCGAGGCATGATGACCCGTAGACCGGGCACATGTGTGAATAGTGATTCGGGACTTTGAGAGTGGTAGAGAGCGCCATGGCCGACGCTGCCGCACGGCATTCGCACCACCAGGCCCCCACAGTTGCCGCCCGTCGCGCCTTCTCTGTACCGGAATTTGGCGGCCTCATTGACTAGCTGATCAAATGCCGGGAAGACGTAATCTGCAAACTGGATTTCTGCGACAGGTTTCATGCCCTCGGCCGCACAGCCAATGGCGAAACCGACAATCCCTTGCTCAGAAAGGGGAGTATTGAACACTCTACTGGTGCCAAATTCATCCGTCAAGCCCTTTGAGCATCGAAAGACGCCGCCAAAGGCCACGTCTTCGCCAAAGAGAAGCACATTCTCGTCGCTCTTCAAAGCATGATGGAGAGAGACATTGATGGCACCATGCAGGTTCACCCAGTCGACCGGTGCATCTTGAGAGAGGCCATAGGCAGTCCTGGCACTGTTCTGTGATTGGTGGAGGACGGCGGTCTTTTTGAAGTCGATGGGTCGGTTGAGACGCGCTTCGGAAGATGCTTGACTGGCGTATCGAAGCTGAGTTGATGGTGCTTTCAACAGCCTGGGAACTGTGTTGAGTCTCCGACCAGCAAACATCTTGAAGGAGTGACAGAGTTTATTGAAGTCAATGTCACAGCAGGAGAAGCAGGGTGATCAGACATTTTGAAGGGGCTTTTGGTGTGAGATGGCCAGAGACCTGAAGCCGAGGATAAGCGCTCGTGGTAGTAGCGGCTCGACGCCCGTCTTCTCCGGAGATCGGAAAGGAGACTCTAGGAGAGGCCAGGAGACTCCGGGAGAGGCTGGGCGGGTTGGGGTCTCGGCGAGTGGGGGCTCTCGCACAAGTTGCCTTTTTCACTAGTACCTCCTAGTAGTACCTAGGTACTTGGTAGGGCACCTAGCAAGCCTAACCACCTACTGGGTGCCCACCTATTATTATTAGGTACCAAGGTTTCTAGGTAGGTCGGTAGGTACTGACGCCATCCCGCCAAACTGCGGGATGCAGAATGCACTGGTTGCGTCGTTCATACACCAAGCTTTACAGACTACTCGGTACCTATCAAATAAGCATCCAGCACCGCGAGGACACGGGAGAAGTTGTACTAGGAACCGAAAGTAATACTTACGAAATCAGTTTCGCAGCCACACCCACCTTGTTCCTTTCTCCTCCACCACGCAAGCCGCCTCCGCCAATCATTGCACCATTCTTCACGACGCATTTCTACAACACCCACCGCACCTCAGCTTCAACTCACCTCACCCTTGTGCTTCTCGCTACTATCATCCATCTGTATTGCCCAAAGAGATCGCACACCACTCTTACCTTCGAGTTTGACCCGAGACGAAACGTTACCCTCACACCCAGCTGCGAATCGACCGAAGCCGAATCGAAGCATTTCCACGTTGACGTCGAGAAGCTATTTCCACCTCCAAAGATGTCGGTATCAGCATATCGGGCCTGATCAAACCATGCAACCACAAAGTCCACACTCCTCCCTACATGTGCGGCCCATCATCTTGGGCTTTGCCAAAATCTTGTTCCTCTCTCTAGGACAGATACCCATCGTTCGAGCTGCGCCGGTCTACGCCACACAACTGTTCTCCACTGCCGATGATACAGAAGGGAAAGATCCGGATGATCCAGGGCTATGGATATACTTGACTGTTGCGGCAATCCTTGTTCTATTGGGAGGGGCATTTGCTGGGTTGACTATTGCGCTGATGGGACAGGTGAGCAGAAGGGAGTCCAAAGATCATACCGAGTACTCAGGCACTAATATTGGCTCAAAGGATGAGATATACCTCCAAGTCATCAAGGACTCTGGTGAAGGGACAGAGAGGGCGCATGCTGCCAAGGTGCTTAAGTTGCTCCGGAAAGGAAAGCATTGGGTCCTGGTTACGTTGTTGTTGAGCAATGTAATCACTAACGAGACTCTCCCTATTGTGCTCGATCGGTCGCTGGGCGGTGGGTGGCCTGCCGTCTTGGGATCGACTGTTTTGATCGGTATGTTCCTTCCCCTCAAGGTGGCGCCCTATCAAAGCTAACCCTCTTTGCAGTCATATTTGGTGAAATAGCTCCTCAGTCCGTTTGTGTCCGTTATGGCCTCCCCATCGGCTCCTGGATGGCACCATTCGTCTTGATCCTCATGTACATTCTGGCGCCTGTGGCATGGCCAACCGCAAAACTACTGGACTATCTCCTGGGAGAGGATCATGGAACAACATACAAGAAAGCCGGGCTCAAAACATTAGTATCGCTGCACAGGAATCTTGGAGACGCTGGTCAGCAGCTCAATGCCGATGAGGTGACCATAATTAGTGCAGTTCTTGACCTCAAGGACAAGCCTGTGGGCAGCATCATGACTCCAATGGAAGATGTATTCACCCTGTCTCTCGACGACGTTCTAGACGAATCCACCATGGACGACATTCTGTCACAGGGCTATTCGAGAATACCCATCCACCACCCAGATAATGACTCCAACTTTGTGGGCATGTTGCTGGTCAAAATGCTCATCACGTACGACCCAGAGGACGCAAAACCTGTCCGGGACTTTGCTTTGGCCACTCTACCAGAGACTCGACCCGACACCAGTTGTCTGGACATTGTAAACTTCTTCCAAGAAGGCAAATCCCACATGGTCCTTGTATCAGAGTATCCTGGAGAAGATCACGGCGCTCTTGGTGTTGTCACTCTGGAGGACGTTATCGAGGAGCTGATTGGCGAAGAAATTGTGGATGAATCCGACGTGTTTATCGATGTGCACAAAGCGATTCGACGAGCTATGCCTGCACCGACCAGGCGAATCCCAAAGACGTATATCCTTCCTGACGAACCCTCGACAATCAATGGCGCGACCCCTGACCTGGTCAACATTGACGAAAGTGAAATACTCTCCCCCGAGGACTTACAGCGGGCCAAGACCGCGGATCATCCACCACAGAAGCCGAAAGGACCGGCAGGCGCTAGAAGACGCTCAAGTGCAGGAAACAGTGTGGGTGGAGACAGCAAGGCTGGCCGCAGAGCCGCAAGCACCGACGAACTCAAGGAGCATCTGAAGCACCTAGGACCCTCCAACCTGGCGAGCAGGCCGAGGTCCACGCGGTATAACACGGTGAAAATCAAGCCTGGTAGCAGCACAGCCGCAAAGGAGGATGAAGCCCGAGCGACTCCGGTCCGTCGGATCTCCGAAAACGTTTCAGAATATCAAACTGGCATTGGTGAAGGCCTGCTCAGCTCGGGTGGTAAAATCGCCTCTGGTGGTGTGCAAGCCTTGAAGCAGGGATATGGTTCTCTTTCTGGCTCGCCCAATGAAAGGAGGCCGCCCAGTGCAGCTAAGGGATCACACGCAGATTCAGCACATGAGCAGGAATCCAACCATCGCAGCACTGGAGCCAAGGATATACACCAATCTCGACCCTCTGCAAGAACATTCGACAGCCAGAGCACCATTGGTAGCTTGCCCGACTCGCGAACCCAGTCAAGAAGCCCCTATTACCACTCCAAGGGTCCAGCCCGAAGTGGTAGTATCACAGAAAACATTGTCGACACTAACGGTTTCCGAAAGGTTGTGCTTGAGATGACGTCAAGTAGCGAGTCGAATGAGGAGGAAGAGAATTCAGGAGCCAACAAGGGGCATCACGCGTATGATGAACGCAGAAATCTATCGGGGGTGAAACTGCGAGGCGGCAGCCATGAGCATATTCCTGAACCCCATGATGATGACTCCAAAAAGAAAAAGCGCCGGAAAAAGAAGCACAGCCACGGCAACGGAAAAGGGGAACGTGAACCGCTGTTGGGCGACTAGTAGAGCTGGTGGCCAGTATGGAAAAGCAAAGCGACCTGTTGATCCTGTTCGATTGTACTGCCTCTGCCTCTGGTGCATGGTTCGTGAGGATTCGAAAACAAAGGAATGGCTGGCTTCACTGCCTTTGAGAGAAAAGGTCTGGCAGAGGCAGCGGTAGGTATTGATTCACTCGACGGGTGAATAACAAACAAAGACTGCATTCACTGTTCACTGCCTCACCCCGTCAACAACAGCCTTACTTGGCGACCCAAGTCGTTGAAAATTTTTTCTTTCCTCTTTATCTTCTTCTCTTCAACAATGCCATTTTCTTTGTCTTCCTCTTCCTCTCTCCTTTGAACCACTCCTTCTCTTTGCCCCGAAGACACCACCACCACCACCACCACCATCATCCTCTCTTCTTTTGGCTCAAGCAGAAGCCCAAGCAGCAACAACGTCCTCCACAGCCATTCTCTCCCTGAAACCCCTCCCGCTCAAACCCAACAACAACATTCCAACATGGACTTCTTCCGAGAATGCATCGAAGCCTGCATGTCCGAGGAAATAGACTGGACAGCGCTCAGTCTGTTTGTGATCAACATCTCCCTCTTCACCATCATCTACCTGCTCCAAAAGTCTGCAAAGCTGGCAGCCACCATTCCGGAAGTTTTGTTCCGACTTCGTGGCGGGGGCGAACAAGACCTCAGAGCGGCGTTGGAGGACAAGGGCCGCCTCAGTGAGGCAAATCGGCAGCTTCAAGCAGAGGTTGTCGACCTTCGGCGCCAGTTGGTAACCCTGGACAAGCAAGGGAGCTTGCTCCCTCCACGGGTGCCTGTCATTGTACACGACTACCAGAAAGACCACCACAAGAGACTTCGTGACAACGCGTACCGGGCGGAGAAGAAGGTGGACCAATTGACGAAGGCACTGAAGGCGGCCGAGGACAAGATTGCTGAGCTCGAGGCCGAGGCCGAGGCTGAAACGGACGCTCCTGCGTACGCTGATGCCTGCGTGCTGGCTGCCACCGCTCAAAAAGATGCGCGAATCCGAACCTTACAGGCCGAGATGGCCGTTGCCGCTTCGGCGGCTTCGGAAGCCAATAAAGCCCTGGCGTCGGCTCTTGCAGCTGAGAAGGCCGAGTCTCAACAACTCAGGTCTTCTCTTGAAGCTCAAGAGGCCAAGTCAGGCGATCTCGCGTCTCGCCTTGAATCTGAGAGCGGTGTCTCTCAGAAACTTGGTGCGGAGGTTGCTGAACTTCGTGGGCGTGAGAGGGACGCCCAGTCAGCACTCCGGGAGGTGGAGGAGGCAGCCCTGGCCGAACGAGCAGCTGCAGACCGGGTTCGCGGACAGATGGACGCTGAGATCAGCGCCCTGAAGGCACAGCTTGCGGAGGCTAAGGCCCACGCCGCGGTTGTCGTGGTGGACACCGCAGAGATGGGTGTTCAGACCGATCTTGCTGTTGAGGCATCTCCGGTGGTCACGCCGGTAGATGTCAATGATGCAGGCACTCAAACCGAGTGTATCGGGCTGGACACCCAGTCTCAGCACGCCGAGCTGGAGGCCTTGAAGTCAGAGCTGGGCAAGAGCAAGGAGGCGCTCGAGGCGGAAGGCAAGAAGTTTGCAGGGTTGGATGTCGCCTACCAGAAGACCAAGGACAGCCTTGTCAGCTGCAGCGAGGCCCTAAAACAGCGCGATCAGGACCTGAAGCAGTGCAGTGAGGCACTCGAGGCGGAAAGCAAGAAGTTCGCGGCGTTG